ACATCACAAGCCGAAATTATTCTTTTAAAAATAGATACCCAGATCCGCTAAATATTAGTTATCTAATAATTAATCAGATAATTAATTAAGACTCTGAGCTCTAGTTTATCTTCTTTAGATAAGTTATTAATTCAAGTATAAATATATAATTTATACTTTTTTAAACAGAAAATATCTGGTTTCTCAGATAATTATAAAAGACTTTTTTAGACAGTTTTATATAGTATTTCTTAATTTAATTATTTATTTAATATTCTATTTAAAATAAAAATAGCTGAATCTATTATTTCAGGCTATAAAAATATAGAAAGCCCTGAATTAATCAACAAACTTCTTATTTTAAAAATAATTAAAATTCTAGATCTTTCTGTATATAGATTTTACTCTGGCTGATAAACTAGTAAATAACTAATTAATAAATCTTTAATACTAGTCTAGATTAGAAAAGTATTAAGATTTCTGTTCTGATCAGAATAAAATCTCTTGAATATTATCTTAAACTAATTAATAATTAATTGAATTATATTAATAATTAATTCTGAAATATCTGATTTAGAAGTTAGAGCTTACTCTAGATAAAATTTTAAATAGAAATAATAAAGATAACTAATATATCTCTATTTATTAATTCTATTTACTATATAAATCAAGTTCTAATAAATTAATTCAAATACCTGACTTTCTTTCTTAAATTTTTGTCTTAAAATTTATCTTTCTAATTAACTAATTTTATATATAAAATACTTTTTATTTTAACTTAGCTTATCTAAGCTAGTCTATTTTAGCAAATCAGTAATATTAATTCCCTGAACTAAATTATTTAGATAATTTAGAACTTTCTTATTAAAATATTCTAATCTTTTATATTATTCTTTAACTATTTTAGATATTATATATTAGTGTTCTGAGAGTTTAATTAGCTTAAAATCACAAACTGGCGAGTCTGAGATAGCTAACTAGCTTATTTTAATAATTAATTAATTTAATTCAGCAGTAATAATTATAGCAGAACTAGATTTTTATTTCTATTAAATATAATATATTTCTTTAATTTTCTTAATTTAATATAATAGAGTTTTATCTATCTGTTCAAGAAATTTATTTTTTTTATTTAAAAATAATCTCTTTTTATCAGCTTTTACAGCTGAAAGAATATTTATATAAAATTAAGAAATATAGACCACTTCTTTAAGTTTAAAATATAAATCTTTTTTATTTAAATAAGTAAGATAAAAAATAACTATTTTATAATCTTAAATAACTGAGATAGTATCTTTTATTCTTATTAATCTACTTTTATTTATAATAGAAGTATAATTAATAAAAAAATTTAAGAAATTACAGATATAGCTATCTAAAGCAGTATTAAAAGCTTATTAAAATAAATAAAATATTAATAATTATTTTAAATAGATAGTTTATTAATTTATTATTAAAAAAATCTTTTCTGCTTTGTCAGTTACTTTATTATTTTTATTAAATAAAAATAATATTTAATAAGCCTAATAATATTATTTAAAGAAATATCTTAGTTTAGAGCTATTTCTGAAAATATTTCTAAAGCAGTTTAAGATTTTAATCTTAGATTTTTATTTAAAATCTCTTAGTTTCTTATTAATATAAAAATAATTATTAAAATTATAAAATCTATTATTCTTATCTAATTTATATGAGCAGGACTAATTCTTAAATCTTTATTTTTTTATTAATATTTTACTGTTTTAGAAAGTTTATTTTAACTTAGTTATTAAAACAGTTAATTTAGAATTATCTGAAAGATCTTAAAAAAAGATATAACTAATTTTATTATTATTATTATTAACTGACTTGTGTCTAATTTAAAAATTTAGATAAATCTAATTATATATTTTTTATATTATCTTAAAAAACTCAGATAGTTCTTTCTGATTATTCTTATTATTAATTAATTTTAATTATTAAATTATTATAAAATTATTTATTATTTTCTGAACTAATTTAAGAAAGTTATAAATTATTTAAATAAGACTAATAATCTTGCTTAATTTCAGCTTTACTGCTTCTAAATAAATAAGCTTTTATTAAGTTATATAATTCTTAATAAAACTCTTTATTCCTGAGAATTATAGTTTATAATATTTATTAATAATTTTTTTTATATAGAACTAGTTAATAGAGATAATCTTTTTTTTTAGAGCTTGTAAAATTTAATAAGATCTTTTTAAATTAAATATAATATACTGATTTTGCTTGCTTAATATAAAATTTATTAATAAACTTAAAGAGACTAGTTTAGAGGTGATTTTTTTTTATTTCTTAAATTAATAATTAAATTAATTTATAATTTTCTGATATAAAAAATAATCTGATTTATTAAGATCTACTATTAAAATAATATAATAATTAAAGTCTGAAATAAATATAATAACTGACTTGATAGAATAGTTAGATTTCTTAGATAAATCTGGATTTATATATTCTCAGATATTCTTATTAATAATAAATAATTAAATTTAATTAATCCAAAGAAATCAATCAGATTAATTATTAAGAATAATAGAAACTTTCTTAAATTACTAATTTTAAGATATAATAAAAAAATAATTAAAAAAATTTAAGAATTCAGATAAGTTTTATTTTTTATTTAAAAATTTTATAGTTTTCTATATAAATTTTAAGTCAGAGATAAAATAAAAATAAGAGAAATAAAAGAATATAAAAAGTCTTAGAAATATTAATAAAAAATTAATATAAGAATATAATCAGACTTATAACTAAGAATTTTTCTTAAGAAATAAGAATTTTTTTTAAGAAAACTTTATTAAATTTTTACTTTCTTATATAAATTTAATATAAAAGTAAGATAAAAGTAAGAGAAAGATAAAAGAAATAAAAAATAAAAAAAATTAGAGATTAAATAACTAAGTAAAAACTTTTCTCTAATCTCTTAAAAAGACTTTACTAAACTCTTATTTTCTTATATAAATTAGATATAAAAATAAGATAAAAGTAAGATAAAGATAAAAGAAAGATAAGAGAAAGATAAAAGAAATAATAAAAAAAATTAATAATTAGATAAATAAAAAAGAGACTGAAAGCTAATTCAACTTAATTAAAACTTATTAAAAAACTGATTAAAAATTAAGAAATCTTTTTATTTATATTTATAATCAATTGACTATCAAAAGTATATAAAAATATATAAAATTATATAAAAATTATATAAAAATTATATAAATAGAATAGGACCGAGAATAATAGAATCAGTGATTAAATAAAGACTAAAATAATTAATAAAAGTAAGATCTCTTGCTTCACTGCGGGATAGACGGAACTCAGAATTATCAGTCTGCCAACTAATAGTCTAAGACAGCCAACTGGCCTGAGGCCATAAACTAATGAGCCTTAGGCAGCGAACTGGCGAGTCTGCCTATATTGTTGACATATATAAATTAAAAAACTACTATTTTATTTTAATTAAGAAAAATTATTAATAATATAAAACAGCTTTTAAAAAGATATATTATTTTTTAATAAAATCTTTATTCTTTTATATCTATTATATTATATATCTTTATATCTTATAATATCTAGAAATTAAAAACTCAGAAACTAGTTCTATAAGTTATTATTTTTATAAAAATTATAATACTAATATTTTTATTTATTAAAAGTTTTATTATAATCAGTTTCCTATTCTCTATTAGATAATTAGAGATTTTCTCTTGATTATAATTAATAATATTAATATTAAATATTTTTTTAATAATTCTTAAGATATCTGCTATTATTATTAAAGCTATTTTAATTTTAATATAATTAAAATAGTTATATTTTAAATATATATTAATTATTTTATTATAAATAAAAAATATTAGAATATACTTAATAATCTTAATCTAGATTTAATTATTTTTATATTTAAAAAATAAAAAAAAATAAGATAATTACTATCTTTTATATTAATAAAAATAAGAATATAAATAATCTTAAAAATAATCTAGAAAATAAATTATTATTAAAATTAAAAAAACTAGTCTTATCTAAGTTTTTAATTATTATATATATTTAAATAAAAATAGAGATTTAATCTTTAATCTTTATAATTTCTATATTATTATAATTATTATTCTAGATAATATAAAAAATAAATATTTTATATTTTCTTTTATTTTTTTATACTAAATTTTATAAAAATCTTTTTTAGAATATAATATATTTTTTAAAATAATTAATTAAGCAGATCAAGCAGTAGACTATATCTAAAAAATATTATTATATTTATATTATAATTAAATATATATTATATTTTATATATTATTTATATAAAAAGAATATATATATTATAAATTAATTTATAATTATTAATTTATTTATTATATCTAATCTTTCTAATCAGCAAATATAAATAATTATAATAATAATTATATTTTAATCTAATCTTAATTATATAGTTAAAAATTTTTTATATCTTAATCTAACTATCAGATTATATTCAGATTAAGATTAAGATATAATAGTCAGATTAAGCCACTCTAATCAAAATCCACTCTACTTATTATTTTCTTAAATATAGTTTTAAAATAATATATAAATACTAGTATAATTATTATATATAATATAACAGAGATATTTATTATTTATTTTAGTCAGTAATTATTAGAAACTGTTATACAACTGGCCACAACCTCCCGGTAACTTGTGCCAGCGGCCTACTATGTACCAGTACCACTAGGGTTTTTTCACATTTTTAAAACGCTTTAGCCTTTTGCAGACCCTTTCTTGGATAGTACTCCCAGGAGTACTATCAGGAGTACCCCCAGGAGTACCCTTGTTTCAGTACTAATAGCTATGCAAAGTATGGGGTGGAGGGGGTGAGTTCCCCGTCTCGTCTCCAAGGTACTTCGAGGACCCTGTTGCTGTTCCAAATTCCAGAACCCCCCTTTAAAGAGAGCAACCCTCCCGTGCCAGTCGGCACCTTATTCTTCTCATTCTATTCCCTGATCCAAGATTGCTCTACCATGCTCAAGCCGGACACCGACCCGGGCCGGGGCCTCCCCCAGCTGCCGCTGGAGCTGATGGAGCGGGTCTGCGAGACGCTGGCCACGCGCGACCTGGCGGCGCTCCGGGGCAGCTGCCGGCAGGTCCACCACCTCACGCACCACTGCTTCGCCCAGCGGTACGGCGAGTACCATACGGACTTCTCGGAGCGATCGCTCCGGCATCTCCACGCGCTGGCGCAGAACCCGGGGGTGGGGAGGCACATCCGATCGCTGGTGGTGCTGAGTCCCGAGCCGCGGCTGGGGAAGGACCTGCAGGCGCTGCGCTGGGCGGCGGCCGGCCAACTGGCGGGGGATAGCCTCACGATGCCCTCGCTGCGTACCCTCCGCGACGACCTCGTCCGGCGTCTCCCCCACTGCCGCTCCTTTGTCGTCTCTCCGATTGGGGGGGCGGGGCCGCCGGAGCACCCCCAGGACCCCCAGGACCTCCAGGACCACCAGCAGTGCACCTTCAACCCCGATGATGTTGTATCCATCCTGTGGGAGATTGTCGCCGATGCGGCCCTGCCGGTGCAGCGGTTCTGGTACGGCCAGGGCCTGAACTACTCCTCCTCCGCCTGCTCCGCCTGCTCCTCCCCCCTGCTGGACATCGCGCGACTCCCCAAGGGCCTCTTCCGCAGCCCCGGGTTCCGCGCCGGCTGGGCGGCCCTCCAGAACCTGCACCTCGAGCAGACCCTCACCCCCCACAACTACGCCTTCTGTCTCGACCTGATCCTGCACGCCCCGGCCCTCCGCAAGCTCCATCTCGGCCTGGGCCACACCCCGATCGCCGCCGAGTTCGTCGCCGACCTGAGTCGCGCCCTCACCCTAGCACCCCACCCCCCAACGTGGGAGCGACTGTCCCTGGCGGGGACAACACTCCACGCGGACGACCTCCTCCGGCTGCTGCATCAGTCGCGCGCCCGGCTGCAGACCCTCTGGCTGCGCGACGTCTCGGGCCTGGACGCCTCCTGGCTGGCCGCCCTGCACCGCCATCGCCGCCAGTTTCCGCGCCTGGCCGCCCTCGCCCTGCGCGACATCCGGAGCCCGTCCGGGCTGGTGCGCTTCGGCCTCCCCCCCGGGGCCGCGGGGTTCCAGCTGCAGCCCAACGAGCAGGGCGCGGTGCCTGCCATCGGGCTGGGCGCCTCGGACATCATCGGGATGGCCTACGGCGGATCGGAGATGGACCGCGCGCTGGAGACCCTGGTGCAGGTGTGGACGGAGTGTGGGGGAGGGACGGGGGGACTGGCGTGAGAGGGAGGTTAGGGCTCGGAGTTAATATCATATCATATCTTGATGGCGTTGTGGCGATTCGGGTCTTTACATAATACCCCCGATCATTTTTTAGTACTATATTTCTTGTCTCTTTTTCTTCTTTTTTTCTCTCTCTCTCTCTCTTTTTCCTTAGTCTCGTTATCATTCTGGAGAGACAAGATACGACCGAGATAGACTAGATATATTCTAGAATAAGATAGTTCGTTGCTTCAGCATCACTTTAATATATATATTATCTCTGCGTTGAAATTATCTCTTTCGACTCGCTCTATGCGTTCTTCCCCTTCTTCTCACCTGTGTTAAAATTATTTTCTTACTTTATATATTCTTCTTCTTCTTGTCTATATTAAAATTATCTCTTTTAACTTGCTCTACGCGTTCTTCTCACACAAAGAGTCAAGGCGGAATCAATATATATACCCGGCGCGAAGAGTCTGACCGCCAAATCAACAAACCCTAATAATAACAATATCGCGGTCGGAGTGGTGAGTCCGATCCCTGGACGGCTCTCTCGGACGGTATCCCCGTCGCACCCCCTCTCAATGGCTCTTAGGGTTTATTAGGGTTTCTTTCTCTCCGCACAGGGCACTGACAGCGAGCCCTCGAGTTAGGCGGCGGATTCCGATACAACCTCACCTCTGCGGAGCCTGACACCTGGCGAAGCGAGGGGATCGCGCTGATCAATGACAATGCGAGGCTTTATCAGCGGTGAGGAGTCGGTCGGGAGGCAGTGGGGCGGATGGGGGGGGTGAGGTTAAGGAGGGTCTCATCCCGTCTAGACGGAAGTCGGTCGTTGTTCCTGTTCCCAAGGGCGGTTTGAGTGGCTCAGCCATGGTTGTTGTTTTTTTTTTTTTTTTTTTTTTTTTTTGGATAAGATAAACAGACACACGGCGTTGACCTGAGTGCTCTCCCTCGCCCCTTCTGCGTATATATGAGGGCTCGGGGCAGACTCGGGCTGGGGCTCAGCCTCGATCAACCCAGACCTTGTCCAAAACCCAGTCGAAAGACTGACTTGAGAGCCTAAGAGGAGGGTCGTCCTCTTTACCAATCACCTGAGGCCCAATTGGACTCTTACGCAACCGGTGGGCCCGCATCCCCTCACCGGCGGGTCGCGCTTCCCCTCACGCGGAGGCAGCCCTAATCTGAGAATCTGAGATAGGGCTTCCCCTCAGCCTAAGACGGCTGTCCTTTACGACCTCATCCACTTTTGGCGCTAATCTGTTCAGGGAGGGGGGAAATTTCTGTCACAAGATGAAGCCCGTCCCCGTCGCCAGGTTCCTCCCTTCCAAACCCGCATCCCAAACCCCAGAGCCGGCTCTGTTAACCTCCCTGGTCCGCCATCATCAATCACCATGTCCAAGCCCGTCTACACCCTCGCCGAGGGTACGTGCGAACCCGCCTCCCCCAACTCTCGAGCGACGGGGCATCTCATCTCCTGACCAACTCTAACTTCCTGTCCAGGGCAGCCTCTGCCGGACCCCTCCGTCAGCACCACCCTCCCGACCTTCGGCGGTGGTGCCATCACCACGCTGGGCGACACCTTGCTGCTCGAGACGTTGGCGCATTTCAACCGCGAGCGCATCCCCGAAAGGTAGCGACTTCCTCCCCCCTCCCCTTCAGGCTCGTCCGTTGAATCTTGGAACAGAGTGGTGCACGCCAAAGGATCCGGCGCCTGGGGTGAGTTCCGCGTCACCAACGACATCTCCCACCTCACCTGCGCCAAGTTCCTCGGCGGCGTGGGCAAGAAGTGCCAGGTCCTCTTCCGGTCCAGCACGACGGGCGGCGAAAAGGGCAGCGCCGACACCGTGCGCGATGTGCGCGGGTTTGCCGTCAAGTTCTTCACCGAGGAGGGCAACCATGATATCGTGGGCAACCATGTCGTAGGTCGCGCATCTCCCCGTGCCTCCTCCGATGCCGCCATTCTCACCGCGTGCAGCCCGTGTTCTTCGTCCGGGACCCCGTCCGCTTCCCCTCCCTGAACCGCAGCCACAAGAAACACCCGGCCACCGGCCGCGCCGACATGAACATGGTAAGGCCCGTCGTCGCTGGGGGAGAGGCGAGAGATTGAGATTGTCCCAGCTGGAAGCTAACGCGGGTCATGTCCGTCCCCCATTTTCAGTACTGGGACTTCCACTGCAACCAGCCGGAGAGTGTGCACACCCTGATGCACGTGTTTGGCTCTCGCGGCACCCCCGAGTCAGTGCGCCGCATGACGGGCTTTGGAATCCACACCTTCAAGCTGGTGGGCCCCGACGGACGCTTTCGCTACTGCAAGTTCCACTTCCGGCCGGTGCTGGGCTCCCACAACATGACCCCCGACGCGGCCACCCGCCTGGCAGGCGCGAATGCCGATTTCCATAACCAGGACCTCGCCGATGCCATCACCCGTGGCGAGTATCCGGTGTGGAAGATGTACGTCCAGATCATGGAGCCGGAGCGGGCCGAGACCTATGGCCGGGCCGTCTTCGACATCACCAAGGTCTGGCCGCATAGGGACTTCCCCCTGATTGAGGTCGGAGAGATGACCCTCAACCGCAATGTGAGTGCTGATCCCATCTCCTTCCCCTCGACGGACCCCGCCGCGAGACTCACGACAACAACAATACAGCCCGAGAACTTCTTCGCCGAGATCGAGCAGGCGGCCTTCTCTCCCTCCAACCTGGTCCCGGGCATTGCCGTGACCCCCGATCCGAGTAAGTTCCCCCTTCCCCCCTGGCTAACTGAAGCAAAAATTAACCTGGCCTCCCTCTTTCCCCGTCTACAGTGCTCCAAGCCCGCATGTTCGCCTACCCTGACGCCCAGCGTTATCGCCTGGGTGTCAACTACCCACAGCTGCCGCCCAACCGGCCGATCTGCCCGGTGTATGCGCCGTACGAGCGGGACGGTCTGGCGACGACGACGCGCAACTATGGCGGAGACCCCAACTACGTGACCAGCACGCTGGCCCCCGGCGTGCGCAGCGAGACGGTCCCCAACGTGCGCCACACCGAGTGGCTGCGGTCGGGCGCCGTGCTGGGCCTGAACGCGATCCCCGTGGACGACGAGGACTTCGTGCAGCCGCGGGCCCTGTGGAACGACGTCTTCGATGAGGCGGAGCGCCGCCAGTGGGTGGCCAACGTCACGGCGTCGCTGGAGGGGGTGCTCCCCGAGATCCAGCAGGCGACCATCGCCATGTTCAGTCGGGTCGAGCCGCGGATCGGGCAGATGATGGAGGCAAAGCTGAAGGGGAGTGCCCGTTTGTAAAAGTAGTAGTTCCAAGCCGTAGTGATTGAATTAAACCCTAATAAACCCTAAAAGTAGGGTTTGTAGAGGGAGGGGGGAATATGGCCCTGCATCAATCATCTCGTCTCTTCTCCTCTTCTTCGTCTTCCTTTTTCCACACCCCTAACGATCTCACTCCCGACCAGCCGACAGAACGTGCCTGTGAGCTTTTTTTTTTTTTTTTTTTTTTTTTTTTTGGCGCAGACCACAGAATGTGCGACCGCTGAGACCCTGACACCAACTGAGCACCCGTGGGCATGATCGGCGGCGTGTATGGCCATGTCCAAGCAGGAGAGTCTACTCCAGGATGCTAGATAGCCCTGCCTACCGCGGGCGCATCTACTACGGTTTCTGTTACTGGGCTCGGACGGCGGGTCTACAGTTACTACACGTTCGGCAGCTCGCGGAAATCCCGAAACTGTCGAGGTGCTCCGGGGTGGGCTGGTGGTGCCGGGCTCGCAGGGCAGCGGCGGCAGGGCGCTCACGAAGGAGCAGATGTTGAGGAGCAGCTCGGAGGAGAGAGAAGAAGAAGATGTGACAAGACGTGACGTCGGTTGTTTTTTTCGTCGCCGCGTCGCGTCGCGGCAGAACCCCCCCACACCGCCTACACCCACTGCGATGCCTGGGGCAGACACCACCGTGACGTCACCTCTCCCGCTTTCCCGTTCTTTCCCTTTCTTTCTTTCTTTCCCTTCCTCTTCTTCCACTTCCCTTTTCTCCCTCCATCTTCTGTTTCCTCGATTCACCCCCCCCCCCCCCCCCCTTCCTCCTCTCTTTCTTCAACTCACCCCCATGCCTGACTTCGCTCTCCGTACCCAGAACCAGCGTGCCGACGCCCTGGCCCGCCTGGCCGACGACCACCTGCAGCAGGATCTCCGCCCCGACGACCGCGTCGCCCTCCACTCCGCCGCCCGCGCCGTCTCCCGCTGGACGCTCGTCGCCGGCTCCCTGGGCCTGGGCCTTGGCCTGTTCGTCGCCCTGCGTCTGCGCAGCTCGCGCAAGGCCGTCTTCGATGCCTTCCGCGCCCGTGAGAGGCCCACCGGCCTCGTTTTCGCCGACGGGCGCACCGGTGAGCCGTCCCTTGCCAAAGATAGATCGATCAATCTTCGGATCCCACAGGCCCTGACCCCCTCCCTCGCAGAATCCATCCCCGATCTCACCCCCTGCTGAAGCCCACCGCCCTGGGCGACGTCGCCACCTACATCCTCGCTGGCACGGGAGGCCTCTTCCTGGGCGCGGAGCTGGGTAAGTCCCCCTTGACCCCCGGGATCCCTTCCGGCGGTGCGCGTGCTGACGGGACCCCCCCCTTCTTTGGTCGTCGCCCGTGCAGGCTTCCTCGGTGGTGTTTCCAGCGGCAGTTCGCAGATCATGGGTGATCCGGAGCGGCGCGATCGCATCGAGCGGGCCTTCCGCAAATTCCGGGCCGACGTGCTGCGCAAGGAGGCCGATGCCCTGGACGGTGGGGGGAGGAGTGTGTTCGACCAGATGTTCTGATCCCCGCGCCCCGAGCGGACCCGGGGGACGATGTACGACTAGCAGAGAACTTGACGATCATGAATGGATATCTTATCTACAGCACATGGGGAGAGCCACACCCACGCGCGTAGGGAGGCGGTGGGTCGGACATGATACCTACATTAGACGGACCAAGGAACAGGATATGCCGGCTATAAACAACAACAGAGAACACAAAAAGCAAAACAGGTTACCAAGCACGCGAACCCCAACACCGGCGCGATGAAATCCCCAGACGGCCCAGCTCGATCCGGGGAAGGACGGTAGATATCGGGACGAGAGGCACGACGCACCCCCGGGCCATTACTAGTCGGCATTGTTGGCGCACGTCCAGCTGGCCGACGCCGAGCTGTCGTGGATCGCCTTGCCCGACACGTAGAGCCCCAGCCCACACTGGATTTGGTTAGCAAGGGACGGGCGGAAACAGAAGGACCGCGAGGGGGCACGTACAATGGCGCAGCAGATGCCGAAGATGATCACGTTGACGATCGTCAGGAAGATCTTGGAGCGCGAGGCGGTGTATTGGCCCTTGTTCATGAGCATCCAGAACATGGCGGGGAGTCCATCTGGCAGGGAAATCTCGTCAGCATCCAGCATCAAGGGGGAACAGCGGGCGGAAGGGCGAGTGGGAACTTACAACTGAACCAACTTCCAAAGAGGGCACTCTGTAAGGACATTGCCTGGTTAGCGAAGGACACACACAGAGAGGGAAAGAGAGAGAAACATACAATCAGACTCAACAGGTCACTGAACACCGGGATCGACTCGGCGATCACCCAGGCGATCACCCACACGCCCAGCGCGATGGCCACCCACGAGCCGATGGACGCCAGGCTGTTGTCGTGCATCCGGGGCGAGCCGCGCCAGACGCGCACGTAGATGTACTTGGAGGCGACGTGGCCGAAGACGACGCCGGCGATGATCACGGTGGGAATGGCCAAGCCGTAGGCGACCTTGCTCATCAGCGGGCCGGCCGAGGACAGGGCTGGCGACTTGACGTCCGCGCCGGCGTAGCGGTAGATGACCATGGCCGTGACGATGTACATGGTCGTGTCGGTGACCTGCAGCATGGCCAGGGACTTGGGGAAATCCCGCGGGTCCTCCATCTCCGACACGAACCCGAAGAAGGCGACGTGGGCAACTGGACGGGGTTAGCAGGATTTTACCAGACAGGAAAAAAAAGATGCAGGCGCGCATACTGAAGGCGAAGACGATGTTCGTCACCGCCAGGAAGGCGCTGTCGAAGCTGACATGGGTGGTGATGTCGACCGCCACGTGGTCGGGGGCTTGCACGGCCACGGAGACCATGGTGACGATGGTAGCGATGGTGATACTGGCACAGGCTGGGGTGGGGAAGGGGGAGGGTTAGCAGGCGGAGGATCGAACGGTGTCAGGTCAGACAGGACAGGGCAGCTTACAGGCCAGGGACATCCAGTAGACCTTCCCGAAGGTGCGCGGAAGGGCGCCGATGAAGCTCGCGATCAGGCCGACGACGCCGAAGACGATGGTGCAGGTGCCGTGGCCGGTGATGGTGTTGAAGAGCACGGTGAAGGTGAGGACGTGGCTGGCCATCAGGAAGATGCAGAAGAGCAGCTGGCCAAAGAACATGATCTCCCGGCCGATGGCGCCGAACAGCAGCTCGCCGGCATCACCCATGCTGTGGACATGGGGGTAGCGGAGTTTGAACTGGCCGATCACGTAGCCCGTGTACCAGGAGATGCCCGACAGACCCAGGATGAGGAAGATGGAGCTATACAGAGATAAGAGGGGTCAGCAAGAAAAAGAGAGGGAGGGCTTCCTTCTTAGGGTTATGGAACATGGAACATACGGGACGATGCCCAGCGTGGCCACCGCGGCGGGCAGCGACAGGATGCCCAGCGAGATGTTCTCGGCGATCATCACTACCAACATCGGTTAGCCAGGGAAAGAGAGGGGTGGTTGGACTCGTCGTCTCCTTACGCATGCCGCACTGCCACCATTTCATCACCCGGTACTTGACCTCGCCGCACTCCTCGTTGCCGAAGGGGTCGTCTGCCGGGGGGGGCGCGGCCTTCTTCTCGGCCATCTCGTCAAAGGACCCGGGCGCGTCGTCGTGGGGGGCCACCGCCTCGACATCTCTGGCGGCAGTCATGCTGACGGGGGTTCTTTGTTTCTTTTTTTTTTCTAAAAGAAGAAGGTCGAAAGACAGCCGAGAGGGAGGGGAGGGCGGAAAGGGAAGGGAAAGGAAAGGAAGGGGAGGGGAGGGCTATAAAGAACTCAAGAAGACCGGACGGACGGCCAGACGGACAGCGGAAAGCTGGGGACTGGAGACGGAGAGATGCAACGTGCCTGGCGGAGGGAAGATTAGGTTTTTTTCTTTTTTTTTTTTTTTTTTTTCTCTGCTTCTACGGATGGAAGGGTTGTGGGGGGGGGGGTTGTGTTTGGATGTGACTATGAGTAAGTACATCTATCCCTCACTGGCCCGGCCGCGGTGGAGTCATTCTTTTACGTTTCCCGCCGACTAACGCGACTAGAGGCTTGGGTCCAAGAAGATCCCCTCTGGTGCAGGCGAATCAGAGGGCCGTCCGAGTGAGTTTATTACATATTTAATTTAGTCCCCGTCGCCCGCCACATCCATATAGTACAGGTGGAAGTGCCAGTGCCCTGTTGGGGATGACACTCTTGACTGGGAGGAAGAACAAGAACTAGGAAGAGCCTGCCGGGTGGGGTAGTATCATCTTGGCCCTTTCCCCCTTGCATGCCACGATGCCTGCTGGCTGGCATGGACATGGACATGGACCTGGACCTGGACCTGGACAGTGGAAACGAACACAACAGTGTCCATGCCCTAACCAGTGCGAGTTGCGACGGGGCGACGTTGGTGGTGGAGAAGAGGGAGGGGAGGGGGGGCAAGACAGGTGGAGAGGGTGAGGTGATAATATCATAATGCAGTTGAGTAAGAGAGGGGGGAGATAAGATGGTTGCTCGACATACAGTCCGTTGCAGGCAGGGAAGACACATCATTTTCATGAGACAAGAAAAAAAAAAAAAAAAAAAAAAAAAAAAAAAAAAAACAGGCCGGTCGGGCAGGCGAGAGAATCCCGGCTGAGTCAGCCCCTTGTTTCTTCCACAGCCCCAGGAAGATGCAGAAGATGCAGAAGATACAGAAGATACCGAAGACTAACACACTGCCTACGAGTTGAGTTTATCCACCCTTGATGAATCTTCTTCAATGCGGAATGCCGGGCGAGACAGCAAAAAATGCGAGTCGGGTGGCTCGAACGCCCCCCCCCCACTTAGGGCTTGGGCGGCCAGGGCAGGAAGTCCGGGGAAAAAACCAGAGCGTCAAACAACCCAACAATCCAACAATCAAACAGTCAAACAGTCAAACAGTCAGCGGTTATCGGCGGTTATCCATCATCATCTCACCGGAGGGCCTGGCCGGGTGCCTGCGCCGGTGACCCGATTTGAGCGAGGGACTATCTCCTTACTTACTACCAACTAGCCCGTCTTCTAGTCCTTCTAGAACGAGTTTATTGCGCCTTGGCTTGCCGGACCCTCATCCCAGCAGCATCCCCCGGCGTCGAGGGTCGACGTGCCATGATCTTCTCATGATCAGGCATGCTAAGAGTTCGGGGAATTGGGGGGTTGGGGAACCATGGGGTAAGAGGAGTAATGGCAATGCATATCTGTTACGTGAAACGTCTTCTGATGATCCTCCTCCTCCTCCTCCAGGCAGTCAACCGGTTACCTCCCCGGCCCGGCTCCGGTCACTGCCGGTGGATCGGCATCTACATGTATCTCTACCATCGATCTCTCTACCTACCTACCTACCTACCTACCTACCTACCAAGTGCTCGTGCTCGGAAAAGTGTCCTTTTCCCGTCCTTCCCCGTTCATCGGTCCCCTCCGGCCTCGTGTCGTGATCCCGATCCGCCTGCCGGGATCCACTCTTCGACCTCCTGCAGCCTGGCTGTCCTCGGTTCGAAGTTGTCTGCGTGTAGATGTCGCTGACCAACCAGGCAGGACCGGCTGTGCCAACTGCTAATGGATTATCCGAGTAGGACCTGTGCAGCTGCGGTCGGTGGGTGCACATCTGACCGGGTCCTTGTCCGCACAGCCACCACTGCGTGGGGAAATTATATACCATATACCTGGGGTCCAACTGGTATCACGCTGGTTTCATTCCAGGGTCATCCCAGAGGCCCGGATGCCGCGGGAAAGTCCATCGTACACACACAAAAAAAAAAAAAAAAAGAAAGAAAAACAAAAAGAAAACCAACGTCGCCACTGCCCCTTGGCTAAGGTGCACCGTCAGTGAATGGGGTGGTGATCTAGTAGGGGAATGGTCGCGGCATCCTGGTGATTATCCCCCTGTCGGGGAGTCGTGACAGGATGCCTTCCATCCCACAGGGATCAATTGACCCGTCAGGTAGATGAAGACTGGATTACATCACATCCTATTGGCATTTCTCGGTAAGTTCAACTCGGTTGCCTCGTATCCTCGCCACTCTGACTACTGTCCATCACTGACCACTGCACCACCATCCCTGGCCAGGGACTTCAGCAACTCCCTCCTCCAACCTTTCACCCTAAGCACCAGCATCCGCCTAAAAGCTCCCCCAGTAATGCAGGTGATAATCCACCCCTCCCGGCCGCCACAGGGGCGCCGGGGTATAGACCGGGATCGGCGAGGCCGCTGTCAGGTTCCGGAGATGTCAGGACGGGCACGTTGATCAAGGGGAAAGGGGAAGGGAACACTCACTGCCATAGCCGGTGCTGGGGGCCGCCCAGGCTGGATAGGTCGGGGCCACCCACCCCGTCGGGGAGGCCGTGATGGTGTACGTGCTGGTATACAGGTGCGGCACCGCGCCGGGGGACAGGGACGAGATGCCATCCTGGGGCCCGTAGGAATCGTCACCCGTCCCGAACACGTTGTTGATCTTGTTGACGACCTCGTCCCCGGCCTCGGTCCACACGGTGAAGTCCGCCACCGTGACGTTGGTGGCGTAGGTGAGGTCGTTGGCGATCAGATACAACGGGGGCCGCTGGGCCCCGTCCGCAACGGAGCCTGTGGAGGATCAGGATCAGTATCACCATCGTCTCCGTCATCCAGGGAGACGGCGTACCGGAGAAGTTCCGGAAGGTCAGGTTACTGAGGGCCACGGACCCTGTGTCGGGCTCGAGGGTGTTCTGCCAGTACTGATCGATGTCAAGCCCGTAGAGGCTCGCCTTGGACCGGAAGTTGAGGAATTGCACGTTGCGCACATAGCCCGACCCCCCGGGATATGTCTTGATGAAGGCAATGTTGTTGCCCTGGATGATGCTGATGTTTTGCGCCACCTGCCTCGGGTCGTCAGTACATTTCCTCCACGAACGGACAGAGGGGGGGGGGACGTGCAATGTTGGAGATCTCTGCAGACACATTCAGGCTGCCGATGGACACGCCCGAGCCGGCCTGGTTGCACACCAGGTTCTCGATCAGGGCATGATGCGACGGGCTCTTCACGGAGACGCATTCGTCCCGGTTGGTGACCTCATTGTCATGGATGTAGTAGTTGGTGCCAATGGCATCGATGCCGTCGTAACTGCCCAGGTTGGCCCCCCGGACGGTGATGTGGTACACCTCGACGTTGACGGCAAAGTCCAGCACCAGGTGGAACTTGGGGCTGTCCACCAGGATCAGGTCGTGGACGGAGGCGTTGGTGGGCGAGATGAGGCGGACCAGCCGGGGACGATCCGTGCTGTGTGGTGTCAGCAGAGTCTTGTTGGACGAGGCAGGAGTGGCCTACTTGTCGAGGTTGCGATACAGGTAGCCCTGGCCCTGGAAGGCCCCCCGTCCGGTGGCCGAGAAGAACTCGAAGTCGACCGCTGACCAGCACTTAGAGGAAATGAAGCTATCGTTAGGGGTTCAGCCCTCACCGTTCACGATCACCAGCACATCTAGCAGAAACTCATGGTCACCCTCGCCGTTCACCGTCGCGTTCAGAAGATCCGCCCCCGCGAACCCCTGGAGGATCAACCCACGATCAATGGTCCAGTTGCCCCCGTACGCGGCCGTGATGAGCCCGTCCAGCTGGAAGGCCCAGTTGGTGCCGTTGCTGAGCACCACCCCCCGTCCCAGCAGGTAGTCGCCCTCCGGCACGACGAGTCGACTGCCCCGGTTGGGTAAGACACACTCGCTGAAGGCCGACTCCAGGGCCGAGGCGATGTCCGTCTGGTTGTCAGCCACCGCACCGTAGTCGGTGATGCTGCATTCAATCGTCTTCTGCGCGAGCGAGTTGGTTGGGCCCACGGGGCCGATCAGTTGGCCTGCTACGAGGCCGGACCAGAGGAGGATCAACATAGATGAGAGCATCGTTGCGAGAGTAATAGCCTCTGTGTCGGCCTCTCAAGCAACAGTCCTGCATCCCTACTTATACTTCTACCGCTGCTGCTGCTGCTGGTGGTGGGAACAGAAAGAAAGAAATCTCTCCTCCGGGCCTCGGGGTGAAGATCACGGTCAATGGAGGAGAACTGACGTGATTGTTTGCTCGATATTAAATCGATATTAAATTGCATTAGCGCCGCCTCCGAGCAGGCTGGACCCATGGTGCCACTTGGGACGTTGGCTCCGTGATGAGAGCCAAACATCAATCTACGGAGATACACCGCAGAACGGAGACTATCGACTGCCTTTGCCATGCGTGACGAGACTCAACTATGAAGGTGCACATCTACAGCCCATCCAGCCCTTTATTCTCTTCCTTCTCAGCCAACTTCCCTGGCTGGGTGGCCGCAATCGCCTCCTTCCGCGTGTGCGAGTTGGGATCCAGATACGGCCGCTCCGCCTGGGGGCCACCCGCAGGCCGTGGCGAAGATGCGGGACTGCTGCACGGTCAGGATCAGGGCTGGATGGATGCAGAGGCTCGAGGGTCGACACTCACAGTAGTCGAAGATGCCCGTGTGGAAGGTGGCGCGGTTGTCCCAGATGGCGACGGCGTCCGGCGACCATTTCCATCGCACCTGGAACTCGTACCCTTCGGCGACGGTGCGGAAGAGGTTGTCGAGCAGACCGTCCCCGAAGCGTTTCTCGAGCCCCACGATCTCCTTGGTAAAGTTTTCGTTGACGTACAGCGTCTTCCAGCCGGTCACCGGGTGGGTGCGCACGACGGGGTGCTGATGGTCCGGTTAGTTAGGGCTGCTGCCTCCGTCATCTTATTTGGGGAAGGAGATAAAAAGTTGGAACACCTACGATGGTTTCAATCGGATCCCTCCGCAGGCACCCGGTGGTACGCCTCGCCTTCTCAGCCTGTTCGAGGCCACTGTGTCTGGCCTGTAACGTCTCGAGGAACGATCGCAGGGTGGGGGAGAGACTCTCATACAGGGCATACCCGCTGGCCCAGATGGTATCCCCCCCGGCCAGCGTCCCGTCCGGTCCCGCGGGGGGGAGGGTGTCCATCTTCAGCATCGTCAGCCCCGGGGGCTGAAGCTCGTAGCTGACGTCGGAGTGCCAGATCTGGTGGGAGCGGCCGTGGACGGCGGTCTCGTCCTTGTGGACAGGGTGCACCCAGGGCAGGTCGGGGATGATGCCGGCCATCTGGTGGATATGCAGGTCGCCATAGTAGGCCGCGAAGGCGATCTGCTCGTGTACGTCCATGGCCTGGTCGCGGAGGAACACCACCCCCCGTTCGGCCACCAGGCGCGCCAGGTCGTCCTTCTGCGCATCCGTGAGCGCCGTCAGCTGCAGCCCGACGAGCTCGGTGCCGATCTCGGGCGTCAGATGGTGCACCTCCTGGGCCGCGGCCAGCAGGCGCGTCTGGCCCGGGGCGGCGTACAGGCCGCGGTCGACGAAGGGCTTCTCCTCGAGGTTGGGGAGGGTGAAGGGGGTGTAGTTGGGGTACTGCAACCCGGCCTCGCGCACGGCGACGAGGGGAGAGACCCCACGAGGCGTGGTATATTCGGGGTGTGGCAGGCCCTGGGGCCGTTGGGGGAGTCGCAGCTCTTGGGGGAGGGGGAGGGATGGCATGGTGGCAGATTGAGAAGGGGTTGGGATGAAGTTAGGGCTTGGATCGGACAGGAGAGAGCAGGAAAACACAGGAGAGGAGAGGAGAGGGCAGGAGAGCACTGGACAGGACAGAAACGGGTTCACTGAGGGATGAGGGGGGTTGTCCCAAGTGTCAAGACGCCTGATGCCATCTGACATGCCGATCAGCACATCTGGACCCGATCCTGTTGGTGGGATTTCCCCGACGTCACGCCATCGACGGCGCGGTTGAGGTTATCCCGGGCAGCATGGAAGAGACCCTCAGGGTCCATCAGGGCCTGTCTGCGGACGTCCGGCTGTGCTCCGACCGCGCAGGGGCAGGGGCCTCTAGATATCAGGCCTCTATCCCATCTATCCCACCCTATCCCCTCCATGCCTACAGCCGTACGAGGCATCCGGAATGGCGACATCACTCTAGTGTCCCCCCTCCCCCTCCCCGACCGGTCCGGAGGGGGAGGGAGGGCGAAGTCTCTCTTCCATTCAGGCTGCGTCTCGCTATCTATCTAGCTAGCTATCAAACAGGAAATCCAGTCGCTTGTTCCCCTGGTCCGTGGTGTGGGCCAGATAGTCGACGCGCTCCGCCACCGTCATCGCCTCCCACCGAGCCTGCTTCCACCGGTTGCGGGCCACGTAGTACGCCTTGGCCAGGACGTACACCACCAGGGTGGCGACGTTGATGGCAATCAGCTGCCCGTCGCCGCGGCGGTAGTAGGGCTCGTCGTCGGACCGGTAGATGTTGGACGAGGCGATGCCGGACAGCTGGATGGTGATGTTATACAGGGCCGCGCTGACGGCCCGCGTGCGCACCGAGTTGCTCAGCCGCGAGCACCAGCCCACGTGGGCCGCATGGGGGGAGGGCCAGCCCAGCAGCACGAAGGTGACGGCGTACAGCCCCCAGTTGGACAGGGTGCCGGCGCAGCGGAACAGGATGATGAGCAGGGGCAGCGACCACAGCTGCGTGAGCACGCCCACCAGGCAGATCTGGCGCCACCGCTCGGACAGCTCGGTGGCCAGCAGCAGGTTGATGGCGGCGAAGAAGGTGACGGGGATGCCCAGCAGGGTGGTCTGGAAGGTGGAGAAGCCGATGGCCTTGAGGGACAGGCTGAGGTAGGACTTGGGGGGCGCGGTGGGGATCTCGAACAGCATGCCGATGACATAGATGGGCCACAGGTCGTAGTCCCTCAGGCTCCGCCACAGCATGCCCAGCGTCAGGGCCTGGCGGTTGTGCATGTCGCCCTTGGACGGGTCGTCGCGCAGCACGCGGTTGACGATGATGCGCTCCTCGCGCGCCGTGAAGAGGCCCCGGGGGCGCCACCACGTCGCCGTCTGGGTGGGCCCCGGCACCAGCAGCGCGAAGCTCAGCACGCCGATGACCAGGCTGATCAGGGCCTCGATCAGGAACAGCCAGCGCCAGCCCGCGCGGCCGGCGACGCCGCGCATGTGCAGCACCCCGTAGGCGATGAACGAGGCGATGACGCCGGACAGGGCGTCGACGAACCAGAACAGGGCCAGGCGCAGCGGCATCTCGGTCTTGGTGTAGAAGTACGACAGGTACAGGATGGCGTCCGGGATGAAGCCGCCCATGAACAGGCCGATGAAGAAGCGGCAGGCGAAGAAGCCCGCGCGGCCCTGCATGAAGAACTGGCCCCCGGACGCCAGGCTCCAGCAGATGATCTGGACGGGGATCCAGCGGTCGGGGCCCAGGCGCTTGCCGATCATCTGCGAGGGGATCTCGCTGATCAGGAAGCCCACGCGGTACATGTTCTGGGCGTTGTTGTAGTCGTCGGTGGTGATGTGCAGGTCGGGCAGCAGGTTGTCGGCCGACGCGTTGCTCAGGTTGCCGCGGTCCAGGTTGAGGCCGAAGAACATGACGAGGATCCAGCAGAAGATGCGCACGTCCGTCTTGCGCCGCACCGCGCGCTCCTCGCGGTGCGTCCAGCGCTCGGCCGGGTCGAATCGCGCCAGGTTCTCGTACTCGGGGTGCGGCCAGTAGAAGCGAGCCAGCTGCGGGTCGTCGAAGACGCTGCGAGGGGTGGCGATGGCATCGAGATCGACCGGCGGCGTTGTTGTTCGGGGAGTTAGGGCTAGCAGCGACGACAGGAGGGAGTGCGCCGTCGGGGCGGCCGGGGGTTCCGCGAGGTCCTCGTGGGGGACGGTGTGGACCTCGATGGTCTTCGCATCATCGGACGAAGGCATCTTGGACATGGCTGGAGGGAGGGAGGGAGGGAGAGAGAGAGAGAGGTTGAGAAGGAGTCGCTATATACCCGATGTGGTGCGTCTCGATGAGGCCATCGCCGCGTGGATGGTGTTTAGTATATATATCTGGCAGAAACAACCTCTCATTGATGGAAAAACCTCGCGCTCGTCAGGAGGGTCTGTCATGAGCTCATCATTATCTTTTTTTTTTTTTTTTTTTTTTTTTCAGACCATCTTCCCAAGTGCCGCCAGAGGGGGGTAGGACAGGGAGGAGATTATCGGATGTCCTTATACACAAACACGACCCGGGGGCGTCGTGTCATATGATGGAGAAGAAGTCTCACTGCCTATGACGGACACGACACATCACTTACATCCCCGCCCAATAATGATGGCAATAGCAATATGCCGACTCTGATGAGACCGCCCCCATCATCCCATCCACCATCACATATCACGAAAACGGAATGTTGCGGGCCTGGGGCCATAGCGTCCAGCCGGCCCTGCGGTGAATCGTGAGGGCCCAGGGAGCGGAGATGGGCAGTGTATATCATATCATCCAGGGCTTAGACCCACGGCAGATTTGAAAAAGGGGGGGGGGATGTCATGAGTACAGTATACACTAGATCGTGATGGATTTCTTTTCCTTTCTTCCGCTTCCGTAGGTGCTGTTGCCACCCCGTAGACCCCCGGCTATTCCTCGTAACAGCAGACTGGGAGTTATCATGTCTCCCCGCGCCCTCCGTCGAAAGGGGATCTGGTCCTTGCTGGGTGGGATACCCCCCGGAGGAGGAGGATAGTAGCAGCAGTAGTAGTAGTAGTAGTAGTAGTAGTAGTAGTAGTAGTAGTCGGCATCCCGCCCGGAGGTCCGACGGAGGTCCGACGACCCGAGCCCTATTCTCTTCTTCTGCAGCCAACGGTGGACTGTCCGCTCGCAGCTGCTCGCTGTTACCCGTCAACTGTCTACCGTCTGGCCTCCGTAGAACCAAGCCGAGATGGTTCCACATTGCCACTGCATATGCTGGGTGCTGGGGCCGGACGGAATCTTCCGCGGCTTTCTAAGCGTTCTTTCTAAGCCCCCCGGGCGCTTCGTAAGGGATTAGCAATGGCCGGGATCCAGGCCTGATTGGCTGCTGATGGCGGATGGACCCGGTGCGATGGAGCCCCATTGATTGCATCTTTTTATATCAAATGTCGTCCCCTTTCCGTCTCTCTCTCTCTCTCTCTCTCTCTCTCCCTCTCTCTCTCTCTCTCCCTCTCTCTCGCGATCAATCAATCTTTCAATCCTCCAATCAATCAAAATGGGTTCCACGCAGCCAACCTTCACCAACCCCGCCACCACCTCCCTCCTCGAGCTGGTCAAGGCCCGCCGCACCCACTATGCCCTCACCGGCGAGAGCCCCATCTCCGACGACGCCATCGAGCATATCGTCCAGTCCGCCGTCCTGCACGTCCCCAGCTCTTACAACACCCAGACCTCCCGCGTCGTCCTGCTGCTCAAGGAGGAGCACCGCAAGGTCTGGGACATCGCCATCGCCGCCATGGAGGGCCTCGTCGCCGCCGGCGCCGTCCCCAAGGAGATGTTCGAGACCAGCACCAAGCCCAAGCTGAACGCCTTCCGCGCCGCCTACGGCACCGTCCTCTTCTTCGTCGACTATGATTCCCTCGCCGCCATCAAGGAGAAGTTCGCCATCTACGCCGACAAATTCAACCCCTTCGCCCTCGAGTCCAACGCCATGTCCCAGTACCTCGGTAGGTTTTCGGTCAGTGAAAGACCAGCAACCCCCGCTAACTCGTTCCAGTCTGGACCGCGCTGCAGTCCGAGGGCCTCGGGGCCAACCTCCAGCACTACAGCCCCCTCATCGACGAGCAGGTCCAGAAGCAGTGGAACCTCCCGGCCTCCTGGAAACTCGACGCTCAGCTGGTGTTCGGTACCCCTTCCGCTGCGCCGGGGGAGAAGGCCTTCGCGCCCCTCGAGGACCGCTTCAAGGTGTTTGGTAAATAGACTGCTCACAAATGGAGTGAAAGAGAGAGAAAAAGTCCATCTAGAGAGGTGCCCTGCCTGCCTGCCCCAGTAGTTGTCCTCCGTCACCAGCCACGGAGGTATCTCGCCCATGTAAACCAGCGACCGTATTTTTCGGCAGACCCCGCTGGGATCCGTTCCGCGATGCCCCGATGCAGTAATATTGCCGCTCCCTGCAGAGGCGATTGATTCGGTGAGTGGTCCTCAGATATGGTATACAACTCCTGCTACGCCACGCGGAGCGAGCGGGGGGCGGCGTTCACGCATACCGGATCATCTCCATCGGCCACTGGATCCACGGATGAAACTCCTCCTGGAGGGACGCCCGCACCCCCTGGATGATATGCGCGTATCCCATCCCCGCATGAGCCAGGACGAGCGAATGTAGACCAGGAACTCCTCCTGGAGGGACGCCCGCGGGCGAAATACACCAGGCATATCAACGCCGCGGACATGTTAGATGCGCTGGCAGTTGTCAGCGTCCAACCGGCACAGCACGGCCGTCACGGATCGCACGCCAACGGTGAAGTGATCGTCCGCCTGTGCGACGTGCTGCGGCCGGGCGACCAGGTCATCCTGCCCGTCCTGAGCCAGATGGAGAGCCGCGAGGGCCAGGATGAGGTGCATGATAGAGGGGAAGGCAATGCCCCAGCGAGGGAGATGGTCACCCCAGACGCGGTGCCTGTCCGGACGCTCCTCGGCGAGGGTCTTGTAGGTGGCGGTCACGTAGTTGATGGTACAGCCTCAGGTCCGCGAACGAGCGGCCGCCTGACGGGCTGTTGCTGTTGCTGTTGCTGTTGCTGTCACTACTGCCATTACTGGCGGCGAAATCACACTGGACACCGATGGAGGCAATGCAAGGCAAAGAGAGATGAGATCAGCTTACTTTGACGCGTCGTTGCTTGCAATTCCGACATCCGGCTCGGGACTTGGTATGGGATTGGCGGGAGCGAATCTGCATGGTATGGAGAGGAGGGGGAGAGAGGAGGAGAGATGAAGAGAGAGGAAGAGAGAGGAAGAAAGAGGAAGAAAGAGAAAGGTTGGTTGCAGCAGAAGATGTGGTGGTCGGATTCGGGGGGGAATTGCCCGATGAGGCAGGAGGCGAGGCAGCAGGCACTCAGGCACTCAGGCATCTCCCCGCGTTCTTGGTTTCCCCGCTTCCCGCTTCCCGCTTCCACTTTCCACTTTCCACATCTTCTTCTTCTCTCCCTCTCTCTCATCTCCTCTCCCACCTCTGTCTCTTCCCTCTCTCTCCATCCAACAGAGCGGCACGCGTATCGGGCCAGTTGACGGCCTGCGTGGTGGTCCTCTGCCCCGCCCACCCCCGGCAGGCCGATGGACTTTGGGCTGCTCTCTGGTCCCCGCCTGTTTGACTGATACTTGTCGCTGTCGACGTCTCGGGCTCTTCGGGTCTTCTCCATCGGATCCTACTCCTACGGTCAAAGAGCATACGTACACCCGCGCAAAGGTGCCCAAACGGCCAAATATTCCCAATGAACGAAAATCCTACAATCTATCTAAACCTAAACACCCCCCCCCCCCAAACAAATCCAGAACAGAGAAATCCCACGCCAAATCCCACATCTACTCCTCAACATTAATGATGTTCCACTGAGACCACACAAAAGGCTTCGCCGCCTTGGCTCGCCCGGGCCTGTCGTACATGTGCTGCAACCACGCCGCGGTACGGGGGTATTGCTTGTGGAGCTTGATATCCTCGCAAAGGGACCGGTAGTTGCAGATGCACCCCGCCGCGAAGATGTCCGCGGCGGTCATGGTGGCGCCGCACAGGTACGAGGACTGGCGAAGGATGTCCTCCATCCACTGGAGGCCATTGAACACCGCCGCTACGGTCGGGCTGGGCTGCCAGAAGGGGTTCCTATCTGTCGAAGCACACCACTCCAGATGTTGGATTAGGATCTGCCCAACAGCAAAGATCCGGTCTTGGATCGCCTTTTTCTCCTCTTCCGACCGGCCCCAGAGGGGCACACAGGAGAGGGAGGACGCGTGGATGAACTCGCAGATACCTTCGAAGAAGATGTACTGATTGTCGGGGTACGATTCTTCGGCTTTGTACCAGTCCAAGGGCTTACGCGGGCCATGGATGCGGGGATCGACGCCACTCACCGTCGGCGAGACGCTCTTGCAGGCCAGCTCCTCGAGCAGGGGCTTGTCCCCGCGGGGCTCCTTGACCTGGATGGCGTAGACCTTTATGCCCCCGCATTCCCAGATGAACCACCGGACCACCGGGGATAGCTTGGTCTCCGGGTCGAGCATATAGATCACGGGCAACCGCCGGGGGTCCTCGTCCGCAAGCGGCTCCACGGGGGGCAAGGAGAGAGGCACATTGCACGGGCAGTAGCCCTCCTTCAAGCACCACGGACACGTCCCACGGCCGTAGACCGTTGGGACATTGGTCACTGCGGAGATGGGGGAGGGGTCGGTGGTAGGGTTGGTCGACATGATGGAGGTGATAAAACGTCGAGTTTGGATGGCAAAAGAGCTGTCCAGAGAGGTTCAAGGCGGCCACGATGCTCCGGTTACAGGAGGCCTGGGTGGCACCAGGGTCTTTATATGTACGCATCTTCCTTCCCACTGCGACACCGTACGAGGAAGACTCCAGCGGACGCTCTCCCTCTCCCTCTCCTTGTCAGAGCGGGCGGGCTTTGTCAGGTCGACTCCGGTTAAAGGGATTTCAGACAAGCGGCCACAATGGCATTGTTCACCCGATCATTGTCTGGGTCTGACACGGGGACTGTCAGACGGACGGTTATAAAGCAGTCCTTCATGATCTACGCCCAGTTGTCTCGGAGATCGACTGCTGCGGCACAAGGAGCATCAACTCTGCTTGTCAAAGGTTAGCCAGTGTGGGGGAATGGACGATGGAAGAAGACAACGGCATTCATGGAGTTACCATCCCAGCGGCTCTCTCCCCCCAATTTCAGCTGCGTGGCATTCATCTGCACAAAGAGACGTGTCTCTGCATAAGCCGGTGGGGGGTCCAAACAGGAGCGGGTCTTTCCTTGGTGATGTCTGGAGTAGCCAGTGCGGAGGATGCAGACGGTCGACGGAAGACAGTAGAAGACGTGGTGACAGTCGAGGTGGAGTGCCTGGCCTGTCAGGCTGTCAGGCTGTCGGTCATCCCTTATTGGTGGGGGAAGAGCTGGCGTTCATTGGCTGTTCCGCACTGACTCAGCACTCACAGGACCGTGTCTCCGACCAATCACATATCCCGAGGGTATACGGAGTATAAGTAGTCATCCTGCATCACTACGAACTATGCGACAGTCAGAATGCACCGGGTGAAACACGCAATTCTATAATAAATACACTCTATCGACTCTATACCACGTCCCCGTCTATATGCCGTCTATATGGATGATCCACAGCAGAACACACACACACACACACCCCACCCGGCTCTGCCACACCATCCTCCCCTTATTTCGCCTTATCCGCCAGGACAAAGTGCAGCACGCCGCTGGCCTTGCCCGCGTCCGACACGTAGATGCAGCGGCGGAAGGTCACCATGAGCGAGTACAGGAAGCTGACCTCCTTCTCCTCGTGGTAGTTCTCGCCCAGCAGCGGCTGGATGGCGCGGGTGGCCTCCTCGGCCTTGTAGAAGGGGATGCGGCTGAACAGGTGGTGCACGACGTGGTAATCGATAATCTCATGGAAGAAGTGCCGGCCGATGAAGCCGATGCTGCGGTCGATGGTGGCCAGCGCACCCTTGGTGTAGGTCCAGGTTTCGGCGGTGTAGTGGGGGACCTCGGGGTGGGTGTGTTGGAGATAGGTGATGGCGACTGGGATGTATAAGCATGTCTCTCTCTCAGACCTATGGGGATAGATCCAACTTACTCAGCCAGTGGTGCACCCACAGATAGGGCACAAAGTACAGCAGCACCACGTTCCACCCGCCGATCTGGGTCGAGGCGTAGTACAGCACGGAGCCCATGATCAACAGCCCCAGGTCGGACAGGGCGACGCTCACCCACTGGGCGCGGCTGAAGATCTCGCCGAAGGGGTTGTAGTGGCTGGACATGCCGGTGACGCTGCGGCCGTCGGGCAGACTCTTGGGCCCGGCGGTGACGTTCAGCCAGAGGTACATCTGCCAGCCGAACAGCTGGTGGCCGATCAGCTGCAGGAAGGAGACGATGGGGGTCTCCTCGGTCAGGTGCTTGAGCTGCTCGATGCGGACGTTCTTCTTCTCGGCCAGCTGGTGGTCGGTCCAGGGCACGAACACGGTGTCCTTCTCCATGTGGCCGGTGTAGCGGTGGTGACGCGCGTGGGTGAACTTCCACGAGAAGTAGGGCACCATCAGGAAGGAGTGGGCCGCCCAGCCGACGAAGTCGTTGAAGGTCGGGTGCTTGGAGAAGGCGCCATGGCCGCACTCGTGGGCGAGGATCCAGAGGCCAGTGCCGACGCAGCCCTGGAGGAAGCCGTAGGCGGCCCAGGCGACGACGCGCAGGGGGAGGGAGGGCAGCAGGTGGATGTGGAAGGCGGCATAGGTGAGGATGGCGCAGTAGCAGATGTCGCGGGCGAGGTAGAGGAGGGAGGTCACGACGGAGGACTCGAAGCAGTGGGCGGGGATGGCGTCGCGGATGGCCTTGAGGGTGGGGAGGTCGTCTTCGAGGGGCTATGAGAGAGGATGGGTTAGCCGGTTAGGGTTGAGGGTTGGATGTTTGGATGTTGATACGCACCACAGCCTGGACGGCAGGCACCTTGCGTAGCTCAGCCATGATGAGAGTTTGAGAGAGAGATTAAAAAAGTCAGTCAGTCGCACTGGAGATGGGAGTAGACTGCAGAGAGGTAATATTTAGTATTTATTTTCTCCAAAGTCCAAACCTTCCCGCAAGGGTCTTCTCTTTTTTTTTTTTTTTTTTCCCTATTTTTTTCTCTCTCTCCTGAACCTCCCCCAGCATCCCGTGTGCATCCCTGACCAATCACATCGGACTAGTTCCTGGAAAATCCTCGACGCCTTCGCCAATGGATCCATGGACGGACCGGCCATTAGCATTAGCATTAAACTCGCCTGAGTGGCAGTCTAAGCCCAAGAAGGGCTGGCAGTCGAGCCCAGGAGGCGTCGAGGCCCATCCACGGATCCGCCCGTCGGCTGTGGGGGGGGGCAACAGATTCCCAACAAAACAGACCCGAACCCATGCGAAAAGCAAGGCAGTTATCTGTCTATCTATCTATCGATCGATCAGTTAGTAGGCAATCGATCAATCAATAAATGGAAGGCGGGGTGTCGAGTGCCAATACGCCATGCAATACGGAGTACTCCAGGGAAGAATATGGATAGCCTCAACCTGCAACCGCCATCCATCCCTCGCACGCCCCCCTGCAGCCGCGGCCCTATTTTTAGGGGCTTTTTTTCTTTTCTGGAAAACCTTAGTGTCAACGCTTTCTGTCCCTCTCAACGTTTTTTTCTTTCCGCCTCTTGCCCCGTCCGGTTGGCTCAGACTGAGTCTCGGTGCCTGCGTCGCGTTCCGACTGACTTCCTGTTCGCCGGGTTAGGGCTTGCGTCCAGTGTGCCTGTCTGTCTGTCTGTCTGGATGAGCCTCGCGATTTCTCCGATCGCGACGGTCATCCGTGTGTCTATTTCTCGTAGAAAATATCCAGACTCCGGCTAAGCAGTGGCCCGGACAGGGAGTCAGCTGTCAGCAGTCAGCAGGAATAGAATTCCAGATCCCCCCGGTACACCCAGTCATTTCCCTTTTTTTTTTTTTTTTTTTTTTTTGCCTCTCCATCGCTGCCGAGAAGAAAAGAAGTTTCTCCCGCCTGTTCGGCGCCGAAATATCCCCACTCGGGACGCCCGTCGATCCTCCTGATGTCGACCCGCGTGGGATGATGCGGTGGAGTCATCTCTACAGTCAGGGGTCGAGCCAGAAGAACATTGCTTGTATTGGTCTGCACCGACGAAATACCTATGTATGCCACCGGGTCAGGGGGTTAGCACCGATCGCGACCGACAAGAACATGATACCCGATGCATGCATGCATGCATGCATGACCTGTCCTTGTACCTAACACACCATGTGCAATGTGCATCCCCGTCACCATCTGCTGCCCTCACCAGACTGCAGTCATCAACGCCACCGCTGCTCCCCCGGCCATCATCATCTTCGCTGCCTCTCCCGTAGCCCGCGGTGCGTTCCCCGTGCTTCGGGACGCCGAGCTCGATCGCGATGCTGTTGCCACACGGCTGGCGATGGTGCTGCTGGTGCTGCTGGTGCTGGGGGCTGCGACGGTGGTCATGATGCTCATCCAGCCCTCATCGGTGGTGGCACTGGACGTCTCATCGACGGTCGCACCGACGGTAGTCGACACGGTCGGACGACCGGTCATGGGGGTATCCGACGGAATGCCGGGGATGACAGTGACAGGAACCAGAATGGGAGCGATGTCGGCCTCATCGTAGGTGCGAGTCATGACGGTTTGACCCTAATACTTCGATGGGCCCCAAGTCGAGAGTAGTTGTAAAGGTTGAGGTGGTGGAGTCGTCCACCGAGCAGACGGCCGTCAGGGACCTACAGATCGCGCACATTGGTCAATATCGGTGTCATCTCTCACCATCTCTCTCCTCCCACACCATCGCTTGCTCGGGGACTCACATCTGGGCGGTCGAGACGCCATACAGCACCGTGGTCTGCGATCCCCCTGCGATGAGGGTGAGTTCCTCGTCGGCGCGGCAGCTGACGCGGTACGTGGTTTCGAGGAAGTCCTACACGATCCACCTTCGTGAGCTCTCGACTTGCTAGCGAACGGGGTCCCTCTCGGGCGCAAGGGTCTGCTCTACTCATACTGCCGACGATGGACGCGACGCGAGTTTCCTCCCCGTCGATCACGTCGAAGAGCATCGGGATCACGGCAGTCTGAGCCGAGACCAGCACAGCCAGGCTGAGGATGAGCAGGATGAGGAGTTTCATGGTGGAAGACAAGGACGAAGTGCAGTTGAAATACTTGTGAGTGGGGGAGACTGGAAGAGATTGGAGTGAAGTGGAGGAGGCGAAGTAGAGAAAGAGAGAGGGAGAGAGAGGAGAAGCGAAGGTGGTTGTCTCTTCAGTGAATGGCAAGACGCCCCTGGTGTCAATCAGGGATGCTTGATTAGGTGTGGGAAACTGGACGTCTATGGGAGATGGCGCTCACGCTCAGATGCTGTCAGGGACGAGAAAAAGACGTAGAAATGAAGAGAGAAAGAACAGCCCCCAGCTGGTGCATCCTCGCACCACAGCCTGTATGACTATCCATGACTTTTGTCCCACTCACACCCCCTCTCCTTCTGGCTGGCCCTCCTTGGCTCCTCCCCCCTCCGCCCGCAGGAGTCGTTGACAGAAGGGACTCTTCTTTCGGATCCAGCCGCCCGCGTACAGAAACACCAGGGGAATCGGGAGGCACGCTACACTGGCGAACCCCAGCACCGACGTGCCCCATCCCACCCCAAGGCTGGCATACATCGGGTCGGCCGCCAGTGGGAAGAGCGCCCCCAGGATGCTGCGCAGGATTAGCGACGCCGACAGCGCGCTCGCGGAGTAGATCCGGTACGCGTCCGTCACGTACGTCAGCAGCGAGATGAAGATGATCTGGTACCCGAACCCGAACAACAGCCCCGACAGCACCGGCACCACCCAGGAGATCTGCGGGCGCGCTGCCCAGGCCAGCCAGAACAGGCTGATGGTCAGGCACGGCCCGCCCACGCAGGCGAGCGGCAGGCGCTGGAACTCGGGGACCTGCGTCCAGCGCCGGCCTTGGGCTTTGGCTCGCTCGTAGATGATGTCGTAGTACAGCGAGAAGAACCCCGAGGACACCGCGCCAATCCCGACTGCACACGTTAGTCGATCGTCACGGGAAGGAAGGGAAGGGGGGGAATAAAGAATAAAGATCCTACTGGGGATGTAGCACAAGGACGTTTCCTTGACGCTGAAACCATAGGTGTCTGCGCATCGCGGGTCAGCAGGGCAATTCCCCCGGGGGATCTGGGCTGGGGATGGATTACCTTCAAAGATGATGGGGTACGCCTGGAAGCAGAAGAAGATCAGGCTGTATGCCAGGGATATGTAGATGGCGCTGAACAGGATGATGGGCTCGAAGAGAAGCATGGTGATGGGCCGCGTCAGATTCTCCATCCGACTGCTCTTGACGGTGACACTGTGGACGTCCCGCTGCGAAACATATATGTCGCTGGCCGACTGCTTGTTCCACTTCATCGCCTGCTTCCGAAGGATCACGCGCCCAAAGGTTTCTGTCCATCCCTAAGGTCAGCGCTCCTCTCGGCCACTTCACCCGGTCGCAACCCATGGCCTACCTGGCAATAAAAGGGCACCGACCCAGCTACAGACCGTCAGGATGAGGTCGATGCGGAAGGTCCATCGCCAGCCATACTGGGCGCTGCACCCGGAGATAATCGGGCCCAGGATCGGGCCGAAGCTGGCCGCCTAGACATGCAGATCGGTTACACGGGCATTCCTTCGCGATGCAAGGGACCACATGCAGGGACTTACCGACATATAAAAGGTCATCACCCGGCCGCGGATGCGCGGCGTCGAGAACATGTCCGCGTAGACGCCGCCGACTACCGTCTGGGGGGCCGCCCCCATGGTGCCGCAGATGAACCGAAAGATCAACATCGCCGGCCAGTCCGGGGCCAAGGCACAGGCCAGCGTCGCCAGCACGAACACCGTGAATGTCCATAGCAGCACGGGTTTGCGGCCGATAGTCTCGCTGAGAGGGCTGAGGACGAGAGGGCCGACCACGTATCCGATCAGAAACATGGCGGTCGGGAGCACCTGCTCAGAGTCTCCGGTGACATGGAATTCGCGCATCATCGCGGGCACGATGTTGCTGGGCAGGGATGAGGATATCCCGGAGTTCAGGACGAGGGACAGGGCACTTAGGACAGTGTATAGTTTCTTGCCCTGGCAGCAGATGGATGGGACTATTAGCTTCAATCCTGTCGACCCTCCGATAGGGAAGCAACATACAAACGACCAATTGTTTGGATTGTGGGGAGAGCCTTGATCAAAGTCGACAAGCACTTGGTCTTGCGTCACCTGGGTGAGCCTGAAACCATTGCCTTCTTGGGCAATCGGATCCGTTGGGTTGGTCGAGGGCCTGGCTTCCTTGCCCCAGCTATAGTCGGGGTCTGGGATGGAATGGATTAGAGACATGAGGGGCATACATATCGCACCATTGGGAACATACCTGGCGGTTCCCCATCGGTGATCCGAGCATTGGAGGTTTGCTTTTCCGCCATGACTGCTGTGCTGTGTGCGCGTGCTATGAGTCCGAATCTGAAGCTCGTTCAACGCCCTGGCCCCTGCTCTCTATCTGGCGGGATTCCGGCCATTGCTGGACCAGGTGGGCTTTATAGCTCCTCTGGACCGGTGAGACCGAGCAGGAGCAGCGAGCACGCCGTGACTCACGGTGTAACCGCGCATCTATCAGGCAGCTCGCGAGCTCCCCGAGCGATCTGGACCGTGAGGATATACTCGTGGCCCAATCGCGGCCACTCCCCGTCCGGGGCCGGTCCGGGGCCGGGGCCGGGGCCAGGGCCCAGCCGGGCGACGGGCCCGTTCAGGAGCCGGACGACAGGGCAGACGGCCTGGAAAACTCTATGGATCAGGTCCAGCCATCCCCCAACCAGGCACGATCATCCCGCACCACTTATGCAGCGGTTCCCAACCCCCGGTTCTGAGCCCTCGAGGGGGGGACGCCGGCACAGCGAGTGCTGCCATGGTTCTGCCCCTCCCCGGGACGGGGCGACAGGTCCTTTGAACTCAAAGCGTCGCCTGCGAGCTATCATCTCACATGCATTGATGGCTACGGCATGGGAGCCCTGTTCGCCGCCACTGCGACGTGTGGACTGGCAGCGACAAGCAGTCCTCGTAGCTTACAGGTCATTTATAATCCCCTCACACCGCCGAGTGCTTGGGAGAGGCAGGCTATTGCGGCATGGAGGGCATCACGGGCAGGAAATCAAAGATGTCGTTCTGCTCCTCCTCGAAAAGCCCGAACGAGTCGGCAATCGGATTGCACAGCGACCAATTGGGCGCCTCCATGGGCCCGGGCAGTCTGGCCGGGAGGGTGGTGATGGCACCTGCTCGGTCGCTGGCCGGCTCAGGCGGCGGCCCTGCGGCAGAGGACAGCTCGCCCAGCAGCCCGTCCGCATCCCGGTCCATGGCCAGCGGTGCGTGGGCCGGCTCGAACTCCTTGGGCCCCTCCGCGCACAGGTCGCCATGCCCCCGTTGGCTGGCGACCAGGGCCCGCCCGTAGTTGACGAAGATGGACACGGTGCGATGGATGTCCGGATAAGGCGGCTGCTTGAGAAAATCGCAGATCACATGGGCCCGTTCGAGGAGCAAGTCCTGGTCGATCAGGTCGGGGCGCCAGCGGGCAATGCGGAGCGCGAAGGTGGCTGGCTCGTGTTAACTGACAGGGACCCCAGTGGGTGTCCGCCCAGGGGCCCAAGGGGGGGCAACTTACTCACAAAGGCGATCGTCAGAGCCGGATAGGTCGGGGCCCACGAGAGCTGGCATCGGTAGGCGCCTTCCCGGATCAAGCACGCCAGGTGGTCCATGATGGCCGTGGCCAGGGACTGCCACAGCTGAAAGATATCCTTGTCCTCGATCTCCGGCCCCGACCCGGCGGCGCTCGACTGGAGCTTCTGGATCCGACCCAGGGACGCACACAGGACAAAGATTCGGGCGTAGTTGATCATCATCTTGAGGCTGCAGCGCTGGAAGGCTCCGGCATGGAATCCATTGTCTTGGAGGGCGCACCCGTGGTTAGTAACACATGATTTCGTTCTGTATCCATCGCAGTGATCTACTCACTGCCGTGTAACTCATCCCACGTATTCCACCAGGTCTGTAGCCTCGTCATGACGGCCGGAAGCTCGACGGCGACGATCTCGCGGACCGTCGTGGCGTTCTCGATGATGATACGAAATTGGCCTGGATTGCCATCAGCACTCAGTCCGGCTCGAGCGAGACGGGGTCCTACTGCGCAGTTGGTGGATCTCAATGATGGAGATGGTGCGCATATCCGACGGCAGCGACAGCGGGTATTCCAGGAACTTGCGCAGCTTCACCGTGTCCACGGCGTCGATGCGGGACTTGCGACCCGTGCCCGAGGCGACGTCCAGCTCGAGGGTGAAGCTGATCAGCCAGGTCCGGGTCTGCCACACCAGCTTCCGGTCGGCCATGGAGGCGGAGAGCGAGCTGCGGGGCACATTCTCCTGGGCGAGCAAGGCGTCCAGCGACTTCTCCAGGCCGGAGTCCAGCGCGGTGCGCAGGATGAGCGCGGTGGAGAACCAGGTCTTCTCCGAGTAGGCGGCCAGCAGGATCATGCCTTGGACGGTTTCCACCTTGGTGGGGCGCTCGAAGAAGCTGTCCTCAGCCAGGCGCTGGGCCTCGTCCTGCAGCACGCGCTGAAGATGGGTGTCGCTGCGCAGGTCCAGGACGGCGCGACTGGCCAGGTAGATGATGACGGAGAAGCAGAATAGCGAACGCGAGCGGATGGAGTCGAAGGTGTCCCGGATGGGGTCGAAGAGGGCCAGGAAGTTCTTGCTTCCACCCATGAAGCTGTGCGCATGCGTCCCGCATCAACCCGTTAGTAACACCACTCTGAACCGATCGGGTTCTTGCCGGAGGATCGCCTACCGGTCATACATCACGCGGGCCCGTTCTTCACTGATAATGCCGCGCACGACGATATCGCTCTTCGGATCGGCTTTGCTGGTTGTATCCATAAAGATCTGCGCCGGCCCGAGTCAGCTGGAGTCCTCCTCTTCGATGTGACCGACTGAAGGGCAGGTGTCGTCCTCACGCTGCTGGAGCCGAGGAGGTTGACGGACATGCTGTGCATGACGGAGCCCGGGGCAATCATCTCATTGGGACTCAGCTGCTGGGGCTCCTGGCCGTGTCTCTCGGCGGCAGTCGGAGGAGAGCCCAGCTCGGCGACGGTGGATTCGGGCAGCGAGTCGAGGGGGACCTCGGGCACTGCAGGTTCTCGGGGCGAGGGGCTGGCGAAGGCATGATGTTCGGGCCAGGGGGTCCTGGAGGTCTGACGGGAGTTGGGGTTGTTGGGGTTGTTGGGGTGAATGGGGTGATTGGGGTTGTGGATGGGGTCGAGGACGCAGTCGCGGCCGGCGTTGCGGCAGCGAGCACACGGCACGGTGGTGCGGGCATCGCAGCGCATCTTCTGCTTGCGGCACGCGCGACAGGCCTTGAAGTAGCGGGGCGAGGCATTGCCGGATCGGAAGCGGAGCTCGGAGAGTCGATCGGTCATGGCGTGGTAATAATAGTAAGATGGACCGGAGGGTGAAGGTTGGTGGAGAGGTGGAGGAGGTGGAGGAGGTGGAGAAGATGAAGAAGAGAAGAGGAGAAGAAAGAGCGGGGAAATGCCGGCCGGCCGCCCGCCAGAGCCAGCCCTACATTAGTTATTGCATAGTAGCGGAGAGGAATAGTACTAAGAACAGTCTAGTTGTGGGCTATCTATATTCTGGTATGCTGCATCGTCAGATTCAGAGAGACGTAAATATTGACGAGACAGCCAGCATGATTCTGCCTGTCCTAAAGTAGTGCCCTCGGACGGACTAATTGCTTACTGGCATGTATATAACTAAACCCTACAACCCCCCTCAGCAGAACCATCCATCTCTTCCTCCCCCTCTCCCTTTCTATATTTAAAAGTCAACCCCCCCCAAAAAAATAAGAAAATGAAAAGATGATCGCCACCTCCACCCCCCTCAGACCTTCACCGTCACCATCCCCGTCCCCCATCGCCATGCCCTCACGCTGACCGCGACCCTCACGCGCAGCACCCACCCGGAGCGCCTCGGCTTCTTCCGGCTCTTCCCCGACAACCCCATCACCGACTTCATCCGCTTCCCTGTCATGCACGCTACCGTCCGCTCCACCCCAACCTTCGACGGTTACGCCTCCATGTACGGCTGGATCCAGCTCGTCCGGGAAGAGCCCGAGCCCGGAGAATGGGACACAGGCCCTTTCGTCATGGATGGGGTCTCCTATCCCTTACACCTGGAGGATCGCATTATCCTGGCGGACCAGGGCATATAGAGTAAACCCGGCAGTCTAGGGTTCGTGGAATGTGGAGCCCAGCCGATAAGAGCTCCCAGACACTCAGACAGGCCATCGGGCATCCCGGGCGGACAGCCAAACCCCCATGCGCGAGGGACAACTCCTTGCCTCGCTCCGTGCAGTCATGCGATATTTTCCTACCCAGAGCCTGTGCCATTTGGCCCGCCCGCCGCACCCTGGCTGCCTTGGCCGCACCCCCGGGACGGACGTATAAGGCGACCGGGGGGCCAGTTCGGTGGACATCCAACGATGGGGCTCATCACGGAAACCCGCCAGGCCATCCGGGACTCCCCCGCGGGGTCTTCAACTGGTATCTGCTACTGAACACCACCATCTTCGCCTTTGCTGGCGTGGGTAGGGGCTTCGACGAGGGTAAGTCATCCCTCCCAACCCCCGGAACGGCACTCAGCAGGCGCAGGGAACATCGGATCGCTGGTGGTGCAGTCGCGGTTTCGGACCAAATTCGGGCTGGACCAGCAATCCCCCGAGCAATATGCCAATACGCAAGGCTGGATCGTGTCCATGTTCACGGCGGGATTGGCGGTCGGCTGTCTCATCGTACGTCGACCCCGGCCTCCCGTCAACGAGACGGTCTAACTCCCCACTCTAGTGTTTGCCCTTCAACGACCGCCTGGGACGACGGTGGACGCTGCGACTCTCCACCCTGGTCTATGCCGCAGGCATCCTGGGACAGGGGCTGTGCAACGGGTCCCTGCCGGGGCTGTATGCATCGCGGATCGTGGCCGGACTCGGGGCCGGCGGCACCACGGTCATCCCGTCGATGTATATTTCCGAGGTAGGTGATCTGGGACCCGTCCAGGGACCGGCTGACCCGCCCGCAGATAGCCCCCAAGACGATCCGCGGGCTCCTCACCATCCAGTACTCGTGCTGCCAGCAACTCGGGGTGGTGTTCGGCTTCTTCATCAACTACGGCGTCACCAAGGCCTACGCCGGAACGGACACGCAGTGGATGCTCCCCACGCTGATCCAGCTGCTCCCCGCCGCGATCTGGGGGCTGGGGACGTTCGCCTGCGTGGAGTCGCCCCGCTGGCTGCTGTACGTCGGGCAGCGCACGGCGGCCGTCACCACGCTGTCGCGGCTGCGGCGCCTGCCGCTGGACCACGCGGATGTGGTGGCGGAGATCGCGATGATGGAGTTCCAGATCCTGCAAGAGCGCGAGGCGGTATCGGGGGTGTCGCAGTGGCGGCTGGTGCAGGAGACGTTCGGACCGGTGGATCACCGGCGGCGGTTCTTCCTGGTGTTCATGGCGCACCTGTTCTCGCAATGGTCGGGGGCCAACGCGATCACGCAGTATCTCCCGACGATCCTGGGGTACCTGGGGATGTCGGGGGAGACGGCGGCGCTGACGACGGGGGTGTACTCGGTGGTCAAGTTCGGCACGTGTCTGGTGTTCTCGCTGGTGGTGGTGGACTTTGTCGGGCGGCGGCGGTCGCTGATGACGGGGATAACGCTGCAGTGCACAACGCTGGTGTACCTGGCGGCCTACCTGGGGGTGTCGCGGGGCGGGGGGAGTCGTCGGGGTCGCGGGCGGCGACGGGGGCGCTGGCGGCCATCTTCCTGCACGGGGTGGGGTGGATCATCGGGTGGTTCTCGATGCCGCAGCTGATCGGGTCGGAGGTATATCCCATCCGCATCCGGGCGCTGGCGGTGTCGCTGGGGCTGACGGGGCACTGGCTGTTCGCGTTTGGGTGCTCGCGGGCGACGCCGGACCTGCTGGGGGCGACGCAGGAATGGGGGGCGTTTGCCTTCTTCGCGGGGGTGTGCCTGGTGTCGTTGGGGTACGTGTTCGTGGCGATGCCGGTGAGTTGTCTAGTCTCTCTTGTTCTTCTTCTTCTTCTTCTTCTTCTTCCAAATGTAACTGGTATAATGCAGGACACGACGGGCCGGTCGCTGGAGGCGCTGGACGGGCTCTTCCAACGGCCGTGGTATCGGGTGTACGAGGTGGCGTACGCGAAGGACGACGAGACGGCGATGGAGGTGCAGGTGATCCACGAGCAGGGGAAGATGAATTAATTGATTGATTGACTATTGGTGGAAGTTGGACGGGGTCGAGCTCAGGCCTCGAACCGGAGAGTCGAGTCGAATCGAAAAGGGTGGATTCGGGAACGGAAGGGAGTGAGTGGGGAAGAAGAGAGAGAGAGAAGGAAAGAAAGAAGACAGTCACGGGAGACGAAAGAATTGGGTGCCTTCACTCCTCAGGCCTTCAGGCCTTCAGGTCTTATAGTTACAGATATCTCTCTCGATATTATCCTTCCTTCCTTCTAGAATCCAGATAGAGAAGAAGAAAAAAAAATAAAAAATAATAATAAGAAGAATTGGTCCGGCTCTGGCAGCCGAAACCCGGGCGGACCCTGATTGATGTCATTTCCCAATTACTTTCTCTCCATCCGCGGCACTGCTTAATCTCCTCCTCCTCCCTTACTCTCTCTCTCTCTCCCTCTCTTTCTCTCTCTCTCTTCCCCATTTCCTTCCCTCTCTCCCTCTCCCTTTCTCTCTCTCTATCCGTCTTTCTTCTCTCCCTCCTGTGAACTCCCACATGCCCCCATCCCGGCCCACCACTCCGAGCCATGCCGGAGGGAATGCGCGACGAGCGAGGCGGCCGCCCCCCGGCAACGACCGTCCCCGCCATCATCACCAGCAATGTGGACGATCACCACCACCACCACCACCGCGAAGACTCCAACTCCAACAACAGTCCCTATAGCCCTTCCCCCCAGTCCCTTCACCATCGCGGCGATTACAGTCCCACTTCCCCCATTCCCGGCCTCCTCCGCTCCTCCCAGAATCTCCCCCCGGCCGGTACGTGCCATCTCATCCTTTCCCATCCCCCCGGGCAACCGCTTTACGAACACGTCGCTGACTCCAACCCTGCGACCCTCCTGCACAACAGGCTCCGTGTCGGATCTGGCATCAGCGTCGGTCTCCAGTGGGAATCCTCCGCCGCCCACCAAGAGGGACTCGCGCGACTCGCGCACCTCGCGCACCTCCCGTCCCCTCCCGATCCAGAGCAACGGCTCCGTCAAGAACCTCGCCTCCTCCCCGACCTTCTTCCACCACGCCAGCGCCGACTCCAGTGCGATCGATCCCCTCTCCCAAGTAAGACCCAGTCTCAGACCCCGACCTCTGCGTGGTCCCGTGGCTTCCCGGAGCACCGACCGCTGATTGACCTGCCCTCTCGCGACAGCACATCATCAAGCGCACCAACACCCAGAAGTCCATCCCCCTCAAGCTGCTGGGCCGTGCCTCCACCGAGGCCGAGTTAGGCGCCGGCAGTGACCCGCGCGGTTCCGTCGACCATGGCCCCGGTCGCGGGGACCCCGTGCTGCTGCACCACCCCAACAACCCACACCACCCCCACCAGAAACCCCCGAAAGAGAAGAAGTGAGTGTGCTTGTCTTTCTTCTGCTCCTGCAGGTGATGCGACAACCCCGCCTGGTAGCCGGGTCACCGGGGCCGTCGCGTTGCTTTTTCCTCGGGCCCGTTCCCAGACACTCCGCGCTGACCCCCGCTGGCCGGTTCCCCGCAGGAAAGGCGTCTCCTTCTTAAGCCGCATCATCCCCGGCAAGAAGAAGGACCACTTCCTCGACGACGAGGACGACGACGATGTCTCCGACCCCGAAACCACCCGCATGGACCCCGACGCCGCCCCCCAGCCCATCGGCTTCTTCCCCCGCCTGCCGCCCCCGCCCAAGTACATCCGCGTGCGCGCCCACTACAAGAAGGAGAAGACCTTCACCCGCGTCTTCCTGGCCCAGGAGCTGGACGGTGCCGACGAGTCCGCCGGCGGGACCGAGCGGGAGGCCGCCATGTCCACGGCCGGTCCGCAGAATGAGAAGAACACGGGCAAGGCCATCTGGGCGCTGGTCTTCTCCAACGACGGCAAGTACCTCGCCGCCGCGGGCCAGGACCGCAAGGTGCGCGTCTGGCAGGTCGTGGCGGCACCCGAGCATCGCGACTCGGACGACCCCGAGGGCGACGGCGACGATGCGCCGCCCCGTCTGAACGCGCAGGTGTTCAAGAGCCAGCCGGTCCAGGTGTACGAGGGCCACACGGGCAGCATCCTGGACCTCAGCTGGAGCAAGGTACCATGTGATTGACTACGGAGGATCCCCAGGGCGGCATCACTAATGCGGACCACAGAACAACTTCCTGCTGTCGTCGTCGATGGACAAGACCGTGCGCCTGTGGCATGTCAGCCGCCCGGAATGCCTGTGCTGCTTCAAGCACAGCGACTTCGTCACCTCCATCCAGTTCCACCCGCGCGACGACCGCTTCTTCCTGGCCGGCTCCCTGGACACCAAGCTCCGCCTGTGGAGCATCCCCGACAAGAGCGTGGCGTTCGTGGCCACCGTCCCCGACCTGATCACCGCCGTGGCCTTCACCCCGGATGGCCGCCACTCGGTCGCGGGCACGCTGAACGGGCTGTGCAACATCTACGAGACCGACGGGCTGAAGGCCGTCGGGCAGATCCACGTCCGCTCGGCGCGCGGGCGCAACGCCAAGGGCAGCAAGATCACCGGGATCGACACCATGTCGGTGCCGCCGGGCGACCCGTCGGGCGAGGTCAAGCTGCTGATCACCAGCAACGATTCCCGCATCCGCCTGTACAACTTCCGCGACCGCACCCTCGAGGCCAAGTTCCGGGGCAACGAGAACACCTGCAGCCAGATCCGCGCCTCGTTCTGCACCGACGGGAAGCACATCATCTGCGGCAGCGAGGACCGGCGCACCTACGTGTGGCCGACGGGCCCCCCGGAGAAGGACGCCGACAAGCGCGCGGTGGAGATCTTCGACACGCAGTCGGCCATGGTGACGGCGGCCATCATGGCGCCGGCGCGGGCGAAACAGGTGCTGGCGTTCTCGGAGGATCCGATCTACGACATCTGCAACCCGCCGCCGGTGACGCTGGTGAGCCAGGCCGACCGCGAGACCGGGCGCGCCCACCGCAGCTCCGGGGCCAGCAAGCTGGCGCAGGAGTCCCCGACGTACCTGTCGCGGTCGACGCACCCGGACGGCAACATCATCATCGTGGCGGACTACGCGGGCAAGATCAAGGTCCTGCGGCAGGACTGCGCGTACCAGAAGCGGCGCTACGATAGCTGGGACACGCATTCGACCATCTCGCGCCGCATCCTGCGCCGCACCAACTCGGCGCGGCACAGCATCGCCTCGTCGATCGGCAAGGACTCGCTGAGCAAGACCCCGTCCGAGCGGATCATCTCCTGGCGCAACTCGGTCATCCGGCACGGCAGCCGGTCGGGGATGCGCACCCCGCGCACGCGCAGCCCATCGCCGCACAAGTCGATCCGCGACGGGCCCGGATACGCCAGCCCGGGACGTCTCGCATCCGCCCTGCGACCGGACGCGCCGTCCGTCGTCACCACCTCGTCCCCGACGTCCGTGTACAAGACGTCGATGGACAGCCGGCGGTCGAGCGGCCAGGCCACGCGGCGAAACGGGCAGGGGGCGGGCGACGAGGCGGACCAGGGGTCGGCCGCGACGCGGTTCGCGAAAGGCGGCGACAAGGACAACCCGCTGTGGCTGCAGGGCGACCAGAGCTATGCGTTCTACAACAAGATCGCGCAGGACGCGCGGGCGGTGCAGAGTCGCCAGCAGACGCGCGGGAATGGGCTACTTAGCCCGCACCGGTTGTCGGTCCCCGGCGAACGGCAGCTGAGTTTGGGGAGCGCGCTGAGCAGCGACTGCACCTCGTCCACCGGGGACGCGGATGGGGACGACAGTGAGGTGCTCAAGTGCGAGCACTGCCGGGGACGAACTTCCGGGCGACCAAGGGACGGAATGGACGGCAGCGACTGGTGTGTGTGCGCTGCGGGCAACCGATCAATTAGGAGTGTATATGGGGCCATGGCCATTGGATATTGGGTTGGGGGGGGGGATGTAATTATGGATGGATGTACAATAGCGGACGGAGACACGGTGGGATGAGGGACGACTGACGAGATACATAATGATGCAGAAGAGTATTGTGAATGTAGCAGCAGCAGCAGCAGTAGTAGTAGTAGTAGTAGTAGTAGTAGTAGTAGTAGTAGTAGTAGTAGTAGTAGTAGTGGAGGCTCACCGCCCTTGGGCAGCGCAGCTCACCTCCGACCGGCCGCAACAAATCCCGCGCAGTTCATCTGCTCTCCTCCTCCTCTTCCTCCTTCTCCCTCCTAACCAACTTCACCCTCCCTCACCCCGCCACCATGCCGTATCTCCCCACCGCCCAAGCCTATCTCGAACAATCCGCCCTCCTCCTCCAAGCCTACCCGGACGCGGTACGTTCTCCAATCCAGCTTGTCACCCACCCACTCACCCACCACCTATACCTTCATCCCCCTCCCTCGCCCCTCCATCTTACCTCTGAACTCTCATTCTTAACCCCCCCCCCCCCCCCTCCAATAACTAACCCAAACACCCCCAGAGAATCACAACAAAATACACCTTCCCACGCTCATCACCCACCACCACAACCAAAGATGATCCCACCCCCACCAACACCACAACAACACCGTCCAAACCCCCCGTCGCCACTCTTGTCCTGAAAACCTTCCACCCGACCACCGGCATCTGCCTGAAATACAAAACCAACAAGGGCGCCGAAGTGGGCCGCCTGATCACCTCGCTGGGCAAGTTAGCGGCCGGCTCGGATGTCGAGGGCTTGGGGCTGGGGAATGCTGCTGCTGCTGCTACTGCAGTGACGGGAGGAGGGGACGTGGAGATGGGGGAGGCGCCTGCTATCGGAAGTTCTACTACGACTGGGGAGAATGAGACGGGGGCTGGAGCTGGAGCTGGAGCTGGGAAAGGTGGGAAGGGAAAGAAGAAGGGGGGAAGGGGAAGAGGTAATCAATCTTCTTCGTTTGATTCTTCTTCTTTTTTTTTTTATCGGCATATGCAATTTCAGATCGGAGATTGATCTTCTGTCTTAAATCTTCGAATGGGGGGGGATTGGGATTGGGAAGTGATATGAGGGACGAGAAGGAGGGAGATACCCGGTTCGGTTTGCTGAGTGGATTGACTTGGATCCTGTTATCACACGGGGGGTTACTCCAGATGGGGGCGAAACTGATCGAACAGATCATGTTGAAGAACTGTGTCCTCGCGTGAGGGTCAGGTCAGGTCAGGTCAGGCATTTACCCTTCACAGCGCGGGGTGGCCTACTTCAGCCTAGACTCTACACCGACTCCAATCACAGCATCATATCCAACAAATGTACATTCCTATCTTAAATACAGGGACAGGGGACAGACAACATGAACATTCAAAAGAAACAGAATCCCACCATCCAACGCCGAGCCCATGCCTATACTCAATTAACTCGTAACAACCAGAAGCAAACATATCATGGCTGGTGCCAACAACCGGGTATCGTGGCATCGCGCTCTAAAAGTCCTCGTCGAAGTTGAGGCCGCCCGCCGAGGCCGTCGTCGTCTCCTCCTCCTTCTTCTTCGTGCTGGCCATGACGCCCGCCTTCTGGTAGTCGCCCACCCGCTTCTCGAAGAAGTTGGTCTTGCCCGCCAGCGAGATCGACTCCATGAAGTCGAACGGGTTGGTCGAGTTGTAGTACTTGCTGTTGCCCAGCGCCACCAGGAGGCGGTCCGCCACGAACTCGATGTACTGGCACATCAGCTTGGAGTTCATGCCCAGCAGGGCCACCGGCAGGGACTCCGTCAGGAACTCCTTCTCGATCGACACGGCCTCGACGATGATGTCCTCGACCACCTTCTTGCTGGGGCGGTTGTTCAGGTGCGAGAAGAGCAGGCAGGCGAAGTCGGTGTGGAGACCCTCGTCACGGGAGATCAGCTCGTTGGAGAAGGTCAGGCCGGGCATCAGGCCACGCTTCTTGAGCCAGAAGATCGACGCGAACGATCCCGAGAAGAAGATACCCTCGACGGCAGCGAAGGCGATCAGGCGCTGGGCGAAGGTCGACTCCTTGTCCTGGATCCACTTGATGGCCCAGTCGGCCTTCTTCCGGATGCAGGGAACTGCGGCAGGTCAGCAATCATTGGCCCAACGTGATCCCGGCTGGTGTGCACGTACTGTTGTCAATGGCGTCGAAGAGGTAGGTGCGCTGCTTGGGCTCCTTGATGTAGGTGTCGATAAGCAGGGAGTAGGTCTCGGAGTGGATGTTCTCCATCATGATCTGGAAGCCGTAGAAGCAACGGGCCTCGGGGATCTGCACCTCGCCGCTGAAGCGCTCGACCAGGTTCTCGTTGACAATGCCATCGGAGGCGGCGAAGAAGGCCAGGACGTGGGAGATGAAGTAGCGCTCGTCATCGTTGAGGCGGGAGTTCCAGTCGTGCAGGTCCTTGGAGAGATCAATCTCCTCGGCGGTCCAGAACGAGGCCTCGGCCTTCTTGTACATTTGCCAGATCTGTGGGGCGCGAGCGTCGAGCGTTAGCGCGAAATTGTCCGTCGCGGGCGGGACACCCGAAAAAAGGCGCCACTTTACGCGTGACGCGTGGGCGACGTGACACTCACCTCGTGATACTTGATGGGGAACAGGACGAAACGGTGAGGGTTCTCCTGGAGCAGAGGCTCGTTGGCCTCCATCTCCTTGATGCCGGGGGCAACCTTGATGACCTCGGTGGGCTTCTCAGCCACGGGCTTCTGGGCGGGCACGTCGACGGTGGAGGGCGCGTTCTCCTTGCCGACAGCGTCGAAGTTGAGCTTCTTGACGGGGGAGTCGGACATCTTGAGGTTCTCGAGGGAGGAGGCAGCCTGTTAAGAGAGGGGGGGGGGAGGGTTAGCTGGGTGTTGTGTGGCATGCCAGGGACGCGTCGAGCGCGAGAGGCGAGACGTGACATCACCTACCTGCTTGGAGGGGGTGAGCTGGGCGGACATTGTGTAGCGTGTAGAGTATGTGAAGGACGGCAGTGAAGATGAATGGGAAGATAGAGAGAAAGACACCGACACCGAAACAGAGCCTGAGCTTGAGCTTGGGTTTGGGTTTGGGTGGATGGGAGGAAGGAAAAGAGCTGGGAGAGGGCGGGCGCGGCGACAGAAATACTTTGCCAGCGCCCGCCTTGGCCGGCTTAGCGCGACGGGCTAAGTCACGTCGCACGTGATTTGGCGCGCCGCGGGTGCTGGTGGCGGGCCGGAAGAACCGTTGGTCCGCGGCGGGTTGTTGATGGGCGGCGCGTCGTGAACCTCCTTGCGGATGCCTTTCAGACCCCCCAGACCAGTCAGACGGTCAGACGGTCAGACCACTGGCCTCTCCATCCACCCGGTGCTCTGGATCTCCACTGATGCGGCAGGTTTTCGCTCTCCACATTCCCAGAATGGGTGGTAATGTATCAACTATCTATCGAGTGGTGCGCGTTCGAGGCCGACGCGCTATCTTATCTGATCGAAATCCCATCAGGTTTAGTACCGAGTGATTGGACCCCTCCGTCTAGAGTACACAGTACACCAGACATATCTACTTCTCTCTCTCTCTCTCTCTCTCTCTCCCCCCCCTTCGCTCCCGGTTACACCGTTCCAACCATCGTGTCACCCGCTCCCCTCCGGATGTGACCTACCTAGGTGTACTGACTGTACCTTACATGTTCCCTGCATCCAGCAACAGCCATCTCAGCTCATCCGCGACTCCACTGCAGCTAAATCCGAACGGAGCAATTGTTGGCCGTCGCGTCCCCCGACTGGGCTGGTCGGCCGGGCCAGAGCGTCCGGGCTGGACGCGTCGCGCGGCGTCCGTCCTCCACATTGGCAGCAGCCCCTCGCCCGGGCCTCCACCACGGCTTTACGGATGTTTGGTGTCCACCCCCCAATTCTAGATCAGATCCTGACGCCTGCCTAGCGCCTTCTGCCTAACTGCTTCGGTGGGCCTTCAGGCTGATTGATCGGTGTGTTCCCGGTGCCTTGTGCCTGATGACGTTGATCCACGACGCGTCGGAGGCAGGGCCTCAGGCGCGTCAGTGTCTGCGTCGAGGGATATACCCTATTGACCCCCATAATGGTCCCAGGTTTTCATACATTCGAGATCCGCCTCGTAGAATTCCCTTCCCTCCTTGCGTGGAATATTCCGTCGCAGTTCCGATTGACGGGCTGATCCTGTTGGAACTTGGAACTTGGAACTTGGACTGGATCTGTGGGACTGTGATGGCTCTCAATTATTGCCCGACGCGTCGACCGCCGAGGCTTTTCTCCGTCGATCCGACGGGACTGCGACTGAACCCTCTCCCCAAGGCGTCATTCTGGGTCTTGCGGATGCCGCACTAGAGGAGTGGATGGGGTCGCTAGCGAGTTTAGGAGACTGGGAGGTCTCATCAAGTTATTAAAAGCCCGGCTCGGTCCACCTCGCGTTTTGGGTTACCCTTGTCGCTAATCGCCATACCGCACTACACAGGATGCTGTGCCGGGAGACCACCTCCGTCGTGTGTGTCGTCATTTACCGGGAGCGGGAAGCGCGCAGGGCTCACAGTCACACATGCAGTTGATCCGATGGCTACGTGAAACAGTCTTCCGGATTCATGTTTACCAAATAGGCCAATTCATCTATTGAAAGTCTAGGGAATACGACGTGGCGAACCAAGATTGAACGCCCTATATACATACCACACCCGAGCTGGCGTGGCGTGCCCCGAAATGAAGACCCCGAAACGTTTCTATATGTGCCGCATGATTGCAAGGGTATGCCGAGTCGCTATTATAATGTCAAATACCTACCTACAGTCGATCCTTCATCGAGTCGGAGAGGAACCGGTCCTCCACCCGCCGCATGAGTTTGTTGGTCTGCTCCGCCAAGCTGAGGGTCAAGATCTACCGGGAGGTTAGCGGACTGCATCACTGCGCGGGTCAAACCCATCGGATCAGATTCACATACCGTGTGAGGCAGGATCCGGGCAAGGTGGGCAAAGTAGCCCTTGTAGATCGCCAACAGACCCTCCGTCTTGATCGTCTTGTACAGGCAGTCGAACACCCCCTTGTACAGGTTGCCCGTCTGGTTGTACATCCTCGACATGATGGTGTCTGCATGGCGGGTTAGTTGGTTCTGCGTAACAGGGGGGGATCGCGGGACATACCAGGCGGGTGCATCACGCAGCAGACCACGAAGCCAGAGGCCGTGCTGCTGGCCAGGTGCAGGCCCGGGCCTTCCTCCATGCCGAGGTGCTTGCTCAACCGACGCTTCGCAAAGAAGTAGGTTGGCAGCTGAACCGAACTTCCGAATCCGGTTCGTACCATGGCCGCGCCGACTCCACGGTATAACCCGTTGACGCCCTCCGACGTGTAGATCTTGCGCAGGCCATCGAATGAGTTCTTGTAGTTGTGCTGCGTGCCGACCGGGAGGAACGGCGAGAAGGACTGGAGGCGAGTCTTGACGAGGAAGAACGGCGAGCCAGCGGCGGCCCCGATGATACCCGATGCGGCACCGGCGAAAACGTTGATTCCCAGGGACTGGACTTGCGGGTCTTGGTAGACTGCGGTTGTGAAGCCCTTGCGCAGAGGCTCGTAGAAGCCTAGACGACAGCCGTTGAGGAGAACCTGGTAGATGTACTAGTATCCGTTAGCCCCCGCGCAGTTCCCCGGGTCCAGAAGCACACGTACGGCCGACCCAATTCCCCGAAAGAGACCCCGGGGGCCCTCATTCTGCAGGATCACCTTCACACCGTAGGAGACACCGCGGTACTTCTTGGTCGAATCGGCCTTGGCCTGCAGTTCGCCTTGCAGCTGTAGACTATCCGACGCGGTCAGCCTGACATTGCGACACCAGCATCCCCGCGAGCTGGCAGGAGAAGGAAGGACGGGCAAGGTACCGAATCTTCACCGTCTCGAAGCTGTGCGTGACGGTGACAGCGCCACAGGCGGCAACACCTCCGGCAAGGAATGCTCTACAAGAAGCGAATCGCCTCGTCAGCGCGACCGTTATACCGAAGCTTCATGGGATGGAGCGACGCACCCTGTTGTTGTCGACATGATAGGTTGTGGATGTGGTCTCCGTTAGCGGAGACGAGGCGGTCGAGTCTGTGCGCGGCGGAAGGGGAGGAAGGGGGAGAGAGGGAGAGGCGATTCAAACACACTCTGGCTCTGTGGACAGAAGCCCGGAGGATGTTGGGAGAGGGGAAAGGAGGGGGATTGACAGAAAGAAGGAAAGAAAGAAAGAAAGAAAGAAAGCAGTCCTCGAGAGAGAGATGTTGGGTGTTCATGCGTGAGATCTCTCCAACTCCGCTCGGCCTGATTTCCGCAGCCGGTGATTGGCGGGCGCGGTCGTGCCTCCTCCCCGGCGCCTCCGGTCATCGGCCAATCGGCTCCGCATAGGCCCGGCGCCGACGGTAAGCGTCGGCGCGGATCAACCTGCGGCCCGGCGAAGTCGGTCAGGCGCGTCAAAATAATCCTCCTGTTATGATGATGTTGATAATGGTGATGATTACTTTGTACGCTTATATCTCGCGGAGGAACGAGGTCCTGAGAACGAGAACCAGAACTGAGGAAGCCGCTGGTCGCCAACGTCCCTCATGGCGGAAAGTCAACCCCAGCCGGCGGCGCAGCCGCAGCAGCCCATGCTCCAGTGCCAGAAGGTAGCGGATATCGCTCGCAGCTACCGTCCTACCAAGGTGAGTTTCCAGACTTCCCCACGGACTGCTCCATGCATCTGACGGTGTGCTGCTTTCTTCGATCGCCAGGCATTCCGGCCCCCGAAGGACGCTTCCAATTACGTGACCTCGTTGGACTTCGATGACCAGGGCGACTTCTTGGTGGCGTCCGGCGATGACGATACTATCCTGGTCTTTGACATCAAGGAGGGCAAGTCGACCAAGTCGGTTCCCAGCAAGAAATACGGCGCCCATCTGGCCAGGTTCACGCATCACACGCGCCAGGTCCTCCACGCGAGCACCAAGGTCGACGGTATGTCTCCTGCTGCGGCTCCCCGGTCTCGGAGGTGCTGGTGCTCACTCATCCAGATTCACTGCGTTTGCTGGACCTCCACAACGAAGGCTATATCCGCTACTTCTCGGGCCACGACGACAAAGTGACCTCCCTGTCGGTCTCTCCTGGCGGCGACTCGTTTGTCTCGTGCTCCAAGGACAATACGGTCGCAATCTGGGATCTTGGCTCTAGAAATGCGCAGGGGAGGCTGAAGCTCGCGACGCCCTACCTTGCGGCATTCGACCCCTCCGCCTCCGTCATCGCCATTGCGTCGCAGTCGACCTCCTCCGTCATGCTCTATGACTTCCGAAACTACGACAAGTCCCCTTTCTCCACATTCGACCTCGCACCTCACGAGGAGCGGTTCACTCCCTCGACGCGCGGCCGGGCGTGGACTCGCCTCGAGTTCTCCAACGATGGAAAGCATCTGCTGGTCGGAACCGACTATCACGGACATTTCATACTGGATGCGTTTGAGGGTACCGTCCGGGCTTTCTTGGTGGGCAAGGCTGGGTCTCCCGGTCGGGCTGCCCCGGTCTCGACCACAGGGAAGCCTCTGGGTCAGGGCGATGCCTGCTTCTCACCTGACGGACGCTACGTGTTCGGGGGCTCGGGCGACCATTCGGACCTTCTTGTCTGGGATATGCAGCAAGCCCCGGATCCCAACGGTCTCCTCCAGCCCATGGTCAAGCTGCCGCACCGGGGCCGCACCGCCATCCTCGAGTACAATCCCCGTTACAATATGATCGCTTCTGCCGACAAGGAGATTGTGTTCTGGCTCCCGGAAGATACCTCTCGTACTTCGGAGAAGTAGGCGCCGGCAACTTCTGGCACCAGGCGGCTGAGATACAAGCTCTTCTCGGCGGTTCCTGTTGCCCTTGGGAAGTTCGGAGTCCGGGAGAGTTTGACTCGAAGGGCTACTGACACGCCAATCCCCTTTGTCGTCACGTTCGATCTATCCTTATGGTCACCGAGGTTAATGGTCTAGCTTTTGCGGCCCTTTTCTTTGCCTATCAAACTCCTGGCAGTATCGCACACCCAAATCAGAGGTCCCTCTAAGTCTTCGTCCCCGTCCCTGTGCTTCTCCACCATGGCCTCGATTTCCTTCACGACCGTTCGATTGCTTGATATCGTCGCCACCTCCGCAGCCCACCCGTACAGAAACACGCTATAGTTGATGTCTGACAATATGTCCTCCACCTTGCGACAGAGCGGGGGAAGCTTTCCATTGTCTCTCGCCGACGCAATGACCGAATGCGCTTCCACGGCCTTGACGGGGAGTTTCCACTGGCTCGGCATTTCATAATCCGACAGTTCCTGGTACTTGCGAAGGAGGTCTTCCGTACTGCATTCAGCGAACGGCGCGTCGCCCATCAGGATCTTCATGCGCAGGTTTTCGGTCTCGGTGCCGATAATGGTCACAATCTCCTTCATCCGTCGCGCAGCCTCCTCGGTACACACCAGCTCATGGCCCACCATGGCCGGCCAGAGCTCCGTGGGCAGCAAGGGCCGGTCGTGCTCCACCTCGATCTGTCGATTGATGGCGCGGTGATGAATCGGAGACTGGGTGATATCCTTGCGATGGGACAGGTCGGAAACCACGGCCAGCAGCAGTGTGCAATCCACATTGAGCGTGGGAGTGAACCGCTTGAAGGGCTGCGGCAGCAGATGGGACAGGTCTCTCTGTGCATCCGTCCCCCCATACGCGTTCTCGCCGCAAACCACTGTAATCCCATAGCCTCTGATAATCTTCAAAAGACCATCGATCTCCACGCTCGTTCCCTCCTCGATCTTCGGGATCATAAACCGCAGTCGGGGATGCCTGTACCTGACTCTCGTAGCATCCGCAGCCTTCCTGAGATCACCGGCCAACTTGATCAGCTCAATCTGATCATCGTCGTCGTCATCCTCATCCTCATCGCCGTCAAAATTCCGTAGCACCGTCCTAGCCTCCCCTTCCCCATCGGAGTCCGAATCATCCCCCTCCCACCCCTTCTTCGCCATCTCGAACAACAGCCTAGTCTGCGAGACCGTCGACACCTTCACCCACTCCTCCCCATCGGCAGCAACGATATCCACAAAGACACTCTTCCGTTTATCCCTCGCGGACCTCTTCCCCTCGGCCCCGTCCTCCCCCCCACCTCCCCCCCAATAAAACCTCTTCCCGAACATGACCAGCCCCCGGCACGAATTCCTCGCAATGGCCCAGACGGCCTCGTAAAACGGCAGATTGGACGAGCGCAGCGCATGCAGCAGCCTCAGGGAATCCTCATTGTCGTTGTCATTGTCGTTGACCGCGCGCACCTGCGCATCGAGTCTCTCCAATGTGCGCAGTTCGGACAGGGCGTTGGAGCGGAGGGAGCGCACCTCGACGATCTGCGGGTTGCGTTGGGTCTGGGCGAGCAGGGCTTGGAAGGCGCCGAGGTCGGCGAGGAGAGACCGACAGCGGGCCACGAGCGAGGTGGCGAGGGTTTGGCTCGTCTGGAGCTGGTCGGTGGGGTTGGAGGACATGGTCGGTGGTAGACGGTCTGTCTAGTCCAGACTGGAGTTGGGGGGTTGGCAATAAATATATTATGATGATGATGATGAAGATGATGTCTCAGAGCAGCATTCCGCGGGAGGGTGATATGATTGAGTTTGGCGGTACCCTGGTACGTGTCTAATGGTGGTGGTGGTGATCGTGTGTTGGAGGGAGAGGTTGGGGAAGGAGAAGGAGAAGGGAGAGAAGAAGAAGAACAAGCCGTGAGTCACGATCGTGCTGCTCGGCGAACGGTGCGGGTCGAGTTCACGCTATGACTAAGAAGGCACTTTTCAACCCAGGAATGATGCCGATGCCAGACAGAGAGAGACCCCGGCTACGATCTGATGCAATGTGTTCGCCGGGAGGACAGCACCCATTAAAACACTTAGTTGGCAGTTTGAACTACAGACGAGCAGAATCTATACAAAATAGAACAGGAAGGAGATACTCATCCCTCATAAAGCACGAGAACAAAAGGACAGAGCACACGCAGAACCACCGGGAATACACCATCGGCCAAACGCCATCATATGCCTTGCCTGCAAGCAACAGAACACAACATGAAGAACCTCAACAACACGGGAAGAACGGTGACGGGCAGCCGGCCGCGGGAAAAGGATGTAGGCAAACGGACGGGCTGCCCCCACGCTTCTTCCATTCGGGGCAGGGGTAACTTTTGTTCGTCGCGCCTAATCCTTGCCCGTAAGCCGCTGTCTCTCGCCCGAGTTGCGCGGGGATTCGTCCTCGTCATCGGACCATTTGTCGCCATCCTCCCCGACGGCGAAGATGGTCTCCCCGTCCAGCGATTCTCTGTGGCGCGGCGCAGAAGGCACAGGCTTAGGCGGCACAGGCGACAGATCACGACGCGGTTCAGAGGCGGAATGCGTGTCCAGGCCACCAAGAGCATCCTCTTCATCCAAGGCGCTGCCGAAGGACCGGATCTCAAATCCGTCGTCGTCTTGCGCGATCTATGGGGGTCGTCAGTACGTGATGCGAGCGCCGGTCTCGCGGGAGACCAGGTCAGGCTTACCTCGTCACTCATCGCAAACCGTCTGTTGTTAGCGGTGGGTCGCCACAGGTAGGCGACGAATCCAATGTCGAACAGGTACACAAGGTTCAGCCAGCCGTCCAAGACAAACCACCGGGTCTTCCAGTGCTCGGGCACGAAGCTGGCCTCGCTGTGTCCTGCAAAGCTGATCGAGTTGATGAAGAAGAAGCCGAAGATCACAATGATGCTGCCCAGGATACACCACCACAGCTTCTTGTACATCAACGCCTTCACCTTCTGCTTCCGGTCGATCAGGTCTTTCATCGTCGCATTCAGCGAGTTCAACGTCCACACGTAGAACGCCGTCAGCGTTCCAGCAAGCGGGAGCACGATGAGAAGAACAAGCGGGCCGGCACTGTCAGGGGTAATCGACAAGCTCGCGACAGCGTATATGACGGCGAAGATAAAATGGGTGATCGCGAGGACACGGACGTAGATCATGGTTCGGCCAAGCGAGGGCTTGACAACACCGTATCCCATGCACACGATGAGAAGTAGGAAGAACGAGAAAGCGTTGCGCCCGGCATTGAGTACAGCCACAATGACCATGAGTGCCTTTGCGCCGACATTCAAGCCGTTCCGGTTTTGGTAGTCTGTATATGTTAGTTGAATCTTGTGGGCGGTCCGCTTCCATCGAACATACCATAGAAGCCCCATGTCATCAACTGCTCAACGATCAGAAAGACGAGGATCGCAGTGATGTAGTTTTGTACGGGCACTGGAGATGGTCAGCCTGCAGACATGAAGTATCCGGAGCTTGCGCTTACAGATGTCGTGGCGGTTCTGCACGTATAAGAAGGCCCAAAACCTACACCCAGTCAGTCCCGCCCCATATCCGATCGATGTCCAAGGGCTATGGGGAAACGTACAGGCCGATCACCGCGTAGACGATGGTCAGGCCACCGTAGAACGGCAGCTTTGCGATTTGGGCAGCCGGAAGTTCACCGTAGGAATTTCTGAATTCGACCACCGCCTTGTAGTCCTCACCGGAGTATCCGTACGTGCTCACACAATAGAAACCGGTCTTCTTGATGGGATAGTTGATGGCAGCGGGGTCGTTGAGATTGATCGCTTTGGTTATGATAGGGAAGTTGGCGGCGGTGCTGGCATTCGCGGCCAGGATGAAGGTACCGATCTGATCTTCCGCGCAAAGGTCGGCTTGCACACTGGCTTCGTCGCAGATCGTCTCCCGTTCCTGAAGCGACAACATGTGAGTGAGATGCCCCGATCCTAGCGTTACAGTTGTCGGGGAGGGAAACATACCCCGGAATCACCCGGTACGAGCCGCCCGATCAGGTTCTCATCGGTCCATTCGAATATCACCATACTGACGAGGGGGTTGCTCTCACTGGAGCCAGGGGCCTGGATGAATTTGGTCAAGATGAACGGGTCGACGTTCCCGCCCCAAGCTTTGCGACTATACATCCCCGAGCATCGCTGTCGATGGGCTTCATCCTGTGTCTGGAGAGATCACAACTCATTAGACTTGGCACTCAGAATCGAATCCATCCATCAGGAGGGGATGACGGCGCACCAATTCGACCTCGTTGGCCAGGACACCTCCAGCCAGCAAGGCCGTGAGGCCCAGGGTCTGAAGCCAGCCTCTCATTCTGACCATCAATGAATAGGAGGAGCTAAGCGGGTGGGGAGCTCCGGAGTGGCCGCGCACAGGGTTCTAGAGACAACCCTGGATCATACAAGAAAGTCGGAGGAAGGAAGAAGAGATCGCGATTTCGGATGGGGGGGGAGGAGAATCCAAATCAACCCTTTGGAAAGGAGGATCTCACGCAGCGTGGCTTCAACAACTTTGGACTTGGCTGCTGAAACCGGGGAAGCCGCGCGTGTTGACTCGTGATTATCTAAGCCCGCCCTCGTGTTGGATTCTGCCGGCTGAGTCCCGCATACGGTTTAGTCCCACCACCACTTACTAACTAGTAATAGTTAGTTAGTTAGTTAACTGACTACTAAGTTACTACACTTTTTTCCTCACCCCTCCTCCCCACCACCTGACAGCTCAATCCTCGATCGCAAACATGCCCGCCAAGGAACTGTCCGATCGCTGCATGAACTGCCATGAGGCAGACCCCGTCTTCACTCTGAGAAGTCGCCAGGTGTGCCAGTACGCCTTCCCATCCCGACCGTCCGTCGCCACTCTTGCGTTAAGGGAAAACTAACAAACCCATCCCTCCTGCAGAGACTGTTACGTTCGCTTCGTCGCCTTCAAGTCCTTCAAGCGCATGGAGAACTATCGTCTGCGGAAGGGAATGCCGAAGACCGGTCCCTGCAAACTGCTGCTCCCGCTCTCCTACGGCGTCTCGTCCACCGTCCTACTGCATATGCTCCATCAGCAGCTCGAGGTGCTGCATTCCAAGTCACACGGCCCCGCCGGCTTCGAGGTGCTCGTCCTTGTCGTCGACCCGTCCACGATCTCCGCCACGCCTCTGCCGGATGATGCCTTTGATCGCGTTCAAAAGACCTTCCCGCTCTGCTCTTTCACCCAACTCCCTTTCCACAGCATCTTCGCGCTGGATCCCGACGTGAACGAAATCATGGCGCAATATGCGCGGGAGGGCTTTACGGACGCTACGGGAAAGTCCGATGAGGAACGACTCGCGTCGTTCCGGGCGTCAATCTCAACCGCTACTTCCAAGACCGACGTCGACCGCATTCTCTTGAACCGCTTCATTGTCGCTTTCGCCAAGAAGATGGAGTGTCGCGGCATAGTGTGGGGCGACTCGGACAGCAAGCTCGCCGCAAAGACCCTGGCCAACGTGGCGAAGGGACGTGGCTCTGCGGTGACCTGGCAGGTGTGCGACGGCATGTCTCCTTTCGGTCTGGAATACAACTTTCCGCTCCGGGACCTGTTCACGGTGGAGGTGCGCACCTACGCCGGTCTCTTCCCGGAACTGGAGGCAATCATCGTGCATGACACGCCCCCCTCGGAGAACGTGCTGACGAAAAACCTGTCGATTGACGAGTTGATGATCCGTTATGTCAGCACGCAAGGGGAGAAATATCCCGGCGTCATGTTGAACGTCACGAGAACGGCCAGCAAGCTCCAATCGTCCGCCACGTCTGCCGTTGGCCCCCAGTGCGCCTTCTGCGGTGCTTTCACCCCTACGACCAGCGTGGGCACCTCCAACGGGGCGGCTGAGGAAGAGCAGCCGAGCGACAATCTATCGCCTCAGTTTTGCTACGCTTGTGCCAGATCCCGGCCCGATGTGAGCTGCTGAATTACTACGTGGAAGGCTACAGGTTGACAGTGACCAAGACATCGGCAGGCTCCAAACCTCAGGAAATGTCATAAATTCATGCCTCTCTCGCTGTTCTGCGTACATCTCGAAGATTACGAGTTATCGACCACTCCTGTCTCCAGGTCCCCCTCTCGATGGCTTCTTCCGCCGAACCACCTTCCCTGCGACCGGTTTCTCTGCGGATGCTTGGCTGCCTGCGGCTTGGCTGGACCATCGGGGTGTCTGCCGTGTGACTGGCTTCGGTGATCGGGCGCTTCAGGCAAGGCAGTGTCGTCGTAACGGTCGAATTCGTCCGGCAAACTCATGTCTATATCGTCATCCTTCCTTCTGTCGTGTCTCGACAGGGTCTTGGCTCCCTTCTGCCGCAAGTGCTTCTCCAAGAGCATGGCGTTTCGCGTGTTGCACTTGTACACCGCATCTGCGACATCGCCGATGAAAGGGACCAGGCCGATGAAGAAGTCGAGCACGATGTTCATCAGCATCATCATGCGGAGGCGTGATGGCAGGCCCCCGTCGATTTTGTCGCAGGTCCTCACCACCATCAAGGCAAGCGCGGCATCGGCCCCATCACCAATACTGTTGAACCCCCCCGTATCAGTTTCTGGCTCACGGCTGAGGCTGAGGAAGCGGGAGGCAGGGAGGGAAGGGGCACGACTTACAAAGGGAACAGTCCTATCACACTTCCCCAGCCAAAGCGGATTCCGCACAGGCTGAAGAGGCACAGGTCCAGCCTGTAGGCCCGTCTCTTGACCTGGGTCAAGACCTTGCTGTCGTTCTCAGACAAGCCGGGGGGGATCGCCTTGCGCCGCTTCTGTGTTTTCTTCCCGAAGGCACGATTGAGGCGCGAGGCGGGGACTTGTTCGAAATAGGGGTCCTGCAGCCGTACCATCCGTCTTTAGTTCACATAGATCCCAAGTGTAGGGGCAGACGAAGAAATGAAGTGGACCTTACCTCTTGTCCAAAATGGTTCCGAGCTGTTTCTCCTAGGATTCTTTTGCTAACCAGTGATGCCAGTTGGGCCGACATGGTTTCGTTGTTGTTGTTGTTGTTGTTGTTGTTGTCACTGTGGGTGGGTGGGGGAGGGAGAGTTGGATGTAGGAATATCTTTCTTCACCTTTGACTTGGGGGGAGAGAGAAGAAAGACTGGGGAAAGAAAAAAAAAAAAAGAAGTAGTCTTCTCAGAGAGGGGCGTTGCGCTTTCTAGGAGGGCCGCTTGTCTCGCTATTTAACCGCCAAGCATTCAGCATTCAGGAGCCGACGTAAGTAAGTCTTTCAGGCTTTCAGCAGCGAGGGACATGAAACGGACAAAGTAGATTGAAGAAAGGGAAAGAAAGGGGCTCTGCAGGCTTTAAACCATGGTTCCGAGGGCCTGATAGCCAGTCGATGACCACAACGTTGACGTCCGGCGCGTGGTGCTACCCGCGCGGCGACGTCATGGCTCCTCTGCTTCTGCTTCTTCTTCCCACCGCTTCCTACGTAACCGCCGGGGATCCTACACCCTCCAGCCACACCGCCACCCTGCAGTGGCTCGTGTGCCGTGGCGCACATGACTGTCATTGGGTGACTGCGCCACAGAAGGTGGTCTGTGGCTCGGGGGTTCGGGATCCAAGCCAGCGGCCTAAGGCCCCAAGCAACCACCCCGATCAGGTAGCGCCGTCGGGTTGTCAAGAAGAGAGCCACGCTTCATCCATCCTTCTTCTCTATTATCCTCCTCCACCCCCCCCCTCTCCTAGTCTTATCATCCCTTCCCCCCCCCCCTCACCCTACGGTTACTATCTAGTCACTATCTAGTATCATCCAGGTGGTCAGCCCATTGGCTCACTCCTTCCCCCCCTGCCCTGTTGGCCATCTCGCACAAGTCCCGACGCTTCAGGGTTGGCGCGTTGCCAAGCACCCTTCCTTGGAGCTGCCTGTCTGTGTGCTGTCCCCTCCTCTCAGCCGCTCACTCGCGCCTCCGCTCTCTTCCTCCCGCTTGGAGAGCCAGCTACACCCCCTTATCCTTACCTCGGTTGAAATGCTAGAGTACATCGTCCAGTATGACAGAAACAAAGATGCAGTTGGAAGACTGTAAGTCTCCCCCCAAAAACACCCACCCGCCTGTCTGACGAAACCGGGACGACTTCGGCGATGACCGCTGACTCGGCCCACCTCCAACAGGGCTGGATGATTTGTGTGTCCGCTTCATTATCAACCTACCACGAGAGGAGCTAGAATCGGTCGAGCGGATCTGCTTTCAGGTCGAAGAGGCACAATGGTTCTACGAGGACTTCATTCGCCCGCTCGACCCGGCTCTGCCGTCGCTGTCCCTCAAGGCCTTCGCCTTGCGCATCTTTCAGCATTGCCCGCTGATGTCCCAATGGTCTCACTACCACCACATCACCGCCTTCTCTGAGTTTCTGGCCTACAAGACCCGGGTTCCCGTGCGCGGGGCGATCATGCTCAACCACGACATGGACGAGGTGGTCCTGGTCAAGGGCTGGAAGAAGGGCGCCAACTGGAGCTTCCCCCGGGGCAAGATCAACAAGGACGAGAAGGACATCGATTGCGCCATTCGCGAGGTCTACGAGGAGACCGGCTACGACGTTCGAGAAGCCGGGCTGGTTCAAGACGAGGCAGACGTCAAGTTCATCGAAATCACCATGAGAGAGCAGCACATGCGGCTCTATGTTTTCCGCGGTGTGCCACAGGATGCTCATTTTGAGCCGCGTACGCGAAAGGAGATCAGTAAGATCGAGTGGTACAAGCTGTCGGAGCTCCCAACGTTGAAGAAAAGCAAACAACAGGATCAGGGCATCGTGGCCGCGAATGCCAACAAATTCTACATGGTGGCCCCGTTCCTGCACCCGCTCAAGAAATGGATCGCCCAGCAGAAGAGACTCGAGGGCAAGGCCCCGGGACTTCCGAAGCAGCTCGCGCTCCATGAAGGGGAGATGTCAATGGACGAAGCCTCTCATGCCATGCAAAGTTACACGCCGAACCAGGCTGCCGCCGAGATGGCTGGCCCAAGTGACTTGCCCGAAGTCGCCTCGACCCATGACGCCTCTGCCCACCTCAAGCGCCTTTTGAACATTAACGATCTCGTTCCGTCGCTGAATCCCGCGCCCTCTGTGGCCGCATTGCCCGGCCCTGGCCCCAATGCACTGAAATCCAATGCGCTTCTAGAGCTGCTCCGGAGCGGTTCTCGCGAATCTGTCCCGCAAGTTCCCAAGCCCGAACAGATTTCCCCGCCGCCTCCTGTGGCGGGACCCATGCCCCCGACGAATCCACCCTATCCCGCTCCCGGCTTCTTCCCGGGCTTCCCTCAGCAGGGTCCTCATGTCGCCCATCCTGCAGGCCTACCACCATTCTCACAGCCGTACCACGGGCCTACCCCGCATCTCCCGACCTCTATGACCAGCGAGATGCCTCCTGGTCCGATGAGGCAGGGTCCTCCTCTGGCGGCTCCCGCAAACCCGTCGGCCAACCTCTACGGAATGTTCCCTCCTCCGCAATTGCCTGCAGGCCTCTACAGGGACGAAGCTTTGCAGTCAAGGCTGCCTTCCGCACCGCGGAACCAAGCCACTGGTCCGGCTCCCTACCAGCGAACTGGCGACCCTCAGTTCTCTCACTCGGCTCAACCTTCCCAGGTTCAGGGAGCGACAGTGCCCCCGGCGAGCAAGTTGCCTCCGCCAAAGCTTACCAGTCACTCTTTGGCGCTCCTTAATGTTTTCAAGGATGAATCTCTGAAGACACCAAAGACTGCGACGGCGACTCTAGCGTCACAGTCTGGGGCAGTTCGCACCAGCGAACGAAAGCCATCACAGCATCAAGACCAGCTACTTGGCTTGTTGAAGGGGTCGCCTATTCCTGCTAGTTCAGGGCCGGCTGAGCTGCCGGGCCAACCAGTGTCCCCGGCCAGGAAACAGATTCTCCAACGAACCCGTGGCGAGTACAGCCCAGTCCGGCAGCCCGTTGCTGATCGAAATGCGGCCCCTTTCACGGCCAACCCACGGACCTATACGGCGACGGCGTCTGGCCCATCAGCAAATGTATCGCAACCTGGACCTCCGAAATCGTCTGCGAGGAAAGGGCCGAACGGATCATCTCGGAAACCGAGCAGGAATGAGCAGTCGCAGACCCTTGCGTCCCCTATAACGATATTGCCGAGGCCGCAATCCCTCAAGAAGGAACCATCACCGTTACCCGCGGTTTCGCAGCCCTCCCGGCCTTCGCCCCGGAGCCGTGCTGCTAAGCCCAGAACTCCCGAGCCGGCCAAACCATTCCAGCCGCAAATCCTTCGCCGCTCTGACAACCCTCATGCCATCGATCTTCTGCCCATCCGGCCCAAAATCGTGGACACTCACGATCAGCAGGATGCCGCTCGGGCTGTCAGCTCCCCGCCGCAGGCCCAGGCCCAGGCCCAATCAAACTTCGATCGCCGGCCGAGTCAAACCCCTGCCCAGAGGGATATGCTTCTATCGCTCTTCGGGAAGCCCGCTGCTTCCCCTAGTATTTCACCCGCGGAGCTCAGCAGCTCGTTCCAGAAGCCCTCCCAGACGTCCTCGGTTGTGAGCCCACTGTCGCCGTTGAACCTTCATGCCATGCCTACATCGGGAAGTGTAGCACCCAGCACGGAGGACAGTCAAACATCGACCGTCAACAGAGTGTCATCCCCTGTCAACAAGGCGTTCCTCCTCGGGTTCCTTGAAGGGGTTGCCAAGGGCAACAAGTGACCCCATGGGTTCCTCGACCTAGCGACCGTCTATCTCGTAATGCTAAAGTCAATTCAATGTACATGCTGTGTCTCCTTGCTCGACCCGTAAGCTAGAAGCCCGCTGATTATGTCACCCAACGCATATTCTGCCGCATCCCACCGCCCGGCCATCGATGTCATTCCGGGCCCTCGGATTTGTAAACCGTCCCCAATCCCCGCCCCCCCCAACCCAGCTGCATCCAACATGATGCGCCCCAATCCATCTGCACGCACAGCATGTGCGCGCTGTATCGGCCACGGCCGGTCTCTCTCAACAACCGCCCAGCGCAGCGCCCAACCCGCCAACCCCCCTCCCCCGCCCGCCGCCGGCTATGCTCGTCTCACCAACCGGGGACTGATCTCCATCACCGGCATCGACAGTACCACGTTCCTCCAGGGCCTGATCACCCAGAACATGCTCGTGACGAACGATCCGCACCGCGCAACCCGTCGAACCGGCTCCTACACCGCGTTCCTGAACTCCCAGGGCCGAGTACTCAACGACGCCTTCATCTACCCACTCCCGCAGGCGGACGGCACCCCCTCAGAAGAACTGTCCTGGCTCGTCGAAGTGGACAAGAACGAGGTGCCGACCCTTCTCAGGCATCTCAAAAAGCATAAGCTCCGCGCAAAACTGAAGCTCCGGGCGCTCGACGACGGAGAACGGACCATCTGGTCCTCTTGGAAAGATCACAGTGAACCCCGGTGGGCGGCATACAATCTGGACTCGCAGTCGTTCTCCCCGTTCTCCTCATCAACGTCTACAATCACTGGATGCATGGACACCCGGGCCCCGGGGTTCGGGTCGCGTCTTGTGACGCCCGGCGCGGAGGATCTCAAGACACATCTGGCGGAAGAAGCGGGGGAGATTTCCGGGTCGGAGGTCGATCTGGGATCCTACACTGTGAGACGCATCTTGCACGGAGTGGCGGAGGGACAGTCAGAGATCCTTCGCGAGTCGTCGCTCCCGTTGGAGTGTAACATGGATATGTCGCGGGGGATTGATTTCCGCAAAGGCTGCTATGTGGGCCAGGAGCTGACGATCCGGACGCATCACACCGGCGTGGTGAGGAAGAGAATATTGCCGGTGCAGTTATACGAGGAGAGCCAGGAGGCTGTTGCATCGGCGGATGCGCCTGTGTATGACCCCTCCGCGGCGCTGTCCCTGCCGCCGTCGGGATCGAATATCTCCAAGATCAGCGCGCGCAAGGGTCGCAGTGCCGGGAAGTTTCTTGGTGGGGTGGGGAATATCGGATTGGCGCTGTGTCGGCTGGAGATGATGACGGACATTGCCCTGACAGGGGAGGGTACCCAGTACAGTCCTGGGCAGGAGTTCAAGGCCTCGTGGACCGGGGCGGAAGATGGAGGCCCGGAGTCTGGCGAGGTTAGGTTGAAGGCGCTTGTTCCGGCGTGGACAAGGGAGCACATCTCGTCGGGCGGAGTGAAGCAAAATCACGGTCGCGACCATGAAGCGGACGCTCGACGGGCGCGAGAGCTTCTGGAGCAGCTGGAAGAGGAGGAAGAGTCACGACGGAACGAATGAATGGATTCCATGCCTGTATCATAGAAGAATTGTACACTAAGCGAGCCTGTATAGAGGGATGTGCGAATGGGAACAGATGGTATCAAATTTAAGGGTATCTCTATGCTATGGAAAAGTCTACTACTATCTATACTGTACACGACAAGTCATTCTCGGTCACTCATGGATCGCCCTCAGCTCTGTGCCTCGGCCGCGGCAGCCTCGGCGGCATCTGCCGCTTCGTCTTCTCGTCTCAGCTGCTCTTCCAGGGCCTTGCGTTCCTTCTCTCGCTGTGCGTTTCTCAACCGCATCAGGGTCAGCTCCTCCATGCTTGGGGTGCTCGACCCATTCGCAGGCCCAGCAGACGGCGCAGGTTTCGCCGAGTTTGCAGCCGCCGCAGCGAAGGAGCCGAAGGAGGGTGCCTTTCTGGGCTTCTTGCTGGCGTCGCCAGATCCTGCCTTCAACCCGGCGAAATTGAAGGACGGTCTCGAAGGGGCAGTGGTCTTCGGTGCCGCAGTGCTCTGCTCGGGAGGTGTAGATGCGCCGTTTGCCTGCGCGCCCAGATCGGGCTGACTGCCTGATGCCCAGAAGACCGATTCAACAGCCGACCAGTCACTGTCGCTGCTGGCCCCGGCACTCTGGCGTTTCTTCTCACTGTCCAGGACGGCGGCGTGGGCACTGACGATGGAAGCGAAGATCACCACGCCCGTCGCGACGGTCTTCTTCTCGCGGTGATCCCCCAGTCGCTGTCGCTTGTCCTTGAGAACCAGCACATTCTCGATCTTCCCAAACGACCCGAACAGCGACATCAGACGATCCTTATCCAAGTCCCATCCGCGGCCTTCACGCACCCAGCGCACCTTGACACCGCGTTCCAGCTCCGGAACATTCGTGCCGCCGTCTTGCGAGCGATCCACCTTCTGGCTGCTCCTATCCGCGGCGCGTTGCGCCTCCTCTTCTTCCTGGCGCATGATCTTCTCTTCCTCCTCCATGTCACGCTTAAGCCGGTCCTCCGCCTCACGTCGTCGCCGCCGCCCGTCCTCCGCGATGCGATCAATCTCCCTCTGCAGCTTTGCCTCCGCATCGTCATCGCCACCGGCCTCCGCGCCCATCCAGGACCGTTTCACGCCGCGTTGCGGCTGAGCACCCATGGCAGCGGCACCGGCGCGCTCGCGGGCCTCCAGATCCTCGCGCATCTTCCTCTTCGCCGCATCCATCAAATCGCGCTCGCGCTTCTTGCGCTCGCGGGCCTCGCGCGCATTGTCGTAGAGCTGGCGCACGGCGGGGTCGGACAGCACATCGTAGGCAATCTGGAGCACGTGGAACTTGTCGATGTCGGCGGGGGTGGGGTTGGCAATCTTGTCGGGGTGGTACTTGAGGGCGGTTCGACGGTAGGCGCGGCGGATTTCGGACTCGGCGGCGGCGGGGGAGATGTCGAAGAGGGCGTAGAAGTCTTGGTTGGAGGCCGCGTGGGCCTTGAGGTCATCGGTTGAGGCCATGGTGATGTGGTGGGAGGAGGGAGAGGGGGGAGAGGGGGGAGTTGAGTATAGAGATGGGAGCGCAGAACGTCCCTTGAGGAAGTGGAAGAGGAAGAAGGTCGGGGCTTGGCGGAGTCTTCCCGGAGTCTTTCGGTCTTTCCTCTCTCCCGCGGCGGTGACGGCATCATTTCCTCGTCCAGGCTGATTGGTTTTCTTTTTTTTTTTTTTTTTTCTTTTCTTTTTTCATCGGGCTGTTAATGATAGATCTGTGTGTTCGCAAATGACCTCGGATCGTGGTTTGCAAAATGGTTATCATAGTGCAGTACGGAGTATATCCAATAACTAGTAGTAGTAGTATATAGTAAGTATCTCCTCTACATGGATGCCGTTGGACTGAACTGTCTGGCAGGCACGCTCTGCCTTCTTGCCCCAGGCAACAGGGTTGCGCTCGTTGCCTCCGTTTCCAACACCTCCGTCCCTTTCACTGTCCCTTCCACTGTCTCTTCCACTGTCCCTTCTCATCATCCCCCCCTCCCCCTCTTCTCGCCCCAAGGCTCCCCAGGAAGATGGAAAAGGTCGTAATCCCCTCCCCCGCGCAGCTCGCGCTGGCAATTGCCATCGTCAAGCTGAAGCCCGTGGGGATCGAGATCAAGGGTAAAAGACAAATCCCGCGTCTGCTTCTCTGCGGCGAGTCTGTATTGATCCAAGTCTAGAATATCTCCTGCAGATACGCCAAAACATCAGGAACGAGAACCAGACCGGTAGAGCTTCCAGCAGGGACAAGTTCCTCGACAGCGTCGCCTTCTGGCAGCAGGCGTACGAGCGATCGGAAGCGGAGCAGAGCAAGCTCCTGGATCGCATCTACGAGTTGGAACAACGCAACGAATCCCTCCTCGCCCGCATCCAGGGCACGGTCCACACTGGGCAGGAAGAAGACAAAGGTGTAGCACCATTGAAACGAAAGGCCACGGCGCCGAGCAATGGGGCCAGGAATAATACTACGATGCGAAAGAGAGCCAAGACACAGACGCCGTCGGAGATGAGGGCCACTTTGCTAGCCTGGAATGCCCCTCCAGGGTCCAATGAAGGTGTGGTTGATATGTCGGAGGGTTCCGAGCAATGTTCGCTGCCTCAGTCTTATTACTGAGTAGACCACGCTGACGGCGTCATGACTCAGTCACAGCGCCCTTTATGAGACAGTTCTACACCCTCCAGAAGGTCTTGCAGAAGCGGCCCAATCATGCGAGTATTGTGAAGGCAGCCGTTGAGCTATGCAGTACTGCGACCAGAAATGTCCTTGGTGCCATTGAAGAACCAGCATCCAAGGCCACCCTCCAGCTCAAGAAGCCCGATGTCTTGGCGACTCTACATAGCACGGCGTCCGCTTATGAGCTTTTGATACGGGCATTGAACAAGTTGTCGGCAACTGAGAAGGCTATGCGAGACGCAGGACGGATTATTTATCAGATAGTGCGTCTATATGAGGCTATCCTCGAAGCCTTGAGCCGATATTGCTTGTTGAAAACCTCGCACACACCCCTTGGCACGACAGTAGGCGCTAGAACCGCTCGACGAAGGCAAAGGGCGAGAACGCAGCGGTCCAAAACTGCTTGTATGCAGAAAGACCCGGACGATGAAACAGCCACAGAGATGAGCGCGTTGTTGAGTAAAATGGCGCTCTCACTTGACAAGTCTAGCATCCATGAGCAAAGTGTCCTGGAGGGGTTTCTGTTCGTTCTTCTCAGTCGCGTGGGCAAGCTACTCTGCTTGTTTACCTTCCAGGATCTGCGTCTACGGCCCGATCTCCGCGTGGATCCTTCGAAGCTCCCACTGCCGGAAGGTCTGAAGGAAATGGACGTGGATGACAAGTCACTCCACGCAGCAGCGATTGAAGCAAAGCACCTTGTCTGGCCTTTGGAGAGGATCGTGGCGGCACTAGATGCCCCTTCCGCATCGCCATCGGACTCCGGCATCGTTTCTCGGAGCACACCGTTCGTTGCGAAGGTGAAAGATAAACTACAGGGCACTCTACTCCAATCCGTATTCGGTCCTGACTCAACCTGGGCAACCACTCTACAACGTCCTGTCCAGCCCGAGGAGCGGGACCTGGAGAGACTCCGCGCCTGCACCCAGATCCCTGAACAATCCGTGCCGGACTGGTTCGTGCAAGAGGTGTGGAGACTCTTCGGCTGGGAGCTGGTCGCCATGAGCGCGTCGAAGGCGTAGGGGCCGCGGGTCTAGCGATGCATGCCTGTCTATCGCTATTATCTCTTGTATCTTTTCTATTTTTCGTCGTCCTATCTATACATGGTCACATGTTGTGTATGCCGTCGCTGCAGTATCGCTAACGATTTCCCCCATCAATGCAGAATCTTTGTCATGTCACATGAAATTGAAAAGTGCCACCAAGAGAGAGGTCATTTCAAGTCGAGGATGCGAGCTGCATTTCCACCCAACACCCCTGCAGCGGTATCACCATCCGCGTCGAATGCGGCGTGGATTGCCTTGTAGTTAGTCGTCACACTGGGCCATTCCTCGTCATCGTTGCCCAAAGGCGGGAAAAAGGGATGATCAGTACCTGCTACCATGTCAGTATTGTCGCGCCATACCAACACCCCCCCCAAGACCAGCTTACCGAAGAGAAGGCGATCGGCGCCCCCAGCCGCAGTAACCGCGGCTTTCAGCCCAGCTGTACTGTATACGACGGCATCGAGATAGATGTTGGTGTTCAGAACGTCCCACACGCTGCGTTGCGGACCGGGCACCTCGCCCCCATTAGCCGTGAACTTGCGTTCATGCAGGATGCAACTTTCGATGCGACCTGCGAGGAAGGGAAGGGTGCCGCCCGAATGCGCCAGCAAGATCTTTAGCCGCGGAAACCGATCGAACACCCCGGCCAGCAGCATGCGCGTCACCGCAATGGTTGTCTCGAGCGGGAACCCCAACGCCAGCGGAAGGACATGACCGTAGCGGTTCATCGCATCGGGACCCCCGAAGGCCTCGTCGGGGAGGCCGTAGTGCGGATGCAGGAACAGCATGGAGCCCGTGTCCTGCAAGGCGCCCCAGACGGGATCCAACCGGCCATCGTCCAGCCCCTTCCCCAGCCCCGTTGTGCCCATGATCACGCCTCGCAGATGTGGGAGGGTCTTCAGCCTTCTGATCTCGCTCACAACGATGGCGGGCGAGGGGGCACTGAGGGGAAGAGCCCCGAAGGCAAACAGCGTCTCCTTCTCATGGAGGGCCTTCGAGTGATCCGGGTCTGCGGCGTGGTTGACCCGCGCGCAGGTCGCCTCGAGGTCATCGTTGATGCGCTCCGCCCAGGTCTGGGCCTCCTGGGGCTCGAGAAAGTCCAGCCAGGGATTGGCCAGGGAGATGACGCTGCAGTTGATGGCGTGGCGGCGCATGAAGGCCAGCTTCACGTTGATGTCGGAGTAAGAGGCATCCACGGGGCGACCGCGCTGGTCGATGGGGATGGACGGGTCGTCGTCGGAGGAGAGGATGATCAGGCGCGGGGTGGCTTCGGCAGGGTCGTGGACGTAGGGGATCGATTTGCGAGCGCGAAGCATCTGCATATAGGCTGGGGGGTAGACATGGGTGTGGATGTCGACGACGAGGGGTGGCATTGTTGCGTATTGAGTCTGGATGGGATGCGAGGGGAGACAGAAGAGGAGAGAAGAGGAGAAGAGGAGAGGAGAGGAGATAGATAGGTGATTAGCAGGTGGGAGGTGGGATGAGGGGTAATCTTTGATAAACAATGGGGGGGGGGGGTGAGGAGGGGTTGGACTGAGGCAGCCCCGTGGTGGCCTGAGGGCTCTCTCTTGATCCTCCCTCTTCTCTCTTCTCTCTTCTCTCTTCTCCTCTCCTCTCCTCTCCTGCTACTCCGCATCTCCCATATCGCCATATCGCCATATCTTCCCGTCAACTCCTTGCTTATCTTTCGACCCATAATAGCCGACGGGCTGACCTGGCCCAATCAATCACTTGTCTCCTACTCCTTTGTCGCTCCTTGGTTGATGGCCCCAAAGTGATCTCATTCCTCCTGCCCCCATTCGCTTCTCCGAAGTCTATCCCCCCCCACCGTCCCCACCCCAATGAGATATTAAGTCTCTCTCATCCGCCTGAGGGGCATCTTACCTTCTGTCACTATCTTCAGAATCTATCTGAACAGTAATCAACGTGACCCCCCTCGCGATGGAAGGCAATCTGCCCCAGCACCAGTGCCATCCGGCGTCCACCGCCGTCGATAAGGATGACCTGGTCATCCCGGTGAGTATCCAGTATCTCATCTCTCATCTTTCATCTCTTCTCATCCGCCCTTATTTGATAATCCCTACGCTTCGTATCGCTTTGTCCTCACTCATCGTGTGTGTGCGCGCGTGTAGATCATCGACTTCGAGCCCTTCCTGAACGGGACCCCCGCCGATAAGCATGAGGTCGCCATGTCCGTCGTAGGCGCCTTCAAATCCTCCGGTTTCCTCTATCTCAAGGACCACGGCATCCCACCATCCGTCGTCTCGCGCGTGTTTGGCTCGTCTGGCCGCTTCTTCGCCCGACCCCAGGACCAGAAAGATGGTCTGTGCTGGACGACCCCACAGGCGAACCGTGGTTACGTCAAGACCGGCCTGGAGAAGCTCAGCACGCCCGATGACGTCTCCGGGGATTCTCGAACCACCCCCGACCTGAAGGAGACGATAGAGATTGGCCGAGAAGGCGTCGAGGGCCACCCCAACCGGTGGCCGGACCACCTGGATGACGAGGGCAAGGATTTCAAGGAGGTGATGCTGTCGTTCTTTGACATGTGCAAGTCTCTCCATCAGGAGGTCATGCGGGCCATCGCGCTGGGGATGAATCTGCCGGAGCACTTCTTCGACTCCTACGTCGACGCCGGCGACAATAACCTCCGCCTGCTCCACTATCCATCCGTGCACAAGAAGGTCTTCGAGCAGGATCCATCGCAGGTTCGTGCCGGGGAGCATAGTGACTACGGTTCGATCACCCTTCTCTTCCAGGACCGTCGCGGTGGACTGCAGGCTCGCAGCCCCCGCGGAACGTTCGTCGATGTGACCCCTATTGCGGATACGGTGGTCATCAACGCTGGGGACCTGCTGGCTCGATGGTCGAACGACACGATCAAGAGTACGCGACACCGGGTTGTCGAGCCCCCGAAAGTACCTGGCGAAGAGCACGACTCCGATATTTACCCCGATCGCTACAGCATTGCGTACTTCTGCAATCCCAACATGAACCAGTTCATCGAAGCCATTCCGGGGACGTATGGAGAGGACATTTGCCCCGCAAAATACCCCGGGATCACTGCGGGGGACTATCTGGTGCAACGGCTGACGGCAACGATCTGAATGGGTCTCGGGGTTGGCGTTGGACTGAGATTTTCGAAGCGCGCCTTGCGGTAGTAGCAGCGGATCAAGTTCTTGTCTCTAGCATTTCGCCTGGTTCTCAGCGAATTAGCGCCGTGATTTAACAGCGAGCGTGTTTCCACGCACATATCATTTCTTGGATTGCTATCTATCTTGATCACTAACTCGATTATCCCTAAGCCCGTGTATGAAGATGTGGCCGATGGCCTTAATAGGTGCAGGGCAACGTGCTCAGTCGACCGCCGTCAGCCACGGTGATATTGCCACTGTGCAACCCACCGGATGGGCTGGCCATCCAGAGAATAATACCTGCAATCTCTTGCTCACTGCCGGCTCGCGTGAGGGGCACCATCTCGGGGGGGAATGATCCATCTGAAACTCCCGAGTCACTGTCCCCGAAACTCCCACTGGTCATCTCCGAAAAGTACAGGCCCGGAGCAAGGCCGTTCACGCGGAGGTGGTACGGCGTAAACGTCGTGGACAGCAGCTTGATCAGGTGGTTGGTGGGCGCCTTCTATAAGTTGTACGCCACGTTAAATGCTGCGCGGCGATTGAAGCCTCCAGTCGAACTGGTAATAATAACCTGAGCCGTTGGTGCGGAAGGCTGGTTCTGCACGGGGGCCGGTCTCCTCTGGTTTGCTGCCTCGAGCAAGGGCAGAAAGGCCAGGACGGTAAAGTAAGTCCCCGGGACATTGATGTCCATGACCCTGGAGAACTCTTCCATCGGGAAAGACCAAAGGTGGTCGCGAACCTCCGAAAGGCTTGGGGCCTGGGGGACGCATGATCGAGCCCAGAACGCCGCTGTTGGCTATGAGAAGACCCACGTGCCCTGCTTGCGCTGCGATCGTGTCTTCGGCTGCCTGGAGGGATTCCTTGGACGAAATATCCGCCGTGACGGGGATGATCGAGCTCTTGGTGCTGAGGGACGCTGTCTCGCGCAAGACACCCTCGCGGCGACCCAGGATGAAAACCTAACCTTGGAGGCTCCATTTTCGGCCAGGGAGAGAGCCATTGTACGGCCCAAGCCTAGTCGCGAAGCAGGAATATCAGTTTGGTGACTCGGTTGCCGACGTCGTCTCAGAGATCTCAGAGACAGGTCAGACCGGGACTTACCACTCCCACCGCCAGTCAGGACCACAACCAGTCCTTGGACTGAGAGCAGCTGCGATGCAGGCCTGAATGAGGATGCGACATGATCTAGTTCTATAAGGCTGGTCTGTAGGAAAGTTCGATTCTAGGGATGGGATGATGGGTGCTAGGATCTCACAAGGGGGGCGCATGAGGTGTCTGTCGTTCAGCGATGCGCCCTGCCTTGGTCTGGCAACTCTCCACCTCGCGGGGTAGCGCTGATCAGTCTGATGCAGATCAGCCCAATGCCGACCGATCCATGGCGGCCAATCTGAACATTCTGATCCTTTCTCCCGTGCTATCTATCCATTATTGCCATGGTGAATTTGGACATTTGCCCATCGAAAGGACGGCTTTGCCGTCATTGTGCCTCGTTAACGCGAAAGAAAAAAAAATGCAACCGGTTGTTCGTGCCCTAAAGAGCCAGGAGGTGCAATAGGGATAATCCAAAAGCGCTCGGAGACAACTTGCCTCCAACATTCCAAAGGGTTCGACACATCCCTCAGGCAACTGCGCTACCGCACTCTGAGTCCGTGGGAACTGATTCCTGTGGGAGCCCTTGCACGACGTCACGATTGTCGATGAAGGATCTGCAGCTATTGTCCCGACCGTGGCCTGTGCTATTTGATCCGATTGATGGCTTGTCCTTTTCCCTGTTGGTTGGAAGGCTTGATGTTTCGATGGACTCGGGGCCGACGGTGTAAAACATCCAAGACCCGTTGGGCATTTATATCACTGGACCAGCTTGTACGAGGGCCCAAGCTACAACTTCCGCCGGGACTTTGAGTTATCTTGTGATATCTATAAGTGCCCTGCACTGGCTCTCACGGGACAGTTTCTTGCTAGATTGTTCCACTGGGTCCACCCCTGACCCTGAAAGCTACCTACTCGACTCGTCATGACCTGGTCGACCCCGAAACAACCCTTCCAACGGGGGTAACAGTACAGAATTTGCCTGATTGTAAGGGCAATGGACACGGTGGGGCTGACTCTCAGGGAACGTCTCACTATAACCCTTCTTCCGCCTTCTTCCGCCAGGATCACGATTTTTGGGGGAGGTTACATCCACTCAACTGCGGACGTCCAACCAAAGGCCGCTGTTCAAAAGGATGTGGTTTCCACTGCAGTCAGGAACCCAGTATCCAGTATGACGGACGATATAGTAGTTGCGTCACATATGGACTGCTTCATGACGCGCAGGAAATGATGGCTGTCGACGTATATATCTGCTAAAGACGTCTCTCTCCCTTCCGCCAATCGATGATCTAGTGGTGCAAAGCTTTTCAAGGCACCATCAGCGACTAGTATGGCTCCTCATCGGTTGCTTCTGCTGGGCGCTCTGCCCTTGGCTCTGGCTCTCCCCCGCGCCAGCTTTCCTCGTGCGCCTGGCAATTCCTCTAGCAGTGCCGCACCTTCCCATGTGACTCCAGCGCCTGTTGTCCCTTATTCCTCAAGCCAAGCCCATACCTCCTTTGCTGGGACACCGACAACCACTGGAGCCTTGAGCGAAACGCCTATCGGCCCTGGGGCCTCTTCCTTGCCCGCCAACCCAGCAGCTACCACGTATCCCAGTGATGGAGAGCTCCATAGCCCCGAGCCTGGTCCCTATACCCCTGCAGGGGGGGTTGGGACGAACGGGACAACCCCGGTGTACCGCCCCCAGAGTGATTTTGACTACGAATCTCTGGTAGGTCTCCTACTGACTTCCCTCCGACCTGCTGTTTCTAATCAAGGTGCAGGCCCTCGCGCTGTATCAGGAATACATCGAGCTCGATCTCTTCCACGATGGACTGGCTCGCTTCAGTGCGCAGGACTTCGAAGCAGCTGGCCTGACGGCGGAAGATCGGTCTCTGATCGAGTTCATGGCAGATCAGGAAGTCGGCCATGCGACGATGTTGACCAACATCCTGGGCGCCGAAGCCCCCAGGCAGTGCAGCTACGTGTACCCCTACACCACGGTCCACGAGTTCTTGGACTTCTGCCAGAAGCTTACTCGCTTTGGCGAGTCGGGTGTCTACGGATTCCTGCCCCATTTGGACTCTCGCGAATCAGCGGCGCTTCTCACGCTGTCCATCACGACGGAAGCTCGCCAGCAGATGATCTTCCGGCAGTTTGAAGGTCTCTTCCCCATGCCAGTGTGGTTCGAGGCGGGCGTCCCACAGTCCTGGGCGTGGACGCTTCTTGCCCCGTACATCAGCTCCTGCCCCGAGGATCAGACCCGGCTGGCGTGGCAGAACTTCCCGGCCCTGTCCATCCTCAACCAGCCCAACCCGGTCCGGATCAACGGCTCTGCTGCTTGGAACGAGACCGTCTCCAGCGGGACGAACGTGCTGAACAGTACGGCCGTTCCCAGCTCGCAGTCCTGCCTCTCGTCCAACACCACTGGAATCGACTGCTCGCCCGCGATCACGCACAACCGCACCAACCCGCTGTCGTACCCGGGCCGGGAGGTGCAGCTGTCTTGGGAGGTTCCCGGAAAGGCCGTTGGGCCCAACAACAGCTATGTGACCTCGACGAGTGCGGGCCGCCCCAAGTATGTGGCGTGGGTGACGCAGCTGAATGTGACCTACTCCGAGCTGACGCTCAATGGGTCGCAGTCTGGGTCCACGATCCAGCCTGATGTCGCGACGTATGCCGGCGACCCGGCCATCAACGGCACCATGTTCATTGCCATTCTGGACACGGACCTCTACGTGACCCCGTTCAACATCACGATGCTGAACCCGCACGTGGTTGCAGGCCCGGCTCTCTACCAGTCTGGCTGAGATGGTATGGAGTGCCTCCTGAAGCAGACATGTTTACAATGTCGGAGTTGCCTGGACATGCGTGTCAGATACGAATCCTGACTCGTGCAGATGACGAGGAGAGACAGATCAGATTTGAGTTGATCCAAGACTGCCGTGTGTCGTTTAATCAAAGAATCAAAGAATCCAATCCACAAGCCTTTCTCTATGTAGTCCGCAATCGGAATCCATCGGAACACTAAATGGACGCATCCCCTTCCACGCCCACCGAGGGTCTGTCCCAATCCGGCCTAGCGCATCCCCATCTCCTGCTGGACTTGAGAGTCTCTTTTGACCGACCCATTTCCATTTCCATTTCCATTTCTCCATTCTCATTCTCATTCTCATCCCCATCCCCAAGACCCTCACTCGGTCACTGGCCATCCCCTCCCCTGTTCCCCGTCACCGCCCCAATCGATAGCCACAATCACATCTCCCAGACAGACGCGACGTCGTACAACATTAGTCGGTGACGACAGGTACAGCGACAGCTACAGCTGCGAGCCTGTCTATCTACGCGCCTGTCTGCACTGCAGGCGGTTAGGCAATTCAACCGAAGCACCCCGTGCCATGGATGTAGCACACACATCACATACCCAGTATGGTAAGTCGACGGTCGTCGTCGTCTACGCGCTCTCCAGTCAACCAAGATGTCACTTGCATGTGATTCTGGGATTGGATCCTGCGCGAACTGACAGGAGGGGTGGGGAAGAAAATGGAGGATTCTATTTTTCTTTTTTATAAACGAAAAGAAAAAAAAAAAAAACAAAAAAAGAAGGGAAATAAGAAACCGGAAGGAGACTTCATTATTAACAGGCTCGATATCTAGCTGGATCGATGGCTGGCTGGCTGGCTCTACGGGGTCTTCTGAGCTTCGTCTGAAGGAGGCTAGCACCGACCAGGACTTCCTCGGCCCATAGCTCTGGGGACCATACTTTGCCAGATATCCAGCATTATTGGCGAACTTGCTACGAGTTACTGAAGTTACTGGAGGTGCTAGAGGTACTAGGACTCGAGGACAGAGGTCCTAGCGACTATCACCACCTCCACCATGCTCATACCCCTCCTGGCAGGTCGGTCGACGTGGTAATGCAGCCCAGTGGGAGACCGTTGCAACTAGTGCCTGCTCCATCCTGCACCCTCCTGCATCCCTCCCTCGAGCTGGGATACCGCTACCACCTGCCTGCCAGGGTGACCCGTTGGGGCATGGATTTTCTTCCGGAGCTCGCTGCCGGGCCATCCATGAGGCTGGGTAGCCCGAATCAGGAAAAGAAAGAGGAGACGATTACCGACGGCGCAGGGAGGGCGCGGCGGTCCGGCCGTGACATGGTGGGCTTGGCCCTAGTGCACTACCTGGCTGCAGCTAGTACTGGCGACGTCACATGATATGCACTCCGTTGGGGAGAGAATGATGAGGGGAGGGAAGAACGAGGGCTGCTCGATAGACGCCGTGACATGGCTGCATGTTGAGAAACGCATGGTGCAGAGAGTAGTAAGTACATAGTACATATCTAGTGGTGGTCAGTGACGGCAGACAACTCCCACGATTGGGCCCGATGACATGTCGATCAGCGGGAAAGCGACAATCAAAAGCACGGAGGATCCGCAAGGACGAGGCTCTAGACAGTGGATCCGGGTAATTCACGACTGAGCCGCTGGTGGCGACGGGGGGGGAATCTGAATCTCGCAAGTTTGCGTCTTCCGAATCGATCCAGGTCCGATTGCGCCTCCACCTATCGCTCGATGTGCCGTGCACGGATGGCGATGAGATATGAGGCAGACATAAGCAAGCCAGCCAGCCGGGGGATCCGACAAAGCAATAGAAAGGCCCATGTGAATCGATAGTCAACACACGGCCGATCCAGCTGGTTGACAGCCGATGGGGTGTAACCTTCCCCAAGGGGAATTCCAGCAGCGGGACAATTCGATTGTGGTCATTGTCTCGTCCAAGATGGAGTCTACTCCCGAGCACCACGAGGGCGGCGGGCGCACTATCGCTGGTAGTCTAGTTGGGTGGTGGCTGTCGTCATCGCCTAGCCACCACCACTACTACCGACCTCCACTGGCCCGAAGAACCAGACATCCAGAAGGGGAGCGGAGCCAGAACGAAGCGACGGATGGAGATGGACCGAGAGACAGGCAGCAACGAGGCGGAGATAGATTGAACGCCGAACCCCGACTGAAACCCCCAGCCCATCAGACAGCCTTCTTAGGCGCCGTCCCCAGGCCATAATGGATCACATTAATTCCCATCTGGGGAGGAAGAGGCTAAGAGCCTAGGTAGGTAAGAGGACAACAGCATCAGCTCGAGCCGTGTGGCAAGGGGCTGTGGCGTCGAGCCGGTCTCGCCAGGGTTCAGTCCAGTCAGAACCATGTCAGATAGGAGAAAAAAAAAAGGAAGCGCTGGCACTAAGGCCCAACTATTGCGGCACTAGTCTGGCGGGTGGAGTGGTGAGGATTCACCTTAACCGCGCGATTCGAGGGAACATTCCAGGTGCTTGGGGGAGAATTGCTTTTTCGTCTTGTCGTCGTGCTTGTTTTCGCGTCTTTTTTTTTTTTTTTTCTTGGCTTCCGAGTTGAAGGATGTCGTGGTCGGAGGACTTTGGTATATCAAACGAGGGCTGAAGTGATAGTGACGAGGACGGCGACAGACAGCGAGACAGCGAGACAGCGACAACGACGGTGATGACGGGGGAAGAAGGATGGGGCGGGGGTTCGCGCTAGTCTGCTCGCAAGAACAGGTGTTGTTGGTCTGTCCATCAGCCATCGATCTAGCAGAGACGGTTCGTCTGATCCTCCCTGGTTCATGTTGATTAACATTGATTGGATTATATGGAAGAAGATCACGAGAGAGACCATCGCTTCGGACTCCGGAGTTTGGCTGAGAGGGAAGTTAGCGGTGGAATTATGAGACCACTATTGCAGCGCCAGGGATAACCATTAAGCGAAGTGGACGAGGCAGGAAGAATGTCGGAATGATGAGAGAGACCAATCCAACAATGATCCAGCCGATCGGATTCCGATCTGAATTCCATCACAATGACCACAAACAACCCCACCTGACAAAGAAATGCCGGGGGGGGCGCGAGTGGATGAGACGAGGATGAGGCAGAGAAAAAGAAAAGAAACCGTGACATTGTTATGATTATGATTATTATTATTGTTCTCACCGTTCGTCATCGTCGTCATCATCATGATCATCAACATCAGCAGGGAATATTCCCTGCCGCCCGGATTGAAAAAGGACCATGCCCTAACCCTTCTTTGTCTTCTGCTGTCATCGTCGCGTATTCCAATAATAATACACGGAGTCCTCCGTACAGCTGTCTGCGAGGAAGAGGAAGAAAGCAAACATTTTTATCTCGCGTACTGAAGGCTACACAGGCACGTACATGACAGAGCTGGACTCGTATCTGTCGGGCGCATGTAGACATTACATGTATAGCGTCTGGATAAGGGGGAAAGTTCAGAAGACTGCTAATAATGACATCCTCTGCATTCTGCAAAAATAAAAATAAAAAATAACACCCCTCCAAGGGGCAGAATGTCCCCCGCGAATCAGCAACATGCCCGCAAACAGCTCGGGGTGGGTGATTGGTGCGTGGCGGTTACCCGCAGGGCGCCCCTTTGGCTCAGTTTCAATTTCCACCCCCAACTAACTCGACATGAGAAATCGATCTCAGATGTCAGAGAGTCACTATCTATTTATCCATCTATTTATTTATTTATTTACACTATGATCCACCTGTCTATCTGCAGCCCTCTAGGGAGCACAATCCGCCTGCTTACTCACAGTCTGACAGTCTGACCGTGGCAGACAGCCAGCCACTCCCCTGCCCTAATCAACCAACAACAATATCCAAGTCTAACGAGGTAAGCAAGCTAAATCAGGCAGACCGACCAGCTAACGCTCTCAGTCAACATGACCTGCGCGTGGCCTCTCTAGCCGCTGATAGATAGATAGATAGACAGCATGGTCCGAGAGTCCTGAGTCCCTTCTACTTTTGTAGCCTTAGTCTTAGTCTCTTTCTCTGTCTACCTACCATCACAATTTAACCGCCGGACCGGTGTTCCCAGATAGATGAATGGACGGATGAATTGGTGGATGGGCATCAGCACGTCTTTCCTGCAGAACACTACTGTACCCAAGCACTGAGCACTGTACGAGAGGGGAGGAGAGTATATGTAACTTGACTGCCGTCAGAGATAATTAATTCCACGTACATAAATAGAAAGTGACAGTCGGACCATGCACAGTTAGTGTATGTATGTACGTATATGGATGAGTATGTGTGTGTGTGTGTCTAAGTGGGGACGAGCCCAGCCCGTCAACCCTGTCTGTCTGTCTGTCAGTCTGTCAGTCTGTTCCTGTCCCTTCCTTCCAACGCCCGAGCCGATCCCATGGTAGCAGAAACGCCGGAATATGTGCAGTGCGCCCAAAGAGGAATGAGAACCAATAAAAAAAATAAAAAAAAAATCAAACCGTGATGTGTCCGGGATGCATGATCCCCACCGTCTGGAGACTGGGCCCCTTGTACTGCGCCAGGAGTGAGCTCACGATCTCACGGTAGGTGTTCATCTGCGACAGCTTGAAGCGTTGGATCTTGCCACTGGCCGTGCGCGGAATCTCCTCGACAAAGACCACCCCCCCGTCCAGCGCCTTGTAGCTGGCCAATTGTCGCCGCGAGAACTGATACACCTCCTCCGCCGTCACTCGGCTGCCTGCCCCCCTCTTGGCTCGCACCACAAACGCCCGCGGCAGCTCCGTGCTGCCGTCTTGCGATGTAACCCCAATCACCGCCGCGTCGTCGATCTCCGGGTGCTTCAGCAGCACTCCCTCCAGCTCCGCGGGGGCTACTTGCCATCTGCCGTGTCCGAGTTCAGTCAGCCTGGTGTGCGAGACGAGAGAGAGAGAGGAAGCAACTTACCCGCGAACTTTGATCAGCTCCTTCGTGCGGCCGTAGATGTAGAACAACCCGCCATTGAAGTACGCCACATCCCCCGTGCGGAACCACCCCTGCGCGTCCTTCGCGTCGCTGCGTCCCTTATACCCGCTCATTAGGCCAGCACCGCGCACGTACAGCTCGCCGGGGCGGTTGTCCTCCACCACCAGCTGCCCATCCTGTCCGACCAGCCGCACCTCGTATCCAGGGAGCAGCCGGCCGATGCTTCCGGCGTGGCCCGGCTCGCCGTACCGGTTCTGGAACACCACGCCCGCCTCGGTCATGCCCCAGAGCTGGGAGGCCTGGGCATTCGGCTGGAGGAATTCCTGGAACTGTTGCATGGCGGCCGCGTCGATGGGGGCGCCCGCCACGCCAACGTAGCGGAGGGAGGCCAGGTAGTCCGCGATGGGCAGGGTGGAGCGGTGGAAGGTGTGAATCATGGCCGGGACCATGTAGGTCTCGGTGATACGGTACTGGTACACGGCGGCGACGAACTGGGTCAGATCGAAGCGCGACAGCACGAACAGGGGCTGGCCGTGGCGGATGGGGAACAGGTGGGTCCACAGGGCGCCAAACAGATGGAACATGGGCAAAGACATGAGCCGGGACACCTCGTAGGGCACCTCGTAGTGGATGCTGCGGTGATGGGACACGATAGCGTGGTGGGAGAGGAGGGCCGCCTTGGGCAGGCCTCCGGTGCCGCTGGTGGAGAACATCGCGGCGGGCGTGGCTTTGGCCCTGGCCTCGTCCTGGAAGGCCACCCAATCGCTCTCGCCGTAGCCGAGGAGGTGGGCGAAGTTCATGCAGGAGCTGTTGTCGCCGCTCGGGAGATATGGCGCACCTGCAACCGCGTAGGCCAGTGGGCCGACCAGGAGACGGTGGGCGATGTGATCACCTGCAGCCTCGTCCAGCACGCACACCTGGCTGGGGAGAATTCCCCGGTCGGCTGACACGCTCAGCACCGTGGGCAGGGCCTCGCGCGACGTGATGATTAGTCGGGGCTGCGCCAGCTGAAGAATATGGTCCAGCTCCTGTGGTTGGCTGCGGGCGTTCGAGCCCATGAAGACGCCGCCAGCGCCGATGATGCTGAAGAAGAGGGCGGGGTATATGATCTACCAATCCGTGAGTCAGAGGGCGAAGGAGGGGGCTGCAGGAATGCATGGGGGGAGGTAGTCAAGGCAGATGATCATGACAATGACAAGAGCAAATGGAACAAAGGCAGAGGTGGGGGAAGGGGAGGGTGGAGGGGAGGGTTGTGGGTGTGGATGCGGATGCGGATGTGGGTATAGGCAGGGGTGTGGATGGGGATGGGGGGGTGGAATACGGTGCAATCAGGGGACACGAAGGAAGCTTACACTATTCCCCAGGTGGACCAGCACACAGTCCCCTCTTTGCACATGGTGGGCTTTTAGGCCCGCAATCAGCATTCGAACCAGCGTCTCAAACTGCCGCGCATTGAAGGAACGCTCGGGGTCCTCCGCGTCGATGTACAACGGGCGCTCGGGGTCATGGTGAACAGGACCGCGAAAGGCGAAGGTCAACAAGTCGGTGTACATGCTGGTGCTGCTGGGTTTGCTGCTGGGAATCATGTTTTGTTGTTGTTGTTGTTGTTGTTGTTGTTGTTGTTGTTGTTGCTGGTGCTGGTGCTGGTGCTGCTGGTTGTTGTTGTTGTCGCCCAGATTGGGATATTCCAAGGACTCCTCCCACAGATCCATATTGGCTGTCAGGTCAGAAGAGAGCAGCAATAAATGACAGGGACAGAGACAAGAGACAGGAGGCCAGAAGAAGATCACGAAATCGTGCAGGGGAATGGAATTAGCACGGAATGAGGACAGAATGAAATCCCAAGACCCGAGGGAAGGGGGGGGCGAAGAGAATATAAGGATATATTGGGCATGGTGGAGGGCGCTGGACTTGAAGGTGTCGCAAAGTCAAAAGGATCGCGAGAATTCCAGTTTGCGATGATTTGGAATAGCGACGGGGCGTGGCGCAACCCGACACATCGTCGTCGCTCCCGATCGGCCCACGGGAGATGAGAGACGAATGGCCGCTTCAGAAAGTTCAGATCTCGGCCGGTGGGTCGGGGCTAGCGAGGATTGCGTTAGTCTGGAGTCATACATCTCGTCTTTCAGGTCGTCCCGGGCGAACAGGTCCCGTCATGCACGCGAACTGGGAAAGACTAGTTAGTTAGTTAGTAGGGAGTAGATAGATGGTATCTAGTCAGCCCTCCATGGAGTCCAGTAGTACTGTCCTAGTCACACTGACTGTATCGCTCACTCTTCTTGATCCATGATCATGATCTCCCTCCATTATTCCATAACCTAATCCAATATTGGGCTGCCGCGCATCCTTCAGCCTGACTGGCTTCTTCTTGTCTCTGCAGGACTGCCTCGTGCAGCTGAACCCCGACTAGATCTCCCGTCTTGGGAACCGAACTAGCAGCCAGCCCATGGCCTTCCCCCTCCACTAGGGCTGTAGACTCAGACACTGTGGCTGTGGCTGTCGCATTGGCATTGACACACTACCACCATCACGCTCTGCTGAACGTCTGATATCAACCTGCGCGCGCAGTGGGTCCACCCGGCCCTGTCCTGCCCTGCCCTTCCCTGTCCACCCACCCATGCCAGGCTGAGATGTACCCCGGCCGCTAAAGGATCGTAACCATGCTGTCGACCCATCGTCGGGATGCCTGCCCACTGCCTAGGCTGTTTGTCGCCGTCCCATCAACATGGTGAGGACCCCAGCGCCGACCCTCTGATCGCCCCGTCCGGGAAAAAAAAAACAAAGAAAGAAAGCAAGAAATCTGTGCGTTCTGCATGGATCGGGCCATGCAACCTGAGCCTGTCAACCCATTCCACCCACCGGAGATCCTGCGCATTATTGCCCTGCGCGCCGATTTTCCGATTATCGATCCCCCCCCCCCCCCCCCTCGCTCCGCCCACCAGACCTGGTGGGGAACACGAACCTCTGTGGCAAGCACCATTGCGTCTTACACGAGTCTTCAGCGGTGCTAGCGTCTCTCTCGGAACCCTGACCCTCCTGCACGAGCCGCTCCAACTGAAAGCACTGGGGCGTCCTAATCTCTAGCTCGTTGCATCTAGTTATCACCCTCGCTAGATCCACGCGCCATGGAACTGGGGCGGGAATATACGCCCCTCCGGAGGAAGGACCCCATTGGCTCTCCTCTTTCTGGATTGGGTGACTGCGAGCGGACTCGTTCAGGCCAGAATGCCCGTCTTCGCTGCTCATTGGTAGTTCCCCGTTGGGTCTCGGGTGCATTGCGGCAGGGCAGGTCCCATTCATGGGTACAATAGCGTCGAAAGATGCTAAGGCCGGAAGGCATGGAACCATACGAGCCGATGCAAGGCAAAGGTGCCGAGATAAACCGCATGCGGCATGTGGCCAGCTGCTAGGATCTGGGCTAGTATAGACTATAGCCCTGGTAACTCCAATGTCTGATGTATGCCCACGATTCGGGAAATATTCCCTCTGCATCGGGGTCAGATGTCGTCATGCCCAAAAGATTCAAATGAGAGCCTTGCCCGGTCCGGGATGCAAGACGCAGCTGAATTGTGGGCCACATCTCATTCATTCGTCCGTGGTGAGGTCACGGTGTTATATCGTCTGCATTGCAAATTGAGTTGCCTCCGCCGTTGCATCTGTTTGCGTCGAATGATCCATACCTGCTGATGCCCCCCCCCCCCCCTCTTTTCCCCTCTTCACATCCTTGCCAACCCTTACATTGGCCCTGAACATTATCTGTACCTGCTTCTGTCTGTCTTGGACCCCTACTTTGAATTATCCGAGACATCAAAGATAATGTCGACGTTGGTGGAAAGCGTGGTGACGGTTCCACCACCTGCCAAATGTGCCTCGGGGCAGGCGAGTCCTGGTGCATCTACCTTGACAGAGTCAACTTTCGTCCAAGGCATCTCGGAGAAGGTGGAATGTCCACCCGATGACAAGGGCTCGGTGGATCTGGAAGCCCAGGTCAACAAGAAGGAGAGATTTGGCCCGATCCGCTACACCCTGCTGAACATCTATCGCCGTCTCTTCACCCTCGTCGTTTGCGCCAATGTGGCAGTATTCATTGCCATCATGGTAACAGATCAGACGCTGCTGGCACTGGTGAACGCTGCCGCGGGGAACTTACTCGCATGCGGCCTCGCACGACAGCCTCTCGTGGTCAACTCAATCTTTGTTGCCGTATGCTCGATACCCAGGTCGGCCCCGCTGAGAATCCGCCGCATCGCCGCAAAGGTATACCATTACGGGGGGGTTCATAGCGGGTGCGGAATAGCTTCGTTCATATGGTACGTGGGCTTCGTGGGAGTGTTGTCCCGAGAGTACTGGGTCCCCCCGTCGGGAGGGACAGTTCTCTCGCTGGCACCCATCGTCCTGGCGTACGCGATTCTGGTGCTGTTGCTCGCGATTATCGTCGTCGCGCACCCCAAGTTCCGCTTCAAGCGGCATGACTATTTCGAGCTCACGCATCGCTTCTCCGGCTGGCTGGTCGTGGCGCTCTTCGTGGTGCTTCTCATGGTCTTCGCCCATGAAGCCAGCCGTGCGGCGAATGAGCCGCTCGGCCGGTTTCTGATCAAGCTTCCTGCCTTCTGGTTCTTGATGGTGACCGTGCTTGCCATCATCCACCCGTGGGTGCTGCTGCGGAAAGTCAAGGTCCAACCGGAGTACGTCTCCTCCCACGCGGCGAGGCTCCATCTCAGCCACACGACCACGACGTTCGGGAAGGGAATCCAGCTGTCCAGACACCCCCTCCAGGACTGGCACGGGTTCGCCACCTTCCCGGACCCAGGGGGCAAAAGCTTCTCCTGCCTGGTGTCCAAAGCCGGAGACTGGACCGCCGCCTGCATCAAGGAGCAGCCGACGCACTTGTGGAAGCGGGGAGTCCTGGTGTACGGGTTTGCGTACGCGATGAGGGTGTTCAAGCGAGTGGTGGTGGTGACTACCGGGTCGGGTATCGGACCCTGCCTGTCATTCCTGGGGGACGACAATCGCCCGGATCTTCGCGTAGTCTGGCAGACTCGAGCGCCTTTGAAGACGTACGGGGAGGACATCCTCAACCTCGTGTCGGAGATGGATGCGAACCCGGTGGTCATTGACACGAATCAGGCCGGACGGGTGGACATGGTTCCGATCATTCGACGGATGGTGCAGGAATTTGACGCGGAGGCTGTGTGTGTGATCAGTAACCCGGTGATGACGAAGAGGGTGGTCTTTGAGCTGGAATCGAGGGGCATCCCCGCGTTTGGACCGATCTTTGATTCATAGATATTGGGGGTGGGTACTTTGGTTGGAGTTTCTGGGTTTGCTTTCTGGTGTTTTTGGGGTTATGATGGATGGATGGATGGATGGGAGGTGAAGTTTGAAATTGGAGTGGGAGTTTGGGAGTTTGGGAGGTTTGGGTTGACCGGGTTTCGGCAATGGGGATTGCCTTCACACGCCGTTGGAGACGAACGTGGACGACATGCTATTTACAGAACATGCAAACAGGTTACCGATCTGCAGGGGGTGGCCGTCCGCTGGGTACGTGCAGCACCATCTCAAATCTTCGTACATACAAGTATTTGAGTCTACTACTTCTGTCTCACAGTGCCAATAATCAGCATGCGAGGGGGCTTTCGTGCCTCCTCCCTGTGTCACACAGAGGGGAGATCGGTCTCGATCCAGATTGAACTGCCTACGGTTTCAAGAGAGAACAAGGATCCACGTATGTAAACCGTTCCACAAAGCAAGTCTTTTGAGCAATCCGGTATATCTGTAGGAAATTCGACTCCGTCGATGACAAGGTATGGGTAAAGTGGAACAACAAAAGAGAGAGACATGACAATGACTATGGGTATCATGCAAACAGAAAACAGAAGATCCATCCCCCCCCCCAGTGATACAAAATGCAAATGTAGCAGACAAAAACTTTTCCGGGCACCTTCTTTAGATGTTCCATGCCATTAAAATTATAGTGCGAAGTATGAAAGTGCACGAGTGCGCTTTGCGATTCGACTTGAAGTAACTGTTGAGAGCAACTGCGACTGTTCCGAACTCCCCTGAGTCGGCAATCGTTCAATTCATAAGTAATCGTAACGTCGTGAGTGTCGATGGGCGAAGCCCCTGAAGGGGTGCGCGTGTGTTGAAAGAAAAAGAAGTATGAGGTAGCAAGGTCAGGAAAAGCGGTAAGCTTATCTTGAGACCCGAGAATCGATAGATGGCGCCCGGTCATCACTTCCAAAGTCCGACGGCTCGGCGGTCAGATCATCGGTCGTCAACTGAGATCGCCCCCGGGAGGAGTGAGTTGAGTCACTGTCCAGTCGAAGGGACTCCATGCGGTCCAACTCCTCATACTCCGGCAGGTGTAGAGGGGACCCGTGGTAGTCCTCCATGATACTAGCGCCGTCGAGTGTGGTGTATCCGGGAGGGCTGGCGGGAACATCTTCGTAAACCGGCGGCATTTCTTCATCCCAGCTGATCCCGAGCCCGCTGCGTTCCGTGACATGCAGGTGGAATTGCATCCGCAGCACACGCGCCGCTCCGGTGGGGGTGATAAGCCTGGTGTTGCGGTTGGGGCAGAACTCCTCGGCGACGATCAACTCGATCACCAGATTGTGTCGAGCTTCCAAGCCACCGGGGGCCTCAAGATCGCACACAGGGTTGCAAGAGGGGTTGATGCTCGCTTCGAATTGCATACTGATTTCACCGCCGGCAGTATCGAAATCGGTTTTCCAGCCATCTTTCTCTTCGTTGTGACCAATGATGCGTGTTTCCTGGTGCAATACTCCTTTGCCCTCGCCCCCGATCTTGTGTGCGTGCTTGGAGCAGGCGGTCGACACGATCTTCTGGTGCTCTTCGATGCGCCACATCATCTTGCGCAGACGCCAGCGAGTCTGGGTCTCTTCGCCTTTGTCCACGACCCCACTGAGGGTCATCTGGACGGGGAAAGTGCCGATGGGGTGCACGACTGAGGGAAGAACGATGCGGCCGGTAAGGTTGGTCGGAGGGAAGATACGAATGGACGACTTGTCATTGCTGGGGAGAATGGCACGCTTGATGTGCAGCGGCATCTTGTAGGTGTACTCTTCGCCGGTGACGCTGTGAGCACGTGCGGCAAGGAAGTATTCGACCTGGCCGAGGGAACCGTTGCAGGAGGCGGGAAGGTTTCCGGGGACGAGATAGCTGAAGGGGAATTCATGATCGCCGCTCTTGAGCTGGATTGGCTCCGTCAGGAAGTTCCAGTGGGTCAATTCTTCAGAACGCGAGGTGCAGTTGGCGCAGTCCCGCGACACTGGCTTTCTGGTTGTCAGTCTGCTCATGAGGCGCATGTCGAACGTATCCAGGGTAAGTTGGCCTGCCACGTCCGAGACGCTGATCCTCAAGCGCCCCGAGAATAGGGCACCAGTCGAGTTCGCAGGGTTTCCGTAGCATACGAGCGGAGGTGATTCAACAATGACGTTCAGCTTGGCCAGAGCAGCCACGCTGTCGTCGTGGGCGGCGGCTCTCTCCTTCGAACGAGAGGACCGACCATGGCTACGCCGCTTGTCCTTGCTATGGTCACGGTGGGGGTGAATGAGGTGCTCGACTGCGAAAGACAGGCGGCGTTCAGGAGATCGGTGTCTTTCCGCGCTTCCATGTGCAGTGGGCTTCTTTGAGACCACCGTAGTGTGTGGGATCTCGTTGACGGACGAGGACGAGGAGGAGTTGGAGTGTGAGATGGAGGAGTGGTGGGAGAGGGAGGGGCGGACGAAACTGGAGAGGAGACGGCCAGGCATGATGTCGAATTGTCGAGTGAACACTCGCTTCGTCTTGTGACAGCCTTGGGGGGAAGTCCTCTGTATCAACGGCCCGGCAGCGGAGGGAGGCCGTGGGGACGCGGATCGTAACAATAGATCGCGGGGTCGTTTCTTATTGCGCGGTTCGGTTGTTGTTGTACGGTTGGGATAAATGGGAGACGATCACGTTCATAATCCTCTGGGAATTGAAATTGTAGCTCGTGCCTAGAGCATATATAGTCGCGTCCTGGTATGGGTGAGTCACGCAAGCAGGATGCTGAGACAGTCAACGGAGGGGTGGAAAGTGTTTCTAGGGAGGTAAATAAAGGAGGAGCTGAGGCAACTTGTAGGACACCAGGAGAGGAGATGGAAAGAAGAAGTGGGCGAGCAGCTGCCTTTGAATGAACCCGAACAAGCTTTTTCTCTCTTTTTGTCCCAAATAATATAGTACAAGTACTGTCATCCCTCCTATTATTCTGATTGTTTCCCTGTTCCCTTTTTTTTTTTTTTTTTTTTTCTTGATTAAAAATATTTTTTCCTCCTTTTTTTTTTAGCACGGTTGCTTTCTGGGACGTTCCCACTCTGTAACAGGTGCCATTGATTCCCTGGTCTGGCCACACTCTCGTCTCCATCCCATCGGGCGGACGATGGAGTTCGGGTGGGGCGCGGCAAAACCAGCGTCATAGTGGGCCTTACCGTACGCTTTCCGTACGTGACCCTGCCCGTACTGCCCCTCTTCCTTCTCCCCCTCCCCGGCGGAAAGCGCTCTCGCCTGAAAAGGACTAAAGTAATTGTTTCCAATATTCATGGCCTTGCTGGTGGTTTGACAGGTTTCTGGCCTCATCCTCTGATCTTCCACACCGTTGTTTAGCTTGCGTGATCTATCCGATCCGATTGCATCACTGACAGCTCCTCACTTTTAATTCTCCTACGGAGTACCGTACCTACATACATCCATCCTGTCAGCAGTAGTACTAGTACCCCGTGTACCTACTCCGACCCCCGTAAAACGAGCACCAATCGAAGCCATGTGAGCTCGGTATTGGGTAAACCTTCCTAGGGAGATCCATCCCCAGCTTTTGGATCATCCCGAAGACCGAAACTTCAAGTATCAGAGGCACCAGACCAACTCCTCGGCTAAATCCTACGGAAGCTGTCATCGGTATTCCCCCGGATGTCGCCAGCGCAGTATGCACGTCACGTCGTTACAGACACGATTCATCGCTGTGCGATCCCAAGGCTCCAATCCAAGGCATGTGATGCAGTCGTATACTACCACCTACTACGAGGAGATGTCCAGACTCCAGAGTGCGTGCATTAGATTCGTATCGATCAAACTCTCTCTTGCATCATTTGACTGCGCAAGCTGGTCCGCAGATGCTCTCCGCTGGACGGCTTCAGCGCATGGTTCCCCGATGCCCATTTCTCGAGGCCGTGCGCAATGACTCACTCTTACCTTACCCCATAGTTAACTATGTTGGAGGAGTCCGAGTGAGGAACTCGGGTAGGTGACTACTAACTGACTGACTCCCTTGGTCCGGGCCGAGAAAAGTCCCTAGGTGTCGATCGTTGGCTCCCAAATGTTTGCGTGACCCAAGCGCAATCGCAGCGAGCTTTACGCAATCCGCCCTCCGTTGAGGGGATTCTAGACACATTCGTGGTGCCAGCTTGCTCAGCGATGTTGTCATGACGGAGAGGGGTCCCTTTGTTCGAGAATCGAACCAGGGGGTGGACACGATGACTAATGTTCTAGACGGTCTTACGGTTGGGGTCGTCCAGGGCTGAGGCCGCCACGCCTGGCACCACAGTGCGATTGGGTCATTATACACTCTTGGGACCCGGGACTGCCACGACGACCGGCATAGAAACGGTCTGTGCCTGCCAAGGTACACACAGTCAGTCAGTTAGGTACGTACCTCCGGAGGTCGAAGATCCTTTCCTAGGTGTCTAGGTAGCTATCTATCTCTGACGGGGAATGATGGTCCGTAAAGGAAATACTGACTAACCTCCTCACCTGGCTAGCTAATAATAACTACCTCCATCCTCCATAGTAGCAGGTACGGAGTACTTCGTACTAACGGAGGAGACACACTGGCGGCACCGGATATCCGACCAGGCTGGTCCGGAACTCGAGATCGCGATGACACCTGACAGGGGGGGGGGGGCGTTTTCTTTGCTCGTTCAGGAAGGTCAGCTGCCGTCATCAACCCATCACGTGGCGTCATGCGCTGCTCTGGGAGCCCGAGGGGTTCAAGGCGGTCTGGCAGGGGAGGCGCCGGTACGGGCGGTGACCGGCATCCTGACGCGGGTGTACGTTACCATACGGCAGCACGTTGTGGCACTAATTGGAGATCCTCTGGATCCGACCTGCCGCTTTTTCAAGCTGCACCAACGAGGCGCAGAGACCAGAGACTGAGGAAAGCGCTAGCCCCATCCGTACCGGATGTTGTGCCTACTAACCTACGGATTGGGGAACCCTTTGGGAAAATTCTTTGCAGAGTTTTATTCCGGGGGGGGTCAGATACAACCTTACAACTCGCAACTCGGCCAGGTTCCACATGCCGAGCAGGAAAAAAAGAAAAGAAAACGCCCACCGACTCTTGTGTTGGGTGTGTAACCGGTCGGTCGCGTCCAACCTTCAAGGTCCCAAAGTCTAATTCGAAGACAATCATAATGTTGGAGTCGAGTCGCGACATGCCCGTCAGCCGCCCACGGGTCCTCTCCTCGTTATAGCCATTCTGGGCCAAGTCCCGGACCCTTCACGGACTACGGAGTACTTCATGTATGTATCTAGTAGGTACAGGCAGCCTTGTAGGAAGACTGCATGCCTAGCGAGTCGCGAGTCGCCAACTCGCCATAGGGTCGACTTTTCCCCGCACTACAGTAGAAAATTCCGTTCTTTGCGGGGCATTGATCAATCACATCATCCGGCTGCGGTTGCCGGTCGGTGTAGCGAAGTAGCGAAGTCCAATCCAATAGTGGCATGTTGTTGTTGCGAAAAGGGCCACGATGTCGGGAGTATGTCGGCGTACAGAGTCGGGCAGGTAATTCATAGTAGTACTGAGATAGTTGTACCTAGCTACCTAGCACTCGATACTGGGTAACATATGATTGATATGCTTGACCAAAAAAACTCAATGACGAAGAGGTTGTTCTAGACAGCAGGGCCCTGCTGCTAGCTGGCAGCCGACCGCTCCTGCCTGACGAATGGCCTCCCCTGGCCGCCATCCCAATTACCTAACGGTTTGACGGCCATCGCCGCTCATTGGAGGCAGTTGGCAGCGTGGCCTGCCCATTGAGGTGTCAGGACGACAGCATGCGCGTTTGATCGGTCTGATCATCGGAGATCCAGACAGCTGAGCTGCTGAGAAGGGACCGACGGAGTACCTTGGGCGAGAGTTTCGGCACGCGCTGCTGAGGACCGCTACGGATGGCCGAATCGATCACGCCATGAGATCGGAAGCTATACAGGATTTACATAGTAGCTCCTAGCCTCCTCAGTCTGTTTCAGAAGATACTACTATATTCTTACTAGTACCGCGGGCAAGGCTACGGAGTCCCATAACTATGGAGTAGCTTTCCGTACTAAGACTCCAAACTAGATAGGAGGTGCTTCGGAGTTGAGCTGCAGTTCTGAGAAGATGTTCCTGTCTGCAAACCCCATTGGCTGCGGCACGGGCTACACAGAACATGGATCACGACAGTGACGACACATGTGCATGCAGGGGTGCTTTGTGCGGCCTTGCGTAACTCGTTGATTATCAGGCATTGAAACCTGAGGATTGCAACCACACAGTCACAGTCTTCATGCAACTGTCAACATGTCCGCATGCGGCCATGGTACTCCTGCGCTGTGATTTTCTTTCCCGATTGGGAGCGAAATTCGCCGGCCAGGCTGGTCTTGGCTCTGGAGCCTCGGGGTACCTGACTTAGCATCGAACTTTATACTTCATTACTATTGCTCTTTGCACCGACGAAAACTGATCTTAGTATCAGTCCCGCATACTTATCTAGATATCGCTCATTGAATCCATGAATGAGGGATTTTCACACTCTTGAACACGCACTGCGGTTGCGGTTGCGGTATTAACCATATCCCGGCACCTGCCCTGGACTTGTCATGCTTGGACCCCATCCCATGCAGTTGATATGCAGGACAACTACTTACTTACTTACTACTACTAGTAGACTACCGACCCCTGCCCCATGATGCCCGCTAGCCGACCAAGTTTTCGTCAACACAACCCATTGCAGTAGTAGGGAGACGGCGTCGCGAGTCGCGCGGCCGTGTTTACCCTTTCCCAGTTCCCACTGGGGCTTTCCGCGGAAACCCAGTGGAGGATGGATGGTTCCCAGGCACGCCATACCCGGTTGATCTATAGTCTTACGGGGCCTGCCCACCGGCCCGGATCTCTTCTCACGGTTAGTTTTAGCGCCTTCCATGATTTCCATTGCGAGATGAGTCTTCTCCCGAGCGCTAGCGCCTCAGAATTTTCTCGCCGTTCTCCTCTAAAAGCCTCGGCGGGCGAAATCGCTCATAGTATGATTGATAGTACTACTTACTACTGCTAGCCAGCCCCAGCGGGCCAGCTGGTCCGCTTTGTTCGAGGACTTCGGCGACTGCCGTGGCTACCCTCTCCCCTGTCCGGTGAGGTCCTCGAGTCCGAGTCCGCGGGCGCGCGGCGTACTGTGTGTGTGTGTGTGTGTGGCTGTGTGCACTGTTGCACTGTGTAACAACGGATGGGGTAACTACCTGCGGACCGCCTTCGGGCTCGATTTGGCACCAATAGTTAGTTTGTATACGATTGTATGACTAAGTGTGGCCCAATCTCGGATATCCTCGCTCAAAGTTTTTGCTGCCTCGTCTAGACTGACTCTGGACCGCGCGGGCGATGAAAATATCAACTCGAAACATCTGCTCAGTTCAGTGCTCACGGTAGTATCATCATCCGGTCGCACGAGGGCTACGGCGGCTTAGGTAGCATGACTCGTTGGCCGGGGTTTTCCTTGCTTTGGGATTGTATCTGTGGTCTGGATTGATGGCGTTGAGGTCTGATGATGTCTAATTCACTAACTAATATCTAGTAAATAGTAATGCTAATGCCAATCGGATGCTCATCGTGGAAGAAGATGTCGTCTCCATCTTCGGAATAATTTTCCCGACGCGCAGCAGACGGATTTTCATGCGCCGCAGCGACGGTCTGCCTGGATATGCTGGCGGTGAGTGGAGCGGGAATCTTGTTCTTCTTCAGCCCTACGGTCGATATCTATCTGCTGCCGAGAAACAACCCAGCGGATTACGGAGTATTATGTATTGGAGGAAGAGTTCTTTTTTTTTTTACTCCGTATTGTTCTGATGAAATATCTCAGACTGTTTAGCCAGGCTTTATGTAAGAGTATCATGATGTCTGGCGCTTGCAGACACTTGGTTTTCGAATAGACATATACTATGTGCGGAGTATATATTTTAGAGACTTGGAAAACTTATAACGCATTCTGGATTAACACCCTTTTTCTCCCCATTGGATTAGACCTGATTATTAGCTGAAAGCTTGATCCTATACAACTCAACATCTAGATACCCATTTACAAGCCTCCCACAACTAGAAGATGTCATCCTCCGACGGTGGCCTTCCGCCCAACTAGGTTAGCGCAGTCTTCTGACAGCTGACTAATCCAACCGCGCATGATGCTCCAATTTGGATTAATTCTTGGGTTCTTCTACGCGCTTTGTCCTTTATACCGGAACATGAACCCCCCTTTTAGCTGTCAAGATGGGCACCCAACAAGGAGTATTTCTTCTCGGATCAACGGAACCCCTTGAGCTTGATCTCGGTACCGCATCGTCCACGCCAGCTGCTACGGACGTGGAAGCGGAGACGGGAGCAGAAGCAGAAGCAGAAGCAGAGGCGGAGGCAGAGGCAGAGGCAGAGGCAGGAGCAGGAGCAGAAGCAGGAGCAGGAGCAGGAGCACCGGTTCCAGATCAAAATGACACCACTGCCATTCTTCCCCCTCCCCCAGAGGCCTGGTACTTAACAGAGACGGACGCGCTCCACAATGTCACAACCTGGGCGGAAAAGCACAAATATCGAATCGTGCGGGCAAGAAGCAGTAGGAGCGGGGATGGGGTGGCCAAGTTAATCTACTTGATGTGTGACCGCAGTCGAAGCACCGTAAGCAAAGCTACTGGGATTCGGAAACGGCAGCCATCGCGACGCATAGGCTGTCCCTTCAGCCTGGCAGTGGGCTACCGTAAGAACCACCAGCTATGGTACGTCAGGATCCGCAACCCCAATCACAACCACGGCCCTTCAGAGCCGAGGAAACCTGCTCGCAAGCAGAAGAAAGAGTTGCCGCCGCCGATTTCTGCGCCTCTGCCGGAAAAAGCGCCACGTCAACCCACGCCAGAAAGCGCTCCTCCGCCTCCGGAGCACCTGATGATCCCGGGCCTGCGAGACGTCGCCCTGAGGGCGTACTGCGAGTGGCAGGAATCCCATGTCGCGGACGCACTACTCAAGGTCGAGTTTCGAAAGGCGCGGGATGTGGCTCATGCCAATGGATTTGATCTGGAGCAGATCTGCCTGGACAACGACCCGCAATTCTACATCGAAGCTGGGGTGAAGAAGGGCATTGCGAGGCGTTTCGTGACTGATATCAAGCAATGGGCTAAATTGTGCGAGGAACTGAATTGATGGACTGCGTACAGTCATTCTTGCAGGTTTTTGGGGGGGGGCTTTCTTTGGTCATTGTTATTTTCCGAGATGGTCGGCGTTGAAGTCTTATTGTGATTCGAGAAGTTTTGTCATCCACCAACAACCTGGCTAACTACCAAGGGGGCCCAGCGAAAAGGATGAAATAACCATGGCTGGCCCAAAACAAACACCATCCGATGGGTTCAAGTGGAAACTGCGTCATGGAGATATTGAACTCAACTGATAGTAGGCAAGGCCTCTACCACCAAGTCCTTGGTCGTACTCCAGAATAATGCGCGAGTTGAGGAGTAGATATCCCATTCCAGATGGCTGTTGGTCCGATGTAGATCGGCAGCACGTGACGGCAGCTCCACCGCATGAAGCTCCGGAGAACGTCAACATTTGACACTTGATCCTCCCCGACATTCACCTTCTCAATCACTTGGTCCATCTCCGCCAGTATGATTTCTCTCATATAAAACAACCTAGTTTACACTCAATTGGCTGTCCTCTGCTCTAACTCGTTTTCTGCCTTGACACGCATTCGCTTGATGCATGCGGCAAAAGGTGCTCGTCGGATACGGACATAGACAAGCCCCCCCCCCGGACTGTTCTTTTCTCTCCACCCACCAATTGCTTCGATCACACCGCTGTCCTACTTCGGGGTCGAGGGATCGAAACTACAGCCAGACGCTAAACCTCTCGATAATAATCAACAATTACATGACCCCTGGCACCATGACTCCTTCGACATTAATCACCCTAGGTCTCGCGGTTTCGGCCGTGTTCATCTTCTGGACAATGTCCTCGACCTCCTCGTCACCCTTCACCAATGCCTTCCCTCGCCTCTACAACAAGCGAGTTTGCTTGCTTATCGCCCACCCCGACGATGAAGCCATGTTCTTTGCCCCCACGGTGCTGGCTCTTACAAAGCCGGGCTACGGGAACCATGTGAAGATTCTCTGCCTCAGCAGCGGTATGTACCTACCCACGCATTGGATAGATATAGAAGGTACCAATGCTGACCTCTGCTGCCCCGGTGATGCAGGAGACGCCGACGGGCTCGGTCACATTCGCAAGAAGGAACTCGTGAAGAGCGCAATGCAACTGGGACTACGGAACGAATCGGATGTTTACGTCGTGGACGACCCCTCTCGCTTTCCCGATAGCATGACAGCCCAATGGTCGGAAAGTGATGTCGCAAGTGTTCTCGCATCCGCATTCGCCCCCGAAATAAGCGATAATTCCACTTCCCGGAAGAAGACAAACAAAGCTAGCCCGCCCACGGCGAGCATCGACGTGCTCCTGACCTTCGACAAAGGCGGTATAAGCAACCACCCCAACCACCGGTCTCTCTACCATGGTGCCCTTTACTTTATCCGCTCCTTGATGAAAGACAAAACCGGCTACACCTGCCCCATTACCCTATACACCCTCACCACGACGAACCTCGTGCGCAAGTATGCCGGGATCCTTGATGCGCCGTTGACCATGGTCCAGGGCGCTTGGAGTTCTCTTCGGCGCCGCAGTTCCAAAGGCCAGATGCCCTCTCGACTTCTGTTTGTCAGTTCCATCAACGAGTGGTTGACCGCGCAGTCTGCCATGGTCAAGGCCCATCAAAGCCAGATGGTATGGTTCCGATGGGGTTGGATTACAATTGGACGGTACATGGCCGTGAATGACCTGCAGGCGGAGAAGATATGATTGCCATGATGTATGCTCATGGGCCAGGTGTCCATGGACTCATCTGAGTGGTCATTGGTGTAGTGTCCCCCACCCTATCCGCGGCTTAATACCCAAATTGTATATATCCTTTCTTCCCACATTGGGCTGATATTACTTGGAATTCTTGCTTAGAGGGTCAGTTTCCTCACTGTATAGGTATGTTCCCGCCGTACCCATTCTACTTATACGGCGAAATGTGGGCCTTGATAGCCCTGCATCAACCACGGGAACATGCGCTAACCGTGGAAACTACTTCAGATGCCTTACGCATGGACTCGCAGGGGTAATTTTATTGACAAAGGCAGGACATAGAGTACTCGGTTCGTAATGTGTCCTCATGGACAGGGTATCCGCTCAGGTAATAAACAGGATAGTGCAATCATAAGGGTTCATAACTGACAACTGGAAATAGCACATGATGTGGTTTACGTTGTTTAGCCTCGGAGGCTTAGAAGACTTGTTCTTCGGGGCACGAGTTGTGAGCCGAGAGGCGGAAAGGAGAAAGAAAAGAAAGAAAGAAGGAGAAGATCAAACCAATGATGGAGCTCCAGGCACGGTGTGGAAAGTATCATCAGGTTCATATGTTTGGCGTTTTGGTGCGAGAGGGCGCGGAATCTTGCCAGTGTGACCGGATCCTTCCCCCCGAAAGGTAGCAGGTTCATCAGCAGCATCATGCTCATATGATTCGTCATATTCGTGGCCGGGATCTTCGATAGCTGGGTCATACACGTCCTCATGCTCATATGCTTCGTGGTATCTAAGAACGGGACCGAAAAGCCGTTTCAGTGGCGCGGAGGTCATTTCAATATGCGGCATTGATTGCAGACGCCTCCTCCAGAAGTAACGATCATCTAGTCTCGCCTCGTTATCCAACTCGGTATCAGTACGCGAAGCTGGCAGCCGAATTGGCACATTCTTATGGGGTCTTAGATTACATTCGCCCCAAAAGGTCCGCCCACGAAATTGGACGATCCCCCCGTGAGTGTGACATACAGTAGACTCTGGAAGGAAGTCTTGCCATTCCTCAAGCATCCGCGGAAGAAGTCTTCGCTCCCATACTGGGTTGTCATGGTCCGCCCAGCGCCTTCTAATCAGCAGGAGCTTTGCGAGACTCTCAAGTGTATTGGTTTCCTGAGCAGTGCGCAGTCGAAGAACATCATATCTATGCACCGCATCTGCAAATTCTCGCGACTGGAGTTCCGCCGGGTCAGCACGCGATTTCCGCCTCTGGGCGTATCCTAGGTAGGGTTCCAGCACCAATCTCGCAGCCCTGCATTGCTTCCTTGTCTGCTCCAGGATGTCATAGGCCGCATGCATATGGTTTTGAAACTCCCGCAGGCGGCAACTATCCCATGCAATCTTGGCGAGGCTTTGATGCACCTTGATTGTTGGACGCACATTGAACGGGGCGCCTGTCATTGTTTTGAACATGTTTCGCACGGAATCAAAAGAGACTTGGCCTTTTCTCCGTCGTTCGGCATCCTCGCCAAATTTCGGGCGACACAAAACAAAGGCTCGCTCGAACAACTCCAGCCAAACTGTCTCCGGAATAGCAAGGCCGTATCTGCTCGAGAGAAATTCTATCAGTCGCAGCGCAGTGGGGATATCGTTATTTGTACCGAACGCATGAGCTATGGCGTGCAGCAAGTCGTTTGTGGGGTACAGCGGAGAGGAGCGGTCGTATGGAGTCGCCTGGGGCGCCGAGGTCAGAGAAACATCGACATCAATGTTCCAGACTGATCGCAGCACATTCTTCATGCCTTGCACATGGCCGACACGGCTTGCCGCAAGGATCACATTGGTGAAGGTGGCCACATCCCCGGCGGTCCCCTCCCGCGTCATCTCGTCCATTATCTCCAGCACCGACTTTCTCACACTCCGGCGACCCGTACCGTACCCCTCCCAGCCGGGGTTAGGTGTCCAGAAACCTCGTTTTCGATACAAGTAAGGAGTCATTCGTGTGCGATACCTCGCTTTACCGAGATACAAGCCCTCCCAGACCTTTGCCTCCATGTAATGGTTATAGCACTGGACATCCGGCACCAGCCCATCCTCCCTGATCATACCCCAGACCTCGCCGGCCATGGTGGCATCGCCCATCGAGCGGGCGCAATCGAGAAGGTGTGTGTACTCGGCCAGCCCCAAGGCATGGCCTGCAGAGTGCCTGATTTGGAGAATTGCCGCAAGATTGCCGGCGAACTCGTCAAAGATTGCCGGCAGCGGCCTGAGACGCTTGACTTGAACAGCCCACGGATGAAGTGCATGATGGATCTGTCGATACGGGACTATGAAATAGGCCGGGGAAAGCACGTGCAAGGCCTCCACGAAGGCGCTGGGGGACATTGACCCGACCAGGCCTCTGAATCGAGGATCCAGCAGCGCATCCATCACCTGGTCGGGTTGACCATCCAGGAGAATCGCGTGGAATTCTGCTGCCAGAGCATCCCCGTCCTCGCCCTGATGGCCCGTCTCTCCGTAGCTGTCTGAGCCAGCACCGGCCCCCCCTTCCAGTATGCTGGTCGAACCGGGCCTCGGCCAGGCAGGCCGACTCTGATCAGAGATGTGCGCCCCCCGCGACCCAGTGATGTCGTCCCCAAGCCCATTGCTCTCGTGGGTGGCTAGCGATCTGAATGGGCGCGTAGGGCCCGGAACTATAAGAAGTGGAGCACGGCATCGGAGGGCACTAGTAGTGGCACTAGTAGTAGCAGTGGTAGCAGTAGTAGAAGGTCGACGTCGCGTGTATGAAAGGCGCACCACATGAGAGGGCAAGCTCTCACTGACGCGTAAAATGGACATCATGGCACATTGAGACCTGACTGCACCATCGTGCTCGTAAAAGACATTTGAGGGGGGAGAGTTCAGGTGGCACAAGATTTCTTGGGGGGGGAACATCGAGCTGGAGCTGGACTATGAAAGCGGAGAAGATGATGATTACAATTACGGTACGGATACGGGCTGGCCTTGGCGAATCCGTCCGTCCGTCAGTCAGTCTCTTTCACGCTTCCTTCCCCCGCCCGGACTTCCCCAAGCTGCAGCTCCATCCATCAACATTCTCACCTTCAGCTTCCCCCCCTTTCTCCGTCGCCCCGTCTCCGTCCATTCGCCCAAGGCTGTAGCCTCCCATCCTCCCTCCCTCGCTCGAAATGGCCGACACCGAAGATGCGGGCACCTCGTCCGTCTCCGAACCCCTCGATCTGGTGCGCCTATCGCTCGATGAAATCGTCTTCGTGAAGCTGCGCGGTGATCGCGAACTCAAGGGCCGTCTCCATGTACGCATCCCTGCTCCACCCCCCCCGGAAAACACACCCCTGGCATCCTAGGACGGGAACTCCGCTGACGTGCTATCGGCCATAGGCGTATGACAGCCATTGCAACCTGGTATTAGGCGATGTGGAGGAGACCATCTACGTGGTCGAGGACGATGACAACGAGGAGGAGACCATCCGGGTACGTCCCCTGACCAGATATTGGGGAGCAGGCTAACGTCGGTCTCTTTCCCACAGACGATCAAGAAGCAAGAAGAGATGCTATTCGTGCGAGGTACGTGTTGCGACCACTGATCGATCCGGTCGTCCTGGCTGGCTACGAGGCCCGTGGGCTCATGGACTAACGTTATTCTTCTTCCTCTTGCCACAGGAGACTCCGTCGTTCTGATTTCACCCCAGGCGTGAGGAGACGCGGGGAGGCGACCACCAGGCAGATAGATGGGGCTGGATCTGATCTGATATCGATATCTATGTGCGGCCATGCGGGGAAAGAAGATCTCCCACCTCCAGGCGACGAACCAAGAACCAAGATCTAAGAACCAATACATACGAGACCACGACCACCGGGCGATGTGACAGGGACTCCGGATGATAATATTATTGTTCACCTTCTAATGGATTCACGTACGCGGATCACGCTGGCTTGTTGGGTGGGCTTTTTGCGGGATCTGCTCCTGTTGTCAAGTCCATGGCCGCTGGGAAGGGCGTGAAGACGTTCGTCCCTGGCATTGTGGCATTCTGGCATTGTGACATTATGGCATCATGCCACACCTCGCAGCACTAGAAATAGACCCTTACCGGGACCGGATTGTTTTCCGGTCTGCGACTAGAGTCCAAACATGCCGAAGACGATTAGACGGGAATTAATCGAGTCCAGTAGACATTGATATTGAGATATATAACACATGTACGGATATCTATAGCTTTCCATAGCTGTCCAGCCCTGGAGGGATGACTGTGCCGTATGAGTCAGTGGTGGCCGATGACTCCTCGCGCCAGCCCGCCAGCCAAGCTATCCATCGATAAAGCTTCCCCCCCCCATCAATTCTCTCCCCCGTCATTCTCCCTTCTCCATCCCTCTGCATTCATCTGTTCGCCTAATCTTCTTCACCTCCCCTAAGTCTCCTCCTATTATTATTATATCATCCTTACTCCCCCACTAGATCCTCCCGCCAATCCCCCGTTCCATCGCGACGGAAATTACTATGATCCCTCGAATACGTGTCTGAATGCGCCAGAAGGCGATCCGACCGACCGAATCGAACCATCCTGTTTTGCGCCTGCCCGTACTTTCTTTCTACGTGTTTCCTGATCTAGACCCCCCCCCCCCCCCCAAAATGCCTGCGACTGGACCTAAGCTCTCGCTGGAAGAGCGACGGAGAGGCGATATTGTGTGTCTATCCCGCGCGAGTTCATCAATCTGGCATCCCCCCCCCTTTGACTGATGGACACCACGCAGGCGCTCAGCGAATTCGCCGAGTACGCAGAGAAGCAACAGACCCATCGTTCCGCCCAGTATGTGCCCAGCGACAGCGGCTACGAAACCGCCAGTGTATCCCGAGTGCATGAGGACCACGCCGAGTTGGAGATCCTCGACCAGCTGGGGTTGACCGACGCCCCCAAGACATTCAAGCTCAAGGACTTGCTGCTGGGAACCGGCGATCATCCGGAGGATGACCTGCAGGCGTTGGCTAGCATGCTGCAGGCTCGCATCGATGAAGGGCATGGGGAGACCCTTTTCGATGTGGGCCTCGAGGATGGCGGCGAGTCCATGTCCTTCGATCTCGACCAGTGGAATGCCGCGTTTCAACGCCTGCGGGAGGCCGCGGAAACCCTCCCCGCGCATTGTCGCATCCTAGTTACCTACAATGTCGGTGGGCCTGAGGAATCCCGCGTCAAGAACGAGCGGATCAAGGGCTCGTGGGGGAAGCTCCTCATCCGGCAGCCAGCGGGTACCGTGGAGGAGATGGCAGAGATCCGCGTGGCGGTCGTGGGAAATGTCGACGCCGGTAAGAGTACCATGTTGGGCGTTCTGGTCAAGGGGAACCTGGACGATGGCCGAGGCAAGGCCCGGGTGAATCTGTTCCGCCACAAACATGAAATCGAGAGCGGCCGGACCAGCTCGGTGGGCATGGAGATCATGGGGTTCGATAGCCGCGGAGATATCGTGGGTAACTCCCAGGGGCGCAAAGTGTCTTGGGAGGATATCGGACGGCGCTCTGCCAAAGTGATCGCTTTCTCTGACTTGGCTGGCCACGAACGTTATCTGCGAACCACGGTCTTTGGCATGCTGAGTAGCAGCCCCAACTACTGCCTACTGATGGTGGCCGCGAACAATGGTCTGATCGGAATGAGCAAAGAGCATCTCGGTATCGCGTTGGCTCTAAACGTCCCCGTCATGGTCATTGTTACCAAGATCGACATTTGCCCGCCTCAAATCCTACAGGAGACGCTTTCGCAACTCTCCAAAATCCTCCGGTCTCCCGGGGCCCGCAAGATTCCCATCTTCGTGAAAGATATGGAGGAGACCATCAACACGGCGACGCAGTTCGTGAGCCAACGGATATGTCCGATTTTCCAGGTGTCTAATGTTACTGGCGAGAATCTGGACCTTGTCCGGACGTTCCTGAACATCCTTCCTCACCGGGGGCAGTATAACATCAACGCGCCGTTCGAGCTCCTGATTAACGATACGTTCTCTGTTCCTCATGTGGGTACGGTGGTGTCTGGGGTGGCCAAGTCGGGGGTGATCCATGCGGGGGATACAGTTCTTGTCGGGCCTGACTCGCTCGGACAGTTCACGACTACTACCATCAAGTCCATCGAGCGCAAGCGGATCCAGGTGAACGCTTGCTTTGCGGGACAGTCGGCCTCCTTCGCCTTGAAGCGCGTACGGAGGAAGGAAGTGCGTAAGGGCATGGTTGTTCTCAAGAAGCTGGACCAGCCTCCAAAGGTTTATCGCGAGTTTGTTGCTGAGGGTGCGACTTCCATTCTTACTTCTATATTCGGGCGTGTCTGGCTAACTGATGACAGTTCTCATCCTCTTCCACGCGACAACCATCAAGCCCCGGTATCAGGCAATGTTGCATGTGGGCGCAGTAAGCCAGACGTGCTCCGTCATTGACATTGATCGGCCTTTCATCCGGACCGGTGATCGCGCTCTAGTGGCTTTCCGGTTCGTGCAGCGTCCCGAGTTCCTGTCCCCAGGGGACCGGGTGCTGTTCCGCGAGGGAAAGACCAAGGGCCTGGGCATCGTCAAGAGTGTCGGGTATGATCCCAAGCAGCCTCTCAACCCCGAAGCCAAGGATGCGGTGGAAACCAGCACTCGGAAACGATAGGGGGATTATTCTGCACAAAGCCATGATTTTCCATTCTGAAGGGGTCGGGGGGTGAATTGCATTGCTGGGGTAAGTCGATGTAGGAGTCGCACATTCTGCGAGTTTTAGTTTATATTTTCTTACAAAGTTTTGTGAAACTTTCTCCCGTTGAGCAAGCCGGAGTGGATAAGTTGTTCTGTATTTGTTCCAGGACTTCAACTGCTTGAAGCTGTAAGCCATACCTCAGGCAAGCTGGTTTCCCAATCGGGTAACCGGGTGCCGTCACGTGAGAGTGTCTATACGGGAGTCCTCTTCCTCTTCCTCTTCCTCCAGACTCACATTGCTCCTCCGCGTTTCGCTCTCCGCGTTCCACACTCCATCTCACAACCCACCATTTTGCTTCTGCTTCACTGCAGCCAGTAGTTGAACCGACTCCGTGGATCCACGTGACCCATGACGTTCCTTGACGTCATGGAAGGGAAAGTGATGACATTGCGGCCACCGTGATCGTCGCTCAATGGCCACCCCCATGCATCATCGTATCGACCCTCCAGCTGTACTCGCTGCTCTGCTTCCGCGGCGTGCCACTGACGTACTATAACACTGGCTCTTCTCACCCGCTTCTAGAAGTATCCTACCCCAGTGATCGACCAGGATTCCAAGAAACTCAGTGTCCATTGCATACGGAATTGACGAAAGAGGGATCTGCATCTCCAGTTCCCATCACCTATAAACCAAGCTGTCCGACAGTTGTTTGGTTACTCATTACCCTACCTTGACTACTACATCTCTTTCAAGAACTTTCATCGAGAAAAACATATTCATCATGGACACTTTGAACAGAACTTTCAACAATGCCTCCAATGCCATGTGGAGTGACCTTCATTCCAACCGGACCCCGGATCAGCTCGCTGAACCGCATGGCGATGAGCCTCTCTCCGGCATCCAGGGTAAAGGAACTGCCACGGACCCCTATGATGCTGGAAACCGTGAGGGTAAGAGCCCCGTGGCACTTTCTCAGACCACAATATCTCCCTCCCTCCTATCATCAATCAATCCATCCAGGCAACGTCTCCATCATCCAGAAAACTGACCGATGTCCGTACCAACCACTTAGACCAACCTGGTGCTCCTACTACGAGGGAAAACACCGCCGTCATTCCCGAATCACTGGCATCCACCAACGACGACCACGCTCGCAACCCCAAATCCCCAAGCAACGCAGATCTAGGCCCTAAGAACGTGTTTATCGACGAGCCCCGTCAGGAGCCGAAGATGGGCTACCCGATGGGAGGCACCGCCAGCATTGGCTCCAAGCAGCGGCAATCCCAGACCACCGGCGTTCCTGAACAGCGGAACCCGCCCTCGTCGACCTACAGCCAGGGCAGCCAGCCCGCCCAGAAAGGCAAGGATCTCGCAGGTTCCTCTGCAGTCGCTGGCGGTGCCTATGGCTACTCCGGACAGGGAGGACAGGATACCCTTGCTGTCCGTGACAACCTGTCTTCTCAGAAGGACAAGGAGCTCCCAGGACAATCAAGCACCAGCGGTGGCCGGGGCGCCCAGAGCATGACCGACAACCAGGGTGCCAAGTCCTTGCCTAACCAAGACGACTCTATCAGCCCATTGACTACGGAAGGAGTAGACGAACAGGCAGCCCAGACCTCTGCCAACGACACCCAGGGTCTCCGACACGAGAAAGAGTCCGTGGACAAGTTGACTTCCAACCCCAGTACCAGCGAGGCAACGGGCCTCCGACAGCAGAAAGGCTCCATGAGCAAAGAGGGCGAAGCTAAGAGCAAGCTCGACGACAAAGCCTCTCAGATGCAACAGAAAGAGAAGTCGTCGACAGACAAGGCCACCTACGGCGGCGCTGGCGGCATCGTCGACTCTACCAAGCAAGACAACAAAGACAAGCCCGACGAGAAAGAGGGCTCTGCATCCCAGGGAAATCAGGAGAAGGAGCAAGACAGTGCCGAAAAAACCAAGAAGACGGCAGAGAGCAACGGAGTCAGCGAGGAAGCCTTGAAGGGCCCTCAGACCCCGGCTCCCCGAGAACCATTCGAGTTTGAGAAGCGGATGGACGAAGGCGGCAAGGCAGGTTAGTATTCCCTCAACGACATCCAACCTCTTGAGCCCAGCTAAATCACCATTTATCTCCAGGCAAAGAAGCTGGCGGCAATGAAGGCAGATCCGACAAATCCAAAGGCAGCTCTTCCTCCCACCACAGCCACAACCCTATGACTCAGTTGAAAGAGAAAGTGGACAAGATCCTGCACCACAACAAGTCATGAACGTGACCACACACTCTCTCTTTCTCTTATCCTTTTAAATTAATTTCCCCTGTCCTTTTTTTTTTTTTTTTTTATATTATTTCGTCGAAAATCGGGACTAAGAATGATGATGATTAATGCGGGGTTGGATTTACGTACCAGTACCAGCACCAGTGCCAGTCTGCTTGATTTGACTGATATCTGGGTTACTATGACAGCGTATGGTATAGTTCTTTTTTTTTCATGTCTCAAGGCAGTGCCGGGTTTGAGATGCCGAATGTTGAAGTACTGCCTATTCACTAGTGTGTACTACTTGCTAGTCATTGTCGTGGTTTGTCATTTGTGTGTCGTTATCAATATCCAGGGAGCTGTTTAATCAACCTATGGTTTAGGATAATTAATGCCATTGTTCTAGTGTACTCGAATGATCACGGCAGTAGTAGGAAGTAGCCTTGAACCTGGCTACCTAGAGCTATTGGATGAATATCTTCAGCTGCCTTTCAGCAACAGCCTAAGACTTGCGAGCGCACCACCTCATGAGCTTGTTCAACCTCAGCGTTGCCATCTGATTCGTCCCAGTTCCATGATGGCGCCGAAAATGGCCTCCTCGGTGCTCAGTGCTCTCAAAAAAACTAAGCCCAGGAGTCCCCGCCCTTTGATTCCTCTGTCCGTTCTTGCTACACACTTGGCGTTCCTCCCTTTTAAGCTGACGTACCTGACGGTTATACATTGCGAGCACCCTTCAGTTTCCTCTTCCTCGGTCGGAGCCCTGATACTCTGCTTTATACATATACAGGGCATGCGATTGTTGTTTCAGTTAGCCGCCAGCACGAACTTATATATCCTTCAGCATCTGCTTCACTCCTGCCTTCACACCTCATGATCCTTAAACCAATGTTACCTCCAAAATGCCCTCTCAGGACTCTGCCTGGTTTCTTCGGGAATTTTGCTTTGGTCGGAATGACAAAACTTCCCAGATCACTGTTATATCCAAAGGCAACCGTTTTCAAATCCAGTTAGCTCCTGCGAACTTGCGCCATTCCCCGTCATCGCTGCAATAACGTTCTGTTGGGATCAGTTGACCCATGTTCAAGGGGGCTCAACGCCTGGGTAAAAAAAAAGCCCAAATTCTACCCCTTGACTCCCCTCGTTCTATCATCCTGCCAGCACAGCCAGGCCTAGCGGATAAACTCCTCGCCGCGCAGATCCAAAACGTCAACATGTCTTGGATCCTAGCTAGTAACTATAGCTTGCCGTAGCTAGGCAAGAGCCGCTCTGTTCTGCTGGAAACTTAAGCTAGCAACTTTCTCTCTTATTAGAATACCTAACAAGCAAACGCCTTCGTCCATGGCGCCAATGTAACGGTGCTGAGCTTGTGATTCCCTGATGACGCGCGGAGCGGTTGCCGTCCCGACACGTCGTGATTGGCAAGCGAAGAGACCGACTCAAAATCTATCATAAAGACCGACTTGTGATCGGGGTTCCAGAGCAGGTTGCGCCATGCGACATCGTTGTGTTGGATGCCATGTTCTCGGAGCGAGTTGACTAGCTTCCTGCGCTCATCATCCCAGAACATTTTCTCCGGCCCGATATCGGTCTGCTGGATGCGAACCCCTGCCCAGCTGAGGACCATCATTTCAGTCAAGCGTTCGCCGTGATACCAGTACGGATGATATGCGTGGAAGTGACCCACGCACACTGGAATACGCAGCCCCTGAAGTGGGAGCAGATGTTGATAGACGTTCATCTCGCGCCGTAATCGATCGCGCCGGTCCTCTGTCGTCGCCTTGATGATCACAGTATATCCATGAGACAGTAGCGTAGCTTGGATCATGAACCCCGTCCGGCCACGGATGTGGAGGTTTGTCAGGCCCGCCGTCCGGGCGTCCCGCAGCTGATTGCGCAATCGTCTCAGGAATTCTCGCGCGCCGAAGGGATGTCGCGCTTGTCCATGCTCGTGCATGTTGGGACAACGTTCGTCGAGAGGGCCACAGGCACTCAGACCATGTATGCATTTGATGGTGCAATACCGGCGGGCCTGGACCGTGGACTTGTTGCATGGCAATAGGGCGACGAAGCGATCATTCTGGTCAGTAGCTCCTCTGGTATCCTGTCGACCGCCGTGTCTCCCGCTCTCCCGACCGCCTGTTCGACCACCCGCTCCGCCGCCACGTCTGCCACCACCGTGACCCTGCCGCATGGATGGCGGTGCCGGAGACGGTGATCCCATCTCATCATCACCGCTGCTGTGCTCTCCCGATGTGTGCTCCGGCGTCGTGTCAGGTGGCTGACAGCTCGCCCGCGAGCGCGTCAGGTACGGCGACCGCTGCACCGCTTTCCACGACGAGGGCCGGTAGTTCGACTCCGGTGGATCCTTGCGCATCGACTCCGGTATATCCCGCAGCACGTCCAGGTACTCTACCTTCCACGTCGGCAGTACATCTGCACTGTCATGCCACTCTTGAGATGGGAGTGGTGTGGCCAGAGCACCCAAGGTGAAAGCTAGCATTTGACCCACAGCCGTGCGATGCATTCTGCCGCCATTCTCGATCCCGACATCTTCCTCGGCCACGTCGACATCCTGGTTCGGGACACATAGGTAGTACTGTAGTAACGACGGGTCGTCGGCCGGGATATCCAAGAAGACGTACGCTTCGCCCGTGCACACAAGACCCCTTCGGACCCCGATGTCCAGCATGTAAGAGAAGACCTGGGTGAGGACTGCAGCAACAAGATGCGTCGCATGAAACTCGAACGAGGCGCCTTCTTGATCAATCACGTCCCGTGCTGGCTCCATGTCGCGTAGGCCCGCCGTCAGCTCCGGCAGCGTGAGCTTGTGCGGCGCCTTGAATTCCACCGCATACACCGGTGTCCGCCGCTCTTCCGCTGCCACCTGCACGCAGAACTGATCCGCCCGCCGATTCCGCCGCCGTCGGGGTCCTCGGTTCGGTGCGGTCGGCGCGGTCGCTGCCGCGCTCGCCACCCGTCCGGCTCGCCCCCGCCTGCCCCGGGACCGTCGTGATCGCGCGGGCTCCCGCACCTGCATCTGTTCCATGTCCGCCGCCAGTGACGCCGCTGAGTCGTCCGTGTTCGCCCGGTCTTCCAGTATCACCTGCCCTTCGATGCCGAATCGCCGCCGGAGATGCTCATTCTGCGAGATCGTCTGGAGGATCTCGCCCACAAAGTTATCGACGGTGTCGCGATGGAATGTCCGGAGCGAGGTTTCCGAATAGATTAATGGGAGATTGCGCTGCACGTAGTCGAGCTGGTGTGTGGATGAGAACTGGCGCTGCGTGACAAATGCCTGGTCGCTAGAAAGACGGTCCCAGATCGTCTCCTGGGATTGTGGGAATTCTTGCCATGCCTGAATCCGAGTGGGAAATCGACGGTTGACAGGGTTCGTAGTCTCACCCTGGGTTGTCAGTGAAGCATTGCTCTGGACGCGAATCCTTTGGGACAGGCCACGATGGCATTCGTCCAGAAGGCCATACAGGCTGTTTGGTTGAAGCAGTTGCTCTGATTCCTCCTGACGCTTCTCGGCCTCCTTTCGCCGGTGTGCCTCTTCTTCCTGGAGTTGTTCCGCAACTTCCCGGCGTCGCTGTTCTTCCTCCCGGCGGTGCTGTTCTTCTCGGAGTTGAAGTTGGAGCTTCCTGATTTCTTCCTCCATGAAATCGAGTTCGCATGTGAATACGGAGGGTAGAAACAGATGGCTGTGTTTGTTGTTCAGGACGGGGCGCCACCTGCCCTGAGCGCGTATTAGTCATGGCCCAGTCAGCAACTTTCTGGTGCCGCAAAGTCACCTGATTTGGATAATGGGTCAACCGGCCCGCCGATGCGTTCATGGGAGTTGGTGCTCTGTTTAAATATTTTATTAAAATAAATGAATATTATAAATACAAGCAGTTTAATAAGTATATGATTTTTAATATCATAGCATTCTGCCTTTCATCAATTAGATTTAATTTGATTATAGTTATATATATCATGATATACTTAATTTCAATCATTTTTCTATTCACGTCTATATGATTGTATGGGGCGCGCTCGCGCGCCCCCTAAAGCCTTGTCATATACTATATCACGCTCGACTCAGCCGAAGCAAACATCCCCCTTCCCCCTCCACCCCCTAACACATCCATACAAACACACATACACACACCCAGCCATAGACAGAGAGAAAGAGAGAGAGTAGGATACCGATGCCGATAGACGACGACGATTATGATGAAGATAATCTACTCAAACAACAACTTCAGCTCCTCAATGCGATCTTTCTTCTTTTCATCCTCCGATCCATCTCCACCCACACGCAGCCCCAAAGAGCCCGCGATATTCATCTTCCGCTCCTGGACGCGCAACATGCGGCCCTCGATGGAATCCTTCACGACAAACCGCGTGACATTCACATCCCGGAGCTGGCCCATGCGGTGGACGCGGTCGATGGCCTGGGCCTCGATGGCGAAACTCCACCAGGGATCCATCATGAAGACGTTGTTGGCGGCGGTGAGGTTGAGGCCGACGCCGCCGGCGCGAAGGCTGATGAGGAGGACTTTGGGAGGTGGCGATGAGGGATTGGATCGGTTGGTAGGGCGACGCTCTGCGTCTTCGATCTCGAACGCGTCTCGGTCGAGGGCTTCCGTGCGGTTGAACTGGGCCAGGGTCTCGGCTCGAGCCTTTTGGGGCATAGAGCCGTCGAGACGGACGAAGGGGATACCGGCTCGGGTGAGCTGTGGCTCGATGAGGTCGAGGAAGCTGGTAAACTGGGAGAAGACGACGGATTTGGTGTCGGGAGGAACGCGGGCGAGGTGAGTGAGGAGGGCGTGGATTTTGGCGGAGGTGTGTGCGGAGGGGGAGAGGGGGTTGATGCGGCGGAGGGAGATGCGAGGAGGGGCCTGGGTGGCGGTTGGGGGCGTGCTGTTGTATATATCGTCTTCCTCGGTGGGTGTGGTCGAGTCGGAGGAGGATTGGTGGCGGACCACCTCGAAGATGTCGCGCGCTGTGACGGGTGCGCGGCATGAGAAGCATCGAGGGGGCACGCCTTTGTCGGTCTGGTGGCGGATGTAGTCGTCCAGACACTTTTTGCAGGCACTGTGCCAGCAGGAGGTCACTCCCGGGTCGATCATGAGCTCTTCGGAGCAGATGGGACATTCTCCGCTGGTTTCGTCCTGAATCTGCTTCAGGGCGTGGGCGGTGAATTTGGAGAGCGGGTCTTGGGGCTGGTTGGATTCCGCTTCTTCTGTCATTGTCTTGAAGCGGTCGATGAGGTCTTGCAGGTCCATATCGTCTTTGAGGTCGTTGGATGCGTCGGCGGTGGCCGCTGCGTCTTCCTCGTCTGCGACGATGGCTTTGTTGCGGGTGAGGATGGGATGGCAACATGTCTGGCGAAGACGAAGGATCTGCGCGAAGATGGTCGAGTAGGACTTAAGGAGAGTACCGGCTTCGACGTTGTGGTTGAATGTCTGCTTTGCCCGAGTATAGATGCAGTCGTAGATCTCCCGTTCTTGCTCCGTGAGCTCGACCTCTTCGATTGCGATGTGCCGACGTGGTAACGGCACCAGAGGCTCGCCCTCCGGTGTCTTCATAGTCTTGGTACGTCGCAGCACCAGAGGTTCCAGGACGGTCTGCACGACGTTGAGAGCACGCACATAGTCCTTGGTTTCGAATGGAACAGTGATGAACGTCTTCCAGAACGAGAAATTGTTCCAAGGTTCCACCTTCAGGAACCTCACCAAGCTGAACAGATCTTCGAGTCGATTGACAATTGGCGTTCCGGTCAGAACCCATCTGTGTGTTGCTTTAAGCTCATAGCAGGCCTTGGCCGTCTTCGACTGTCGGTTTTTGATCATGTGCGCTTCGTCAATAATGATCCGAAAGAAATCCACGGAAAATAAACCTCCGGGGGCGACCTGTGAGAGGATTGTAGACAGATGTTGACGGTATTCCGCGAGGACAACCCCGTAGCTTGTAATGATGAGGTTAGGAGCTGCTGCATTGCCTGCAGCGCACAGCTCCTTTAGATTGATATTTTTATCCGCCCCATAATACATGAGGGTTTTCAGTGTACCCGGCTGTGAAGCCTTCAGAGCCTCGCTCTCCCACTGCGAAAGCAGGGACGTAGGCGCTATAACAAGGGTGGTATATGGCGCAGAAACAACACCGGAAGATGGCCGAGGTAGTCGCACCAAATCGCTAGGGGTTTCAGGCAACGTTCTGTGGGAGTGGACAAGACTGAGCATTTCAATTGTTTTGCCCAAGCCCATCTCGTCGGCAAGAATGCCCCCAAGGCAGTGTTGCTCTTGTACGGGGAAGTCGATGCTAAGCTCTCCGGAGTACGGATTGACATAGAAATGATCAATGCCTTCAACAGCCGGGACGTCCTTGTCGTCGACATCCTTGGACGGCCAGGCATACTCCTCCCACAACGGGTGTAGCGACGTCCCCCTCGCGGTCTTGTTATCCTTTTCTTTTGCAAGCATCCAGTACAGAGCTTGCCTCTGGTATTTCCGGAGATTCATCGTGAATGTCGACGCAGGTTCAGCTTCCGGCATGTTGAAGTCAAAAGACTGGGCCTTCTTGTAGAGCGTGTCGAGTTGATCCTCTTCCAGCTCCGGGGTGTCCTCCTCATCAGAAGAAGCATTGTTCGCCTGATTCTCCTTCTTGACTCGCTCATACTGCTCCGACATCTCCGCCGCACGAAGTAGTCCTTCTTTCTTGTGGGCCCGCGTCATATCGTTGGCCGAGCTCGGCGGAAGGCCGATCTCATCGAAGAGTTTGACCAGAGCAACTTGACGAAGGCGCAGATTCTTTTCCTCGGTATTTTCCTTCTCCTCGAAGTGAGAAATCGTCCTGTTATCATCGCTCAAATCATTGATAATCCAGGGCTGGAATGCCTCAGTCCGCAAGTAGCACCACAGCTGCAGATAGATCGTGTCATTCACGCGAACCCTGTCCGGCACGTATACGCAGACGCCATCAAACTTGCACACTTTCTGATCCAATAGCGTCGACACCCACTCCGCCGTTTCCCGAGGGAGCCTCCCTATCTCCTGGCCAGACTTTGTGGTGAATCGCGTAAGGACATCGCCTTTCTGGTTGGCAATGAGCTTCCCCGAGCGATTCCGCTTCGAGGTCGGCTGGGATCGTGTACGCTCAATATTGACATGGTCTCCATGCTTGAGCAGGCTCACTCCACTCCTCGTAGCCCATGCCCCAACGCCAAACGCACCTATGTATCGGAGAGAAGGTTGCGATGCGCGTCTCGATGTCTCGTTTCCAGTGACTGGTGTTTCAATGCGATCTTGCAATTTTGACAACAGAGGCGTCATATTAACCGGTGGACGCGTAGGAAGCGAAGGTTGGCGACCTGTAAGGGTAGTCTGACTCGAGGCATTATTGGTGAAGGATTTCCACGACCCATCGAAATACAAGTTGACGGCTCTCTCGAGGTCACCGCCGGATGCGTTCCGAATCTTCCGTATCGCGTCCGCAGGGAGGTTCTCTCCAACGATACTTGTGAACGTTGCCGTGTCAAACCCTTGTGAATCTAACCCTTCCTCCGGTCTCGAATTTTCGGCGTCGCGTTCCGTGCTCGCAGCATCGTTCTGCGCCCGAGTATCAACATTGTTATCGTGAAGTGAAGATGACGGAGACACGAGCACTGAGTTCGCGGGTTGAGGACTCTCGAGGGGTGTGGGTTGCACTTGAACCGGCTCTAGAGATGGAGGAGCGGGCACGTCGAGGCTTTCTGGGATGGCATTGTTAGTTGGTGGGGCAGTGTCTTCTTCGTCGACAAAGAAACGCCTCTTCTTCAGGGGCCTTTCATCTGCATCATAGCCATTCATCATGCATCGGCCCTGGGTGTTGGTGGCAGACCCGGTGGAAAGAAAAGAAAAGTGGCTCGGCCTCGAGTGGCTGCGGAAGACGCGCCGCCGCCCGGAGACGCGAAGTGCATTCGGGCCGACGTCATTGGCCATTTCGCGTCCAACTAATTACTACCATTTCAAGTTTCCTACTCCGTAAGTAAGTTGCCCTTCTGATTGTATATATATAGTATATAGTACAGCCATTCTCTTCATCTTTCATCCGAGGTCACGTAATATACGTCTATCCAGGCCGTGGCCTTAGGCTCTTCTAGTAGCTCTATTCCTCCGTCTCTGTCTATTCCTCCTAGAGCTGGTAATCAAACGTTTCTGGGCAAGCAATACCAAGTGACGCTGGAGTTTGTCACGCCTGTAGATGTGGTATTAGCAAGGGCTCCAACTTCCTCGAACCGCTGCACTGCTGAAGACTTACATCAAGAAAATGGTTGTTGCAAAGACAAATGGAACTGCAATCATCCAGAAATATCTGCACATGGGGATCAGTAACTGGCACAAAGTTCATTTCCCGTTAGACTTACGCGTCGCTGTGCTTTATAGCAGAGAAGGTATCAAAGTTCATTCCGAAGTAACCCTAGTACGGAATAAGACAAGATCATAATAGGAAACGAGATAGCTCACCGTCAGAAAGGTTAGTGGGAGGTAGAAGCAGGTTACAAGTGTGAGTTGCTTCATGCTTTCATTCTGGTATGCGCCTATATATGGTCAGCCCAGAGCCAAAACCCAACGTCAAATGAAAAAGGGTTGAATCTAACTCACCGATCGTGTTAAAGATTAGATCAATCATGTTGTCGGCAGCTCGCCTCATCTGATCATATCCTTCGACAATTGTGATACAGTGATCCAGGGCATCTCCCAGATATGTATGGCACATCGAACTGATAGAAACACTCGAGCCTCCTACACTTTTGAGGTTCGGGGTGACTACCCCAATGTGTGGACCCCAATCAGCTGTAGGGGTTGTGGTCCCTTGGCCTCTAAGAACCCCTAGGCCCGGAGTGCTAACAGGCTCGGATCGATGGTCTCGAAGCGCATTGATGATAGTCACGATCGGCTGCATGCAATTCCGGAGAATTGCTATCTCAGATGTGAGAACATAGAGACTTTTCGACTGGTCAACGTCTGGATCTGTTAGTACCTCAAGCTCAAGATCACCGATTACATCTTGATAAGCGGTGGTCACAGGTATAGCCAAGTCGATAATGGCATCGAGAATGGCTTGTATGACCATGCTGGCATCACAGGACTGGCGCAGCATTGTCTCAGGAGAGCTGAGTCGCCGGACAATCGGGGCTTCGACATCATCAGCGCTCGTCTCGAAAAATGAGGTTACTGTGTTATCTGCATGCAAGAATAACGAGACTTGTTCGAGAGTAACACAAAGCCCCTTGGCCGCGAGGATAGCATGCCGCTCCATGAAGTCTATCCGATCCTCATTCGGGCCACCTCGATAGCGTTGGATACTGCGAGGCATCAATCTGTCGTTGCCAGGGATAGGCATTTTTGGTGCAGCCGGATCTCCACCAGAGGCAACGCTAGTAGGAACTCCAGGCTTGGGCTCATCCGAGATGCTGTCCTCGCGAGTTTTCGACCTAAAAATGTCTTTCAACGCTTCAAAAACCAACTTTCGTTTGGTGGGTCGCAGAGAGATACTGCTCGCCACGGAGCCTCTGCGATCGCTCATCCATGGATTTCCATCATCACTGTCCTCATCAGAGTCGCTATCATCATCTTTGAGCTTGATCAGCTTCTGTAGTTTCAGCACGATGTACGCGTGGTCGGAGTACCAGTCGACCTTCGTGCGATTCGTCGAGTTGATCAAATCCTCGATCGCGAGCCTGTGTAGCCCCTTGTGATTACCAAGAGCCCGGATGACGTCCCAGCTCAGCCCATTGACGTTAATCCACCGGCATTGCACCCAGGGCTCCTTCTCCCTCGCCAGAAATGGCTCCAACGTGTCGTTGTCCAGGACATATTGTCGCATTTCATGCTGCGAAAAGTCCACGACCGTGATTTCACTTCTGCCATGCAAGTCCGCGGGTGTGGAGGCCATCCATTCCGTACTGTACGCTGGTAGTGGCTGGCTTGGGTCAATACCTGGCTCTGTCCCCGGCTGCCAGTTTGGATCGTGGGGGCCATCTTCACGGTAGTATGAACGGGCGGTAGTCGAGCGTCGCATGCGATTGCGGACCGTTTCACGGGAGTTGATCCTTGCCGCAGAGGTGAACGTGTCAGGGCCGTCAGGGAAAGGGGGCTCCCCCGTGGTCGGAGATATCTCCGAGCTACGGGGGCGCGGATTCGCCTCGACGTCGGCGATGTCCTGCGAAGACGGAAGCCCTGTAGCCAGCTGTGCATGGTCTAGCGAGTGGATGCTCATGTTGGCGGCGACGGTGATGGTTATTAGCTCTGCCTGGGAGGATAAACAAGATCACCTCGGGTTCATCGGGCGCTTCAAGCAGATGGAGTCGAGAGAATGAACGACAGATGCTTCCATGCTGTTGTCAAGCCCAGAGAGCCCGAAGATGGAGGCGATTGAGCCAACGCGGACCGATCGATCAGTCTATTAAGGGCGAAGGCGCAGGACGGGAGAAGCGAAGCGTCGCCTCCTTAGCGTGGGCGGAGAAAAAGGAGATCGGCCCTTCAACGCGGGGTATGACGTCGCACCTCACTACCATGTTCAGCTAGATACTACGGAGTAGATAGATACAGGGCATTATTTCAAGTGACTAGATACTATCTACGATTCAAGAACATCAGATCCTGCGTCATCGGACAAAAAACAAGAAACGTTCATTGGATCGATAATCCACTAATCCTTCTTGGCTACGGTAAGCTTATCCCCTAGCGTCCTGGAAATAATGGAGCACGAGATGCACGACACGGCATCTCATGTGCCAGCTAGATAGATGGGTGCGTCCTACTTCTTGTTTGCCCAGAGGAAAAGCCATCAATGATTCCTTTGCATTTGGGTGGAAAATGTTCCCGTTACTTGCATAGCATAGCCACTACTAAGTATGTTCTCCGCGACGCCCCGCGACATTTGCCCGAAATTTGCGGCCCTGACGGGTTGAGCTGTATAGTGGAGCAGGTTGAAGGAAATAATGACAGCCTCAACTGTCTTTCTCAGAGCTGTCACAGAGTGAACAAGGGGATAACCTGCTAAAAAGTGTCGAACTACCAGAGATAGATAAGACGTGATTCGAAATATCCACTCGGGTGGGGGTAGATTGGTTCCTTATGGCCAGACGACAGCGGGAACTGGGTAAAGGTGTGATATGTGCTTCTCGATCGGTACTATGCCACTGTGATCAAGTGGTCGATGTTTGGTTTTGTGCACGCGGGCAGAGACACCGCTGTTGCGATGGGCATGGCGCAATTATGGTTGTTCCGTCGCCGCCACCTGGCTTCTCTTCAATGTGGTGAGCTTGATTTGTAGCGGGATCAGGTTTCGCTTTGATCCCGGCTGATCGTTTCTCGTAAGGGGCTTTCTGCAGACGGGACAAGTCCCCCGGCCTTTGCCCGGCGTATCAGCACGCTGTTCCTCGCTAAATTTCAAGGTGTCCGTGATGCATTTATGGCAGAAAAGATGGCCTTGAAGAATCGAAAAGTCAGCCGAGGCTTTTAGTGGGATGCCGTGAGAAGGAACACACCGCATAGAGTGCTCGTAGCATCAACCGGCGTGTCCATGCATACAGGGCACTTGTACGCTGTGAGAACAGAAGCCCCCTTGTCTTGGTCTAGCGACTGTTGTGCGAGAATCGCATCCGCTCGCTGTTTCGCCTGGGTCTTAGATATAGGACTGACTTCCGTAAGATCGACCGGTTCGATGACATCCGATGACCCCCTGGTTCTTCCTGTATTGCTCCGACGTCGTTTCCTTTCATGACCGGCAGCCTCCGAGGATGAAACACGACGCCGGCGGACGGGGTCATCCATTTTCGACTCTGGTGTGGACCGGAGGGAAGCAACGGGAGGCGGCAGTTAGTGTAAAGATCGTGGGATTCGTGAGATCAACATAGGAACGAGAGGGCGAGGCACGGTGCAGATGACTGGGTTTCGGAGTTATGTAAGGCGCTGAAAAGGCGTCATCTCTCAGCCCTACCGTAGCACTAGCCAGGGTGGGAAGTGAGAGTGGGAGTGGGAGAGGCAGAGAGAGAGAGAGAGGGTGGCGGAGAAGATGTTGCCTCAGTGCCTGAGGGCTGGCTTATCATGGATGCCCGATAAGTAACGAGGGGGAGGGACCCTTCTGGATTGAGCAGGCGGTGACGGCCGGACGGGGCATAGATTTTCCGAGCATGCCGGCTGCATGACGCCGGGATTTCCGCGATAGGAAAGAAAGTACGAAGCCTCCTAGAAAGCCGAAAGCCTACCAAAAGCCAAAAGCCTCCCAGTCTCCCGGTCGCAATCCACTTCATCGCGCAGCATTGGCTGCAAGGCTCGCATTACCATGCCATGGGCCTGACATTCATTACCAAGTCCAAGTAACACAATGCTTTGGAGTCATCGCTGCGCTCCCTCTTCTAGGGATGTCGTTCGCTTTTGCTCGCAGAGCCTGCGCTCGCCACGCTTCGTCCGGCCACAATCTTCACCCCTGCTAGTCAGGTACCTTGCGACGCAACCCGAGACATCCAGCGTCGGTGGAAGTTCTCGCCAGGAATCGCTGTCTGGTGAGTAAACCGATCCTCTACAGAGTTTGACCCTCCGCCTCAGATACTGATTTCGCAGTGCCTGCTTTGGCTAGGTTTAACGAAATCGGAGTCCAACAACTGAGCGACCATGTCTACTCTCAAATATTCCCCCAAAGGTCGAGCCCACCGGACCCCGCACTAGTCGCATTGTCGAAGGAACATCTGTCGCGCCATGATTTACTTGGGAAGTCCCAAGAGGCCGCAGAGCCGGTCGCCTTCGACTTGCCCAGCCTGCAAGGGCAGACCCTGGATGAACATTTCTTCAAGCTGGGGATGGACTCATCCGAACCGTACCTCACGTATGCGAAAAAATACATCGCGGTGAACTCGCCTGAGATGCCGCGCAAATGGGTGAAACGCAGCGGGTGGACCAAATACAACCCCGACGGCTCGTCGGAACCGGTCGATGCCCCGAACGAGAGTATGCTGACCTTTGATACTGAGGTCATGTACAAGGAACACGCCTTTGCTGTAATGGCTTGTGCTGTTAGCCCTACGGCTTGGTATGCCTGGATATCCCCCTGGCTTCTGGGAGAGACCGAGAATGAGGTCCAACTTGTTCCACTGGGGGATCCATCGCAGCCGCGGATCATCGTGGGGCACAACATCGGCTACGACCGAGCTCGTGTTCGCGAGGAGTACGATATGGCCCAGTCTTGTAATTTTTTCCTCGATACGATGTCTCTCCACGTGGCAGTAAACGGCATGTGCTCGCAACAAAGGCCCACCTGGATGCGGCACCAGAAGAACAAAGACATGCGGAATAAGATCGCCAGCGAGAATAGCTCCGTCGAGCTTGCGGCCTTGCTGGAAAACAAACTGCTCAGTGACGAAGAGGAGGAGTTATGGGTGGGTCGGAGCTCTGTAAACTCACTTCGCGATGTTGCCAAGTTCCATTGTGATGTCACGATTGACAAGGCAAAACGCGACTACTTTGGTGAACTGGGCAGGGACGAGATAGTAGCAAAGTTGGACGAATTACTTGATTATTGTGCGGCGGATGTTGCAATCACGCACCGCGTGTACAAGAAGGTCTTCCCCAACTTCCTCGAAGTCTGCCCACACCCTGTCAGCTTTGGGGCCCTCAGGCACCTTTCCTCTGTCATCTTGCCTGTCAACAAGACATGGAAAGAGTATATCACCAACGCAGAGGCGACATACAATCACCGATTAGAGGATGTTAAGCGGAAACTGATCGAACTGTGCGACGAGGCTCTGAAGGTTAAAGATTCCCCCGAAATCTACACGAATGACCCCTGGTTACGGCAGCTGGACTGGTCTGGCCAGGAAGTGAAGATGGTCAAGGGCAAAAAGAAGAATGATCCGCCACGACCCGCCGCCAGACAGAAAAAGCCGGGCATGCCGAAATGGTATAAGGATCTCTTTCCTACCAGCAACTCGGAAATCAATCTGACGGTGCGAACTCGTATCGCGCCTATCCTCCTCAAGCTGTCTTGGGACAATCACCCTTTGACATGGTCGGATAAGTTCGGATGGACGTTCAAAGTTCCGCGCGAGCTCGTCAAGAATTACGAGAACCAGCCCGTGGTGCGATGCGATATGTCCGAAGATAAGAATGCCGAGCTGCAGAATGACCGGAAGCATGTGTTTTTCAAGCTCCCACACAAGGACGGGCCTCAGGCACGGTGCGTGAACCCCCTAGCGAAAGGGTATATGCAGTATTTTGAACGAGGAACTCTTTCTTCCAAATATGCCCTCGCCAAAGAGGCTCTGGAGATGAACGCGTCGTGCTCTTATTGGATCAGTGCCCGGGACCGTATCATGGGTCAGATCGTTGTCTACGAGGATCAAGTGCGAGGCGTGCAATCGACTAAAAATGCGGATAATCGGGTGGGATTTATTCTCCCCCAAATCATTCCTATGGGCACCATTACTCGGAGAGCAGTGGAAAACACCTGGCTGACGGCCAGTAACGCGAAAGGGAATCGCGTCGGGTCCGAGCTGAAGGCAATGATCAAGGCTCCGCCGGGCTACGTGTTTGTTGGTGCAGACGTCGACTCCCAGGAGCTGTGGATAGCTAGTCTTGTGGGCGATGCCCAGTTCCAAATCCACGGTGGCAACGCCATTGGGTTCATGACTCTGGAAGGATCCAAAGCGGCAGGAACTGATATGCACTCGCGGACTGCCCAAATCTTGGGTATCTCGCGCAATGACGCCAAGGTGTTTAACTATGGACGTATCTATGGAGCTGGCGTCAAGTTCGCGGCTACTTTGCTACGTCAGTTTAATCCGTCCATGACGGAGAATCAGACGCAGGAAGTTGCCACCAAACTATACAAGGAAACGAAAGGCACTCGCACGACCCGTCGTCTCCTAAGTGAAGGTCCATTCTGGAGGGGTGGCACTGAATCATTCGTCTTCAACAAGCTCGAAGAATTTGCCGATCAGGAAAGGCCACGAACCCCGGTTCTCGGCGCAGGGATCACCGAAGCGTTGATGCGGCGCTTCATCAACAAAGGCAGCTTTATGACGTCCCGGATTAACTGGGCAATCCAGTCGTCGGGTGTGGATTATCTCCACCTCCTCATTGTCGCCATGGACTACCTTATCCGACGCTTCAACCTGGCTGCCCGTCTGGCAATCACCGTGCACGATGAGATCCGATACCTTGTTAAAGAGGAGGACAAGTATCGCGCTACCCTCGCTCTGCAGGTTGCCAACGTGTGGACGCGAGCAATGTTTTCGCAGCAGGTCGGAATAAACGATCTGCCTCAGTCCTGCGCCTACTTTTCGGCCGTGGACATCGACCATGTGCTGCGGAAGGAGGTGGACATGGACTGTGTGACTCCGTCGCACCCTCACAAAATTCCCCACGGCGAAAGCCTAGATATTGCCCAACTCCTGGACAAGAACGAAAAAGCGTTCCTCGACCCATCCATCACTCCGCACTCGCCCCCGTCCCCCCAGAAATACACCTACACCCCCCGCCCATCCGTCATGTCCGCACTCCCCGAATCGAACGATCCGTCGTACATCAGAGCCCAGATCACCAAGGATGACGCGGAGTTGCGAGACATCATCAGAGAACTCACCAAAGCGAAGACTGCAGCGCAGCCAAATGCGCGTGCATCGAGTACACGTGCCAAAACAAACAGCCCCATGGCCGCCGGGCCCCAGAAAGCCATCTTGATGGATATCGGGCCCACCATCTACCCGGATTTCAAAAGCCTTCCGCAGGGGAGCAGGTCTCCCCATGTTGGCTTCAACCGTCAAACCTGGAAGCCCAGGCCGGCTGCCCGCGCCTAAGCTCTCTCTCTTTCGCTGGTGACACTTCGCACCCGCCCTCCCCCCTTCCGTTCCCCTCTGTATATATTTTGCTCGATTCGCCGCGCAGACAGGCTCTTCTCTCCACCTTGACTCATTCTTCTCTTTCGGATTTTTGGACTTCTTTCTTGAGGTGTATTATTTTTCTGAAAACCGTTCGTGAAGCATTGGGATGGCGTCCACTTGGCAGATGCATTTCACGGACCATTTATGTATGAGTAGTTAGCCAGTTGGAGGGTCGGGTCGTGGTTTCACGATGATGGTGTGATGGATGGTGCATGTCAATTCGTGATACGATGTGATGTGATGTCTTAATATAATGTGAATACTAAACGAAACACAGCACTAAACACAAATAACAATCATCTACGTCCTTTCAAGAACTCAACACCAAACAGAAAGAAATATCTATCCCAATTTATCAAGAAACACCAGTCTTCCCACCCATGTTCCAAAAATTTCTAACGCCGAGAGTGCCTCCCCTCCCCTATCCTCTAGCCATCTACAGTCTACCGATAGACCAGACCACCTCAACACACACCTCGACAGCTCCCCTATTCATCTATACCAATCACCTCTTCCGTCCCGGATCCAGGGTATTCCTCCGACTCAACCCATTCCCCTCGCCACCTCTCAACATAGCATCCCCCTTCCTCCCGAGGACGACCTCCAGCGCCTGGACCAACGCCGTGCCATCGTACAGCATCCCGGCGGGCACCTCGATGCCATCCGAGCCCGTGGCGACAATCTTCCGCCCGTATAGTCGAAGCGTCTCGATGCCCATCTCCGCTAATCGCTCCCTGTCGACCCGGGGCGTTCCGGGTCCGTCTAGATGGAGGATATGTGTGACGTAGGATGCATATGGTAGCGGTTTTTTGCCAAGATCATCACCAACCCCAACCCCAGAGGAAATACTGGTTGAACCCCCAGAAGAAACCAGCCCCAGCGCCCCCCTCCCACGACTCTCCTCTCCAGCCCTCGTAACAGCCTCTACGAAATCCACCGCCGTAAAAGGCTGACAGGCCGGCCCGGTCTCACGATCCAACGAGCCATTCAAAATAAGAATCTTATGTCTCGCGGGGCCCGTAGCGATCGCCTGTCCAACGCCCCGGAGGATCAGAGACGGGATGATGGATGTGTAGAGGGAGCCGATGCTGTAGATGATGGCTTGGGCGGCGCGGAGGGCCTCGATGACGCGGGGGTTGGCGGGGGGGCGGATCTCCTGGCCGTAGGGGTTGATGTACCAGATGCGGGTGATGCGGGAGGGCAGCTCTTCGTTTTGGGACTTGTTGAAGCGGATGTTTTTGTTGCGGAGGGTGGGGAGGGAGCCTGGGGGGTGGTCTTGGTCGTCTTCGTAGGTGGGGGTGGTGGTGGTGGTTGGTGTCTCCTCGAGGTATTCGCCGCCGTCGGCGAGGAGGAGGCTTGGAGGACGCGAGCCCGGACGGGGCTGGAGGGCGGTTGCCTCGCTGGGATGGGAGATGCTGTTCTGGCCGACGATGACGGTGTCGTTGGCGAGGGAGGCGGAGATGTGGTGGGAGAAGTTGGAGTTGATGGCGGGGATGACGCGGACGAGGTCCGACGGCACGTCGCAGATGCTGCCCAGGAGGTAGATGGCGCTCTCGAAGCTGCCGCTGAAGAGGCGGGCGCCGGTGAGGAAGAGGTTGCCGACGCTGGCGGAGGTGAAGTCGAAGGTGGAGGACGGGGGACGCGCGCGCTTGAGGATCTCCAGGTTCAGCAGGTTGAAGAACGAGCGGATGAGTTCGCGTTTGGCGGGCGTGATGGCCGTCCAGAGGATGGAGGTGCCGTCCACGATCGCGTGCCATTCGCCATGGGCGGTGCTGGCATCGGCGGAGAGTCGATGGTTGAACAGCGTCTTGATGGCCGCTCGTTCGGAATCCGGAGGCGATTCGGGGATGAGGCGCACCAGTCGGCCTTTTTGTTGGTGTTAGATATTAGATGTGAGAGGGGAGGGGATGCGATGTGAGAGACTCACTGCGAACGTCGCCAATGCCAGGGCCCCCGAAGATGCGGATCAGCTCGGACGACGAGCCGCCATTGTCGCTGATGGGGATGATGTAGCTCAGCGGACAGTGTTTGCTCTCCCGCACGGCGTTGAACACGTCCACCAGGTTGTTCGCCGCGCTGCCCCCCGAGAAGACCACCAGGCCCCGGTTCGGGGCTGTGGCGCTCGTCATGGTTCGATCAAGATGATCTCTCAGAAACCCGCCGTTGGGGGTTTACATGGTTTTCCGATGTTCAGGGGGGAGTGTGGCGGAGACTAACAATATTGCGGTGATCGGTTCCTGAGGGACTCTTGGACTCTCGACGGAAACGGCTGCAAGTGGCGGATGGGGGATTTATTTCCACGCCAACCGCAGCTATCGCCACCCCGTCTATCAGACCAGATGACCAGATGATGGTAACTAACTATCCTCCCAGATATTGATATTCCCCTCTAGTCTGTCATCATACAGTCATGCGCATATACATACATAGCCTACAAGAAAAGTGTATACAGAGAGAATTGAAAATAGAACTCGAATGCAACCATGCAACCACGCAACCCCCCACGAGTGGCTCATGCATATGCGGCCCAGCCTGGGAGAAAGACAAGTCAGCTTGGCACCTCGAAGAATCAACCCCCCACTCCCCCCAATGAAACATACCACAATACAGAACAGCAAGGTTTTTCTCGTCGGTCGCCTGCTGGATCAACTCATTGACCGTCGCCGTGACACTTAACGTCTTGCTCAGCTTCTTCGCGACCACCGTCAACGCACGATCCGCCTCACTCGGCTCGTTGGCCGATCGTTGGTCCGTGGTCCCAGGGATGACAGGGGGTCCGTCATCGGCCTCCGTGGCATCCTGCATTCTCTTCATCCGAAGCGGGGATAATGTCCAACTGTACAGCGGATCGTACCGGAGCACATCGAGGATCGTCATGATGCTGTAGGACTCCTGACGGAGGGCTTCGAGGGTGAATTCGCAACACCGCCGGAACACACCCTCAGTCTTGCTGATCCCCATCCCATCGACCAGGTCGCGTGTTAAACGGAAGGGAACCACCTCCGGGACGGGCAGCACGCGTCCCTGCTCGAAAGCCACGCCCAGATCGATGTGGACCACCTCGCCCGTCCGTTCGTCCAGCAGGATATTGTGGCCGTGCCGGTCTCCCAGTCCGAGAACGTGGCCCAGGATGGAGATCGCGGCCGTGCTTCGCGTGTATGCCAGCCTCTTGCTGAACCAATCGTCGGGGTTGTTAAACTTCTCCATGAAGAAGAATCTCATCACCGGGTGGAAGTGCTCAGTCACCTGGCGATACGTTCGGACTCTTTGCTCGAAGGATCGGGTCTGGACATCGGCGATGCTTTTGCGGCACATATTTGGTTTCGCATCCTTCGGGAAATATCGTTGGTGCGCCGGCATCAAAAAATCGTGCAACGGGATCGTGTGGGGCACAAACTCGATGATTCCGGCGTTTGACGTGAGAGGAAGCACTTTGTAGGTGCGGATGCCCAGGTCCCGCTGCCGAGTGACCTGGTGGTCTTTGAGCAGGCTGCTCACTTGCTCGAAGACCTGCTCCATGATTGCGTCTTGCCGGAGGTCGTCGTTGCCTCCTTTGAACTTCGCGGACAGTTAGCCAAAATTTGACAATGCGATAGAGACAGATCGTCTTACCAGCTGCTTGTAGCGCGAGCCATTGCTGGCAATAGCCGTCACAATCTTCGGCGCACTGACACCAGAGGCAATCGTGAATTCAGGGGAGTACCGCACGAGCCGTGGGACATCGGTGTAGTCACAGTCGACACGAATATCTATCCTCATCGTCGGCGGCGGGAGCCTTTGCGTTGCCGCGTCTTGTTCGAGGCGTTGCCCGGTTGGCAGCTTTTTCAAGGGAACTTTGGCGCCGCTCTTAAGCCTTTCATCTGGCTTTTCAATCGCAAATCGTACGTAGCTGATGTTCGTATTGTGAACGGCCACCCACGTTGTCCCCATGCGTTTATCATTCTTCAAGAAATCCACCAATCTTCCAGCTGCCCTGTTCCGAGACAGAGCCGACTGGTCTTTGCCGCCTTTGGATTTGCTGCTTGCAAATATTTGGTACATTCCATGGAACGGATGGTCGACGCATATCCGGAAGATCAACGCGAAGAGCATCTTCTGGAACTCATCGGACACATCTAAGAGGCGAGAGGTAAGTTGGTTCATCAAGGGCGCAAATTTCCGACTCGGAACTTGCTCGAGATATTTGGCAACAGCCATATTTGCAATGGGGCTGTCAGATTTGTCGAGCCACAGGGCGCAGAAACGGAGCGCATCGGTGTTATAGCTTTCGCTCTCCTTCAGGCAGATGAGGTAATTCTCGAGACATTGCTGGAGGAAGGCTTCTCGGCTGCGTCGTAGACGTTGGTATTCGCGATCGTCGAGGTCAAACCACTGCTTGGTTTTTGCTCGGTGGAATTTGAGAGCCTCCTTCTCCTTTCCATGCGCCTCTTTCATCATGTCCTCCAGGGCAAGAACTTCATTTTGCTTTCGATTGCGGAGCTGCTCGACCCGGGTAAAATCCTCTAAACCATCGGGATTTTGCAGCTGCTGGTCACAGAACATGGCAAAACCATGATAGACTCGACCGGCGTCCTCCCCTTGCGAGCGGCTTTTGAGCTCTTTGACGGCCGTAGACAAGTAATCTTGGATGATAGCGTCCGGCTTCTCGAGGCGTGCTTCAGCAATGTGGTGGCCCTTCTTGTTGTTAGAACCATGTGTTTATAGAAAGATGGAGCAGATCTGGGTTGACTTACCAAAGTCACAAGAAGCTCGGCGCGGCTGATCGGAACAGCTTGTTTGTGCAGGTCATTCCGCTCTCTGAGCTGCTGAAGCATTCGGATAGATGCTGCCATTTCGCCCTGATCCCACAGAACGTTCGCCAAATCAAATTTTGCCGCGCCTTCGATGTTCATCCCCAAGGAGTCGCAGTCGCGCGTGAGCTTTGAAAGGCATACGGCCGATTTCAAAGATGCCTGCGATATTCCACGGTTTCGTGTGATCTCTAGTGATTTACGAATAACCTTCACTTCTAGCAATTGCGCGTCGCGGTCGCTTAGGTTGATGGCAGATTTTAGGAAGTCCTTCCTCTTGATAGATGAGAATAAGGCCTCATGGCAGCTCAGAATCTCTCCGACCTCGCCGGCACTGCTCATGTTAGAATCAAACACAGAACAGTCTGTTAGAACAAGTAAGATGCCTACCTGGTTATCTTGAGCCAAGGGTCCCTCGCTGCAACCTTGTGCCATTCATTGTTGATGTCTTCGGCGGACTTAGAGCTTAGAACATCACCAACCTCGGTCATGACCCCCAGTATACGCATTGCGGTGCGCAAGGAAATGGCCGAGCGACTGGTGCTAGTCAGTAAGTCCAGACTAGACAAGAGACACTCGTCGACAGAGTTGTAGACATCGGATAGCGTTCCTGATGCGTTGAGGCTTTGGAAGCCCCGAAAGATAGTCGCAGAAGGCGAAGGGCTCATAGGGGAAACAGGGATGTCCCATCGTCGCAGGTCTCTTGCTGTTTGGAGCATGCTATCAAACGATCCCGATGTGTCCCTTGAGCTCCCAGAGGCAGCAAAAAGGGAATTTGCGATTCCTTGAAGATTGGTCGAATTGAGCGCTTTAAGGACTCCGTGGGCATTTGGATCTCCCCCCATCTGTATTTCGCTATCATAATGTGCACTTTGGAACAAAAGATTCTTCAATCCCGAACTTTCATGTTCAAGCCTATCCATGACAGCCTCCAGTGATGAGTCTTGTTGAACCCCATAGAAGAAATCTGGATCATCTATGTTTCGAAAGATGTCATGCATTATCTCCGGCGAAGCGTCGTATTTCTTAAGCGATGAGCGGCGCGAGGTGGGAACCGCACGCGATGCCACGATTTCGAGGAAAAGAAGCCCTGTCTTTGGCAGACCACACTTATTGGCAGCCGAGGATGCCACGACAAAGTCAACATCAAGCCATTCATCTCGCTCCACTATCGTCGATTCGTCTGGCCTAGGCTGATTCCTTAAATAGAGAATGCAGTTGATAACGAGTCGTGCGTGAGGAATCGTGCGATCATCAACCTGTCGTAGTACTTGTCCAAAGACCTCAGACAACGTATGGCGAACATTGACATCTCCCTGGTACTCTGCCAGCAAGACATCGTGGAGGATGTATGGAAGAACCTGGGCAGCGAGCTCAGGGATGACATTGAGGACGGTACGCAATGGTCCTATGACCGGGTCTCCGGGAGCCGCGTTCGAAAGAAGCAGCCCGACACTCCGAGCAAAGTGAGCTGCGCTGGCATGGGGCTCCCATATCACCGCGGCTTCAGTCTCAGTCCTGTCATCCGGCATGGGCATACCGGGGCATTTATAAGGACTCCACGTGAAAGCTTTCAGAAGAGAAGGGGGTATGATATCTCCACAGGGTCCAAGTTCAGGAAAACCAGTGAGGTTGCTGACGATGAGTTGCATTGTACGTTCGACCAGGCCAACTTCCAGGTGGCTGTTATTTTGGAGCATATTGCAAAGCGTCACGAGTATACTGGCTTTAGACTGGTGAAATGGATTCGACATCTGGGGTGAATGAGGGCCAAACAGTTCCGGGTCTTGCTCCCTCAACAGGATATCACTAATCTCTCCAGTAGTTGCAAATGCTCTACCAATAACTCTGGCTGCCCACAGTTTGTAGTCAGTACTTGAGTCAAATTTCTGCAGAGTTTGGCAGACAGCAACGGCACTTGAAATGGCCTTCTCATTCTGATCAGAGCCACGGCCATGGTGCCCAGGAGAAAGTTCGCTCTCAGTGCATAGTAAGGATATGACGTGATCAGCAATTGGTTTGCTTAGTAGACTTTTCCTCGAGCTTTGGTCGCCAAGGACTTGTAGAAGTAGATCATACTCACTTCTGCCCTTTGAACGCTCGTCGGTGATAGCAATTCCCTGGGAAGAACTGACCAGACGTCGAAACAGCTGTTGTTTCTCGGTCGTCAGCGTGGATGACTCGTACGAATCCAGGTATACCTCAAACCACTGGATGAATTCCTTGAGTTTTGCCATTACTGTTTCCACTAAGCTTTCCTGTACCGTCTCCAAAGGGGGAGAGGCCAGGAACTTTCTCAGTGACAGCAGCGTAGTGACCGCAATTCCAGCCATGAGGCCAGGATTCTCAGCCAAGTAGTCCTTGCCCGCTTCTAAAAGATACCAGAATATACCTAGTGTGTCTTCCGCGCAGAATATGTCGATCAGATACGGTCGGAGTGCGTGCATTATCATTTCAAACGGATAGTCGCTCAGCATCACAGGTCCAGCGATACTCACGAGGATCCTGATCTTTCTAATGACGGAGCAAGCATGGAGAGAGCCGAGAGCCGAGTGAATTGATTCCAAGAGCGCTCGGCAGACATATGTCGCCAAAGTGGGTGTCCATATGGTCTCCAGGTCATACCCGCTACGTTTGCAGAGAAACTCAAGCTCGTCAAGGAGATAGCGCGCTCTGAACGAGGGTTGCTGATTCGGGGGTAGCACAATACCAGAGGCGCACTTTTCAGTTATCTGCTTCAAGACATTGAGGGCATCTTGGAAGTTGTGACGCTTTGACATTGCCCTCTCCATTTGTTCATATTGATCCAAGGCCCCGAAAATTGTTGCAATCATTTGCGGAAAGTGGGCTTCAATCAGAGCTACAAAATCCTCAGTGCCTAGAATCTTCATCACTCTCTTTTCCACTCCTTGAGGTTGGCTTCCCTGTCCGGGAGGAGTGCTAATATCACGCGCTATGCTGTACGCCTCCACTTTATAAAATGAAGTTACTAGCAGGTCAACAAGAGGTGAACCGATATAGGAGGCAAGCTCATCGGCTTCACGTTCGTCTGAGCGCATCATGACTTGACCGACGATCTCATCCTGAACATCACTTAACATCTCCTCGAGTGTGGCGTATCCAAAGACACTGAAAGGCATTGAGGTAACAGATTGTCCCTCGGTCCAGGTGTAGATAATCTGAGACGAAAAAAGTCGAAACAGCTGTTTGGCATCTTTGAGTCCGAGTGTCCGCGCAACGTCACGTAGGCATTTTTCGGCATATCGAAGCGAACTTGGAACTTGAGCGGGTGTTTCGAACATGTGGTATATACTTCTTCGGAGTAGTGTATGCCACTTGGAAGCCAGATGGGCTAATATCATCAAGCGCAGGGCAATACCCTCGTCCCAGTCAGGGTCCCGGGGAAGGTTTTCTAACACGTCATCGAAGATCGCATCATGCTCTGTAAGAGAGAATTGGCCAAATAGTTTGGGGATCAGTTCGCCAGCACTGAATTTTACCAAAGCATCCCCTTCTCGGAGAATCCTAAACAGGCTTGTCCTGGGTGACGGACTAGACCGACTGCTTGTATAGCCACTATTATGTATGAGCAAGTCACCTAGTAGCTGAGTGAACTCCATTAGGACTGAAGAAGAGGCTTTTCCCTTGGCCAGTAATACCTCGGTGAACCATGTAAATATGTCAGTAGCGGAATCATTCAGATCGTCATGATCTTGGCTAGTCCATGATTTTGCGAAGCTTCGCATCATATGGAGGCAAAGAAGATGTGAGTTTTCACAACGTTCCAATTCGTACGATTGCAAGCATTTTTCACCCAGGTCTTCCAGTATTTGTAGCAAAAGGTGGCGTTCCATTGCAACACATGCATGATAAACATGGGGCAAAAAGTTCCGCGCCGATAATACATCAGTTTCATCAAGATCTGTCAGATACTGAACTAGGTCTTCATCGGAGGAGCGTTCAGAGGATCCAGGAAGAATATGCATTCTCTGGAAGACAGATAGCTGAACAGTGATGCAGCGTTGCAAGGTAGCGAAATCCTGGAACATTGGTGACGCTTCTCGGTTCACATTGAAGATATATGAAATCTCTGCGAGTTGATCCTGAGCTGCGAGCAATGGGTCATCTAGATCCATAGCTTCCTCATTGTGGAGATCCAAATCCTCCCTTTGTCGTTCTCGATAGCCCTCCAGCACCTTAGCCAGAGGCGAAACCAATGTGGAAAGAGCATCAATGATGGCTGACTTGGTTTCCGAGAAAGCTTCAGGTCCAAGCAGAGGAGCTATTATCGTCAGGCAGGCATAGATAAAAGTAGGTTCATGGGAGGAAAGGAAAGAACAAAGTTTTTCCCACAGACGCCAGCTACTCTGCTGCAAATCAGACAACTTGTTTGTCAATTGGGGTAGACATGCCGTGTACAATGCAATGGTGGCACAGGAAGAAGCAACAACCTGTACTATGTCCACTGTGATATGATGCGACCTCTCCTCAGAAAATACCCCCCAAGCCTGCAGAAACCCATCAACTTTCATTTGGAGCAGATCGATAAGAACATGATCATTGATATCAAGTCGAGAGAACTTTTGCAGAGGCATTGCCTCTTCCGAGTTCCAGAATTCAGCAGGGTCCAACATGTCCCGAAGATCGAAGAGGTAATTCAACAGCCGTTTATTCTTATGATAAAAGTGCCACCCTTTAGCAATGTGTCCTGAGGGTCCTATGAAGCGAGCCTTGGGCAGTACGAAGCGCCTGTTGGTACAAGCGAAAAATAGACTTAGAAGATCTAAAGGCCGCGCAAACATAGCAACTTGGGCTATTTGCAATCGATCGGTTACCGACCCTAGGACGCTGTTAGAGAGCAAAGTAATCCTGATAGCAGCACAAGAGGAACGCACCGATAGCCCAGGTTTCTCGTAGCCATGAAGAGATCGTTTTTGAGGCCTCTGGAACTAAGCCGGGGTTGATCTGCGCGGTCGACCGGAGGACCGTAGCCCAAAGTGCCAAGGACGAATCCGAAATCGCAGATGGGCCATTCAAGTTCACAGATGCCAGCATAGAGCTTGTCGCCTGGGCGACTAATGAGTATTCTAGAAGATCAGACTGGAGAATGCGGTTCAGCAGATTGCAAGCGGCTCTAGCTGTAGCCTGGGAGGTGGAGATACGAGACGTCAACTCCCAGGCACGCTGCCAGTGTTGTTTCAAAGACTGTGAGCTTGCATCAGGACTACTAGCAATGCTATCCGATATCTTAGTTAGCCACGTACTTGTTAGGTTCGGAGTTTCTACCAACCTCGCAATTGCGACCATTGTCCAGGAGGAAATTACACTGTTATCATCTAAGATATTAGGAAGCAACCGCTCGAGAAGGGAGACCTTTGGCTCAACATCAGCATAGCTTCTAGAGAGAAACGGGATCAGTTGTAAAGCGCAAATTCTCCTGGAGCCAGAGGATGCCGTTGATTCGCGGAATATTTCTTCTATATTTGAGGTAAGACGCTGTTTCTTACTGGACGCCTCCCCAGGCGCAGAGAGGGGCGACAGCCGCTTAGATACTTCGTCTGACAACTCGAGTAACTTCGCTATGACCCATAGCGTTGTCCAGTTGTGCTCAGACTTGGTATTTTCACTGCGAGGCCACGCTAAACATTCCTGTTTCTGCACTGAAACGCTGTGGTGAAAGGCCAGTTCATCTAGCTGCAGAATTTCTTTCTCGGATCCTTTGATATAATCTGCGTAGAGAGTGTCCGATAGTTCTTCTATCGAGCGTGCGAGTATCTCCGAAGGCTCTCTGCGAGCGGCATCCGTCAAGACGACCACACAGAGCATGATAGTGACGAGCATCTCATCTTTCAGGCCCATAAGCTTGGTAGCCCACAAGCGACGTATTACCGGGATTAGGTCTACCAGTGAGGTCTTTGCGAGTTCAGACTGGTCAAATAGGATCCTTGTGACAACGGCATTTATGCTGGCAAAAGCAGCCTGGTGTCCACTTCCAGCGATAGTCGACGAGGCCACATATTTGGCTAGCCCAGGAAGAACGTCCTCGGCTGCTTCGTGGATGGGGCCGTTTGGACTCCCGGTCAGTAGCTGGATACATACGACGGCCTCTGTAGCAGCACTGTTGTCGCCTTTCGGCTTTTCACTGGGAGTAAACACGGGAGTCACCCTGGAAGGCGTCGCCCTAGAAGACGTTGCCCGAGAAGGCGTCGAGCTTCTGCTTCCGGAAGCGAAATAGTCATCCAAAAAGGACGAACGGCCGGTTCGAGAGCTTAGTGGGCTATGCTCCCCATCTTTCCCATTAATACTTCTTAGACAAAAGCTCATAACCTTCTCCCACTCGCTGGCTCCCAGGTGTTCGAGGTGGGGCGGATATCGCAAAAGTGCGACCAGGCATTTGGTGTAGTCCACACTGAGAAGCTCCAGAAGCGCATCGCTCCCGGGGGCGAGCAAGGTATCGGTGATGTGATCAATGATTGCACGGACTGATTTGGTCCGCAAGTTACGCAAGAAGACATCCACGGCTGTGCGAAGAACCGATGCACATGATGACAAGCGAGCAGCAGAGGCTCCTTTGGCGCTCGACCGGCTGTGTAGGGATTTCTCGACCGATATAAACCGGAAAAGAGACTCAAAGATCTTGTGGCATGCTTTGTCATTCAGTGAGTTTCTAGAGACGGGCGCGCATGTCAACAGCTGTCGGCCACCATTCGAGCCTTAGGGCGGCACGGGACCTCTCTCTACATACAATTTCGAGTTTCTTTTGTTTTTCTGGAGTATATGCTTCAGATCTAGATATCAAGTGTCAGAGAACGGTCGCATTCGGGATGTTTAGCCCAGGACAAACCAGCTAGCCCATCCGACCGGTCCCTGAGCTTCTCGGATGCCAGAAGCGCAATAGCTCCATCCAGAGTGATCTCGCCCATGATTATGGAGCAAAGGTACTACGGGGTTGGCGCAGAGATGCCATCAACTTCATTCAGATCATCCTGGGAGAACCGTCCAGGCCCAAGGAACATAACCAGAAAGCGAGGAAAGCAAGAAGCCTGGGCGGTTAACCAAGGCGCGTGAATAATTTGGGCATTTTTGACGATGCTCGGAGAAGCGAGAGCGAGAGAGAGAGAGAGGTGAGGGACGAAGCTAAGCTGAGCTGAGCTGAGCTCCGCTCGCCGCCCGCCGCCCGCCGCCCGCCGCCTTTAGACCGCCGGAAGTTTGGGCGCGTCCTCCGACCTTTGACCTTTTTTGGCCCGGACAAACACATCTCGTCCTCTGCGTTTTCTCACCTCGCCCACCACTCGACTCTCCGCGATGGAGGACAGGGATTCGGTCACTGGCCTTCGTGGCCTGTACCAGGATCTGTCTTCTCTTTCCGACCCTTCCTTCGTCAACATCGAGCGTCTTCGGATCGAGCTCGAGACTCACATCGAAGATTTCAAGAAGCTCCTCGACAAGCCCGCCAAAAACAACACGAGTCGGCAAGCCGTCCTCTCAGGTGAGCTAGCCGATCTTTAGCTGTCTGGCCGGACACTTCTGGAAGAAAAGCGTGTCGGCGAACCTGGACCATGCGCTGACTCTGCGTGCGGCGCAATCTAGGCAAGATCACCGTGGACAATACTGAGTACGAAATCAATGGAGAATTTCAGCAAGGAGTGCTGCTACTGGCAGACGCATTGGATCTCGATGAATTGGAAGCGGCGATGATGTTTATGGCCGCCCAAGAGCATGCCAAATTGCTGGACAGGCCCCCTGTGATCACGGCGATCATGCAATTCCACGAACGCCGGCAATTCTTGCTCGACTCCTTGCGCCTCATCTTCCAGGAATCCTTTGAGGTGGAACGGGAATCGACACAGGTCCTCATGCAGGAAGCGCTGGCGTATGTCGTTGAAATAAAGGATGGTCCTTTGCGGAATGCGTCACTGTTCACTCGGAAGTGCATGAAGTCCATGCAGGATATCGAAAGGTGGCTTGTGCTCCTTGGCGATCATGTCCAGAAGGCGTCTATCGTTGGTCAGTCGGAGGAACTCGACATCATGGAGGCGCTGGAACACCAGCGCTCTAGCTTACAGCAGCAACATGAGACCCTCGGTGCCGTGCTATGCTACCTTTTCAAGGGCCCTTACACCAGTCCCGAGGATCTCCGACTGCTGTTGGACCACTTGAAGAAACTGGACCGATTCGATGGAATTCTCGTTCATTACATGCCTTGCATAATATCCTCCTTTGTACAGCATGGTTCGCCGGAGAGTTCCAGCTCTTACCGAGACGCTAGAAGCCTGCACACAGCTATCACTTCGTCCAAGGACGGTCAAGTCTGGAAACTCCCCACCTTTCATTCTGCAGTCATCACCCTGTGGCTTGCAGTCTACAGTGGGTGGGATTTCGATGGGCCTTCCTCCCCTGTTCAGGGAGTGGATCTAGAGAAGGACGCAGAAGAGCGAACAAAGATGTTCATGACTGCACTGGACGATGGTGGTCTTGACCTCATCCTCGCCATTTGCTACGGCGTGAACAATGAAGAATGGGCTGATCCAGCTCGCAGCGAGCTGGTGACATTGTTATTGAAAGAAAGCGCGTCCGCAAAGCTCGAGTCCGATGAGTGCTCAGACTTCTTGAAGATGCTTTTGATGGAAAACTTCGAAGCCTTTGCTGAGGCATGCATTGCCAACATGCCAGATGCGGTCCGGATGCTGAAAACTGAGGAGGATTCGCAAAGATTGGATCATCTCACTGCTCTCAGAGACGGCCTGACTTCGAGCCTTCATCGTGGCCTGGTAGAAGCCCGGACGCATCTTGAGTCGTTCTTGATGATCATGGCGTTTGCATTTGAACATCGCCCGGACTCTGCGCAGGAGTTTTGGGCTGACCCTGATGGAAACCTGTATGGGTTTCTCCAATGGGCTTCCAAAAGACAGACGGTTCCCAGGGTCAGCGCCTTTTGCGAGCTTCTATGCTCTATCTCCGTGGGAGAAGACAATGCCACTGCCGCCCACCGATTTTTATCTGAGGAGGACAAGTTCTTGTCTGCAAAATTCAAGCGGACCACGTCCATGAACTGGTCACAAATGTTTGCTGAGCTTGAACTCTACGCAGTAAAAGTGACCGAAAAGCCCCCTTCCACTTCTCCGGCGATTTTGCGATCAAGAAAGCTTGACCCAGCCGACATGAGTGAGCCTGAGAGTCCTGTCATGCTAACATGCTACCTCAGACTGTTGGAGCATCTGTCTAAGCAGAGTACTACCATAAGAGATTGGCTTCTTCACCACTCCTCTTTCAATATTGTCGGCACATTGTTAACGCTTTGCAGTGGGCCAGTCCCTACGCACTTGAGGGCCAATGTCTTCTCAGTTCTTGCAGCTCTGATGACGGATAGGACATCTCATAACGGAAATGAAATGTGGCTTTCTATTGATCAGTGGATTTCTGGGGGGTCAATGAGTGTCTCTAGCCTAGGAAAGGTTCCGGTAGTCTCCAACCCTCTCGTATGGCACGAGCAGCAAGCGTTCCAGAGGATTGGTGAGAGCTTTGATCAAGCCAATGCTTTTGTCCGCATGGTTCATTCACTCGTCCTCCCTACTGCTGATTCTGCCGACTACCACCTGTCACTGCCATTTCCGGAGAACCTCGGCTCGTCCTATCGTATGCCGGGCATTGAGCCTTACATCGACTTTGTTATGGGCCAGGCTTTTTCAAGGAAAGTCCCAGACCTCAACGAACGCCAAACCCGCTTCTTGACTTACAATTGCTTGGAAGTCATTGTAACATGCTTAAAGTCCTTCAACGAGAACTTGGTGACCGTGCTCAGTCAGCCCGCAATCTCTTCTGACACTGTGATCAAAACGTCAACATTTGTTACATACATTCGTTTGCATCCATTTTCCCGGGTCGCTGAGTGGCTATTCAATGAAGATGTGCTTAAAGCGATCTTCTCTGCAGCTCAGCAAGACGTTGCTGAGGTCGCAAAAGCTGCGTCTGATTCAGTTCTAGTCCTTTCCTTGGTCAAGACCTTAGAGGTTATGGACATGATAATCGACCTTCAATCAACATATTCCAATATTGTTAGGCCGGCAATCAAGTCCCAGGCTGGTGGAAGCAGGACCAACGTGGCGAACTCTTCGCTTTCATCATTTGAGGACAGTATTCTCAACAACCTGGCGCTAATACCGGCATTGTGTCTCTATTGCAGCACTGGACACTTGCAACTCACTGTTACATCGATGGCGTTGTTGGAAAAATTGTCTAGCTCTACAAAGCTGAACAAGATCACGTCTCCTGAATTGTCTAGATGGCGCTCATCGAACAAAATTGTTGAGGTTTTGAGTGCGGAGGTAGATCTCAACAGTGTGTCACGGCCCCTTGTGTCTCAAATGCAACCCGAATCAAGAGAATTGGAGGGTGGCCCAAGATCCCCGGGATACGTTATCAGAGAAAGCCTCTTAGCACTACTCAACAGCTGTCTCGGTATGATCAATGACAGGCCCACAGTGGCCCATCTCCTTCTCGGATTCAGCAGCGTCGGAAGCATTCTTGACGTCCCATCCGTGGGCCTATTTGCCGACAAGATGTCCTTGCTGCATGCTCTCATTGGATTTTTGCAAAGCTACCCTGATGAGCTGAATGGAAATATCCTTCCATGGCTGGTGCACGTCAAGCGTATGGCTTTCGGGGTCCTGAGGCATCTGTGGTCTTCTAAGCTCTCCTCCTACTTCACACTTGCCGAGATGCGTGGGAGTCACTTCCTTCTCAACATGTTCGCGAATCAGTCGATCATAGGGCCAAATACACCGTGGGATGGGCTGCCCATCATCATTAATGAATTCTGGGTTTCCGACTCGACAACTGCTCTTGCAGAATTTTTGCTCTTTAGAAGTTATCTGTTTGACTACGCCGCAACTGAAATCCGCTCAGCTACCAAGCTTGGTTCCCCGACACTTCAAGCGGAAATCATCTCAATCTTGTTCGGAAACTCTGTTTCAGAGACCGGCGAGACCGTGTTGAACCCTTCTGTATTCGATCTGTTCGATTTTGCGGATCTAGATATCCGGTATCGGTTACAACCACCGGTGCTAACCTTCCTCAACGATATCGAATTCGATGTGTGCGCTGTACCTGAAACGGAAAACACTCCAGCCGTCTACAATCTGGATGAAATAGTGGAACTGATCCAGGTCAGGAAGGAGGAGTTAATTTTGAGCGGGCAGATACGGCCTCAGGATGAAGAGCTGTTTACGATCGAATCCGAGACCTTGATGTTGTTCATACGGTCAACCAATCAGGCCAACCTGATCGCGTTTAACCGCTTTTTGGCTCTGCGGTCCTGGACGGAACTCATTACCACCATGCTCACCTGTTCCGAGATTGAGGGCGGAAGAAGATCGACTTTCATACTGCACTCGCTCCAGTTGATACTTCCCAAGCTCGAGGCTGCCATCGAGGAAGACCAACCGGAGGGAATCGAATTGGCAAGGTTGGCTGAGACGCTGGTCAGTAGACTAGAGGCTACAAACTCCGGGGAGCACATCGCCCGGAGAAGCGGAGATGTCCTTGACGAGAAACTTCATCAACTGTTCCAAGTCTGCGTCCGAGGCGTGATCCTGGCAAACGGGAATGTGGGCATCAGAGAGACCTTTTACAATACCTGTGCACACTACATGTCCCGCATCATTCCGTTAGAAGCGGGCCATCAAAACATCAGGCTCCAGAGTCAACAAGTGATCAAAGCTGCCGGTCAGGCCTTGATTGAGGCCGTCTGTGACGATGCGTATGCTGGTCAAGAGACATGTCGAGTGTCGGCTCTCTTATTCCTCAACCTCTTAGCTGCTCTGGATAGACAGGCAGATGGACTGTTGGCCGAGTCAATGGCCCAGTCCAACTATTTGAGCCTTTTCTTGGATAGCATTCGAGCGCTTCCCCGCGAACTGAAGAATGCTCAAGCGAACGGTAAGCCGACCCGTTTATTATCCAGTGAAACGGATAGCTAACCGTGATCATTTCAGATACGCCTCTGCTGTTGTCCTACTACCAGTCATTACTGTCTTTGCTTCAAGAACTCTGCCAGACAAAAACAGGCGCGATCCAGGTCCTGAAAACTGGTCTCTTCCAGGCCGTACGAGACTCGCAGCTATTTGCAGCTGATCCCGATCTTGGCATTGGTAAGAAACGACCTAGCGATATGAGAATGATCTTGATTCTAACAAACATAGACATCGACAACCCCGACGCTCTGCGGAAGTACTACGACCTTCTTGACTCAGTCCTGCGAGTCGTTGTCGCCGCCATTTTCTCTCGTGGACTGCACAACGAGCAGATGATGGAACAAACCCGACTTTTCCTGGCCGAGAACCGACAGAGCATGGTCGGCATCTTCAAGAGGTTTGCCAAAATCGGAGGCTCCGGTGCTGCCAACCACCAAGACGCATTGAGGAATCTCACCAAGTCGTACATGGCACTAGTTGCCGCCACGGACTTTTTAGAGGTAAATCATCAGCTATCCCGATCGCCTTTGTACTGATACTGACTCTCGTGTGGCAGTTCGAGGATAAGGACGTGAAGGAGCGGACGGGCATGAGGCTTTTTGCGTGAGAACGGGTTCCAGGTGTAGTGAAGAATGGGTAGACGGACAAAAGGCATGGAGTCAACCGGTTGGAACGATGTACATGAGAGATTCTTCGGTTCTTCAGTACTTGATTTAGAGAATCTGCATTATTTGAGCTATTCCGTATCCGTCCGTAGAAAGGCGGGGGTTGGCCTGCAAATCAGCCGGCTGCCTGACTGCTCAGGCAATCCACGCGGACGTATTATCTTATCACCGACGTCGTCGAGTCAGTGGAACGACGAGCGCTGCCCCTTCAAGCTTGCTTCATCTCCAACAGCCCCCCCCCCGCCGCTATCTATTCCTGCCCGTCATCATCATCGACGTCTCCCCCGCATCGCCTCTTTCAAGCCCGGATCACTGCTGACAAGCTTAACTGTGTACCATGTTTCATAGGATCCACGCACTCCCTGGATCCTTCCAACGCTGAGCGCTCCCCTCCCAACTCCCTCTCCTCGGACAGAACCGGGTAGATGCAGCAGAACTCGAGGGGCGCCACCGAGCAGAGGAGCGGCAAGCGCAAGTCGATCGGCAAGAGGAAGCTTTCCGATCAAGAGGAGGCATCGCAGCAACCTCAGCAGCAGCAGGCGACCATCTCGGAGCTTCTCTCTCGACACCACCCGGCCCCCGCCCGAGGAGGTCCTCCACAGCCAACGTCTCCGACGAGCAAACGCCTACGGTTATCGCCATCTTCATCGGGTCCGGTCTCTTCCGCTCAACAGACCTCGTCCGACAGGATGTATAACTTCTCGAATGCAGAGACCAGGCCAGGCGGGCCAATGGGACAGGGTGCGAGCGGGGCGGGTCTCTCCAATTCGACAAGCAAACCTCGCACCTTCAACGCGGCATCGCGCCAAAGCAATTTTACGCCACATACTGGAGCGAAAAGGCTTGTGGTGAAGAATCTCCGGACGGGCTCGCGATTAAACCAGGACTCCTTTCTCGAGAAAGTCTGGGAACAGCTTGATGCAGCACTATCGGCAATTTTCAATGGGGGAAAGCCTGAGATATCGCTGGAACAGCTCTACAAGGGAGCCGAAAACGTGTGCCGTCAAGGGAATGCTGCAGCATTGGCCAAACGGCTCCAGGATCGATGCCGCGAACATGTCTCTGGGAAATTGCGCGACAAACTGGTGGCAAGGGCCGAGGGTGGGAGTAATATCGATATACTAAGAACGGTGGTAGATTCGTGGTCTGGGTGGCAGTCAAAGCTGGTAGGGAGCAACCTGCGGTGTGACTGTTTATTTATGGAGAAATATTGACACTACACTGCAGGTTACGGTTCGCTGGATATTCTACTACCTCGATCAATCTTTCCTTCTCTCCTCCAAAGAATTCCCCATAATTCGCGAAATGGGCCTCCTTCAGTTCCGACAGCACATATTTTCCGATGCGGTTTTACAGCCGAAGATCTTGCAGGGGGCCTGTGATCTTGTCGCAGCGGACCGTGACGAAGAACAAAGCATGGTGGCTGATTCCTCGTTGCTCCGGAATTCGATTGAACTCTTTCACAGTCTTGATATCTACACGAGTGGGTTTGAGCCGCTTTTTATATCCGAATCCAAGGTCTTCTTCCAGTCGTGGGCCGAACGAGAAGCAGCGGGATATTTGGCAACCTTCGCGGAGCACAGCCATCTCTTGATCGAGCGCGAGGTAAACCGATGCGAGCTGTTCTCCCTCAACCGGAGCACCAAGCAGAAATTATCAGAGCTCCTGGACCGGGCCCTAGTATCGACGCAAGAGGATGTGTTACTCGATCAGAATGACGTCCTAGGCCTCCTGCGGGCGGGGAATAAGATATCATTGGAAAGGCTGTACTCTCTTCTTCAGCGAAAGGACCTGGGCGCGAAACTGAAAACGGCGTTCAGTTGCTATATCATCGAGGAGGGCTCGGGGATTGTTTTTGATGAGGACAAAGAGGCGGACATGGTGGCTCGTCTACTGGACTTCAAACAACAACTCGATGACGTTTGGATCAATTCGTTCCATCGAAACGAGGACCTCGGGCATACACTCCGCGAGGCTTTTGAGACTTTCATGAACCGGGGGAAGAAGTCGGACTCCAGTGGCGGAACTGACAACCCCAAGACTGGAGAAATGATCGCCAAGTACGTGGACAGGCTCCTCAAAGGCGGGTGGAAGCTGGCCCCTGTACACAAGGCGGACGACAAGCCACTGGCAGACGAAGACGCCGAGATCGACCGACAGTTGGACCAAGTCTTGGACCTGTTCCGCTTTGTTCACGGGAAAGCAGTCTTCGAGGCTTTCTATAAGAATGATCTTGCTCGTCGGCTGTTAATGGGCAGAAGCGCGAGTGATGATGCAGAGAAGAGCATGCTTTCAAGGCTAAAGACGGGTTCGTTTCTTCATCTCCAAAATTCGCCTCTATTGGTTTACTGACAAAGCGTATCAGAATGTGGATCAAGCTTCACGCACAATCTGGAATCCATGTTCAAGGATATGGATGTCGCCCGGGATGAAATGGGGGCGTACAGCTCCATCCAGCGCGAACGTCGGCACCGGCTGCCGGTGGACCTGAGCGTCAGTGTGCTGTCCGCGGCGGCATGGCCGACATACCCTGATGTCCAGGTGCGGATCCCACCCGAGATCGCGACCGCTGTCGACGACTTTGAGAAGTTCTACCACACCAAATACAATGGACGAAAGCTCGACTGGAAGCACCAGCTGGCGCATTGCCAGCTGCGAGCGAGATTTCCCAAGGGCGGGAAAGAATTGGTGGTCAGCTCGTTCCAAGCGATTGTACTGCTACTCTTCAACGATGTCCCCGAGGATGGAGTTCTTGGGTATCAACAAATAAAGGAAGCGACGGCGATGTGTTAGTTATCCCCGTGATCACTTACACTGCCGATGGACCGCTGCTAACTATACCGATATAGCTGACCAGGAGCTAAAGCGGACGCTTCAATCGCTCGCCTGTGCGAAGTACCGTGTGCTCAACAAGAAGCCCAAGGGCCGAGATGTGGAGACCACCGACGAGTTTTCTTACAACACCGGGTTTACCGATCCGAAGATGCGGATCAAGATCAACCAGATCCAGCTGAAAGAGACGAAGGAGGAGAACAAGACGACGCATGAGCGGGTGGCTGCCGACCGTCACTATGAGACCCAAGCAGCGATTGTGCGGATCATGAAGAGCCGCAAGACGATCACATTCCCGGAACTTGTGGCTGAGGTTCTCAAAGCGACACGAAGCCGAGGCGCGCTTGACCCAGCAGATATCAAGAAGAACATTGACAAGTGGGTCCCCGCCATCCCCCAAATCCTCTCTGGATCCTAGTGCCAGGCACTAACATGCTATTGCACAGATTGATCGAGAAAGACTACATGGAACGCGAGGAAGGGAACCGGTACCAATACGTGGCCTAGATGTGGTGTACACAGTAACATTTCCGCGACTATCTCCGTACATTTGTTGAGTGTTGACAGTTCATTATTGACGATCCGAACAAATAGTTATGGCATGATGAGGTGTGCATTTGGTCATGTGTGCAAGCAGATTTTAGGACCTTCCCTCTCGGGCACAGTAGTACGTACTCCGTAGCACAAAGCAGTAGCCGTACTTTTTCAGCGCGGGTGGTGGATCATGGATCATGGATAATGAGGCCAGGAGTGGAAGTGGAGTGAGGACAGCGAGCGGAATGCCGGGAGAGGATCCCTGGCCTGGCGTGGAGTCCCGGAGCAGCAATGCAGTCAGTCCCACCCGACGAAAGGTAGCCGAAGGAGCTTCCATCGATTCATTCCATGGGGTTCCGTCGGGAGAAGTATGTAGGTATAGTGCAGGAAGATCGGGTCGGTCAGGGCCATCTATCTATTTCTGTCTAATTGCTCACTAGATTGGCCACAGCCCTGCTCATTTAGGAAATAGACAAGGAATCTCCGGCTCGGTATACTTGCCTGTTCCAGACTACCCCATTATCCCGACCTCGAAAGGGAATCTGGCGCGCTTCACGTGTACATACCTACTTACAGTGCCGACCTGCCTGCCTGGCACAAGCACAAGCACAAGCGCAATGCAATGACTGAATGACTGTCTATGCAGCAAGGTAAGTACCTAGGTGGGTAGTAGGTAGGTACGTCGCCAGTAGTGCATCCGCAGTATCCCACGTCACGTAAGGATAAGCAATGCAAACGCAAGACAGCTAGCTAATCCCCGTTTACATACAGGCGGAATGGGATGGGATGGGATGGGGATGGGGTGGGGATATCCGGATGGGAAGGGAATGGGTGCATCACTCGCCCGAGAGAGAAGACGCGACTCGGCAGAGAAACTACGGAGTATCACTGAGGGAAAGCCGGGCCTGGCTGGCACATGAGCAGCCCTCCCGGCGCCACAAATGGGGGGACTGGGGGGACTGGGGGTGAAACGGTTGGTCTAGACTTGAGGCTTCCGGGGGCCAGGACGGACACCCATTATTCCTAGGTCTGTAGGGGGGCAGCTCACGTGGAAGTCTGAGCCTTTCAGTTTCTTTTTCTCAGGGACGGCCGATCATGACCCGGACATGACTGTACTACAGACTACTAACACTACTCCTGTACCGGAACTGCATGGGCAGCAGTACTGTCTGTCTCTCTGTCTGTCTGTCGGGATGGACAAGAATCCTCACGGCCGGATTCCTCCAGAACCAAGACTGAGACCACGTACCCCCATCCATCCCTATCAGCAAAGTTCCGGATCGAGTAACGATTGCTGCAAGAGTGGGTTTCATAAAGATCTGACAGCGGAGACCTGTAGCTGCACCCCTTCCTTTGCATGACTTATAGGTTTTCTTTCTTTTTTTTTCAAGGTCCCATGATCACTTTCTCGTCTGTTGGGAATTGAGACAGTCGACGATCTATTGTGTTGTGTTGTGTTGTGCCCCCATGCGGTTCGGACTCGGAGTTCTGATTATCTCTACTCGGGGACGGGAGGTCATGGTTATTGCTGCGCATATCATTCGCTGTAGACCTTGTATTCCGTTGTAGTATTATTCGTATCCCGTATCTTCCCCACCAGAGAGTTGCATTGTACACTATAGTTATTCTCCATCGATCTTTTGGATGCCTGATTTCCGGGCCAGCACAACATGTCGGGATGTATACCTAAGCTACCTATCTACTTACTGTACTCTGTTATTACTCATATTGAACCATAGCTCATATGCATGCATGTATGCGGTGGACAGGAGTTATTCTCAACTGATGTGATATGCAAGCGAGCGATCTCGTTGAGTCCGTCCGGCTGGAATCTCATTTCCAGACCTGCAGACGGATACTAAAGTTGATGCCAAGGTACAGGTACCCATTGGGTCCACCGTGCCTCTCTCCCTATTTGATCCTCATGGATCTTTTTCAATTCCATTTCCTCTTAATAATATTCCCGAATCAATTAACTACCGGACTTGCAATCGAGCAAGGGATACGTACTACAGTAGAGTAGGTGCAGTCCTTCCCCCGTCCCGTGGCGAAGTCGGGGTTCCGGGGCTTCCCAGAAACCAAAGGTACATACATACATCCACAGACAGACAGGACAGGCAAACAAATTATAACCAATCCCTACCGAAAATCCAAGGATCGGGATTACAGTCCGCCACTGGACAAGAACACAAGAAGTAAGTACCTCCTAAGTAAGTACTCTGCAGCTTCTCGAACATCCCACATCGCCCCTTGCTCCGAACGGGCATGGGCATGGATGGATGGATGCACCCGGAAGTGGCAGGGTTACGCACCCGTGACATCCATCGCCTCCACGCCGGTGGGACGGGCTTACTTGCCTGCGCACGGAGTCGACTCTATTACTGCTAGCATCTGTTGATCCTTCATCCTTCAGCAATTGGGTGTGTAGGTATGTACTATGTATTTGGGTCTGAATGTATGTATGTATCTGTTGGCTAGTCGGTCCATACACAATCCGATCTATCGCCATCCATCCCATGGACGAGCCACAGCTTAACTCTCGAGGCGCACTCGTACCCAGGGAGATCGCGCCAGCTCAACCCGGGACGGACGGGGGCAGTCGGAGTCGTACCAGATAGTAGTAACTAGTAATGGCGAGGAGGACAAAAGGTCCGCGGAATCACCCCAGATGGTAAGCCGAGACGCCGCCCTCTCGGGTTCCAGACCCAGGAGTAGGTAGGTAACTAGTACTAGTATCGCCAGATTCGCATGGCGATGGGGCGGTCATGCGAAAGGAGCTGTTCATGTGAGCTGCAAAAAAAAATCGAATAATTCGGATTGGGATCAATTGGGATCAATCGGGGTCAAACAGGTTAACCTACCTACCTACCTACCTACCTACCATCTGGCTGGGCCACGATGTCCTTACTCTTTCTTACGACATGTTGAAGTAGTACTTACTCCCCCCCCCCCCCCCAACAAGACTCTCTCCCAGAATTATTTATCTCAACGCTGTCGCCCAGCTCCTCCCCTCCTTCTCGGTGTCCATTGTCTCCCATCCGCAATTTCCCATTTCGCCTCGCCTTCTTCTACTGCTTCCTTCCCTTGTTCGGGTCCGACTCCTTCGCTTCAATTGCCTTGACCAATTGACTTGCGATTCCTCGACTTTCGGATAGCCCGCCAATCGACCCGCTCCCACCTGACCAGAGACTGTGAGTGCGACTGGCAAATGATATTCCATTGCCCTGGCCTTCCATCGGGACAATTGATCCCCTCCTGATGCTCCTGGGACTGACTGACAGCTGCCGGCCTCAGGGATCCCTCCCGACCTTCTCCACTTTTTCCCCGCCTTGTCCGGACTGGTTTCCGCTCCCATCACTGCGCCATCTCCATTCCCCAGACTCGCCGGTACCGTCGTCGCAAATCAGCCTCGAAGCTTGAAGAACGGCATTTCCCCAGCTGGCAATTCCAGTAGTGAGGAAGAACATCCCACATATAAAAGACATCAAGCGTCCATCGCCTGTTGGGAAGCGACCACCTCTTCCCCCCCGCGAACCCCGTACTTCGCCCGACCCCACTCTACAGGCGGATCGTGTTCCTACGCGTCCGTTACGGATCCCGAACGTCATACTCAAACCAAGTCCCCATTTTTCTTGTGGCGATCATCCTCTAGATCTCCCTCCATCATGCAGAGTATGTGTAGCGCCCTCTTCTGGAATATTCATTTCCTGTTTTCTCTCCCACCACACCACAATCCCTGGCCCTTGCGTCAGAACCTGCAGCTACAGATCCTGTTCCATGAAGTCGGATTTACTCCACACCACCCGCCTGATCAGGGCCCTTTCCTCGACATGCGCTAACCCCAGCCTATCAGCCAAGCACTTCTTCTCCGACCCAACCCATCTGGTCCAGACGGCTCTACACTCGCTCACTCTGACGAACCCTTCTCTTGCGTACGACCCCGACAACAAGATCATTTTCCGTCGCCCCGATGCCGCCTCGAAGTCCAAGGTCGCCATTGTGTCCGGCGGAGGCTCCGGCCATGAGCCTGCCTTCGCGGGCCTGGTTGGCAAGGGTTTTCTAGATGCTTCGGCCGCCGGCACTATCTTCGCGTCCCCCTCTGCGGAGCAGATTCGCAAGGCCGTGATGGACTGTATTGATCACGAGAAGGGCGTCCTCATCATCCCCATGAACTACACCGGTGACGTACTCAACTTCGGCATGGCCACAGAGAAGGCCCGTGCTGCCGGTATCAAGACCGAGTTCTTCGCGATTAACGATGATGTCGGTGTTGGCAAAAGGAAGGGCGGCAAGGTTGGTCGTCGTGGTATTGGTGGTGGAATTCTCATCTTGAAGATTGTCAGCGCGCTGGCCGAAGCTGGGTAAGATGATTACTCCCGGATGCGAAGTGGCATGAGCTAATGCGTTTGATGCGATTCAGTGGATCCCTCGAAGATGTCTACCGCACTGCTCAGTTGGCGAACAAGAACATCGTGTCGCTTGGATCGTCTCTGGAGCACGTTCACATCCCCGGCAGACCTGCGCAAACGGATACGATCCCGCATGGCGAAGTCGAGGTCGGAATGGGCATTCACAACGAGCCCGGCTCCCACCGGGTCAAGTTCACCCTGGTTGATCTGGTATCGACCATGCTCCTTCAGCTCCTGGATCACAACGATCCCGACCGCGCGTGGATTACCCGCAAGCCCGAGGACGACTTCGTGCTGTTGATCAACAACTTGGGTGGTGTCAGCAGCTTGGAGCTATCCGGTATCACCGACGAGGTGTACCGCCAGCTTGAGAGGGACTACAACGTCAAGCCCGTGCGTGTTATTCAGGGAACCTTTTTAACCAGCTTGAACGGCCTGGGATTCAGCATCTCCCTGCTAAAGCTCGTGGACAGTGGCCTGGGCTCCGGGAAGTCCTTCCTGGAACTTCTTGACGCCCCCGCCGAGGCCGTGGGCTGGTCTGCCCCGATCCGCACTGAAACCTGGAACAAGCACAGGTCCGAGGCTCCCGTGGAGCTGAAGAGGACCAAGCTGCCTGAGGACAACCCCAGCAACGTGAAGTGTGAGTCTATCCCGCACTCCTCCCGTATGGCGCCGCATATTCCCCACTCAGACTAACACATGATCCAGTGGATGCTGGCATCCTCAAGAAAGTTCTGAGCACCGCACTCAAGCGCGTCATCGCGGCTGAGCCCGAAGTCACACACTACGACACGATCGTCGGCGACGGCGACTGCGGCGTGGGCCTGAAGCGTGGCGCCGAGGCGGTCCTGAAGCTCCTCGAAGACCCAGCCTCCAAGATCACGGACGACGCCGTGAACGCCGTGAACCGGATCGTCAACGTCGTCGAGAACACCATGGACGGCACTTCTGGCGCCATCTACGCCATCTTCTTGAACGCTCTGGCCCACGGTCTCCGTGGCCAAGACAAAGGCACGACCACGCCCGCCACCGCCGAGGTATGGGCTTCCGCGCTGTCGTACTCCCTCTCCGCCCTCTCCAAATACACCCCCGCCCAACCAGGCGACCGCACAATGCTCGACGCCCTGGTGCCCTTCTGCACTCAACTCCAGCGCGCCAAGGACGTGCACGTCGCCGCCAAAGCCGCCCAGGAAGGCACCGAGGCCACCAAGGGCATGAAAGCCAGTCTGGGCCGCAGCGTCTACGTCGGCGGCGAGGAGCAATGGGTTGGCAAGATCCCCGATCCGGGCGCCTACGGACTCAGCGTGCTCTTGAACGGTCTGGCTGAGGCTCTCTAAGGGAGGGGAGTTGGTTGTAAGTGTGAGGGGTATTTCCTTCGCGGGTACATATCTTATATTGCATCAGATCATGATGAGGGGGAGGAGGAAGATGATATTCTTAATCTAATTTACGATAATGATGATGACGCCGTGCGTCTTCTTGCGTTTGTCGGGTTGGCCATCGGTTGGTTGATGGGTTGGTTGGCTGGTGCATGTGATTTTATTGGGGTACTAAAAATCTAAGTAAAGTGTTAGTTAATGTTTTCGATATTGATGGACCGGTCGTATAGCGTATAGCTTTGATAGTTAATGGATGGGTACTCTCTCTCTCTCTCTCTCTGTCTCTGTCATTAATAGGGTAGTAACCCTTAGTGGTTTGTACTAGTAGCAGTAGTAGTATTCATACATTCATAGTTACCATACGAGATGATTAATGGGGGAATAACTGCTCAGGCACCGATGTAAATCGGGACTCTCAGCAATGAAATAATTCAATACGACGGTAGAACGATAGAGATTCATCACGAATCAGTTCATGATTATTCCATGTCTGTCTACTATTACATAATTTTCATCAAGTATGAACACACATTCACGAGGTGCTGCCTGCCTGCCTGCCTGCCTATCTTCATTTCCAGCCACCAAGCAAAATAAGATGAGTAGGTAGGTAGGTAGGTGGGTAGGTAGATATCACCATCAAATCCACCCTAGATCAATCAAGCCTCGAGACTCCCACCAGGGATTTGATTCCTTTTTCTAGCTTTTAAAACAAAGGCCCGGAGAACGCCAAATCAGCCCCGCCGTAGAAAGAACGGTAGATTCATCAAAGATGGAGAGAAAAAAAGAAGAAGAATGTTTAAGAAAGAGTCAAAGTGAGAGGGGGAAAGAAACCACCGTCCGGGGTCAGGGATGGTGGATGAATGGATGGGATGGGTTGGGTGTTTGTTCTAGGCTCCATCGCACCCCAGATGATGATCGAATTAGGGAGACTTTTGGGCAAATCGCACGACCGACTGGAAGGGTATATCGTTGTCAACTAAAAATCCGTCTCCGTCTCCGTCTCCTTTCGGCTTCGACTCGATCACTAGGGGGGAAGGGAAGCCGGACGCCACACGACCAAGGCCGAGAGGGTGAGCGCGTCACGTGAAGGGAGCTCAGCTGAGCAGGACGAGGATGACGGAGTCGCCACGCAGGAACCTGTGATGGATGAGATGAGTATGGGGGAGAACATTGTTGGGGAGGGGAAAAGATGGGGGAAGAGATCTACTCACATCTTGCTGATGAACCGGTCCTTGTTGACACCCTTACCCTTGCCGCCCTTGGGCTTCTCGGTCCACATCTCCTTGACGTTCTCCAGCACCATGTTGCAGTGGCGGTCGAAGGCCTTGACGCGGGCCAGGAGCTTGCGGTTGTTCCGGCAGGAGATTAGGACCTGGGTGTGTGTGCGCGTGGCGGTTTGGAGGAGCGATAGAGGGCCGGCGGTGAGCTCATGTTCCTCGACGAGAGAGACCTCGTATTCACTGGACAAGGGGAAGAGTGGTTAGAGAAGGACGACAATAGAGCGAATGGGTATGGAGGCGAGGTGTGTGACGATAAGAATCGGCGCGGGGAGGGGATGACGACGACGACGACGACAGACAGACAGACACCCGAGGGTCGTTGGGATCATCGGAGAATGACTGGCCATCATGTGATCCGGGGAACCGGAATCGAGGCCTTGAAACAAGATCCAGCCTGCGGGGATGTGCGCGGGAAGGCAGGAGGGGGGAGGGATGGCATGATGGACATACGTGAGCTCGTTCTTGGGCTTGTTCAGCAGGTCTCTGTTGCGAGGGTTCGAGAAGGTTAGCCTGAGGTCCAGCGGGTTGGGGGTGCGGGTTCACCGCGTGGGATGGGGATGAGTGACTCATCCGGAAGCAAAGGGAATAGATAGTAAAAGAGGGGTAGTCACTGACTGGATCTTGGGGTCGGTCGACATGGTGGGCGGTGGTGGTATAAGAAGGAGGAAGGAGGAAGGAGACGGGGTTTGGGTGGGATGGAGTTGACTTGCGCTTGCGGGAGTATCAATCAGCTTTCCACCTTCCAGTTTCCAGTTCAGTTCTGCGGGTCTTGGCACGGCCGCCCGTCACGTGTGCGCGTGTTTGCCGTGTTTGCCCGTTGTTTGCGCGGCGGGATTCCCGAGGTCGCGATTGGCTGCGTCACGTCGCGTCCAGACACGCTTCAGCCTTTCTTCGCTTCTCGACTTCGCCTGGCCGATCGTCCAAGCTTCACGTCTCCTCAAATGCAAGGCGCCTGCTCTTTTCCTCGACTCCCAACCTCCCACCATCCCACCCCTGCTTCCTTCTCCCTCCGTGCAGCCCCGTCGTCGTTCAACAACATCCGGCTTCACACCTCGGTCTGATTCTTTCCTTCTCCATCTCTCTCTCGCCCATGCCTCGCGCTCCTCACCGCATCCTCTCCTCCTCCTTTTGTTGCTCCGTGTCCCGCGTTAGCATTCCACAGGCCCTTTCCCCGCGACGCCCGGTGCATACATTCCTCTGCATTCTCCCGCTCGACCCTCCCACCAATCGGGCCTTTCTGTGTGATCAGTACGACCACCTTCGTTGATCGAACAATCCCATTCGACCTTCTCTCGAATCCTCGTCCTCGGTCACGTTTCGAGAATCCCTTTTCGAACCCCCTCCTTTCCTCGACAGACCCTGGGACAGCCTCCTATCCCTACCTACACACACTCTTTCTCCCTCTCTCTTTACTACTCCTTACACCGTCTGGCCCTGCTTATGGTTGGTTTTCTCCGCTTGGTGGCATGGAATCTCAGGACGGAATTTCCGTCCGGCCTATGAGGCGTAAGTGAATTTTCTTTGGCGTCATTTTTCCCGCCGGATGCTAATCATTGGAACCTGGAACCCACAGTGAAGGTCCTCTACACTTTCGATGATGCCAACAAGACGAACTGCCTGGCCCGGTGGCCCCATCTCCTCGATATCCAGTCTGCGGCCCTGGACGAGAAAACACAAATCGGTGTGATCGAGCTAAAAACCTGCATTCAAGCCATTGTCTCGGCAAGGTGAGCTCGAACCCCCCCCCCCCCCCCCCTTTTTAATGGAGGGGTCCTGAGGGGTTATTCCACACTACCCGGGTGCTAATTGTGTGCGTTTCATGTGACAGCCCGGAACTAGTCGCCCACCTCGGACAGGATTATACCGTGTACGCCTACGACTACTCGGAATATGAGACGCCCCTCGTCGGGCAGGGAATGCTGTCATGGGTTCTGGCATCCGCTTCTCCGACCCCCAATGCCCCGGCACATCAATCCCACACCATGGTCACCGGTCGGGTGTGCAAGAACGTCCTAGGTTTATTTTCGAAGGGTGCTCAGGAGACACTGGAGGTCAAATTGCGGCTGGTGCCCGTTCCCACGGTTATGCAAAGCGAGTACCTGGATAGCATGCAGCGATACCGGGAATTGAGCAACGTCATCCCTCATGAATTCGACGCCCAGTCCTGGACGAATTTTCTGCGCCAAAACCCAGGTTTGCTGGCCCCCCGCCATCAGCACCAACAACAGCAACCGGACCGGACCGTATCGCCGATGGACCACGCCGGAATCGAACGGTTCCACCGGTTACTGAGTGAGGGGTCGACGCCAAGAGAGCTGCCCTCCATTGCGCAGAACGGGTCGATCCGATCGGTGTCACCCACGCAGTCGGTTCTTGGCCCTACAAGCAGGATATCCACGCCAGGTCACCAGCAAGAACAACCACAACAGCTGCACCAACAACAGGAAAGGGTGCACACCGATTTGATTCGCCCTTCGTCTAGCGCTTCCATGCGCGACTCGGACCTCCCCGCCCACGTCAGATATGCAAGCCGCCGGGGGTCAATCCAGTCGGGATATGGAAGTGGTGACGAGTCTTCTGATCAACCCCGGAAAAGAGCCAAGCTGTACCGCGCGGATTGGCCTGGAAAGTCGGACCTCAACATTGAACGGCAGCCCAGCTCCCTGCGTGTGGCCGCAAGCACCGCCGCATCTGTCCGTATTCATCGCCCCACGCCAATCAACCCTTCTATTGCTGCCGCCCAGAGTTCGAATGAAGAGCCTGTTCGGCCCCCAACTCCTATTTCCAACTCGAACGACCTTCCTCGCAGAGCACGACCCCCACCCAGCCTCTTGCGTGAGTCTTCGGTCCACAGCAATGCTCAGTACATGTCACCTTATACCATGAGCGATGATCATCCATGTGAAAACCAGTCGCCAGAGGAGTCCCGGTATCAGGGTCTCTTTGAACCCTCGTTCAGTATGCCGTCCTCGCCCCCCGTTCTGGATTGTGCGTTTCCGACCCGGTCCAGCCCAGTTCTCCCACCTATGGCCAACGATCCGGACTCTGGCTTCATGAGCGGAGGCATGGATGATCTCCTGGATGAGGAAGTTGGCACCCCCTTGGATGAGTGCACAAGATCGGTCATCAATGACAACAGAGGCAAGAGAGGCGCGCGTCCCGCTGTACAAGCTAGCTCCCCTGTTGGTGCCCCAATCAACCTCGATAACTTCCCGGCCAGCGATGCCCTACCGGACCAGTCAGGGAAAGAGAAAGTACCTGCGCCCCCTCGCGCTCCGGCCAGTGCTGCGGGCTCCAGGCCGTCCTCCCGCGCCGGTATCCGACAGGTTCCCAAGCCCTTGGCCCCTGCTCCCATGTCGCAGAGCGAGCTGGAACAACTCATGAGTGCGATCCCTGCGAGCGACCCGGTGATGCCCTCCCATGTGCACGTACAGACTGCTCAGTCTTGGACCGGCCCGATGAGCGACTTCTCTGCCGCCGAAACTCCTGCCCCGCAACCCCCCATTGAGGACGGCAAGGTCCGGAGTGGCACTGGTGCCAGACGGCTGAAACAAGTTCAGGCGCGTCTGGACAGGTGCATCCAAAATGGCCAGGTTCCTCCTTACTGCGAGAACTGTGGTGCCATCGAGACCCCTACTTGGCGCAGAGCCTGGTCCAAGGAGATCGTGGGCAACGAAGATGAGGCCAACGAGCTCGTCAAGGACTCAAACATGTTGTTCTGGCAGGCTGTTGATCGCGATGATCAAGAAAAGGTCATCAAGTTCAAGGTCTACAAGAAGAGCCTAGTGGACACTGACAAGGACTTTTCCCAAGTCCTTCTTTGCAACCGTGAGTGATCTTGTAACTGATTTACCTTGCAGCTACTAATGACGAAAAAAGCTTGTGGTCTGTGGCTTCACAAGTTCAAATGCATGCGGCCGGAAAACAAGTGGAACAAAGGCGCCAACAACAAGCGAAAGCGCCCTCCCAGGAACCGCAAGGCAGGCGGCCCGCTCTCCAGCACCAACCCCTCGGCGAGAAACCGCGCCAGAGCCGATTCGAGCAAACCCGAAGGGTCCTCTCCCGGCGTATCCGATGCCTCCTCGCCCGCAGTCGAAGAGGGACCAACCCCCCGCGGAGAAAACGAAACCGAGGGCAACGAGAACAGCGCGCAGGACAATGACGAAGTCCAAGAGCTTCCCGCCAAACGCCGTCGTGCCAACAGTCTGGAGCCGCGGAAGTCATCCGATGCAGCAGGTAGCCGCTGGCAGGAGCAAGATCCGGTTGCAGCGCTCCGGGCGGCCATCCAGTCTAGTCCAGCTAGAAATCTTGAACACCGCCACGCTCCAGCTGCGGGTGAGAATGCTCTGACTCCCAAGTCTGTGAGACGAGTGCTTTTTCCTAATTCGCACAATGAGGGCGGGCCTTTGCGGGCATTAGGTGACGCAAACATGAACAGTCCTCGCAGAAGCCCCCGTGCCTCGCGTGGATCGGACAAGCAAGCCGAAGACAAAGAGAACCAGACCTCTGCAGATATTGACGGGCTTTTCGAGAGTCCCGAATTTGACTTCGACCTCCCTACCAGCCCTACGCCTAGACGCCGCAACCCTCGTGCGAACATTCTTGGTGAAAAACGACTTTCCGGGCCGAGCAACTCGCCTACGTCGAGGGGACGGAAAGCAATCACCTCTGACTCCCCGACCAGGGTCACAGCGCAGAGACTGCAGCGCATTCAGAGCAGCCCGGGCCCTGCGACGCGCCAAAACAAGACGCCCAAGCAGTCGCGAACTCAGGCTGCCAACCTCCCTGCTTTGCCTGAAGATTCTTTCGGCCCCGATGCATTCGAAGGGATGGACAACATGATCGTCGATATCTTCTCCGACGCCCCCTCTGCTGCAAACACGGAGGCACTATTCGCCCTTGATCCCAAACTTGCCGACGGCAGCTGGCCTGACTGGCTTCCTTCGGATTATGTTTCCCCTGCCGGATCCGAGGGCGAGGCGACTGGCCCCGACGACTCGAGAGATCTCATCAATGCGCTGCTGTCCGATCCAGACCTTCAAAAGAACCCTCAGTTCGATATCTTCAATTACGTTGACTCGAACGTCCTTGATTCCGGATTCTTCAGTTCCGACGCCATCAATGCCGACAGCCTGACGCTGGGCGTGAAGAACAAGGCGGCTGAGAGCGAACCCATCACGGACAAGGAGCAAATCCCACCTACAAATGATGCTTAATGAGTTTTTTATTCTTTTTTTCCCTGTCTGTGATGAGAGCGGACTTTCTTGTCCATTTTTTTTGTCTTATTTTAGCGATGGCGTTCGGTGGAACTTGAGTGGCTGTAAGGTCAACGGTGGCCTATACACGCCCGCAATCCTGTCTTTTTCTTTTCTTCTGTTAAACAAATAAAGAGGTGAGCTCATTCCTAGTCGGAAGTGGGCCGGTTGAAATTGGGATGGGATGGGAAATGGAAATTGGGAGGATTGGAATATGGTTAGAACCAAGATACCTACATCGGCTGCGATTCGATGAACCGTTAAGTATGAAAATAATAAACAAAGAAGAACAAAAATTGTGTGAGTCATGAGTGCCAGTAGTTCTAATTCTTCTTGTAGCTTGATTAATACACCTAGTATACACTCATCTTTGCAGAAGTCATTTCATATGAATAGTAGTCCTCATTTGTATATCATCATGGCACTGTGCATCTTGCTAGTTGCATGCCCGATCTTACCCTACAAGACATCCTACTCCCAGCATACCCTTCTCCCTTCAGCTCAGTCCAGCTCTAGTCCAGGCAATCACCCAGAACACACCCCCGGTAACAATAAACAAGAAAGATATAATAGCATATCCCAGACGACAACCCAAGGACAGAATCAAATACTTTTCTTTTATTCAATTGACCCAGCCCTATCTGTATCTGAACGCACACGCTACGAAAGAAATACCAAAATAACGAACCACAAAAAAAGAACCCATAGATATCATTCATCCCATCCTATTCCATCCCATCCCATCCCATCCCAATGCAATGCAAGGCAGATTACTCGTTCGAATCGTAGAAAATGGTCTTGAAGCGATGCGTGACGTTGACGAGGTTTTCGTAGATTTTGTAGTCTGCATAGATAGATAGTATTTGTCAGTGACCATTTATGGAATATAGTGATATAGATAGACAGATAGATAGGAATAGACAGAGGGAAGAAAAGGAAAAGGAAGGGAACATACCGCAATCCGCCGGATTGCCCCAATCCGTAGACCCGAGGAGGCGAAGTCCCACGCCCTGTATAGATTCATGACATATTAGTATAGTATATCATCCTCAACTCATCCTCACTTATTCTCATCCCCTCTACCACCCCATTCCATCCCATCCCATCTAACCAACCACAAAATCAGTACATACCTGCCCATTCTCCAAATCGGTAACCTTCCCAATAACCTCAACCAACTTCCCCATCTGCAGATGCGAATCCGGCTTCAGGATGAGGGTCACATCGCCGTTATTCCCGCAGGTGATGGTGGCAGTGTCGCCGCGGAGGGCCGTCACGGTGCCGAGGAGGCGGACGGTGTGTGCTGAGCGGGGGCCGGAGGAGGAGGGGTGGAAGGCGTGCAGGTGGGCGGGGAGGACGCGGGGGGTTTGGAGGGACATTTTCGTTCTTTTTTTATTCTTCGGGGTGATTTATTCCGTTTCGACTTGGGGGTTTGTTGTCTGAGGTGGGTTTGGAGGGTGGTGAGGGAGACTTGGTATTGATGAACTGAACTGGATGATTGATTGATAGATCGATCGGTCGATCGAGCGAGGATGGGATTAGTTATTGAACGTCGCGCGCGCTCGACGCGTGATCACATGACCACTCTTCCCGCAGGCTTGGACGGTCCAGGCAGGCAGGCGGGCGGGCGGGCGACGGGCGGACGTCGGAGCTCAAATGTTCAAGTTAGTTCAAGCTACCTTAAAGAAATCGAATCTCAACCACCGCGACAGCGCGATTGCAACCACAACTCAACACGACTCGACTCGACTCGACACCAGTCTGTCGTCTGTGCTTTCTCCCCCCTCCCATTTCATTTTATCTCTACTTCAACACCTTCCCACATAAAACACCCCCCCCCCCCCCCCAATTCATTCATTCAACCATCCAGCCATCCCACCCAGACCACATACCCATCAATCAAAATGCCACCCCCCCTCCCCTCCCATCACCGGGGAATGACAGCCAACCCCCTAAAGCCAAGCCGATACCGACCCGGAAAAGCCGTTCCAGAGGAACCCTCATCATCGGAAGAAGAGGAGGACGAGGAGGAGGCGGCCGAGAAGCTCAGACAACAGCAGGAGAGACGGCGGTTAGAGGCGCAACGACGACAGGCGCCGAAGGCGAGTTCGTTTCCTGCGGGTGCGGCAGTGACAGGGAAACCTGTCAAGGGGGCGAAGAGTGTGAAGTTCCAGGAGGGAGAAGAGGATGAGGATGAGGAGGGGTTCGTTACGGAGGATGAAGAGGAGGATGAACGGGCTACGAAGACGGGTGTACGCCCCCCTGTTGCTGGCGATAGGGTTGCTGTCCCGGCTGGTCAGAGGATAGGTAAGGAGGGGGGTGAGGAGGAGGATGAGGATGAGGAGGAGGAAGGGGGATCTGAAGAGGAAGAGGAGAGTTCAGAAGAGGAGAGCAGTTCCGAGGACGAGGCGCCGCGCAGGGTGCTCCTACGGCCTACGTTCATCAAGAAAGATAAGCGCAACGCGACGCCAAACGAAGCGCAAAACGGACAGGGGGGGCCAGGCACAGTGGCTGATTCGGCAGCTGAATCGGAGGCGCGCAGGGCACAGCGACAGGAGAAGGCGGATTCACTGGTGAAGGAGCAGCTAGAGAAGGCGGCGATTGCTCGGAGTGAAGCGAACAAGGCATGGGATGACGACGAGTTGGAGGTGGGCGAAGAGGGCGCCATCGACGATACGGACGGAAAGGACCCGGAGGCGGAGTACGCGGCGTGGAAGCTGCGGGAGCTGAAGCGCATCAAGCGCGAGCGTGAGGCGATCGAAGTGGCGGAGAAGGAGCGTGAAGAGGTTGAGCGTCGCCGCGGATTGACGGCCGAGGAGCGCGATCGGGAGGACCGCGAATTCATCGCCAAGCAGGAGGAGGAGAGGGAAGCGACCCGCGGCCAGGCGGGTTACATGCAGCGGTACTTCCACAAGGGAGCGTTTTTCAACGACGACATGCAGCGCGAGGGCCTCGACAAGAGAAATGCCATGGGTGCGCGGTTCGTGGATGATGTGTCCCGCGAAACGCTGCCGCAGTACATGCAGATTCGAGATATGACGAAGCTTGGAAAGAAGGGGCGCACGCGATACAAGGATCTGAGATCGGAAGACACGGGGCGGTTTGGCGACGAGTTCGGCAACAGGCCCCGTCGTCGCGATGACGCGCCTTTGGGCATCACCGACGAGAGATTCATGCCGGATCGTGGCGACGACAGGCCTACAGGCCCCACGGGGGCTAATGCCTCTGTTGTGCGCCAGAGACGCCGGTCCCGATCTCGGTCATCCTCTCCACGGCGAGATCGCTACCGTGATCGCTCGAGAGACCGAAACGATGACCGTCACCGCGACCGTTCAGCCGACCGATACAGACCCGAGTCTAGTCGCAGGAAACGAAGCCCCTCGCCTTATGATGACCGGGACAAACGGAGGCGGATGAGAAGTGTTTCGCAGGAACGTTAAATGGGAAGCACGCAAACAAACAAAATTATTCTATTCCTACCGGCGTTGTTGGGGTGGGGGTATCTTGAGATCATGAATGGATGCATCAGGGTTATTATGTTCGTTGCATTTTGGGGGACCAATCCGATCCATTCCTGCATTTAATGTGGCCTCCGAGAGATTATACCTGGGTATTTTTGGCAGACAGACTGAACCGAACGTAAATAAACCAGACATCTTGCTTGCATATACAACAAACAGACATGACTGTCGGGCGCGAGGTCATCCGCGCTACTCATCTTTCCATCTCGTGAATGAACAGTTTAAATGCCGTCCGTCCGTGGCTCGTAACGAAAAGGGATCGCCGTGGGAGTGAGCCATATCCCATACCAAGTCAAGTCAAGTAATCAGATATCCCGACCATAACACCTGAAGGGTCATCATCGAGTGTAAACCCTCTCTCGAATCTATAGAGCAAATCGCTGCGTAAGAACAATCGCCGATCATACCGTGAAGAAGAAACAAAACCGCTGCACGTCGAAGTCATCGTACCCGATCCGGACGTGTACGTAGTAAGTAAGTGATAGGTATATTTATTTGACTCCGGCGCGTTCCAGCACCTTCTCCCTCTCCATGACGCTCTCCCCGAACCGTAAGAGGAAGATCGTCCGACCGGGCCACATCTCCGTGGGCTGGTTATGGGCCGTGACCTTGGCCTCGAAGCCGCATCCGTCGCAAACGCCCTCGATGATGCCGGCGACGAAGGCGGCGCAGTTGAGCATGTTCATCTCCTTGGGGACGCTGATGTAGGTGTTGACGAGCGGGTCGTTGTCGGTGATCATGTATTCGTTGGGGGTCTCGGGGGAGACGGAGTGTTCCAGGGCGTCTGCGGGGCGGTTGAAAAGGAGGCGCCACAGGGGTCCGTGGATGAGGTGCAGGAGGGGGAGGATGCGCAGGGGTCTGTTCGGGGGCGAGGAGGAGGTCGAGGAGCTGGAGAGAGAAGAGGAGGTCGAGCTGGACATGGTCCGGTAGAACAGGAGGTCGAGCAATCGGAGACCCAGGGGGTAGCCTTGTTCGTTCAATCTGCGGGCGGCACCACAGGCCGTGTTCAGCATAGATATAAGCTACAGGGTAGTGTCTGGTCGGACTCCTACCGTTTTTCTAGGTCCTGAATCCCCGTTACCCGTCTCTGGGCGTATGTGACCATCTCCGCGAAGAGAAAGGCGAAGCTAGCCCGGCTCAGTTCCGCATTGCGGCTGCGATTCAGATGTCTGTCATAGATGGTTTTGCGGTTCGACGGCACGCGGAGACCCTGGCTGGACTGGGATTGAGTGTGAAGGTGTTGTGGTGGTTGCTGTTTGTCGGCGGCGGCGGCGAGACTGGAGCCGCCATTGCTGATGGACAGCATGGCGGCGTGTCGTGGTGGTTGTGGTTGTGTCATGTTGGGGCGTCTTGAAGCGGTTGATCGATATGCAAGATAGACAGATGGGCGATCGGTGGATGAGGAGTCTAATTCACGTGGATGGAATCGTGCATCCTGATTGGGATTCGTATTGGGATATCAGACGAGATGGTCAGGTGGGTTTGCACATGGCTGAGTGGAATGAATGGCAAGGCAGGCCAGAGTGGAAGGACGAACGAAGCTCTTGTTGTCCCTCGTCCCGGCGGCTTGAGACAGGCGTACGGCGAGGCACACGCGCGGAAACGCACTTTTGGCGATAACTCCGACAGCCTCCTATTCCGATTCCTCCCTCTTCCAAGGCATACGGCCCAGGTTTTGCTGGTTTACGCTGCAATACTTACGATCGACATCTACCAGCTCTTCACTGCAGGTTACGGACTACAGCCAGCAAACTACGAACACAACCAGCAAGAAAAAAAAATCTTGTCCGAATAAGCATCCATGACATTCAAAACTATCTAAAATCACCCGCAATCTCAACAGAGCAGAGCGATCATACACCCAGGTCATCCCACATAAAAGAATCCCAAGGGCACACGAAACCCCCTGCCTCTGCCATCCAAAGCTATAGGCGAACAAAAAAAATATAAATATATCTGCACTGAAACAAGCAATATTAGCACAGGCTTGAGACCAAATATATGGCATAGAATTTATCATGAAGAGATGACCAAAAAAGTCAGACATCCAAGGAAGTAATACGCACAGAGCCGTCTATGATGGGTTCAAGCGACGGCTAGCGTGGAAACTGCGAATGTAGGAAAGTTTTCATCATAAGAGCCCCCTGAGGGCTTTTGGTCGGGATGATGCAGATGAAAAAAAAAATCAAGCAACTTACCAAGTTAGTCACACACAAGAAAAAACGGTGCGGTAGGTTATGAAATAAATATCCAAGTATCCTAATAGCATCAACGATCCAGATATAGAATTGAAACCATCTTTAAATTCCAATAATCCGGTCGATTGTTGAAAAACAAAAGCAGCTGTGCGAAGCTTGGGAATAAGAGGAAGAGAAGAAATTTCGGCGCGGGAAGAACGCCTTTTATAGTCTGCCTCAGGCTGCCCCGGAAACCCGGCGACCCATACGGACAGCGAAAATTCATGCGCTGCCTCCACAGCAGCCACCACTCGCCCAGATCAGATGCTACTAGACCGTTCCACGGGGTTTGCCATTACACATGGAAACTATCGCCAGCGTTGTTGCGATATGCAGACGAAAAAAAGAAATCAATGCACCACCACCATGTATACAGCGCATGCAATTGATTGGCTATGTTTTTTTTTATCTCTTTTGGCTGGTAGGTACGGCCAGTAAGTAAGTAGCGTAACTTGTTGAAGTTGAATATCCCAGGACACGTAGATCCCTATATCGAACCCATAACAACGCCCATAGGTCATAAAACACCCCTTAGCATCACAAAATACAATCTCTGTTGTTTATTTACCGCCCTTTTCCCCCCGCTCCGGGTCGAGGCTCTTCTGCTTCTGTCTAGAATTCCAATTCAGTGTCTTCGAGATGCTGTGTACCCAATCATCGCCGCGTCGGCCTCGGGGCAGGACATTCGCGAAGGGGTATCGCGATGCAGAAACGGTCACATAGTCGCCGGGTTGTAGCTCAATCCTGGGAGGGGGGTGGGTGATGTTAGTCTGACTACCTCCGTGCAATCAGCCGGAGCCGGTGCAACTCACCTCTCTCGACCGTCAAAGCTGGCCCATGAGCTTGTCCGGGCATCATACGGCACTCCCATCCGGAGAACAATCGTATCCGGCAGGATGATGGGCCGGAATGAAAGCGTGTGAGCGCATATCGCAGTCACCAGAATGACCGGATTATCCGGGTGGGATAGCGACCCCCCAGCCGCTAGGTTATACGCTGTTGAGCCGGTAGGCGTCGCTATACAGACACCATCAGCGAGAAGTGTGGTGAAATGCTCATCGTCGCCAAACAGTTCAATCGACGACATTGCTGGACACAGACAGTCAGCGGTCTTGTCACGCAACCCGAACAGGGATCCAGTCGGGACATACTAGGATTTGGCCCCCTATCCAGGACGACATCGTTTAATATTTGAAGAACCTTATCCGGCCTATGGGTTAACGTATCATCGCTTTCTTCCCCGATCAGCTCTTCCACCAGATCCCGTTTCTTTGCACTGGCCGGCGAGCTGTCCGGTAGGGGATTGCTCCTCATGATTGTGCATTCGAACCGTAATCTCAGATTGACCACCACGCCATCCCTGAAGGCGTTCGTAAGGGTTTTCTGATAGTCGTTGAAGTCGAACTTGGTCAAGAAGCCCAGCGAGCCCAACGAAAACGAAAGCACCGGCGGCACGACATGCTGGAAGAGCCAACTCGTAAAGAGAACCGTCCCATCACCCCCAAGCGTAACGACGAAGTCAAACAAATGGGCTTTATCCACCGCCAGCTCATGGTCCCAGTACTTCAGACGACTCTTTGCGGAAGGCTCCTCCTTCAGTATCTGCGCCGCAGCGAACTCGGGATCCGACTCCAGCCGCTTCTCCACGTAGACATTATACTGGGTGGCACGATCCTTGGACAGAAGCCAGCTGGCGACCTCCCGCGTTGATCCGATGACCGACTGGTCACCCGCCTTGGTGACCAGGAAGACCGTTTTGACCGTGAGCTTGAGCTTGATGCTATCCAGTTTCTTGGACAGCTTGCGAACGTTCCAGGCCATGTCAGAGAGTTGCTTCTTGGTCAAATGGCGCGACTGCACGAGGGCTTTCTCGGCCATGGAGGCATCACTTAGGTCGGCATCTTCGCCGTCGTCCAGCGCGCCCTCATGCTTGGATTTCTTTATGACGCCGTCCAGGTCTTTCGGTTTGTGGTAGTGCGGCGGGTGTCCCCAGTCGCCCGCGATCAGCGAGTGTACAAAGCAGGCGGTCATCTCATCGGGGTGGGAAGAAACGCTGGGTCTCGCTTTCGGGTCGTCCGCCATGACGAGCGACGACTTGCGGCGATGGCTGCATTCGGGATAAAGCACCACCTGGGAAACGGGAGCGCGAGCCGCGCAGATCATCAGCCGGGGGAATCAAAATGCGAATAGAATGATAAGATTCGATGGTACCTCCAACTGATTGTGACTGTCCGGATCGTCCGTCCCCCCTCCACGGCCACCACCACCAACACCCTGCGGGCAAGTCAGCGACAGCTCGACGGGGATCGATTCGGCGGCTTACAGCGTGGTCGCGCGATACTTCTCCATCCATGACTGTTATCGAGGCCGATCCTCTGGAGCTTGACGGCGGGTTCGTGATGGAACTATCGCGCAAGCATTGTGTGTCGGTTGGTGGAGGTCGCGATGGATTTGGGGTAGAGGCGGCTATGACGTCGGTCGGCCGTGCGGGCGGTCATGGTGCATCCATGCGGGGGTGTGGACATGCACGATAGTCACGATTCCATTGTTCTTGCCAGTCAGTTATTGGTAATTGATGTCTTGGAGATTTTTCAAGTGGTGTGAAGTTATTGGGTAGTCGGAAATCTGGAGATTATAAGTGCTGTTGGGCTGTATCTTGGTAGCACTGGATATACTTCCCCGGCGAAGTCGATGGATGAACCATATGGATTACAATTGCCAAGGGTGAACATTACTATAGACATTGTTCAGCTATAAACATGAACAGAGCAGTATATCACACTGGCAGTAAAATCATAATAATAATAAGGTAAATATAGTACCACACCACTAAGAAACACCAGAGACCCCGCACTTAGCATCAGCTACCTATACAGCATAACAACCAGGATCCGACATTTAGATGGCATACTTATATAATTTCACAACCCATGATACTTTCCACTGTACATTGATTCAAATGCACTTTCACGGTATAGGACGATGGTTTGTTACACCATAGCCGGATTGGTTGGAGGCAGTAGTTACTATCTATCACCCATCCTCAACCGATACCAATATATATATTCCCGGAAGACCACACCGGACATCACCGCGCCCTCTTACCAATGCCAATCCCCAGCGCTACACAACCCCCCAACCCAAGACAAAACCAAGAATCTTGTACCCTCCCACCCTATACATCCCTCATCGCATCGACAATCCACATGGTAAACATGCCAGCACGTACAACCTCAGACCTACAATCCCAAAATCCTAAAATCCACCAACCCGAATAAACACCCTGTTCAACATCCCACAACCTCAATGAAATGAATGATCCAACATTACACATGTCATCCCCGAGGAGCAGGAGTCAGAGCCAGAGCCAGAGCTAGAGCTCGAGCCATGAACCATGAACCATGGCCATGGACAAGGACATGGACAAGGTCTGATCATCATGGGCAGTAAGATAGGTAGTAGGTAGTAAAGGTATACGCAACCCGAACAGGCACCACCATTATTTACCCCCCTCTCCCCTCCCCCTCCCCCCTCCCCTCATCACCCCATCCCCATGTGACAAAGCCGTCAAAGATCCGACACCAGACTAGGAAGTTACTTTCTTTAGTTTCTATCTAGTTGTTGTTACCTAGTTAGTGACTCTTCTAGAAGGGCCACAGACTACTCCGTACATTGGCAGATTTTATTATTAGAAACCAAACCAAACCAACCCAAACCAACCCAAACCGGTCCAGAGTCCAGAGCCCCAGACAGGCACCACAGTCCACCACATCCACCACACCGGGGAGTTTCACTTATGGCCAATAATGCGGTGGATCTGAAGGGGTCGGAGAACTGAAGAGGAGAGGAACGAACACCTGTCTTCACTGTTCAATCCAGTGGTGTCGGTGATGATGACACTGACAGACAGACAGACCTTCTCCACGGCGGGACCGGACAGTTTCGGTTTCTTGTTCTGTTAACAGGTTACCGTACCGAGTTAATTACCTTAGGTAAGGTGGTTTCGACTCATTCTCCGGACTCGGTGTGATTGTCAATCATCATCATCATCATCATCACCCGGACACTTGACAGAGGATCAGATAGGTAGAAGATGTCATAAGGAGGCGAATTGGATACTCTCTATCCGTAGATGGTAGTAAACCGTACATCCGTGCTAAAAGAAGGATGAATGCGTGGCACATGAGACAAGGCCAATACAATATACTTTTCTTAGCTGGAGGGGAGGGGGGCGGGGAGGGGGCTTGGGAGCCATCGGACTCGGTAGACTAACTAGGTTCAATAACAGCAACAGAAACTCACCCAGAACCCAGTTCGATCTAGGCGCATTACGAGCCGGTCCATTTTACCCAGATTACTAGATACAATCTAACTACTACTACCTACCAGACTAGATACTACCAGACTTAGCCACGACCAGGGCTTCGGCTAAGACCCATCCACCGACACTCACCAGACACAAACCAAGCCAAGTGATCATCAAAATCAGCCTTCGACTAGATAGGTAATAATAATAAATAATCAATGCTACCGACTGTAAACTGTACTGTTAGTGCTGCGGCAAGCAACGTGCCATGTTTGCCAGCCACCGAATAATCCGGGCTCCACCCGCCCTGTCTAGAAGTAGAAGAAAAGAAGTAAGAACACTTCACCACCGCCGAGAATCCCGCGGCTCCATTTTCTGCCCCTCCATCCTATCTATTTACAGTTTATACGAGGAGGAGCAGGAGCAGGAGCAGGAGCAGAGCGGCAAAAGCAACAAAAAGGGTATGCATGGGGTCCGATTTCGATGTTTCGACTTTTTCGATAGGATGGATGGATGGATGGATGGACCCCGAAGTTCCCGACGTATGACTTGCCGCGCCCAAAACTGGTTTTGCTTTGCACATCGCATCGACATCGACATCGTAACTCCGCAGTGCGCACACCCAGTCGCAGTCGTCGCAGTAGCAACAGCAGCAGTAAGGAGGGACCGGATTGCGCGGTTTCTGCTCTAGCCGACACACTCCGATCACACACACACACACACACTCTCTCTCTTTCTTACTTTATTAGTCTTGAGGTATCTCACAGTACTCTGCTCCGTACGGCGTACTAGGGAGTAGTAGGTACAGGTGTTGACGCAGACACTGTCGCGAGTCCGCATCGGTGGTACCCCGGATGACGAAAGAGACCAAGTCCCGGCCCAGAGGACGGAGGTCCTATCTAGTTGGATAGAGGATGGGCGACAATTGGGGCGGGACGAAATAGTCAGTCAGTCAGTCAGCCATGTGGCTTTCCGAACTGTCCCCTCTGATCCTCCGTCGGACCCAGAGAAGGAAGAAGGACGAAGTCAGTCTCTGACTCCCAGCTAGCCAGGTTAGTGAACCTAACTTCAACTTGAGTAACTAGGCTAGTTAGGTAGGTTAGTTAGTAGTCCCCTGACGAGAGACTCGGCCGAGGTAGGTAGGTAGGCATCGATAGTGTAGATACGTAAACAGTGGGAGTCAAGGTTCTCTGGGCAAAGGGCGGCGGCTCCAACGCACGACTCCATACGGACTAAGATACATACGGAGAAGCATCGCCAGCACCTTACCCTTTGAGGACGGGGGAGACCGCTCTGGCGCTCTCAATCTGCAAGTAGAATTTACCGCCACGACAGAGTCAGTCAGACAGAGTCAGTCAGCGGCGGCGCAGCACAGCAGCAGGATCCTTTAACAGATCCATGGGAAAGGGCGCGCCGCCCCCCCCCTCCGTATTTAGTCAAGGCACTACTCCCGCAGTTGACCGGAATCCTGGCGCCTTATTTGCCCGAGGGGATGGGCACTAGATTGACCCCCCAACGGTCAGACATCTCAGACAGTGTTCATTGGCGGTCAATGTATTGGTGGATCATGGTACTACCCGCTGTTTGCCGATTAGAATCATGCAAAAGACGGTTAGAGGCGAGGTATCTAGGGGGGAAAAACAACAGAAGAGAGAAAAAAAAGGAAAAAAAAAAAAAAAAGAAAAAAAGAAAACGGAAAACGGAAACCAGCTATCTACCTACCTAATTTCCATCATCGGGGCAAATTTGGCTGCGGCAAATCGGGTACGTACCCCACTCTGCCATGGGATGGATGGATCTGCCGTGACAGTGCTGCAGCAGCAGCAGGAGCAGCAGGAGCAGCAGGTCTTGGGCTTGGATCTCAGCCACGGATGAATAATCCTCAATATTGAGGGGGGGGGGGAGGAGAAGGGAGAGGGGGGGGGTGTTGTTTGCCTTTTGCAGTAATGATACCTCGGTGGACCGCCGACTATCATTGACCGTCACCGGGTCATGATGCATCGGGCCTGGTGGGATTGACAGCCGATCTTCCAATAGTGATCTGTCACGGTGGATGTCCGAAGGTCTGATTCCGACTCATGTGTGCTCTTCCTTCTCTCCCTGACTCCTCTCCTCGACTCCTGTCCGGCGCTGGAGTCGAGGCGGTGGTTGGCGGTTGGGGTTGGTTCATCCAAGGGCGGGCGGGATGGAGCCCAGGCCAACGACTGCGACGGAGGGCGCCGATCGGGTTGCCAGGGGTAGTGAAACGATCCCAGGCGCTTCGTGTCCCTAGACCGCTTCGGGGATGGCGTAGGCATCTGCGGAGACCCTTCGAGGGGAGAGGGAAGGGGGGACTGCAATGATGAAGAAACTCGAAAGCCATACGGAGCACAGGACGAATATGTACAAGCCCCTCTCGTAGTGTCATAGGCTGAAGCAGCCGCCGGACACTTAGACTACCTAGGGTAGGTAGGTAGGTGAGTAGTCGAGTGCAAGCAAGTAAGGCAAGTCATCAAATGTGATGTGAGATGCGCTGCGCTATCAACAGTCCCAGTCTCCGGTGCTACGTCGGTCAGGTGGTTGGTTCCATTGCCTCTGCCTGCGAAATGTGAGTTAATGCATGTCCGTCGCTTGCATAATCCCCTGTCTGCATTGACTAACTAATAACTGCATGCCTGACACAGTCACACTGTGGCCTGACGACCAGGCCTGATTGGCGCCGTACGGTACTGTATTCAGATGTGCCCCGGGGGATCCGTACATACTTACTCCACAGTGCACGCCTTGAGGTTGTACGGTAGATAGATACTTTCTACTCAACCCAGTCCTGAGGTAGGCAAGCACTTAATTAACTAAGTCAGTAGGAAAAAGGTCACCAGGATGGTCGGAGGTATCTATCTATGAGACAGTAAGGTTCCAGACCCGGTGGCACCGATACGTTTGCGATTTCTTGGCCGAGCCTGACTGGCCAGATGACATGTAGGACAAACCTAAGCACAGGCCACATTCTGTGTGATGGCCACCACCTTAGATCTGAACAATGCAAGAATGCAGAATGCTGCAGTATTTGCCGATGATGTGGTGACTGGTGGCAGCTGAGGATAGGCGCCTCGCATACATACCTACTCCAAAGGTACAGACAGTAACATATTACTCGTACCGCCAGCATGCCTATCCTGTCCTGTCCTCTGTCTCTGGCAGATCATGCATGCGCCAGATTATTCGATAGATCTAGCCGTGTGTATGCACTGCGTACACTGTACACCGTATATATCCCAGCCATCGCCTACCAGACATATGTACAGTACCCGACAGGGTTGTATCGCAGGTAGTAAGTATCTATTCCGGGCTTTGAGAATCGAGACTCGAGACTCAAAAGACCGATTGACCCCGGGCATAGCAATACTGGTCTAGAGTGATCATTGGTCGGAGGGCCACAGCACCCTATTTTGGTTCCCATGCATGCATGCATGGACCTACTGGCGGTAGCGGTAGCGGTAGCAGTAGCTGTATGTACGCCATTTGACTCATGGCCACCTGCAGATGCCTTCCGCAGTCGCCTTGATTCGTAGGAAGTTTCACAGCCAACGATGGGGTTGATGCTGTAAGAATAGTACATACCTACCTACCTACCTACCTAGGTACGGACCATCTAAGTGCTACCTGAGGGAAGGGCCTGACTGGCTGGCTCTCTCAAAGATAGTATCATCCATCTCAAACATCAGGACGCAGCGCATCGCATCGTATCGCCTAGACTGCCTATCTCGGTTACGGACTGGCTCCGGAATAATATGTTGCAACTCTCACATTTGCCAGTGCTAAGTGAATGGCAGATGCAGGTTTACTTGGGACCCACTTGGGCAGTATTTAGGTAGGTAGGTGGTTTTGGGCCATCTCCGCGCTGCGCTCTCAGTCTCACCCTACTACCTACGTAACCAACAGGATCATGGCCCTGCCGCGCGATCTGCTTGAGCATTTGGGGGGGGGATGAGGAGAAGGAGGAGCTCAGACGTTGTGGCGTCGGCCAGGGCACGCGGTCATCATTTCCCTGGCTAGTAAGGAGTACTACCCAGCTAGACTAGCTTGATGCTGCTTATTATTGAGTAGTTGGGGGAGAAAAGAAAAGCTCTGCAAGACCCATCAACTGTACTTACTCCGTACCATGGTGGGTGGGTGATGGTGATCCAGGAAAATCCAGATCATCACAAGGGCAAGGAAGCGATGGGATGGGCGGCGGCGGCTGCTGAGGAATGTCGTGTCACATCCACTCTGCGCCGACGGGCTTGTTTTCACGTTCGGTTGCAGCCTGGCGAGCCAGGGCCAGGGCCAGGACCAGGACCAGGACCGGTTCCGGTTCTTAACCTGGCGAAGTAAGGTGGTAGCTGTGGCTGCGAGGATCCATCATGAAGCATTTGGATGACGATACGATGAGATGAGATGAGATGAGATGGGATGGGATGGGATGGGATGGGATGGGAGATGAATGAGGCTTGGAAGGTGATTGTTCCTGATAGTAAGCACTTTCTCCGACAGCCAATGATAATGGCCGGGGGGGGATCAGATTCAGCCTGCCCCTACTCGAGTCCGTAGCACGGGGCCATCATCGGTAGGGGTTGGCGAATGGTGACATGCCACTAAAACAAGCCAAACCAAATTAGCGTCCAAAGACTTCCATTGTTTAGGGGAGGCCAGTGGGCGCTCGGGCCTAATTATGGTCTGATGACAGGGATATGGGATTACTCCCTAGTATCGAGATCGGTCTGTATAGTATGTATGTAAGTCGCGGAAGCGCCGAGGAGGGGGTGAAATGATCTGATTTCAGATTGAAGGAGCAAGAACAAAAAAAAGCAAAGGAGATATCCCTGCTGTGTTGCGAGTTGATCGCTTGGTTTGGCCGACTAGTCGGTTGATCCCTACATGGTTGACTTTCTCCGAAATACTAGGGTTTGTCTCGGACGGCGACCGCCATTTCGCTTACTGGGTTTCTGGATCGAGCCGGATACATCAGCTACCCGGCAGGCGTCGGGATTCTGATGGGGAAGCTAGGGTGCCATCTCGCTCATGGGCCGGGGGCTGTTGTCGATAATATTAATCTGTCTATCTAGTCGGACCATCATCGTTTCATCTCCTCTACTTTAGTGTCACTGTCAACTGACGGTGTGTTCCGCCCACGGGCACGAGACGGTCAACCCTCGAGTTCAACAGCGTAATGGACAGTAGCAGTTAGTGAACTCAAAAGGTGGGATTAGCTTTTGAGCTTGTGCCATGCTAAAATCCCTAGTCCTAGTCTCCAGGGAGGGGAAGAAGGCCGATGGCTTGTAGCCTCATCTTATCGACCGTCATTTTGGGCCTTTCTAATCGATCCGTACTGCTGCACCGCGATGGTATTGAGCTTGGTGGCGGCGGAACGTCTTCGCATGTACGGAGTACTCGGTAAGCACTCCAGTGGACGAGTCCAAAGGGTCGGGGATCACCTGCGGATATACTCCGTATAGTAGGTTTCTTTCTCGGTACGGACGGAATGGACTGCCGGGGTTTGATTATCCCCCACGCCTCTCAATCAATAAAAGGGAAGCATATTGGATGTTGGATGTTTAGGTAGGTATACTCCGTCGCAGTGGTGTCAACCTATCATATCAGCAACAGCGGTTCTCTATAATCCGCCATCCCAAGTGCCGTTTGCGATTCAGTTGTCATCTCCACCTCGACTCGGCTGACAACCATCGCTCTAGATATACGGCGGCGTGTAGCGCACCACTTAGAGATAGATAGTCGATGACCGCCGGGAAGGCTGAGTGGTTACAGTGGTACTGTATGTACCGTACGGAGCTAGCTGGTGGTAGCTCACCTTACTTGCTTGCTTGCTCTGTTCTCCCTGGTAGAGTCAATCCCTGTCCGACGCTGCCCTTCCTCCTCCTCCGTCCTCCCGTAGATACGGAGATATGGGAGACCCACTTGGGCTCGCACTTTTTTCCTTTTTCTTTTTTTTTTTTTTTTTTCTCTCTGCTCACCCCTCTTTTCTGCTGTCCCTTTTTGCCTCTTCTCCTGCGCCTGCCCAATCGACTGGCGGAGAACGGGCTCGGCCCCTGGCCTTCTGGAATTTTGTTCTTCTCCCTTTCAGTTTCCAGTCCCCTGCAGTCAGGTGGGCCTGCACATGCGTTCCGATGGTTCCCCTCCTGTAATCTCCGGCTTCTGATTTGTAGGGCAACCGGACGATGATCTCAGTCGTCTGATTAGTCGCTTTTTTCGATGTTGTATCTTGATTAGTAGTAGTCCCATGCACATAGTACATAGTAGGTATCTAGATACTTAGATGTGCCATGTACTTACTACGGCCGTGATTGCTTCCGCCTAGGGCGTCGCACGGAGGTTTTCATGTCAGCCAGTCAGTCGGGGTTGTTTGAGCACAATGGAAGGGCTACCCGCCTCCCGGACAGCCGGATTCTGAACCCTGACCAGCGACAAGCATCGAGACTTTGGGGGCCGCATCCATGGGTGTCGGATGGACTAGAGCGGCGACGTGACGGAAGCAGTGCCACAAGTCTGATCATCGATGATCAGGCTGTCGTTGAACCTCGGAAGATGGAGTAGTAGTACACTACTACTACTACTACTGAGTAGTGCACGACTGGCCAGGCCAGTCATTGCGGAGGATTGCTATGCAGCTACCTATACACTTGCTCTGCCCCCTTCTTTTGACTAGTAAGTAGTGGCTCATGCAGGTTTGGACAGTTCCGCGCGCAGGACCAATTTCCAGGCGGCCGAAGAGGGGCGTCAGAAGGCGACTAACTAACTACTGGACTAAGGCCATCTCAGGCCATCTCAGGCTCTCAGCCTTCAGCCTTCAGCCTTCAGGCACTTAGGCTCGCGAGGGCGACGGGCGCTAGCCGGAAAGAGTAGGGCTCTGCGTTAGTCAGGCTTGCTCCGGTCGGCAACCCTGGTTCTGGAAATGGTCTCCATGTCGAGTTAATTAATCATCATCATCATCATCATCATCGTCGTCAATCAATCAATCAATCAATCAATGGAAGAATCCTCCGCCCCCGACTTCTTCTCCTTTGTCGATTGCATACTGCATGGTGCATGGTGCATGGCGCATATTGTGATGGCCCGATGGGAGCCTTCTAGGCGGAACCTAATAATCTGTGACTTTGTACGCCGGAGGTGCAGCTGGACTCGTCAGAAAACATTATTGGCACCCGCGCCCACCCCATCTCGGAGCCAGCCTGCCTTGTGGAGTCCGCATACCGATATGTGTTTCTCCCACTCTCAACTTTCAAGGCGTCTTGCGTCTTGCGTATGGAGTAGTAGCGTCCACCCCCCACTCTCTCCGGGCTTGGGGCAAATTCTGTTTCTCAATATAACACCTACGATCCTTGAACCCGGACCAGATGTTGTCATCTGTAGCCGAACTTTCTGTGCCCCCCCCCCCCCCCCCCTCCCCCCCTTCTCTCCTCTCTTCTCCCCACTGTACACACCGAGCGATAGTACGGCGTAGTAGTAGATAGTAGGGAGACAGGCCTCCGCCAGTCAGCCACCTCGCCATCTGCTATTCAATACGTGCCGTCATACGTAAGGTATGACCATGAAACATGTGATCCACAACGAGTAGATTAATCTGACAGAACACCCGATAAGCAACAACGATCGGGATTTGGGGCGGCAGGTATGTGGTGGATATCGGATGTGAGGTCCAAGAGCCATGGCCTATCCGGATTCCGGATATCATCCAGCACCAGGTGTCAAGTAACATTATCACACCCCTGACATCTGGTGTATGCCGTACGCAGCAACCCAACTGGTTACCGATAAACGATGACAATCAATAATAACGATCATCCATCCGGCTTGCTTCACAAGACAAGTATCACCGGCTAATGAATGGGTCGGTCGCAAGGTAGACCGGTTTGGGCTCGGTCAATATCAAGGGTCCCAAGTGTTCTCCCCTCCCCAAGCGCGGTTGGACAGGAATAGAAGCGCCCAAGGACGGCTGGAAGTAACAGGCTGGTCGGATGGGTCATTGGATACGCGCCCGGTGATGCCGAACGACTATGATGACGATGACAAGGAATGGGCGGATGGTTGTCCATCAGCATGCTTGCCCTTGTTTGATCCAGACCAAGTGCGGCGTAGGCAGGTAGCATACTACTACTACTACTACTACTACTACTACAGCCACCGGACGAGTATTATTATTGCTGCCATGCACGGAGTATGTACTCCGTACAGTATGTGTCTACCGTTGGTGTTGGAAGATGTACTGCACCTGTCCACGTACTCCGGACCATGGAAGCCAGCAGTAGTTAGCCCTTGGGACCTTTCAGGCTTTCAGCATTATTGTAACCCTTGCGTAACGGGCGTTGTGAGTTGTGACGCGTTGGAAACGGTGAACTTGTGGGGACAAACGCCGGACTAACGAGGGAGGAGGGGAGGGGGGGGGAGCATGTGTAATGTAATACGGAGGAATATTACTTAGTGCTGATAGAGCCGGCGCAGGAATGGCACGGAAAAAGAGTTGGTGTCGTTGACTCGTTGGCCGCAGGGTTGACGATCGGGTCGGATCGTGGGTCATTGCAGGTACTACTCCGTAAAAGTCAAGTAAAGTTACCAGGCCGCGGGCATTCCGATCGTGACTAAGACATTCTAGTTAACTTACACCTGGTGCCTTGTAATCAATTCACTAGCAAGTGGCACTTGGCCCAGAATGGTTATATTGGATTCTTGTACCGGGTATGATGGGCCTCGGCCTCGAACCTACTAACTACGGTAGACTACTTACTTACACTACGTAGTCCTTTTTGCCTAGACCTGGTGGCAGGCTGGCAGCTACCCCTGCACTCTCGTCCCAGGTACCGCATACGAGGAAGGAGGCATGCCATGGTCGGGATGCGTCATCGAGTACGGAGTAACCCATCGACTGCCTAGCCTAGGTCTCTTTCAGTAGTACAACCACAAATGTACAGAAGTACACTCCAGAGGTGCAGGGTACTTGGAGAGGTAGGTACTTAGGTATTTGCATCAGAACTATCCAGTTAGGTGCTAATGTAACTGATCACAGTTGTATAACTACCACAGCCTGCCTGCCAACACAGGACATAGGTACAGCAAGTGGGAGGGAAGGCCGCGGCATCCTCGATACAGTACGGTAATGCTCGCCCGTGATGTCTTCCCAGTTTAGCCCCAGACTTCCCATGGGGCTCACACGGGCCTTACTGTACGGAGTACGTAGTGGAAAGTTTAGTTTAGTTTCGGCATGTCCCAGTCACTCTTGGGCCCGTCTGTTCTGGTTCCTTCTTAAAGTTCCATCCGTGATCTCTGCTGCTGTTCGGTCCAGTTCCAGTTTCCCTGGCTAGAGCTCCGATTCTTGTCTCCCGTCCAATCATCCGACCCCCTTCCTCATCTCCATTTTCCCTCTTTCGTCTTTTTTCCTTTTTTTTTTTCTTTTTCTTTTTCCCTATGGTAGATTAATTAATTAATTTTGAATTTGATTTTTTTTCTATCCATCCATCCATCCATTCACTTGCCAATGGGTCTGATCATCCCCACCATTAACATTATTCATTCTCCTCCCCACCACCACCACCACTCCCTGGGCCCAGGGCTGTCCAAAGTCTTTACTACCTACAGGATTGCCGCTCTCCAAGCCCTCGAAGTGGAGCGGCGTCGTGTGGCATGGCTCATCTGAATCACCACCTGCCTGGGTCCGTCCCTTCCTTCCTTCCTTCTCCTCCTGCCCTAGACTAGCCCCATCGTCGGTCATCCATGCCTTCCTGGCATCCTCCTGCCTCCTGCTTCTCTAGCCCTGTCCTCCACTTACCCATATCCACTATCCACTATCCACAGTCCATGTCCATGTCTACATCCACAGTCCAAGCCCACAGCCCACAGCCCACAGTCCAGTTCCACCTCCACTAGTCTGCTTTCGTTAGTGTCAACGTCGTGTCATCCCAAATCCCAACATGTGCCCGCTGCCCGCGACGACTACCACAGCGCTAGCGTTCTCACTTACAGTAATGGATCGTGGAACTGGGGCGGGATGGTAGATCAAGTAATGCCCATGTCTGTAGTCCTGTACATCCGTTCCACATTTCCGTGTATCACCCTCATGGAGGCCCTTCCTTTGGATGATTATTCTATTCCCCCCCCCCCCCCCCCCCCCGGCTCCCTGTTTTAAACTTCCGTTTACTTTACCGCGATTAATCTACTCCCCTCAATTACTTGACCAGGGACGGGGCTTGCTACACTCGACACGCACGTACTTGCTTCCCGTACCTTGCCTCAGCGCCTTGTGACCCTCACGCACCCCCTGTGTCATCTTTAGATGATAAGTCTCGAACCCCAGTCCGCTTCGGAGATCCTTTACATATTGCTGTGGTCATCATCCATGGATCGCATCCGTGCTTGATACTCCATATAAACCGACAGCCTCCTATCCGCCCTCCCGTCTGACCTTCGCCTTCCCACTCATACTACTTACCTTATATACTACTATGTATGTTGGTACCGCCTGCCTTACTCTTCATACTTATATCTAACTATCCACCCCCTCCCAATCAGTCCTGTCACCCAGGACCTTCTCTCAACCATCTTCATATCACCTTCTATGCCCAATGGCCCACTGCTGGCAACCCCAAACGTCCTTTGCGAACCCGAACTGGGTTCAAGGCAGCCAGTCATGCTGGCCCTCATCGACGTTCCGTGACTTGATGCACGCTTTCCCGAGGCCGAAGCACAGCACCGGTCGAGTGACGAAGCCCCGTAGCGCTGGGAACAGTCCTTCGTCTGGCGGCAGACGGCGGACAGCAACCATCCCTCACGGTCCATCGACGTACCAGGGCTACCAGGCCCCCGTCAATGCTGCGCTCTTGGCCTCTGCACTTTCCGGGGCTGGTCGAGCTCGTCCGACAAGCTGGCACCCGTCATTGGAACCGGTTCAGTATCCCACTGCCCAGTACCTTCCTGCCACCACGGCATTGGATAACTTTGCCGCCATTGGCGTGTGCCCTCAGCCACTGCCCACCGCGGCCGCCACCTTCCAAGACGGTCCTGTGCTACCCTCGTATGCTTCGGATATTCCATGCTCCGATATGGGGCTGCACCCCCTTGCCGCCGTACAACAGCAGATGCCGCTTCAACAGTCCTTCCTGCACATGAACGACTCGCATGTTGAGCCGGTCTCCTGGGACACCAATGCATCGACCTTGCCCGCCATGGCCGAGCCCATGTCTGATTGTTGGTCTTTCGACATGTCATCCATGCACAACAGCATCCCCCCAGCATATGTTGGTGGGTCGGGCTACGAAAGTGTACCGTCATCCGGCAGTCTGACTCAACCCCCGACCCCTGACTTCCTCCCCATTCAACACCCGGAAGACGACCTCATCGCGCCACTCCCGGAAAAGCACAACGCCGAGGACGAGCTCGTCGGAATGGGACTGTACAGCAACCCCGAGGCTTCGTTGGGGAGCTCACTCCTGGGACTATCCGGCAAGGGACTGAAGTTGGAGGAGACGTTCACGCCGTCCGCAGACGAAACGGAAGAGAAAGACGATGACGATGAAGACGAAGACGACGACGATGAATCCGAGCAGGACGAAAGCCCCGTCCAGAACAACGGCTTTCCCGCCCACCAGAGACAGCCCGGACAACAAAAGACGTACCCTCAACCGATGAAGGCACCTGCGAGCATGATGCAGCGATCCTTCTTCTTCGAAGACGACGACCTCGAGCAGCACGTCGTTGCCGAGCCCCAGCCATTCATTAACATGGCGAGTCAACCCTGTATGAATTATGGCTACGGATGGATTTGATTCCGACACGACTGTTTTTCTTTTTTATCATTCTTTTTATCATTACCTGCCCCCGTTGGGCATTTTCGCTTGACCAGCGTCGCATAGCGTGGAGTTTTCAGTTTTTATTGGGCAGGCGTTGGCAACAACTTAGCATACACTAAGGATACCCAGGGTGGTCGATTGGCTTGGAAATGCATGTATTAGACCTGAATGTAACAAACGAACAAGAACAAGAATAACCAATGAATATCTTTCCGAGATGGAACATGCTGATTATTTGGCAAGACCGCATTCACTACTATTGTGTTAAGTAGACCCGCATGTCAGGTGATCATCACCCTTCTCGTCTACTCCTTCTCCCTCCATTCTTCAATCAATCAACCAACCACCTGTGGCTAGCAAGCTGCTACAAAGTACCCGGAGTGTTCCATCTTACTCTCTGCTCCTATATTCCCTAGACATAAACTATAAATAATGCCTTCACACTCACCATAACAAACCTCAGACGGAGTCACGCCGCGTGAGCCCGAAAAGAGAAGGTTCCCCCGAAGGGAACAACCTTAGTCCGGCGATCAAAATCACCAGCGACGAGATGTACAAGCACGCCCCCCAGCGCAGGAGGGGATGACTGTAGCCAAATCAAACCGCTAGACCGATATTCACGCCATGGCGAAAGTCATCTTCACACCATGGAAGGAGCACTCCCAATTACTCGCGGTGCGGGGGCAATTCTACCCCCTGCCATTTCATGATGGGCCCGACATGCGCTCCAAGGCCTGCGCCACCGTACGTGAAATCTGCCTTGGATGCAACAAATGCGCTTGACACTAACCAGATCCCCAGGTCGGAGCCTGGAAGCTGCGCGGTAACCTGCCACACCCGGTCGAGGCTACAGCCTTGCTCACGGATGCGATTCTGCACGACGATGCGCAGAAAAATTCCATTTTCTCTATCAGAGCCACGTACTCGGCTGCTTTCTGTCGGTACGCACAGGATCCACCCCCTTCCCCATCTGGCCCAATTTCTTCGATGGTGTTTACGATGGTGGTGATTTTTAACGCTCGCGCAGATTCGTGACGGGTCTCGTCGACTCCAAGATCCACGGTCAGCGAAAGACCATGTTTCAACGAGCCATTGATCTGGGGCTGCCGGCGTCGTTCGTGGAACTGCGCCACGAGGCCACCCATCGTGAACTGCCGTCGCTGACGGTCCTGCGGAACGCGACGCAGCGGTCCCTGGAGTGGCTGTGGGATTACTACTGGGCCAAGACGGATCTGAGCGCTGATGCGGTGCCTGTTGTGTCCGAGCCTGGGGTCCTGGATGGCGCGGATGAAGACGTCGAGCCGATCATGGCGGCTGTTCGGACGACGTTCGACCAAATGATGCGCGAAGACGAGTCCGAGCCGCCGCGCAAGAAGAGGAGGTTCCATCAGAATGTCTCCTCTGCGTCGACGCAGCTGGTCTCGATATGCAAGGCGTCTAGTCTGGGGGCGTCGGCGTTGGCGGGCGTTATCCTGGAGGACTCGATACTTGTTCCTACGGGACGGAGGTGGGTTGTTTCCTCCTGTTTGTGGTTATGTGTGGTGTCGATGAGCTAACGCGCCTTAGGATCGGGGATTCCATGACGGAGACGTTTGCCAAATGGGACCACTTACTCCAGATGCTCGCGGAAGGCCACTCGCCGTTCCTGGCCGCGCTGACGGAGGAGCTGGTGAATATAGTGGCTTTTTCGAATTCGAAGGACACGAAGAACGACCCCTTCTGCGAAGGGATCTACATGTGGCTGGACCATATACTCACATCGCCGGAGTGGGAGTCGAGACGGCGACTACTTTCGTACACGTACATCGACGCGGTTTGCGCGCAGAGTTCGAATCACTGGACGGCTCTGCTGAAGGAGAGCGTGCAGAACGGTCCTTCCAGGGACCCTGCTAGCCTGATACCTGCAACAAGGCAGCAGCCCAAGAAGGCGAAGGCTGGGGCCAAGCGCACTGAAAATGCGGCCGTGGCTGATGATTTGAAAGAGCTGAAGAAGTACGGGTGGGAGACGGTGGATTCGTGGGATACTCGGCCGTTGGGGATAGTATAGAGTAGAGTAGAGTAGAAGATGGTATCTACCATTCCATACTTTTCCCAAATCCATCCAAAACCAGTACTGTAGTATCTCTGATGGGCAGCATTCACCCCATCCATACATAAATGTCACCACCGTAAGCGGAATAGCGCACCAGCCACCGTGGCTGAGCAACCAGCCAGCCTATGAGGTAATCGCCAATCAACGCTTACTCTCATACTACTAGCTCCAGCCAGCCAGGTTGCAACCACCCCGCATTCGGACCAGCAGGCTTACTTATAATCATCAGAATCACGCTTTTCCCTGATGTACAGGAGTCTTCTCACAGCCGTCAGGTCATCCGGTCGTAGGTTTCAGCCTGTGAGAGCGCGCGCGCAACAAACCAGAGCCATGCAGATCCAATCGATCCCGATGTGTACGTGCTCTGCCTACCTAAGCTTGCTAACTAAACCAAGCCTGCTGCGCGTGCCCAGAGTCTCCAGGGTCCTTGGCTTGTCTTACTTTGGCTGGTTTAGCTGATGGATTAATTGCAACAGGGACCGGGAAGGGCAATAACTATGCCTACCTGGTCACGGATGAGCCGACCAAGGAGTCCGTCATTATTGATCCGGCTAATCCGCCCGAGTATGTTTGTTGATATTGTTGTTTCAGAACCGGGCTGATTCAAGTCTGGTCTGCAGAGTGACCCCCGTGCTGCAATCTCAAATCGATGCCGGAACGATCAAGCTCTCGGCGATAGTGAACACTCACCAGTATGTGTGATCGTCTTCTGGGAGGGAATACAGCTACTGACCTCGATTTACCTAGTCACTGGGACCATGCCGGCGGTAATGACGAGATAGTGAGTCCAGAGCAACCACATCGCTTCCATGCTGTATACAGCTAACGACAGCAGCTCAAAACCTTCGGCAAGCTCCCCGTCATCGGCGGAAAGAACTGCCAATCCGTGACGAAGACCCCAGAGCACGGGGAAGAGTTCAAGATCGGAGAGCGCATCTCCGTCAAGGCGGTGCACACGCCCTGCCACACGCAGGACAGTATCTGCTACTTCATGCAGGATGGGGACGACAAGGTCGTCTTCACGGGCGATACCCTGTTCATTGGAGGTTAGGATCATGGTTCTTTCTTAGCTTACCTTAGTGCGTCTCGTGCGTGCTGACGGGAGATGCGATGTAGGATGTGGCCGGTTCTTCGAGGGTACTGCGCCCGAGATGCACAAGGCGTTGAACGAGACTCTGGCGGCGCTGCCGGACGATACGAAGGTCTATGTGAGTTCTACCCCTGTCTCTGCTGTCCGTAACCAGTGTCAGTGACTGACCGTTTGTTCCAGCCTGGGCACGAGTACACCAAGGGGAACGTCAAGTTCTGTCTTGCGGTATCGCAGTCGGACGCGATCAAGAAGCTGGATGCGTTTGCGACTGCGAACGAGCAGACGCAGGGGAAGTTCACCATTGGCGATGAGAAGGTACTGCATTCTTTATGTTGAGAACTAAGTATAGGCTGGCTAACAGACACTAGCTTCACAATGTGTTCATGCGTGTCAACGTGAGTTATCCTCCAAGCAATTATTCTCCAAAACAAGAGAAACCCAGCTAACTGGCCCCCACAGGACCCCGAGATCCAGCAGAAGACCGGCAAGACGGACCCGGTGGAGGTGATGGCCGCTCTGAGAGAGATGAAGAACAGCATGTAAATTTACTTCTCTCTTCTCCTGCATGAATGTAAATTCGTACGTAGCTACGAGAATGCGAGCTGAATTGACTGCCACCAAACCGTAGCCCCAACCCTGATACAAGAATGACACGCATATACCTACCTACCACCACCATCAATCATCGTGACGTCAGACACATTGACCTATAGATACCCTGTATACAAAACCACCACCACCACTACCATCGCCACACCAGCAAAAAGCCATTCATCCTCTCCCACTCTATCCCACACAACACTCAGTCTAAAGTAACAAGCACTCACTAACCACGAAAATGACGAGCGAAACCACCGACAACCTCCCCGGCGACCCCCTCACCACCAAAAGCCAAGTGCTCGAGACCGGCGCCAAAGCCATCCAGGACTTCGCCCCCGTGAAGAACATCTGCGCGCACCTGAATGCCTTCCACGTCTACGCATCGGATAAGACGCGGTGCGTCGAGGCGAATCATTACTGTAGCCATATTACGGAGGGTATATCCATCCAACCATTCCCCCTTAGTTATCCCACTGCATTCCACCTCCACTGCCCTAGACACAATTACCCCCCAACCCCGTCCTTCTCCACCCTCCCACCAACACAATAATAATACAATCCAGACATCCGCCAATGCCTCCTCTACGACACGCCGCAACCCAACGCCCGCCTCCTCGGAATCGAATACATGATCACGCCGCGCCTCTTCCGGACGCTCCCCGCCAGCGAACGCAAACTGTGGCACACGCACGAATACGAAGTGAAAAGCGGAATGCTCATCATGCCCTCGCCACGGGGCATGCCGGATGTAGCGTGGGAAGTGGCCGAGACGGCGGAGATGAGAGACATCGCGCCGCTGTATGGCAAGACGTACCATTTCTGGCAGGTGGATCGCGGGGATGTGGTGCCGATGGGGGCGCCCGAGTTGATGGGCAGTTTTGTGGATGATGAGGGGGTGAGAAGGGCGGTTGGGGAGGGGGGTTGGCTGGTTTGGTGGGGGAGAGGGATAGGAGGTTTGGGGTCGATTGGAGGGGGAAGAGGGAGAAGAGGGGGGGAATTGATGTTGAGGGGGAGAGGGTGGAGGGTAAGTTTCGATTCTTCTTGCTTTGGGCGGGGGGGGGGGTAAGGTATGAAGGATTGGAGGTTGGTTCATTGCTGATGATCATGATGATTCGATAGGTGCGGATGCGATGTGGGATGAAGCGTAATATAAAGTAGCAGACCGCTATGATACGATATGATACAAAGCGATGAGGTGAGATGAGATATATGGCGTATGTCAAAGTCAAAATCAGAAATCAATTTCTATTTAATTATTATGATTTGTCTCCCGTCTTTACCACCCAGCTTCCCATTCCCATAGTTAAATGGGGTCCAAGCCGGGCTATCGTTCAGGGAACCGCACCGAAGTGCGATGTACAATTCATCTTGCTTCACTGTCCACACTCACGCGCTCTGGTGTTTGAATTTCGGCAGCGGTGAGCTCTAGCTATTTTAGAAGCGATGGGAAGATGGGTTGTGGGCTGTAGATCCCATGGGGGAAATAAGCCTTCGCGAGATCATCATGATCATGATTGAAGTAGCTGTAGCTGTAGCTGTAGCTGTAGCAGCAGTAGCAGCAGCAGCAGTCCATTAACGCAGTCGTGTGCATCATTAAGCAGGTGAACTGGTCATGGATAGATGCTGTGCGTGCATCAAGCATATCGAGTCGAATCGAGTCGAGTCAAGTCAATCGAATCGACCATTTTCATGGTGTCGTGGCGTTCGCGTCGCGAGTCACATAGCGAGAAGAAGAAATAAGGAAAGAAAACTCGGCGCACAACCGCTTATATACCCCACCACGACACGTGACCATCTCTCTCTCGGCCGCTCCGTTCGCCGTCATCGCGGAATAACTACCAATACCGATACAGTCCCCAACTCCCAGCCCAGCTCGCCAATTGCCCCCCCCCCCCCCCTCCAAGCAAACAAACACGCAAGCAATGCATCGACAAAATGGAACACCTCCTCCGTAAAGTCCTCCCGCACGCCACGCCGCGCACGGTCGCGCGCCTGACCTTCAACGGCGTGGGCCTGTTCTGCGCCTTCACCTTCGTCTGGGAACACCTGATCACCGTGCAGCTGAGCGAGGGGCCCTCGATGTACCCGACCTTCAATCCGCGGGGCGACTACCTGATGATATCGCGGGTGCATAAGCACGGGCGCGGCATCCAGGTCGGCGACGTGGTGCGGTTCTATCATCCTACGTTTCTGGGCATGAATGGCGCGAAGAGGGTCATTGGGATGCCGGGGGATTTTGTCTGTCGGGATTTGGCGTTTAGTCAGGAGGTCGGGAAGGGGGGGGAGATGATCCAGGTTTGTTTTGCCTTTTTCCTTTTTTTTTTCTCTACTTTGGTCTGGGCTGGGGAAGTGGGTTGTGGTGTGTGGTGTGTGGTGTGTGGTGTGTGGTGTCTGGAGTGGATGGATGGGGCTGATCTTGTTTTCTGTCTAGGTCCCCGAAGGTCATGTCTACTTGGGAGGAGATAATCTGCCCTGGTCGAGGGATTCGAGAAACTACGGTCCTATTCCGATGGGTCTGATCAATGGGAAGATCATCGCGCGCGTCTGGCCGCCGTCGAAGATGGAGTGGACGCGCAATACAATGGAGCTGGCGGATCTGTCCGACGCGTGATGATGCGTTCGGGATACATGTACAGTGCTTGACTTGCTACGCATGGTTGGAGTCTGGAGTTGGAGGAATTTGTGCATATTCATACATATCTCTTGTACAATACAGATGGAAGTCCAAAGAAATGTTGTAACGGGGAAAAAAAAGGGAAGATGCTTAACGGGGCAGGCAGATCACCGGAAGGTGGACGGGTTTCTGCGCTTGTAAGGAAGACGCTCGCTCTTCTTCCGGCGGAGCTCCATGTCCGCGTCGGCGAATCCGACCTGCTTCATAACCTCATACATCGACGCGTCCCACTCGGTGCGGAACAGGTGTGCGCCGATCGCCTTCAGGTGGTACCGGGCCTGCAGGGTGCGGAGCAGCAGGTTGTCGCGCTCCGTCTCCTTCGCCTTGACGGCAGCAAAGTCCAATGGCTGCGAGTCCTTCTGCTCCAGGATGAAGACAGACAGACGGTGGTAGGGGCTGCCCTTCTGGGCGACAGGAGGCACCCAGGGGAGGACGACCTGCGCCTCAGCGGAAAGCTGGGCCAGGTCAACCTTGGTGGAGGTGGCCGAGATGGGGACGTTGACGGCCAGGTAGTGCATCTTGTAGTCGAATCCGTCCGTCTCCACGTTGGGAACATCGGAGTCGACCACCGCGATGGTCACGAGCTTCTCGCCGCCCTCGAAGAGTTGCACGTCCATCTTGGGGGCCGCTGTGCTGAGCTTGGAGTCGACGAATTCTCCAGGTTGAACCTGGCTGCGGCCGAAGTAGAGCTTGGTGTCGACGATGGGATCGCAGTGAGGGAGGACGTCGGGAATGACCTTCATTTGTGTGATTCTTTGGACGAGGATCTTGCGGCGGTATTCTCTCCATTTCCGATCGGCCAGAAAGCGGTAGATGGGCTTGCTCATGTCACCTGGACCAAGCCGGTTAGAAGGGGTAAGCAGGCGCGTATCTCGCGGTGATCCTCACCTTGGCCGTCCTCGAACGTCTTCTTTACCAGCGGGTCGTTGGAATCCGCAAGGATCTTGAGGTGTTCCACGTGGAGTTCCATGGCCCGGAGCTTGGACTTCTTGACCTGCTCCCCCCCAGCCTTCTCGACGGGAGTGGCCTGAAGTCTGGCGATCTTCTCACTCATGGCTGTGATGTCACGCAGCTTCTCCTCGCGGTCCTGGAGCAGAACCTTGCGTGCGTCCTGGAAACATTGATACGGCAGCTGCTCGAAGGGAATGTTGGGGGAGTCCTGCAGGGCCACTCGACGTCGACGAGATCCGATGGGCGAGATTCCCTGTCGCAATAACCGCCGTTCCAGCCGGGGACTCGATACCAGGGACGGATCAGGGGCCTTGTGGAAGGGGACGCTGGCAGCCTCAGCCTGGGCTTCCTCGCGAGCCCGAGCGGTGGTCTGGAAGGCGCGGGTCGACTGCAGCTGGAGGCCCGGAAGACCCTTCGTGTAGGTCTTCTGCAGGCATTGGAGCAGGGGCTTGGAGGCCCGCTCACAATGAGCCATGGCGAGGCGATATATTGGGGGGGAGGACGGGGGAACGGGGTGGTGGAGGAGGAGGAGGAGTGGATAGTGGATGGATGAGATTGCTTCCCCAGGTGGTCGGGAAGTCGAGGTTCCTGGCCGGACGGAACTTTTTTCGTCGCCTTGGCCAAGCCTCAGGCCGCTAGCGCCAGACCACCCGAACTTTTGCTGCTGCTCTTCCTCCACGCAACACCAGACATCCGCACCCCCCAGCCTACCCTCTCGGGGATAATTACACGCGTTCTACACAATGCCTGGCAGTGACGCCTTTCGCGCCCTCCGCTGGCTTTCTCGGAGCTCGGGGGGTCTGTTGTCGGGCGTGGAGACCACTACGGTACGGCCCTTTTCTGCACATTGCTCGTCCATCTGGACCGTCCAAAGTTGACCATCCATGCCTCCTCTAGCAACGATGCCTGGCCAGGCCTTTCTCCCGGTCGATGGCCACCGAGACCGCCGACAACCTGACGCGAGAGATCCCCAAGCCCGTGTGGAACCCGGCCCCCGCGATCGCGACCACCTACTCTTTCCCGTCGATGGAGCCCCTGCGACAGGTCGAATACCCTCAGAACCACCTCATGATGCCGCTGCGCAGAGATCTCCTCCACCGAGCCGTCGTATACGAGGGTGATGCCACCCGGCAGGGTACCGCCAGCACCAAGTGGAGAGACGACGTGCATGGCAGTCATAGAAAGATGGCGCCGCAGAAGGGTACTGGCAGGGCCCGTGTCGGTGACAAGCAGTCCCCGATCCGGAGAGGTGGAGGTGTTGCCTTCGGACCCCATCCCCGAGACTTCTCCTCGGGGCTTCCCCAGAAGATCTACGACAAGGCGTGGCGGACGGCCCTCAGTTATCGCTACAAGCGCGGCCAATTGATCATCATCGACAAGGAGATCGCGCTCCCGGAAGACGCCACCCCGTATCTCGTCGAGGAGATCTTCAAGGTCAACCAGTGGGGCAATCGATTCGGACGGTCAACCCTGATCACGGACCGGCTGGATGAGAACCTGTTTGAGACGGTGCGGAAGGTGGGCCACCATGCGAAGATCCTGGACCGCAAGGACGTGGATGTGAAGGACCTGCTGGAGACCGGCCGCTTGATCATTGAGAAGCTGGCCTTGGACCGCATTCTGTCCCAGCACTCGAGGGATCTGAACATCAAGGTGGCAAAGGCTCTGTATTGAATTGGATGAACTTGGCGATGGGGACTTTTCTGGTTAGCTTTGGGGTTGTGAGTGTTTCTCTTCTGTACAAATAGATTCGGAATATGTATGATGGCACTGGATTGCAAAGATGCCCGCCCGATTCCTGAGGCTGCGGTAGGCCGTAGTAGCACATGCCGACCTGCGATGGCTGATATTGCCGAATGCGACCACCACACCACGCAGGAGGTTTATTTTTTTTGCTGTAGATTACTGTACATGTAGGGAAAGTGCATAGAAAACAAGAATGCCCTCAAAACCCTGCCTGGTCCCAAGTCGACCGCCGCTCGGCTGCAGCGCCGGCGAGGAAAATCAAAGCGCGAAAAACTCCGAGGTCAACGCAAAGCCGAGCCCGAACGAGTTGCCATCATCATCATACATACTTAATCCCCTCCCCATCCCTTCCCCCCGATCCTCTCCCTCACGACAGGCTGTCGTCCGCCTGATGTTACTCCGACGCTCCTTCTGCCGGTTTCCCACGCCGTCGAGCTGGATCTCGCGCGTTTCGCCCTCGAGCATGCCTCTCCGCGCCAAAGTGACCAACCCTGCCTTCCGGGCCACTGCTACTGTACGCCTGCCGTCTCGCAACTGACCTCTACAATGGCTGCTGACCGGACTGTGCCCAGATGTCCACATCCACCGAAATCCCCAGAGAACTCCCCGGAGACGAGCCCGATGACGTCCTGTTCCACTCGCACTACGGCGTGCGGTTGATCGAGCTCAACCGCCCCAAGAAGCTCAACTCCCTGAACGGCTCGATGGCCCGGAAGATTCTCCCCCGTCTGAAGGTGAGCTGGTGGCATGGCTGGGACCTAATACACACGGGGATGCGGTGCTAAGCTGTCGTCGTCTAGGAATGGGAAAAATCCGACCTGGCCAACATCGTCATGGTTTCCGGGGCTGGCGAGAAGGCTCTGTGCGCCGGCGGAGATGTGGCTGCCCTGGCCCTGCAGAACGAGAAGGGCCCCGAGGGACAGCAGGCTTCTTCCAACTTCTTCGGTCTCGAATACCGCCTCGACCACGCGATCGCGACCTACAGCAAGCCGTTCATCTCCGTGATGGACGGCATCACCATGGGCGGCGGTGTCGGCCTGAGCGTCCACGCGCCCTTCCGGATTGCCACCGAACGCACCGTCTTCGCCATGCCCGAGACCACGATCGGATTCTTCCCCGACGTTGGTGGCTCTTTCTTCCTGCCCCGTCTGGATGGCGAGGTGGGCACATACCTGGCCCTGACTTCGGAGCGTCTCAGCGGCGTCCAGGCCCTGTACGCCGGCGTTGCCACACACTACCTGCACTCCAGCGCGCTGGGCAACCTGACGGCTCGCCTGTCGGAGCTGGTGTTCCGGGACTACGCCTCCCTGGAGGATCGCCTGGACCTGGTCAACAAGACGGTGGCGGAATTCTCGATGGGCGTGCCGTCGCTGCACGAGGAACCCATCCTGTTGGCGGGCAGCCTGCGGAATGCCATCGACCGTTGCTTCTGCCACAACACCGTGGAGGAGATCTTCCGGGCTCTGGAGAGTGAGAAGGAGCGCCGCGAGTGGGCCCAGAAGACCCTGGAGACCCTCTCCGCGCGGTCCCCTACGTCGCTCAAGGTCGCGTTGCGCGCGCTGCGGGTGGGCAAGAAGTGGAACATCGCCGAGACCTTCCAGCGCGAACACCATATCGCGTCCAAGTTCATGCAGCACCCCGACTTCGTGGAGGGCGTGAAGGCGCGCCTCATGTCGAAGCCCCCGCGCCAGGCCACCTGGCAGCCGGCCACCCTGGAGGAGGTCACGACCGAGATGGTGAACGACTTTTTCTCGATCCCCGAGGGCAAGGCCCGGCTCCCGCTCTTGAGCGAGGGCAACTACGAGGCATACCCCTACTCCTACGGCCTGCCGTCTGAGGAGCTGATCGAGAAGCTGGTCCGCGGCGACTCGGACGCCAAGGGATTCAAGGTCAATGATTTCGTGTCGAAGTGGGGAGGCAAGGAGGGTGTGCGGGAGAAGGTGGCCGAGGTGCTCGCTAGACGGACTGTCCGGACCCCGGAAGGTCTGCGCTGGTCCGAGTGATTTGATAAATAAAGATGAAAGAGAACGGCGTAAGTTTGCCATTGTTTCGGGTTGTATATTGGGTTAATATCATAGTATCTTGTAAAAGTACCTCCTCCTTCCGTCCTATATCTACTTTCTGCACAATAGTATCATATCATGTGGACAGATGATCTCCGGGTCCAGCCCGGCAAAGAATCCGATGTACTGCCTCACTATCTACACCACCTTAGCATAAACCATTGAAGAGATAACGACTCAGTAGAAAATATACTATTGAGATGTCTGGGCAATATAATTGACTAAAGAATACACCCGGATTATAGCTTATAAATATACTTACTCAATCATCTAGATAAAGTTATATTTAATCTTATGCTGGTTATAGATTTATAAAAGAGTATCCACTAGGAGTATTTTCAATGCTATACTGTCTTTAGTTAAAAGGCTATACTAAGTAGTACCCATATACTTCGACCAGGAATGAAATAATATCAATACTATATATACTGATCCAATCTTCTATTGAATTTGGGCCTACTTTCTAATCTGATCTATTATTGAAAATAATACTGAGCAATCATCAAAGGATAATATTCGGTGAATAATAGAAAGTATTCAGAATGAAAACATATTTGTTTGGCCAAGTACGTAGTCATTGTGTCAGCCCAGAAGGAACACACGCCAGCCACCACCTGGATCTTTGACCACGGATTGATTAGAAGTCCGTTTTAAAGCCACGACAGAGAACTCTCTCGCTCCCAATCCTTTCCAGTCCCCCTCTACCCACATCATATAGTCGGTTCTGTCGTTTACTCATTTTCGTCCCATAAAACTAGAACACAAGCAGCTCTTCGATCAAACCTGGATTGGAAGACCCGTCTCGTTCAATAACCCCTCCTCCCAGTGGATCATCACCAGCAAGCTGCGCGAACACAACAGCCAGAAGCTGCCGGAGGAGTTTGTGGAGAACCCGGGGGAGGAGAAGGTGCTGCGTGTCTTGATGCAGTAAGGCCATCATCTCCCATACTGATTCACGCATATGTTTCATACTTAGTCTTGCAATCCAGAGTCCCATATGCGGGCAGGGCAGCGAGATCGCGATCCACGCAGAAAGAGCTCGCCAGGCCCTTGATACCCTGCCAACCTTTACCCAACAGGAGCTCGACGTCTACACTTTGCTGACGGAAAAGAACTGCGCATCTACGCTACGGCTCGTCCAGATGCGGAAGGAGAAGCAAAGTGACTCTGACATGGTCCCTGGGGGGCTCGATCGTCTATCTTCTCCTCGAGAAGCTGCCTGGCCAGAAGTTGGGGCCCTGGTTTTGGGAGCTGGACCGGGCCAAACGGGATCAAATCCGCCTGGCTTTCAAGGTGGTGTGGGAGTAAGTCTCGGTGATCCCCTAGATTGATATCTGCTTCTGCTGGAAATGAGTAACATACTGATCAGGGCTGGAGGGACTGTGTGTCTGCTGGGATCAAGTCGAGCCTCGGGTTCTCGAGACTGTTCTGGGACGAGCCTTCGGGCCAAATGTAAGGTGCTGCGACTTATGCTCTCGTGTATCTTATAACTAACTTGAGAGGGGAAGCTTCTTCTATAATCTTCTGCAGTCATTTGCGGCAAGGCCCGGTGATAAGTGGTCGGATGTGAAGTGGATTTGCCTTTGGCATGGCCATCCCGCCTCGCGGTTATGTGTGGTGCATGGAGAAGGACGCCCACCCTAGCATGGAGGGTTGGGGACTTTAAGGATGTTGAATTGATTCATATTACTGACTACTGGCAAATAGCCAAGACCTGGGCTTTTGTAGATGGAGACTGACGGAGACTCCAATCCATGTAAACCAGGCGGGAGTAAGTATGTACGCAGGGCAGTGCAGTTCTACATCTCAGAAATGCAATTGGGTTTGGGTTTAATTTTCATGGAATTTCATTTTGGAAGTTGTTTGTCTATCTTGCTTTGGTAGTATATATCATTTATACCAAGTAGGGAAATACCGGTGGTCTGCAGGTAGTATATAGCTGTAAATGCACCAGAAACTCAACCTAACACAACACAACACAACGAAATCTACTGAAATGCATGCAATGCAATGCAATGCAATGCAGTGTCTACCCAAAGGAAGACTAGACCCCATTACCTCTCCTCGCTCGTCTTCCCCGTATCATCATCCTCATCTCCATCATCATCCCCCTCCCCCTCCCCAACCAACAAAGCAGCCCCCACCTCATCCTCACCTCCCTCCCCTCTCCCAACTTCCCCCCTCCCCATCCCCAAACAACATATCAATCTCCTCCAGCGACCGTCCCCTCGTCTCGGGAAGAACCATCCACACAAACAGCGCGAACACCGCATCCAGGATCCCAAAGATCAAGAACGTGGCCCATTTCGCCCCGGCAAGGACATACGGGGTCGAGAACGACCAGACGAAGTTGGACAGCCACTGGGCGGCGACGCCGATGGCGACGCCCGGTTCGCGGATGCGCGAGTTGAAGAGTTCCGCGGTGCAGGGCCAGGGGAGCGGGCCCCAGGATAGGTTGTAGGATGCGATGGCGAGGTAGATGAGGGAGACGGTGATGAGGCCGTTGTGGGAGATTGTTCCTGTGGTGTTTGTGGTGTTTGTGGTGGGGGTGGTGGATTTGACCACTGCGGAAGTGGAGATCATGCAGACGGACATGGCGAGCGCGCCGAGGATGAGCAAGGGCCTCCGGCCGAACCGGTCAGCGACCCAGACAATGAACGTGAGACAGCTGATGACTTTCAAGGCACCGAAGATGCCCGTGAGCAGAAGGGTGAGGTGGGGGTTGTCGCCGACGAGGAGCGAGAAGAACTGCGGGCCGAAGTAAGCCATGGCGGTGGCGCCGGTGGATTGCTGGCAGATGAAGAGGGAGACACCGAGGGCGAGACGGTGGCGGTTGGACGGGGTGAGGAGCTCCTTGGCGGAGAAGTCGGCGGCGGCGTGGGCGTCGCTTTCGAGGCTGGATTTCATCTGCTGGAATTCGGCGCGCACGTCCGGTCCGTGGGACGAGCGAATCCAGGTCAGGCTGTCCCAGGCCTGGGATTCGCGGTCGTGGGAGAGTAGCCAGCGCACGCTCTCGCGGAGAGTCAGCATCCCCAGGCCCATCAGGGCGCCCGGGATGAGCTGCACGGCGAGTGGGATCTGCCACTGCAGGGCGTTGGCGGGCGCGAACTGCATGCCGTAGTCGATCCAGTACGACAGGAAGATGCCGATGGTGAAGGTGAACTGGTAGCAACTGCCGAGGCGGCCGCGCTTGTCTGTGGGACTCATTTCCGAGAGGTAGATGGGGATGACCGTTGCGGAGCCGCCGATCCCCAGGCCGCAGATGACGCGGCCCACATAGAACACGGAGAGGGAGCGGCTGTCGACGAGCTCAAAGAGCACCCCGGTGCAGAAGATGAGCGAGCACAGGGCCATCGCTGGACGGCGACCATAGCGGTTGGTCAGGGGCCAGATGAGCAGGCTGCCCAGCAGCGCGGAGGCTTGCTGGATGCCCACGGCGATGGAACTGACCCGGGTCTCGTCGGCGGCGGTGTATTGGAACGAGCGGTGGAAGGAGTCGAAAGTGAGGACTCCCCCTGGATCCCCGTTGATGAGCAGGATCCAGCGAGGACTTCAGGAAAACATACCGATCACGCCGGAGTCATAGCCAAAGAGCAGGCCACCGCAGCAGACGATGGCGGTGAGCCAGTACAGGCGGAAGACGCCATGGGGGGCAGGGGGCGGAGGGTGCTCAGAGTCCTGGGCGATTTCAGTGTAGGACCTCATCGTGAGCCATGTCGCAAGAAAAGAGCGAGGAAGGCAGGAGTAGAAATGCACGAGGAAGAAGGTGGAGGTTGCGAGTCAGATGACGCGTGCTTACGTGGTCAGGAGGTGCTCCATCGTCTCCCGACACTCGACACTCGAACACTCGACACTCTGTCTACTAACTTCAGATCATCACGAAAAAATCGGTAAACAGCTCGCGTCGCACACAGCGCGAGTCCGCCCACGTCCGCGACGCATCCTGACGACGGGTCATCTCCTGCAAGAGAACAAGTGCCTTGCCGGCGTGGGGATGGCGCGAGCTGCCCTGGCCGCGGGCATCACTGCGACTGGCGCCGGTGATCCGCTGCATCTCCGTGACAATCCACCGGCGCTGCTCCACCGACCCCTCCAGCCCGGCCACAAACAACGGCCACACGAAACTCGCGGGCAGATGAGACTGCGACTGCGCGCCCCCGGCTGACTCCACCTCGGCCGTCGCCAACTGGATAATCCGGTCCACGGCCCGGTGCACGCGGTCCGTCCGCGGGTAGATCGCGAACGCCACGCGGTGCAGGTAGATGAAAATCGCCAGGAAGTTGGCGATGTACTGGCGGAAGGTGCGGCAGGTTTCGACCGCGACAGCCGGGCGGAGGGTGTCGGAGAGGCTCTCGGGGGTGCCGTAGACGTCGAGCACGCGCGGACGCCGGTTCCAGAGCGTCTCGAGATCCGCGCCGACTTCGTGCGCGATCTGGAGGACCTCAAACTCGTCGCTGACGGTGCCGCGGCTGCGGTGGTGCAGGTCGATGCAGACGATGCGGCGGATGACCTGTTGGGTTTGGAGGAAGAAGTGGAAGGCCGGGCCGGTGATGGCTTCGCGGATGAGGTAGGCGGGCGTGGGCGGTTCGTCCTCGTTGCTGGCGTCCAGGGTTCGATCCTCACTGGGCTGCGGCGACAGTCTGCCCAGCTCGATGAGCGGATCGCCGTCTCGTCCAGCGATCAGCGCCTTGACGTCCAGCAGCGAGACCCACGAGACAATCAACCGACTCACTCCGGTCCACGACTTCGTCCGGACATGGAACCGCTGCAGCAGCAAGTACGCGGAATGTAGGAACGACGTGCCCGAGCCCCATAAATCAGGCGTAGACAACAGCTGCATCACATCAGCCTCCTGTCGACCAATCCATAAACAGATCGATCAACCTACCTCAGCCAACATCAACAACAACACCGTAGCAAACACCCTTCTCAGTACCGCCTCGTCTACCTCCCCTAACAAACATGCCTGGACCTCCGAACACGCCAACTGATGATAGTTGGCGGCCAACTTCCAAGCCTTCCCCTCCATCATGGCCTCATGAATCTCCGCATAGCAATACACTCCATGCAGAACAGCCATGGAATCCCGTGACAGCCGCACAATATTCGCCCTCACATACTCCCACTCCAGATTGACGGGCCCGAAGATCGTAGGCGGCGGGTCGCTCTCGATGAAGTACGCAAACAGCTGATCCTCGTATGTCACCCGGCTGCCACCGGCACTTGAATCCGACGACGCGCGGTCGGACCGGGCCCCCGGCGCAGGGACTAGGTCTGTTGGGCCCCAGCTGATGGGGCGTTCATCGGGGACGAGTTCTTCGCTTGCGATGGCCGCGGGGGTCGAGCCGGCGGGGAAGCCGGCTAGTCCGTTGGTGGTCAGGTCGAGGTGTTTCTGCTGCAGGTCGGAGGTAATTTCGCCGATGAAGCTGAGGATGTCGAAGGAGGGGATGTCGGGGGGGAGCGATTGCGAGGACGGGGTGGTTGTCAGGGGCAGTGGGGGGGAGGTCGAGGGGGGGCTTGCAGGCGGTCATTGTGGCAGAGGACGGTGTGGAAGAAGTTCGCGTCGGGACGGTCTGCGGAGGCGGAGATGGGGGAGGGCGCGGTGGCAGTGGCCGTCGCGGTGGTGAGGAGGGCGTGGGGATCGTGGGGAGTCGCGATGCCAGGGACGATGGTCTTGTAGGAGCAGGACAGACGGAGGCGCGTGCAGTTGGCGCAGGTGGGTTTGGCTTCGTCGCAACGCACTTTGCGTAGGCGGCAGGTCAGGCAGCCGGTGCGCCGGCGGGGGCCTGATCGCCCGGTTCCGCGTGCTCGAGGAGCCTGCATGGGTTAGCGCTCGATGGGCCATGGGCCTGGACGGGGTATGGGCTATGGCAGGTCGAGGGAAGGGGAGATACCTGCATGGGGGGGTTGGCGGAGGCATGGTGGATGACGCTGGATGGTGTGATTGTTGTTTAGGGGGCTGTCAGGAACGAACATTTCCTTCCTCGGCTCCCCGCACCGCTCCGATACGATGCCTGCCACTAAGTATCTGCCAGCAAAACCACAACATGCGGCTCCACTCTTTTCTATATCGCATTGTAACAGTATCCTATATATCCCTGTATCCTATCTATATCTTATCACGCACCATGAAGAATCCCTTGCCTCTCCGGAATCCGCTTCTTATCCACCCCAAAGCACTTATCCATGTGCAGCAAATGTCCGCGTTCCTTACGAACATACGTCGCAAAGCAGACAGCAGCCATTGCAATGCCCCCGTAGCTGACATACACCGGATACTTGAACTGCTCGGGAAGATGGAAAGCAATGGTAGTCGCAAACGAGAGGAGCTCGAAGATACTCTGCAGCGCCATCTCGGTGGATGAGAAGCGCGCGCGGGCGTGTTCGTCAACACCCTGTGGTTGTCATCAGTCAGTCAGACGCCTGCTAAATCAGTCGCAAGTAGACAGGGCCAGAGTTATCAGATAAGACATACCTCTTGGACCAGAAACTGCACCGAGAGATCAAACCCCCAAAGCCCTATCCGACTGAGAGCCACCCCGACGATGAGACTGACAGCGACGACCTTCGACTGGCCATCGAAATAAGCAAAGGCGGCTACAGCGGATGCCAGACATCCAAACTGCCAATTGAGGAACCACAGGCCCGACCGGATCGGGCCAATCCTGCTCATGATGTACGGGGCGGCCCATGTCCCGGACAGCTCTGCGGCGACGGCGCCGATTCTCATCGCGCTGACCTGCAGCGGCGTGAACCCCGTGTGGAGGAGGTAGGTGACCATGGTGGTGCCAAAGGAAAGCACGGTGAGGTAGAGCAGACTGAGCGCAAAAGACGCCAGGAAGACCGGGCTGGCGAGGTACTCGCGCCATGGGGCTGCGGTATTTCGAACGCATCGTGATACCCGCGTTGCTAGACCCTGCATGGTATCTCTCCTCTCATTGTTCCCATCCTGGGTCTCATCAACCCCGCCCCTCCTCGCACAACGCTCCAGCTGTGGAACAGCGAGATACACCTAGACATGGCCACCGTCAACGGTCATAAGTACACCACCCAGACAATCAACACCCAGAAACCCAACCAGACAAATAGAAAAGAAAAGTTACCTGCTTAACGGTCACATACTCCACGCCAACAGACAAGGCATTCACCCCGAAGACAGTCCACACAGCCACGCGCGTCGAGAACCCATCAACGAGGGAGATAACGACCGGGGCCAAGAGCTTGCAAGAGAGATCGATTCTCCGCATGGACGCATTAAGGTCTGGGATCCAGCAAGACGAGTGGAGTGGTTAGTGGTGTCACACATAGCTCGTACTTTATCTGCACAAACGCCGATGGCTGGGTAGGTTTGTTGCACATACCTTGTTTCGGGATCGCCAGTGCGTCGGAGATGACGATGACCTATAGGATGGATGGGTTAGAGACTGGGAGCAATATGCATCGCATGACACAACGCAAGACAACACAGCACAGCACAGCACAGCATAGCAGAACAGAGACAGCGCTAGACAACACAACTTACACAGCAGACCAGACCAGAGCAGACACAACATAGACACAACATAGACACAACATAGACACAGCGTAGCAGAAGCACAGCAGAAAGCCAGATAACACCACTCACCCAATCCCTCCCAACCGCAACCGTATTCGCCACGGCAGCAAGTTTTTCAACGCAAGCGAGGACAACGGTCCCCGCAAAGAGAAGCAGAGAGCGGAGCGTCGTTGGTGCCGAGGTAGAGATCTCCAGCTCCATCGTAAGCAACGCCACGAAGCACAGACACGACACAGCAACAGGGATGCGCTGCCATACTATATCCAATCCAATCAACCCTGTTAGCTCACAGATCTCCTCTTTCCTCCTCTGCGAGCCTGGAATAAACGACTCCACAGGCCACAGACCACAAACAGGGAAACACATACGAATCGAACCCCTCACAGCCCTCAACCGATCAGACCGGTCAATCGCCCCACCCAGCCACGAGGACAAGAGGACAGCGGAGAGGGAGCGGATCAGGGCGTAGACGGAGGCGTAGAGTAAGGTGCCCGGAAAGATGGAGGCGAGGAACAGCACGGCGCCGAATTCGAACATGCGCGAGTTCCATGTTGAGAGGAAGTGGGAGACATACAGTCGGGTCAGAACGCGGGGTGGGGATTGGGATGGGTTGACGTGAGAGATCCTCGTCCACGTCGTCTCCGTCTCCGTCTCCGTCTCTGTCGCCTCCCGACTGCAAGAGGGGGTTGTCCTGGCCATAATCTGTGAATCTGGACTGCGGGGATGTTACATTATCATGGAACACTGGATGGGAGACTGAAGGATGGAATGTGCAGGGGAAAGTGAAGGGGAAGGGAAGTGGAGCGGAGGACAGAAGCCGAGTGGACTGAGATGGAGATCGGCCCGCTTCAGAACGTCCCGCCGTCCGGACTACGCATGTATCGACCGGCCACTTGCTACAGTAGGCAGCCTACACATTCGTTTTATTTTATAGCAATGATATTCCGGTCTTCTAGCTTCCTCCGATGTACGCCTATCACACCAGCGCTATGTGGTCCAGAACGCCAACCCGAGAGCAAATGAAAGCAACGCCAATAAACAGTTGATGGGAACCGGGCGACTGTCATAACACACGAGGAACGAATCCTGAGAGATGAGCAATGAACAATGAATCCGAAGAGATGAGTCCGAGGGATGATTTTCGAGGTATGAGACCGGGGATGAGCAACGAAGAGAAGCAAGGAGGATCCGATCAGACGTTGGTCAGGCGTTGATCAGATCATCGAAGTTGTCGTCGGGGACGCTCGAGAACTGATAAGGCCCCTCCTCGGTTAGAGGCTGATCTGATCCAGGGCGACTAGATGTCACTGGAGGGAAGGAACTGTCGAAGCCGAAGGACAACCCTTGCGTGCATTGCGTGCTGTTGGTCATAGTCGACATTGAGCTTTCCCGAGCCACATAAGGCGTGCCTGTCGTCTGTTCAGCGGTCAGAGAGTCCCGGTGTCTGATGTCCGTCAGCATAATGCTGAGGTGCTGATTTATGGCCTTGTCTCCGCACGATGAATGCGCCAACAAGGCATTCTTGAGGTCGATGATCTCTCTGCGGCACTCGGCTTCGATCTTCAGCAGAGAAGCATTTTCCTCGGAGAGTTCCGTGTGCTTTCTTGTAAGGGATTCGGTATATTCCTTTTTCTTTGCCCGACATTTGGTGGCTGCCATACGGTTCCGTTTCAGAAATTTCTCTCTTTCCGGGCATCCAGTCGGATTTGCACTCGGCCTACCCTTCCCCGATCTCGACGCACGGGGTTTGCGAGCCTTCGTGTTGGTAGGGGGCTCTGTGGCCGGGGGCTCTGCGGCCAGGGGCTCTGGGGATACCACCGGTACCAGAGTCATCGGTGCTACCGAGTCTTCAGAGCTAGATCCAGCCTGCTGACTGAAACTCCCACGGGGTGTGGGGTTGGCAGGCTGGTTGCCGTCGAACTGATAGTTGGAGAGCGCATACAGATCGCTGGAGAAAGGAACCTTGTTCTCATCGATCGGAGGCGGCGTCGGTTGGCCATTGCGAACATGAGCATATTTCAGATTCCGTTCCAACCCCGAAGATGTGAAGTATTGCATTTCATTGCTCTGATTCCACACCGGAATCTGAGCAGTAGCATAGCCGAAGCCTTCCTCTGTGAAAGCTGGGGCGAGTGCATAGTCTGTTCTAACCAAGGGGTTGGTGAGCTGGGAGGGACCCCCGGCCATTTCAGATTCGGTCAGAACGGGATCAGTCACGATGGACTCATTTATGGCAGTGTGCCAAGGGTTTCCTCCCTCCATACTGAAGCAGGTCAGTTTGACCCGGGTGCAAATAGGGTACGGCGGTAACAATGATAATAAACTTGATGGGGGTGACGAAACGATTTGTTAAAGGGAGAGGCGCCGAAGCCGGTATCGCAGATGTACGTAGGAGGCGTGGTGGAATTGGGAGAGGGTAGATGGAAGAGGGTAGGTAGGTGGAAGAGGTCGAAGAAACGCTCAGATGGTTGTGCGAGTCAAGTTGACGGCAGGATGAACGAATGCTTATATATTAAGGGAGTAAAGTCCCGGCTGAGAGATCTTAGCCTGCGTGAGTCCAACAGGAGGACCTGGACCACCGCAGGCACGAGCAAGTTGTGTGGCCGGCTACCACGGTTGAGCAGCGGAAGGGGTAGGCCAAAGAGCGAACAACTGCGCTCTGACAGACAGCGGGAGGGACAACGGGAACACCAACAGGGAGGGGGAGGGAGGATGGGAGATTATATTCAGAGGGTATAGAATTGTCGGGTGGGGAGGGAGACGGTAGTGTCCAGAACGCAGCCGGCGACAGACCCCTCGACGCAGCAGCGAGCTAGACCAGGAAAATCAGGGAACGAGCCGGACGATTGGACTGGAGGCTTCGTCAGGCAATCGGGGGAGGTATGCGACAGGCTGGAAGATGGGCGACGCTTCGGCCGGATCAGCAGCAGCTGGAAGAGGGAGAGGAGGAGTGGGCATGGACTGCGCATCCACGGAACGTCAGACTCGGAAAGATCCTGAAGGGGAAATCACCTCACCTTTCAAGGGCAAGAGAGTAGTAAGTCAGTCAGTAGAGGCCTGGCGGGCAACCAGGGAAAGCGCGAGGGAGGTGACAGTTTGGACCAAAGTTTAAGTGGGCGGTGATACGAGGCAGAGGGCGATGGATGGATGGAAGGGGAGGAAGGGGAGGACAGAGACCGGACCGGGAGGAGATGAAACGAGCAGCAACGAACGATATGGCAGAGGCCGACCAGGATGGCAGCCAACGGAATCCGGTCCAACCCCCGGCAAAGGTTGCGCAAGCCAGGTGGGCAGTGAGGAGGGGAATTGGCAGGGGAGAGATGGAGAAGCAGAAGAGATGGGGAGGAGGAGGAAGAAGAACAGCGTAGAGGAGCATTGAAGCGGAAAGCTTCAACTCCCCGGATGTTATAGTATGTACCCACATAGTATACTTTGTGTTAGCAGGAGTAGACAGTCAGGGAGGGGTGGAGGAGGGCGATTGGGTACAGTGGGCATCCGAGGAGGAACCAGAGTAGAGGATCCAATGGATGCAGGGGAGGCCGTGATGGACGGGTCCAGACGGGAGGGGATGGAGAGATTGACATCATGATTCAGATTGAAGAGCGAGAAGCGATCGAACGAGCAGAAGAAGAAGAAGAAGCAGCAGCAGTAGTGGCAGTTTAGTGCTATAGTACTTCCTGTATAGGCCCGGCGAGACCCCGCTCTAGTACGGAGGACGGATACTAACTATACTACAGCCCTCATATTCATACAAAAAGAATAAGAACAACAAGAACAACAAGAACAAATGTGAAAAAAACATCTCCTCCCTACTATCTATAAGTACATCCCTGGTAAGGTATTCATGAGTCATCTCCGACTCACCCCCGAACAGTACTGACTGAGTCCCATCCATTCCCATCTCGATAAAAAAAATCCCCAAAGAGAAGGGGGGGAAACCTCCCCGGTTTCATGGAACCCACGACGTCGCCCGATTGGTGGTTTGCAGTTCCTATGGGTGACGCATCCCGACCCAGGATCGAGGATGATCGGGAGACGGTCAGTTAAGTAGCCAGGATGGTAGAAGCAGTGTGATTTGACCAAGTTCGGGGACAAAAGTATAGAGCAACAGACAGTGAACTTATTGGGTCTTGTTTATTTTGTAACAAAGTAAAGTACTTTGTACTTTGTACCTTAGAAGAAGGAGGGCCCCACTCCCCCACGCCAGCCGGCAGCTGCCTTATTTTATTTTCCGTCACAGTCCCGTCCCAGTTCCTGGCTGTCTGTCTGTCTTGTCTGTCTGCCATGTTTCCTAGTCCCAGCAAATTATGCTTTCCCTGACAACCAATAAATCATCAAAAATCGCCCTCCCTACCTGTAAGCAGCAGAGGACGGTCATTACTTATGGAGTAGGTAGAATACAGAGAGAATACCGGGCCCTCCAGGCAACTGAACCGTGAACCAACCGTCAAGACCCAACCTCAACCTCAGAGGGTCGGATCCGAGGGCCGCGAGTGCGACAACTTCCATCCATTATTTATTACTCCATACGCACTCCGTACAGAGTACAACAAATTAACCGACTGAAAGGACCAACCGAACAGTTAAGAATACCTTATTACCCTGTTTTCTCCTCCGCCCCCCCTCGTGTGAGAGAGGCTGACGAGGCCTCCCACTCCCACCACCAAGTTATTGCTATCCCGGTCCTTAATCCCCTAAATTAACCCGTTCGAACTTGCTCTCTGAGTCTGAGTCTGTCTGACAGCCCGGTTTTCCTACCAATCAATACTAGTTACCAACTAGATACCTTCCTTACCTAGTTACCTAGTATGTACTTAGTGTACCCCGCCAGGACAAAGAACACTTAATAATGTCCAGATGTAGATTGTAGAATTCCTTCCCACGAGCTGATTTCCTGTTAACCCCCCCCCTCTAGTCTATCGATCTCATTTTCATTTTCATTTTCATTTCCATCCAGAGAAAGTCAAGCCAGAAATTCGAAAGTCGAAAGTCAGACAAGAAGACAAGAAGACAAGAAGACAGGGTCCCCATCCTGACGTAGATAGCGCCCGCAAGTGCTCCGTATCTAACTATCTATCTAGTCACAGCGATCCATCCATCCAGCCATGAATGAGCCAACATCCCCAGCAAGCAAGCCAGCCAGCAAGGATATGGTGATTAGTGGGCCCACCCGGCTCTTTCACCCGACGACTCACGGTCCGGCGATCGACGGTGCGCTGCTTGGAGCTTGGATGTGAGAGAAATGGGGGGCAAGCGGGCAAGCGGGCAGGCGGGCCTGTCAGACTCACACTCACTCACACTCTGTTACTCAGACTCCAGCCTCCTACTTTACTAGTAGTTACTGTGTAGATAGTCCTGGACCTGCGGACGCGGTAGCCGGTACTCGGTAGCGGTAGCGGTACCTGTCGGTGGGTACCTTGCCCCTCATCCGTGCTGGTAGAGGTACTTCCACGCCCGACTGGGAGAGGTACGGAGTACCACCCACCCTCTTCTATCTTCCTCTTCCCTCTTCCCTCCATGTCCATGCTTCCACTATGTATCACTACAAGATACTGCCATCCTGCACCCTCATACCATCACCATGAATGAATTACTTGTAGAGAGAGAGAGAGATCCCGTCCGCCATGCAACCTCGCCAATCAATCAATCCCTCCACCACCAAAACAACCTTCCGGAAGACGCTTCCTTCCATCCAAGTTCCGTTCCAAATCTTGGAAACAGCCCGCCCACTGCTGCAGGTCTGTTTCAGATCAGGGTGTCCACGTATCTGCCTGTCTGTCCGTGATCCTGCTCCAGTCGGCCGGATCTCCTCCCCGTTCACTGTTTCCACTTTCGAGCCATCGGCAAACGCCCAGGGTGGTCCGCCCAATCGGGCAAAAGGCCCTTGTTTGTTTCCATTCGCCTTCCCGGTTTGGCATTCATGCATCGCTGCTACTAGCGCCACAGTCAGGTTCCTGCTGGTCATCAAACGGTCTCCTCGCGGCTGATCTAATTCTCCGTGGCCTCAGGACACAGTATCTAGTATCTACCATCTACTCCGTAGTACGTACAGCCCCCCTACGACTCAGTCATCCTCCGCCGACTCCCCGCTGAGACCTCGCGAGAACGCCCGCTGGTGCGCAACGGCGCCCCGGTGCTGCCAGATCCGTAGTTGGCGGCTCACCCCCCGCCAGCTGTCCACCAGCATGCCCGCCACCCGCTGGCCCTCAATCTCCCGCTCAATGGCCCGGAACGTATCCTCACTCTCATTCTCCCCGCGATCCGTCAGAAGTGGCCCCAGCACTCCACTGAGCCGGTCGACGTTGAGCAGCCCCGACCCAACACTGGCCCGGCACACGCTTCCTCGGAACCCCTGCCGCTCCAGCTCGACCAGCCGCTGTGTCTCATGCAGCAGCAGCGCGCCGAGTCCAAAGACCCCACAGATGAGGTTCAAGCGCAACGAGTCGCTGAGTGCCAGGATCGCGAGGCCGATGGCCTTGACCTTGATGTAGCCCCGGGGCGAAAAGCCACCCAGACAGCTGCTCCGCCGCTCGACTTGCTCGGCCGCGAAATGGCCGTGACAGATCTGGACCAGCGCGCGGTAGAGCCGGTCCGACCCTAGGATGCCGCCGGGGAGCCCGGCCAGTAAAGCCTTAAACGCCCAGGCGACGCTCTGCACCTGAATAGTCTCGCCGCCGTCAGCATCGCGGTGGAGAGGATTCACCACGTCTGGCGGCATTGCACTGCTCCCGACCGTCATCTGGATCCTATCCTGCTCTCGTTCCGCCGATAGCACCTGATTTGCAAAGTAGTCATACGTCCGGGTCGCAATTCTGGGATTGCCGGAATCGACAAACACATTTCGCACGGTGGGAGCTGTCAAATGACGTCAGTTGGCAAACAGACTGGCAGGATGGCAGGAGTTCTCACCAAAGCATCCCAGATAGGTGATGGTCGCTACAAAGCAAACGGGCAGCCTCAGCTTCGTAGGAGCAAAGTCCGCTGGCAGGGCCAGCAAATTGTGTCCCCCCAGCCGAGCCAGATGATCCAGGGGCTTGCCCTTCAATGAAGTCATCTCGTAGGATCGGCGCGACATGCTGGCAAAGCTCCTCATCCGACGCAAGGTTCGTTTGCGGGGTGCATCTGGCGACGATCCCAGCTGCAATGTCGACCGCATCGTTCGTATCCGGCCGTAGAACCTATCTCGACGCCTTGCGAGGCGATCTGCGGTGGCTGTATATGAATGCCGACTATCATGAGATCGCTCAGCTGCCACCGCGTCAGACCATGCTTGCCCGCGCGCAACAATCCTGTTTTCTGGGCACAAACCTGAAGGATGACCCCAGCCGCTTCCCCCATGATCACACTGAGTCTCGACCAGCTCAACCCGTTCCAGATGCAATCTACTGGCCAGCTCATTGAACGCTATAGCAGCCGCGCGCCGATCCCCTTGCGCTAGCAGAAGACCGTCGTCCAGAGCGGCAGATATGTCCGAACTTCTCCTTGACGATCCCCCCGACTCGCTGGAGTGGGCCCGAGCAAAGGGATTGTCTGGCTTCTCGGCAGCCCTGAAGGGGTACGTGGACGGCGCGCTCGCGCCACTGCAATCGGAACTTGGCTGACGTGCAGCACGGGTGGTCCTCCCGTTGTCTAGGACTAGACTCGAGCGCAGGGTGGAATGGGACCCTTCCTGGATATCGCTGTACCGATTGTGATAGAGACCCCCCTGTTCGGCGAGAGCGATTGGCATCGACATGTGTTTCGACGGATTATGGCAGACAGTCACACTGGTGAGGTCCGAATTGAGTGAATGCACAGTCTTGTCACTGATCTTTCTCGCCTCGATATCGTCATTCAAGTAGCCGCTGCGTTGAGCAAGCGTCTGAAGGCCCACACGCTGGGGAGTGCCAGTGCCAGTATCAAGGCCAGCCCCAGTCCCAACATCAACCCCAGAAACACAAGCACCCTCCCCACCTCTTCCCTGCTTCCCCGTCCCCGTCCCCGTCCCCGATATGCCCGAACCCTCCGAATCCAGACGAAAATGCTGCGACTTCCTGGACCGAAAAAGGGTCCTTAGGCCCGCCAGCCGTCTCGAGCCAATCCTCGAATACCTCGACTCTGCAGCCGGTGAACGCGGACTCAATACCGGTGGAGAGCTCTTGACAGGCGAGGGTTCATCCACTCCAAGACGCCCCGTGACCCTCTGTTCCTTTAAGGTATTCATCCCTCCAGCACCAGTATCAAAACCCGCACCCGAACCTGCACCGGCAACAAGAGACCCAAGACCAAGAGGCCCAAAAAACGTAACAAACCCTCTGCTTTCACCTCCACCTTCACCTGCACCTGGATTTTCACCTCCACCCCCCATCCTCACAGACGAATCCCGTGGACCTGCTTGGCCCGAATTCGCATTCCCATTCCCATTCCCAACCCCAATTCCAGCCTCACAATAACCAGAAAGACGGATATTAGGCCTTTTACTGGCACTGCCACTTGGTTCGGATCTCCCCATTGCCGCGTTCTGGATCGGGTTAATGGTTGGTAGGTAGACAGGTAAGATTCACGGGACGATACAGGAAGAAAGGTATCCAAAGTCAGAAGATGAAGATGTAATTAATCCAAGACTTGACGGGGCAGTGATGGTGATGGTGAGAAATGAGTACGATGTCAGATGGGTGGGTGGTGAGGCTGCTTGCGAATTCAGTAGGCAGGCAGGCAGGCAGGCAGGCAGGCAGGTGAATCTCACTTCAGATCGTGCCTTCCTTTTTTGACTCGGGGTCGCGCCTTCCTGTCGTGGTGGTGGATTCACTTGAGGAAGGCAGTGAATTCTACTGCTGCCTGCCACCTACTCTACACTACTAGTAGTAGGACCTCTAGGTAAGTAGTGGTCATGATATCTACGAGCATGTATGGAACTTAAGTGCACTCTAGGTACCTACTAGGTAGGCAGGCAGGCAGGTAAAGACTGTACTTGGGTAGGTAGGTATGGATTTGCTGAAACTTCTATCCATAAAGTGAACAGGGCCTGGGTAGCTCTTTCCATAATATCTGCCATCTATCACTTCTATACCACATCTACATGGGAAGTATATAACCTAGTAATAGTATAGTAATATAGTAATACAGTGAAGCGAGGATCAGTATGGACACCAGAACCTGTCTGTTCGACATCACGATCAATCACTATCTACCGCCAGCCGAAACAGCACTGGCTCCGCAGCTACTACTAGATGAAGTATATATTGTGTACACGCGTACTCATACTCAAGCGAATGAGAAACTGAAGCACCTATCGCGCCATATCATATCATATCAGACCTTCTACTTTTGCAGTTGCATTGCAAACCCAGACAGACAGATTCGAGCCCAAGAGTTTAGATAATCAAAGTGAGAAAGAAGAGAATTAGAAAGTGAAAGGGGAAAAAAATAATCACTGAAAAAGAATCATGGGCGAGCGATGGCCGCCGAAACCGCGCGAGGCTTCGGGGCCGATGCTAGCAGGTGAGAACGCCATCCGATGCAAGTGAGTATACGTAGCAGCGCACCAAGCGCAAGGAATAAATGCATTGATCATGACAGCTCGTCAGTCTCGCCCTCCAGGAGGATATACTGTAGGATATCACTCAGAGTCAGGACACCCTTGAGGCGGAAGTTCTCATCCACCACGACCAGGCGGTGCACGCGAGACTTGCGAATCGTGTCGAAGATGGTATCCAGACCATCGTTCAGGGAGCATGTGTAGATACCGGGGAAATCCTGGTCATATTAGCCAAGCCTGTAGGAAATGGTGTGGTGGATTAATGTACCGGAGACCGCTTCTTCAGTGCCTCGCCCACTGTGAGGCTCAAGTCGTCATAAACACCGCCCTTGATCAGTGTGATCACGTCCACCGACTCGAAGACGTTGTAGACAACACCTGAGCAGCCATTGTTAGTATGCGCACGTTCAGTGATCGGCTCAAAGCTCGCACCTTCGGAGTTTAGGATGGGAACGCTAGATATGCTCCGCTCCACGAGGATGTGGATCACATCGATAACAGGTGTGTCCATCGACGCAGTCGCCACGTCGTGATACGAGCCGAGCAAGAGTTCACCTAGAGGCTTTCGCAGTTTCTGGGTATCGCTGACATTGACGGCGACAAATTTCAGAATGCGGTATTGGGTGACGACGCTGAGCACATGGGCCCGGTCCGTTTGGCTGTCATGGGTGACCAACGGGATCCTCCTGGCCCGAGACTCCAGCATGCGCCGACAGGCCTCGTAGAGCGGTCGCTGCGGGTCGATGGATATCGTTTCGGGGGGCGCAACGCCCAGCGCCTTTTCCACCTCTGAACCATTGATCAGCCTGTGTCACATCCGGGATCAAACGAAACGCGCCACACACCTCGGAGACTATCGAGCCGGAATTGATCGATCTGGTCCAAGGCGGCGGGATTCTGGAAATAGTATTGGATGACATTGATGTAATCGGACGTGGTCAGGAGACCGGCAAAGGTCGAGGAGCTGGAATCCCACAGGGGAGCTGAAACGATGCCTGCATTTGCGCGCCACATTCCGTCTCAGTCAGCGAATTGTATGGCCAGGTTGGTGCAGCGCACGTCATGGCATTGCAGCCTGCGGCCCGCCTCGGGGTGGTGGAGAGGGACACATGCCATTCTGTATCAGGATATTCAAGCTCTCCTTGACGGACAACGACGTATCGAAGATGATGAGCCGGAAACTAAGTGGGAGGACGTCGTAGCTGGTACGGACTTTGAGGAAGTTGCGAATGGCTCGCTACCGATCCAGAGGACAAGGCCTCTATTAGTCCAGGGTCCAATGGTCACCGTCCATGGCGAATACGATTACAAGCAAACAGGCGCAGTCAAATCGGAGTGGTTTGGGTGCAAACTTGACAGACAGGGGGGGTGGGGGGGGTTTGATTCACACGGCGGATGGTGATGGGGTGGTGCGGTGCGGGCTCAGGGAGGGGCGGATTGAGTCAAACGGA